GATGATTTTAGAAATTAGCTTAAAAAGTAGTTTATTTTCTAATTAATATGTACGAGCTTGTATTTGCTATCTTAATTCACGAAGATATAACAGAAATCTAAACTCAATAAAAAAGAAAAATAAAAGTTATCCCAGAATTTCAATAGATTTTAACATTTAAAGAGATATATATAAAAATTTGAACCAATTTCATGTTGAAGTCTAAAATTTACCTTTGCATCGTTAGCTGAACTTTAAATCATAAACTAAATCCTCTTTCGATTAGAGGTTTGAGCATGCAATGTAGTTTGGGAAGAAACTTTAAAGTTGCACGAAGTTAACAAAAAACAAGCATTTCCTTTGCTTTAAATCTAATCAGGTTCTTCCAAAACTAAAAGCGTTATTGGTGCTATTGGGTTGATGGATCACGGCATACAAGTGTTTAATAGAAAGTGTAAATTCACAAGTATTTGGAGAATTTTTTCATGAGTTAATTCTTGAGAACTTCATTTTAGCCATCAATTTTTAATATATTGTCTTTGTAAATTATACAACTCATCCTCCTTATAGTCCTTAGCTGATTTTATCGAAAAGCTTTGGGCAATTGCCAAAAGGTAGCTTTCCAGGATGCATTCTGCAACAAATTTCTAAAAATTTCATAATACATGTTGTGCTTAATAACATTTCTGCAACCAAAGTACAAACCTTAACAAACCAATATTAACTAAATAAATATAGAAAAATTACTATAATGAGTGAGTAACTCAAATTATAATTTTAGAGTGAATTGGTAACCCACTCTATAGTTGAAAGTTATATAAGTTACCCAAAACACAACTCTGTATGATGAATTAAGATTAAATTTATGGAATGAAAGCTCTGTTAAGTGAACTACTTTAAAAGTAATTAAAAACTACTTCCCTCATATAATTTGCATGTAGGAGACCTTAATAATTTATCAGGGTGTAGTGTTATATAAAAATTAGGTTAGAACAAACATTAAGGAGGCGTAGCCATCGGAGTTCACTCTTCGATTACTTTTAGTGATATTAATGAAAAGATCAGTCCTCCTAATTCACATAAATACGAATCTATTGCCTTGCAATGCAAGTCTGAAATTATTGATCTTATTGTTGTAATTTTGATAATAAAAAATGAATTTTTAACTTGGAAAAAGTAATGGTTAATAAAATGGAGCTAAAATATCATTTTTTTAATAAAAATCGACTTAAATAGTTTTCATATGTGGTGATTTTAATAGTCCAGAATAAATTTACTTTATTTCAACCTCTAATCTAACCTGAAATCAATACCTTTCGCAGATAATAGATTAACAAATTTAAAACTTGAAGAAGTGATCATTGCATAACCAGAAATTTAACTAATACAAAATTTAAAATAATTTTAATAATCTTTCAGATCGTTGTTTATTAGAATATCCTTAAATAATCAAATCAATGAACATCAAATAAGTTTCATAAGATGCAAGCTTATCTATTAAATTAACAGGCTAATCACCTTAATTATTTAACTAACTGGTATAAATATGTTAGAATTAATCTAAGGATAAAGAAAGACATAGTAAAACAAAGAATAGCATTATCTAAATACAAAAGTGAATCATGTGTCAATAACAATTTAAAACTAATAACAATTATCAGCTCAATTATCAGCTTTACCTTAATATGCAGTCAAAAAGATAAACAAAGGGTATTGGTTGAGGAGATAATTAGTTTTTGAAACGTTTTCTAGCCTTTATTCAAGTAGAGGTTTTACAAATCCCGTATTCAACTTTTGATGCTTTCAAGTATTTTACAGAGTTTAATTATCAATGAAATACGCAGTATTGCTATCATAAATCATTAAATAATTTTCTTATGTTCTTGCTGTAAGAAAATGCATGTTTTTTGTCCAATTAAAAAAGCTCATTATCATTTTCTACCTATTTTATTAGCATCACAAGCACGCTTATCCTATTTGTAAGCAATTTGTTTTTGTTTCAAAAAAATTAAGTTTATGCATATGTGATTTTCTTGAAAGTTTAATTTTGAATCACTCCATAAGTATTTTGAATTTTCTACTTCTGCAAAAACTTTATAATTACAAAAAAATACGGACTTGCAATAAAAACTAAGTATACATAAATAATTGTATTCAGCTCAATTTATGAATAAAAATTCAATCTTTATATTTCCAGCAGCTTTGAACTATGCCATATTTTAGAGATATCAGAGGTATTCTTTCCCATTCGACGCCTTGATAAAATTGATTTACTGTATCACTGAATTTATCACAAAAGAATATCAATCTCTAATTTAAATACTTAAGAATTGCTCGTGATTTATCTACAAGTACCAAAAAGTTGAATGCAACCAACTCAATCATTATCAAAGATCTAACCTCTTTATAAAAGTGAACAATATTTACCAATCTTATTTAATTTAACTATATTCTACTTAAGAAAGAGTTTAGATTGGATCTATGAGTTTATACACCCATATATTAATTATCTAGAAGAAAGTAACATAAAATATAATTATTTATTGAAGATGGAGAGCTGAGGCCTAAGTTGTTTAAAGGTTTCAATAAGTCAGAAGTGTATCCTCAGGTTTCACATTTTTCATGAATATTTTTTTTTTGGTGATGTTGAATCACAATTTAATTTAAAACTAGATCAAATCCCAAATTCTAATTATAATATATTTATTTGAAAAATAATTTTGCAGTTTGCATAAGTATTTGAGGTATTGGAATTCTTTGAAAAAAATCAGCTTGTATAGTTGCTACCATATTTCAATAATATTGCTTTTGATCATGTGTAAGTCCTAAATTAGAAGTTATCTCATTATTTGATTGTATTATAAAATAATAGAAATTATAATTTATATAATGATTTCACCAAAAATGCTAGAAAGTGAAGGTGATATTTTTTGTTGTAATGGACACAATTAGAAATGCATTTCAATTTTGTTTGATTCAACGATGACAAGAGATTAGCGTTATCTTTGTTCCGATTGCTTAGAATATTTAGACTAGGATAAAAAAGTGATTGGCATACGTAGGGCTTAAGAATTAATTTTCGAATAATAAACTGATAAGATCAAACAAGTTGAAGATATCATTAATCCCTAAATTTATTCGATCGAAAAGGCACTTGAATCAATAAATGAATCAAAATAATAATTTTTTGATTCATACTAATAATTGATTTCTGGATTAAGTGATTGGATTGGAAGTCTAAAATAGCAAATAGAAAACTCCGCTCACTTTAGCTTCTATGAGGAGTTAGACAGTTTCATAAGTTAGCAAAACTGTATTAAAGGGAATATATATTAATTAAATCAAGAAAATTAAGTGATTAATTAAAATTATCATACCAAATTGCGCAATCATTTAGAAAAAATTCATAAAATTTCATTAGATAATGTTTATTTAAAACAATTAGACTTCTTAGCATGCAATTCTAGATAATCGAATTAAGAGTAAGATATGATAGAATAATAACTTAAGCAGAAATCTCAAATAAGGTTTAAATAATCTCTATAAAACATAATAAAAGTTGATTAAGACATACAAAATTTTGAAATAAGTTTTAATCAACTTTAAGTATTTTGCGATAAAAAATAAGAATGCGAATCAATTGCTTTTAATTATTCTCAATAAATTATGATATCAGCTGATTAGATGAATATATAAGTTTGGAATTTCGATTAAGGGAAAATCGAACTAGAAAAAACATTAACAGTCCATAGTGATGAGATTTTTTGTTTAATGTTTAGTAAGAAACATAATTCTTTTATCTCGGCTGGCGCAGATAAATCTCTTATAATTTGGAAATAAAACGACAATAAAGAATGGATTAGATCTGAACCCTATATATAGCACACCGAATGGGTGATGTGCCTTCTTTTTAATTAGAGCGAGGATTTAGTATTTTCTGGAAGCAAGGATACATCAATTATTGTTTGGTCTGTAAATTTGGAAAAAAATGAATTAGCTTATAAATATTCTTTAAAAACACATAAAGCAACTGTTATTTCATTAAGTTTAAGTGAATCTGAAAATTTATTGGTTTCATGTGGAGTTGATACAAATTCAATAATAATTTGGGAAAGTAATTATAAATCGAAATTTGTCTTTGAGTTTAAATATTATGTTAAATAGTCAATCTCAGCAGAAGGATTAAATCTTATGTTTATTAACGATACCTAATTTATATGGATTACAGGGGGAAAATAATTTGATTAGCTCTGGGTATTTGAGATGGATGAAGGAATTTTTAAAGAAAAATCTAACAAGAAGATAAATTTAAAGAAAAACGATAAAGTAAATGATGAATGCCATTTCCCTATAGTCTATAATAAGGAAAGAAATATATTGTTAATAAAACATAAGACATATATTTATATAATTAGGCCAATGAATACAGGAGATTTTTCAATCATAAAGGAATTTAATTGTGATGCTGGTGGAATTTATGGGACGATGACAAATACTGGATCATATTTAGTTTATTGGAAGTCAGAGGAGAAATCATACGTTTCACATGAATTATTAAAAATATGAAAATATTACTATCCATTATTGATATTTTATTGTGGTTTCATATCAATTTTCCTTTTGCTTTCTCAAATGTTAATGAATGGATTGTTAAGACTGTCAAATTAAAAATACAACTTATATTAAAACGATTAAAAAGAGATTTATGAAGATTACAAATAATTTTCTCAAAATAACAAAGATAGTGATTGAAAGGGGAATAAATGAAGCTTTATTGATATTGTTATTGTTCAAGGCATTTTAATTATAAAAGGTGTTTGCTATTTATGAAATGTCAGAAAATAAAACCATTGTCGGGAAAATAATTCTGTCCGCTGATTTGTTTTTTTTTCTTGATTTTTGAAAACATTATTTATTTTGTTAATTATCATGACTTAAATGCATTCTACAAGTTTTTTCCCAGCATGTTTAATTTTCTGATAATCAAATTTGAGAATAAATATTTATTAAATAGAGTTACATTATATAAATAGTACTTTGATTTTGCGATAGTCCATTTTCAAGCCTTTGTTTCGCTATCTCATTGTACTTTTAAATACAAAAAATAACTCCAAATTATAGTGTTTATTTTATGAAGAATTTTCCAATTATTAAATCAAATTATAGTTTGAAATCAGAAAAGGATTAAAATGGGTATATTTTGTAGATTCCTTATTAAGGAATTAATAATATAAGAAGATTTAATTCAATGAAATCTGAAGCATAATCTAATACTTTTCCATAGAATCATCACGCATTAAGCATCCCTTCTTCCAAAGTTACTCTCATCTTATCCAAACAACATGATAGCAATCTTTTGGAATTTAACTTGTCTTCTTTTTCCTCCCTCCTAATCTTTGTCCTAAAAATTAAAATACATTCAAAAGAAAGTGAGAACTTTTAGGTTCTCAAGAAGGTGGTGTTGACGTATAAAACCCTTCTTATGAATTTGCTCTTATTTTTCAAAGAGTATCAAAATGCTTCATAAATAAATCATTATTAATAATTAACATTTTCTATTGCAAGGTTTATATAATTATATTATCAATTTAAATATAAAACTAATAGTCAAAATATCTAAAGCGAAGTTTTAATTTTAACCTTGCTATTATTAAATAAAAATAAATTTTACCTCAAGATATCATGTTCGAACAGCAGAATGAATTTTTCTCAATTTGAATAACAATTTGATATTCTTTATTATGGTGATAACTTTTAAAGCTTCAATTATTTTCATTTGCAATTCCTAATTGCAAAAATGTATAAAATAGCATTAAATGAGATCAAAAGTGTAAGACTTAACAATATCTTTGTATTGGAGGTTATGATTTGATATTAAAAATTCTTCTCTTAAAATTTCAATAACAAAATTACATTGTTATCTCCATTAATTAAATATTTTAGAAATACATATAAATTTCAATTTTGAGCTATATTATTCACTTCATTTATTTTTAAATACCATATTCAGAACTACTCCTAACTCCTATTATTTAACTGGTTTTTATAGAAATGTGTTAATTCCAAGATTCTTGCCTTGTTTTATATTTTCTTATGTGTCATAGGCTGAGCATATAACTATAAACGTCTAGTTTGATGTTATTTCAAGAATCTAGAAATAAATAAAAAATTTTACATTTTTACTAGTTTAAAAACCATCTATTCCTGGCATTTCGATATCCATAAAGATTAATTTATAAATTTAGCAATGCTATTACATTTTCTATTGAACCATTTCGATTGCTTAAAATCCATCAAATGCCTAATCAGATTCAACTTTATATTCCTTAAGAATCATTTGTAGAGCTATTTGATTAAATGGGATATCATCAACTATTAATATATGTATGCATTTTTGACAAGTTGAATCTAAGAGAGGAGAAAAATAAGTTGCTTTATGATTGTTGAGATTATTGGTTTCGAATTGATTATCTTTATTGAAAAAATAGCAAGGACTGATTGGTAGAAAGATTTCAGGTTGCTTATCACAGTCATTGAGTCTTGAAGTGTTGTTATAAGTGTCTGAATTCCTATCCTAAAATTCCCTTGAATTTTCACAACTCACTTTTATAATTTAATCCTATTCGAATTACATTTAATTATGGCATCCTAGAAAACTCAACTTTTCAGTTTGTTAATTAGGAAAATATGAAGATAATGGATTTTTTTATTAATGATTTTCTACTTGGAACTGAACAACTGTTCCTTTATTTTTCTTCGAGGTAATTATTAGTTAATTATCTTTAGATTCAACCAGTCCCTCAATTAATTTTGCAGCAATATTTAAACCCAAACCTGGTGATTTAATTCCTGAATTTGATTTTAAAACAGCTCCAAGTTCTATTGTATCATGCAAACTATTCTAAATTTAATATAGTTTATGTTCATCAATTCCAATTCCATTATCCTTCACTATAAAGTTTATGTATAAAATGTTCACCTCTATGATACTTAAACAGATATTGCCTCCTTCTTAAGTAAATTTGATTGAATTATTTAACAAATTTACTAATAATTGTGTTATTCTTTATTTATCATTCGAAATTAGTTTGCCTATCAATTATTCTGACACTTCAATTTTGAATTCAATTCGTTTTTTTGCCATTTAAAGTCTATATAAATAATCAATTTCATCAATAATTTGATTTATTGTGAAGTTAGAAATATTATAACTAAAGGAGTATGATTGTATTGCAGCATAATCCAAAATGTCATTAATTTAATGAATTAATAAAGTGATGGAGCATTAAGCAATATCAAGATAATCTTAAAAGAATTTATTTTACGACTACTACTGTTTCATAAGATTCAACATTTGCTAACAGCTATTCAAAGGAGTTCTTAGTTCATGGGAAAAAGATTTAATTAAGCTATGATGAATGATTTACTCATCCCTTAATTATTGACACTTATATTTACTTGTGATATTTTTAATGATGATGAGCAAAACTGGATTTTCAGATTCATTTAACTATGAAAAGTGACTTTTACTGGAAGATTTAATTTATGAAGGAGCAGAGAAGTACTCTTATTGTTAATTTGTCATTGATGTTGGAATAATTATTAGTTTCAATTTTTTTTAAAAATTGTGTATCATTAGTTCTGATTTTATGTACCATTCATAAATGAAAATTTATTAGTGAAATGACTAATACAAATCTTTACTTATGTGAATATCATTTTATTCTAAAAGTTCAAAATATTTAATAGGCGAAAGAATGATATCCAAGACATCAGTATGAAAGTTGTGAAGTTACAATTTCTTAACTATTTACTACAGAGCATGATAATGTAGTTATTTTTTTAAGAGTCTATTAGTTACTTCTGTTCCGTATTCTGGCATTTTTGCGCTATTCACACATAATTTTATTTTTTCTAACACTTACTCACTTCCATGACACTCTAGTATCTTTTCGCATTTTCTGTTTATATAATTAATCTATTAAGATTAATTTAAAATTAATAAACCATAAGGAAATAAATTAATCAGATTTTAATATAATTAAAACATTGAGTTGTGTGAACTTCCGAAACTTCTGCTTATTTTCTAGGATCTTGAAAAGCTTGTTAAATTTGAATATTATTTTAATTTATGTTCGTCAGGGAGGTCTTTCAGTAATATAGTAAAGCATTTTTTTGGAGATTTAAGGATAGTGATTTTGCTTTATGATTTTATTTATGATTGCATTAAATCATTTTAAACAATGGAAGGTGAGTTTTTATCAATTTATTTTTTGATTTCTTCTTCTTAATTCTTACTCCTTTTAATTTGTAAATAGCCGGTAATCATCTAATGGGTAAACAAAATAAACAAAATAATCAAGCTTTCCAATAGCTAAAGGTTTAAAGAACTTATAGATGTCCATAATGTTCGTATTATAAGATATATAGGAAGTCCTATCTTACAAATTTAACTATATTTTTGAACTGCAATCTATATATAATTCGTGTAAGCAATCATCATTAAAATACAATTTGCAAATATGTTCAATATCTAATTATATTGCAAAAGTAAGAATGATTCAATGTATACAATAAAATATAAAAGAGATACTAAATGTAAAAATAACCTAAGTCCCAAATTTCTTTGGATCAATAAGTGCTAAAATATCCTAGCAAATACACAAAGTGATTATAACACGTAAAGCTAATAATTTTTTGGATATTATAAATGGATCGCTAAATATATCCACCACGAAGTTTAGATAATATTTGCGATCAAAATTAAATTCATTGCAAGCTTCTCTAAAAAATTCTGGTGTTACAACTTCATGAAGATGTTATTATTATATGCTAAAAAATAAATATTACATTGAAAGAGATATTTTTTATGACTAAAAATTGAGAATTTATAATGGTTTATATAGATCGCTGCTTTAATTGTCTTGTTCAAGAATAGTACAATAGATTTCTATATCTATGTAAATTTGAATTATTTGATCAACTTCACATATTTCTAAGTAGATGAACAAGTAATCGATTATTGATAGCGTCATCATAGAATTTATAATGTATTACAGTATCCCTTCTTTATATAATCTTAAAACAAAAAAACAGAATAACTTAAGAATGTAGCCATCCGTAACTATTAATTTATATTTATTCAATAACAATATTTATCAAATATTTTATTTATAATTTAAAAATAAATAAAACATCTCAATTATATATGTAATATAAACAATAAAAATGGCTTATTTCCTAAATTAGGCAGTAATCAATAAAAATTTTAATTTGTTAAATATGCAGGCAGAGTAATTCTGAAAAAAATGGAAAATTTTCATTCAAGAAGGGTTGAACTCCTTTCCTTTTGTAAAAACAAATAAATGATCAACCTTATATTTTAATGGATATATTGTTATCCTTAACCTATTTTTAATTTTTAATTTATGCTTTAAAAAAGAATTTGCTAATTACTCATTTACATATTTCCTTAAACTCTTCTTACTAATGTTCAATTCTAATCCCGCATCTCCTAAAACAAGAGACTCTAGAAATTTTTATTAGATTCTTAATTGACTTTGGCTTGTATTTTAAATACAAAATAATAGTTAACATTGAGCAACCCTATTAGTTAATCTGATTCAGTAGCTTCATAATGAATTATTAATTTGTAATCAATGAAGCAAAATATTAAGGAATTTACAATGGATTAAAATTTTACAAGGTTGAACCTGAGGCCACAGAATTTCAATCAAATATAAATTCTCAATTATACTATTAATTAAATTAATTAATAAATTGACATGTAATTAATGTCTCATAAATTTTCAAGATTTAGATTATTTCAGAATATGAGAAATATTTTATTAATTATATGATTCTTCAATGTTACTGATTTAATTTTGATAATCAAAATCACTTACCTAAAAGATTTAATTATCAAATTCACTTACCTAAAAGATTTAATTAGAATATTCAATAATAAGAATGAAAATATGAATGAATGCATGTATTACTACTTTTTCATATCTTTGGATAATAAAAATTATTTATTATTTCAAATGATAAAATCCATTTCCAGAACATTAATTGATTTTATATTGGAAGAATCAAAGTATGTATATATTGGATCATCTTCTTTCACTTTTTAATGTTATTCAAGAATTAGTAATTATTTTCCATTTTCAGGATTGATTTCAATTATCATTTATTAAAGATTTTAATTTGACACAAAATAAATATGTATAATCACAGAATTTATTTCTTGCCCATCTTTACATTGATACTTAACCTTAAGTTTATAAACAATGCTCTGGCTTGCCCATTTAATACATATCAAGAAGCTATAATGAGTAGTAGTAGCTAAACATGGATGAAATCCTTAGGTAACGACGATACATCAAATGAAGATGTATTTATATTTGGATTTTGGACCTTCAATATTCCTTTGCTTTTACAAACTAATAATGTAAATGTTGGTGAAGAATTTAAAATTAATGAACCTTAGACTGGAGAATTCCTCTTTCTACTAAAAAATACTGAAGCAAATGACAATTTAATTGTTTGCTATAAGTTTTTTGATTATGTTTAATAAAAAGTGTAACATATATTTCTGTTAAGAAATGGCGTAGAAAATTTTAAATTCATTTTTGATTTCAATTCATTACAGTATGAAGGAATATGGGTGTTTCACTTAGTGGCTTTTGAGAATTAATAAAAAAAAGTGATGGTGAAAGTAAATTAATAGGATGCATAATCAGCTGATTTTAGTTTTTAAAACCAATTAAATTTAGAAATTATAATTGGCGGAAGAGGATATGTAATTAATTGTAAATATATAGATCAACGATTTAAATCTTAACTATTTTAAAGGAATATAAAGTAAATTAATAATCAAATCTTCATTTCACTATTCAAATGATGTTGTTTAAGAATTAATGAATGAATGTTAAATTCCTTAAAAAACAGGACTTGAATAGACCATTAAAATTGTATAAGGATTAAAGTTATTTGAAGGAAACCAAGTTATATAGATGCTAATTGATCAATATGGAAATAAATATTGCCTATAAGGGTGGGTTAAATATACATTGTCAAATGCAAGTGCTGTAAAATACACATTATTGAAGTTAAAGGGGATTTCTAACTTTGAATAAGAGAAAACTATAGGAGATGAATTATTCAAAGTGGATGTATTTATCTCATAAAATACCCCAGGATAAACCTATATGATGGTGAATGCTGATGCATATGGTATGCCAGTTTAATAATCATTTTAATCTCAATATGATTTAATTTTTTAAGGATCATAAAATCCTGACTATAGTGTATTGTAGACAAAAAAAAAGTACTAAGATCTCAATACATAGCTTTATTTTAAAGGATTATAAGAATGGCATTTCATTTAGTATGAGTATGGAAGGAGCAACTTTGATGAAAGAATGTTATTAATAATTAAATTTTCAAATGAATTAGGACTTTTAAAGGATAATTTAGGAAATGAAATTTTTAGTGGTTCATTTACTAATTCTAAATTTAATCTATTTTTTGGTGGAGATAACTTAAATAATGTTTTGAATAATAACTTTCTGAATGCTCAAATTTATGATTTTAAGATGTCTTACAATTATAATGAAGATAAGCTGTTTAATGTAGATTGCCATTAAGCATGTTTGACTTGCTTTGGACCGTTAGAATAAAATTGCTTAACTTGTGATCCTAATTCAAATAGGTATTATTAGGATGAAGTAAAAATGTGCGTATGTTTTTCTGGTTATGTGGATGAGGGTAATGTTAAATGCGAGAATTAATTTTACTTTTCAATAGTTCAAGAAGAGGTTGCAATAGATTTAGAAGACTAATGTCCTTTTGGATATTTTATGTTACCTGATGAAATAGGAAATCATTATGATTGCTTAGAATGGTATGATTATTATTTAATGTAGTCCATCTTTGAAGAGAACTACATCAATTTAATGCGTTGATTGTTTGTTTTATCCAAAAATATGGTATCTAAATCCAGTGTGTAAATAAGATTATCAATAAATGTTTTAAAAATATGATGATGAAACCTTAATCCTTATATAGAGGGTATCTGCTTAAAAAGATGTTTATCTAATTGGTAATGATAAACAGATACATTTATATACAGAATACGAGGATTATTGTTCGTATTCTATAAGCATAAACAGTTACTGTCATAAAACAGCTCATTACCATCTTGGGTCTTAAGCTACTTTAAAATGCAAATATAATTATTTATTTGATATGGATAATTTATTGTGTTTGAAAAGTGATTATATTTGTAAGACATATGATATTTTTGGATATTGTATTGATTGTCCATCTGGCATGTACTTAATTTTTTACTATTGTTCTTCATGTCCTAAATCTTGCACTTCATGTTAAAGAGATCAACTAAATCGATTGATGTGTTAAACTTGTATAGAATAATATACTATAAAAAATGGTGCGTGTATTAAATGTGGCAGTGATTGTTAAATTTGTCAAGATACTTATGATCATAATTTGGGATAAAGTTATTTGAAATGTTTGAAATGCATTGATGATTTTAAATACTTATTTTCTCTTGATGGTATTAATTGCATATTAAATGATATTCTTCATTGTGAGCATGCATTTTAAACATTAGATGATGATTATACTATAAACTCTCTTGATACCAATTTCACACCATAGTTTGATTAAAGTAAATTTAAATTATTATGTGCTAAATGTGAACCAAATTATTTATTTGTTTTTCAAAGCTAAAAATGCGCTAATTATGAGAATACTGAAAATTGTGATACAGGGATTGGATAGTTTCGCAGTGATCAGACCTTAGAATTGGTATCATGTATAAAGTCTGATAAATATGAAAACTAAGTTGTTGAATTTATTGAAAATTGCAGCAACAAGGTAAATTATTGTTAAGTTTGTCTTGAAACTAACATCCAAAATTATTTTCTTTGTTTAGAATGTCAAACTGGGTATTATGCAGAATAAGTGTCTGGTTAGTGTATTTAATGTCCATTTGATCTTAATTGTATTTAATGTTATTAGCAAAATTCTATTTTACAAGATCATTGGAAAAAAGATGTTAGAGCATTTTATAGAAAGTACATTGAGCTAACAACTGCTCATTACTTTACTCTAAATGCTCAGAGTTAAAATGTAAATGATTATGAATTGGTTTGTTAAGTGTGTTAAAATGGATATAGATTACATAAAAATAAATGCATTAAAAACTTTTCAGATTCCTGTGTCGAATCCTTATTAAAAGATGATTAATACTATTGTGTAAAATGCTAAAAAAATTCAAAAGGAAGAAAATAATCTATTATCAATAACGAATGTATTGAATGCCCAGAAAATTGCCAGTTATGTAGGCAAAGGACAGACTAAGAGATTAAATCAATAAATCCATTATTCAACAATTAGAAATATTAAAAGTATACTAATCAATGCATTAAGAGTTATGATGACTAAAATTATTTTTATGATTAAGATTTAGGATTATATATAGAATGTTAATAAAGTCCAAATGGAAATGGATGTTACAAATAATTAATTATTGAATTAAATTTATATTAGGATTAATTTCTTTTTTTTGATGATTTGAATAAGTTATAAGATGAGGAGAGTAGAATTGAATTCAAAAAAAGAAACACTTATCTCTAAAATATTAACTCATTTGATAAGTTATTTAGTGAGGTATTTATGTAAATGTTATTTAGTTTGAAAATGATGAATTCTACACTTTGGCCAATATGAAATAAATTAAATCTATAGTAATAAAAGTAGTTAGTGTGATAAATAGCGATGTTAGTATTACTGGTATTCTTAGTCAAAAATTTTGTAATAACATTTTCTCAGTCATGTAAATTATTATTTATTAAAGAAAGAAATGTTGAGCTGATTTTTGAAATGCCTATTGGAACGGTAATTACTATTAAAGAATTAATGTAGTTCAGTAATTTCAACAAGATTACACTAATTAATATTACTATAGATATTTGTGTTTCTTGTAATTCTTAGATAAACCTTATTTTTGAAAGTGTATTCCCATAAATTATAACTTTCAATTAAATTACAATCTAACAAATATACGAGCCATGGTATTTTGATTACTTAAAAGTATAAATAAAAAATCTACAAAACCTATTTGCAAATGGACTTAAACTGATTTCATTTGGTTAAACAAGTGTTGATTAATTTCTTACGATATCTGGATCAAATACTATTAAATCTATTATTTTCAAAGATTTATAAATAAAAAACTGTTAATTTTCGAATTCGATCATATTTCGTATAGAATTGTAAGAAAACGATTTGATTGAGTTTGATAAAGTTACTGTACTAAATTCATAATTCAATAATATAACATTTATTTAAATAGATACTTTGACTCCAGCAGGCTACTTATAATTAAAAAACATTGAAATCAAAAGTGAAATATCCTATAGCAAAAGTTTTTTTTCATTACAATCCTTTAAAGAAATAGAAATAACAAATTTTAGTTTAATGTAAACAGTCATAAATAGTTCAACAATTCTAATTCTGAACAATCATGCTTTATTAAATAATATACTTTTTCTAAGCAATACTTTTATATATAGTTGCTTTGGAATTATTAATATGAACTCATTGTAGTATATGGATTATGACTACTAATTTAATAATATCTAATTTGAAAACAATAATTATAATAGTGTCATTAAATTCATTGAGTTCAACAAATATTAGAGTTCAAGTTAACGGGTTAAAATTGAAGAAATTAAGCTTACCAACAATTATTTAACAGATGGAACGCTAGAATATAATTAATAACAGGATGATTCTTCTTTAGTTTTAATTCAGTTTGATGAGATTTCGATAATGAACTTTTTCATCGATAGAGGCTTTGGATTAGTTGAACTTTCATTACAAGAATCTAAGGTTATAACTATTATAAATGGAAAAATTATTTAAGAAAAATTTTAGTTCTTGGGATTGCATAAGAACTTAAATTGCCAATTACAATAAGTGAAAGGGCAATTATATCCTTCCTCAATAAATATTAGATCTTTTTAGAATGCTTCATTTTAGAATGTCTCAATAATCTAGGCTTCAGCATACAATTTTCCAATTATCAAGATTCAATCAGCCTTATTGAGTCAAAGAAGAATCTTGGAATATCTTGTTATAGAGAATATCTTGTTTTAATAAAATTTACTACTATTAACTAAAGCCTAACTTTCACCTTCTTTGATTTAAATTGATTCTCTTTAAGAAAGTCTAATCGAATTCAATAACTTAACATTTCGACTTAATGTTCTTCACGAATATATTTAAGACGATTTAATAAAATAAACTGGACTTTTATTAATTAATTGTCCAAATTGTTAAATTAGATTATAGAATTCGATATTCAATAATAATATTCTCATGAATAGTAGTGGTACTATCTTATCAATAATAACTAAATCTTTAGAATTAACCAATTGTAGTTTCGAAAGTAACAATATATTTAACTATGATGTCATTAAACCGCATTTATTGTGGGGATTTTCTCAACCCCTAACATACAAAACAATCAATAAAGTCTTTTAAGTAAAATCATTGTCTGGAAATGGATAAATTTGGGTTTAATCATTAATTATACTTAATAGTAATTTCTCTAATTCAATTGGATAGTTAGGAGGCTGTTTCTCTATATTTGCTTAAGGATCATCTCGAATGATAATTGAAAATAATTCATTTTACAATTTGTCGACCTAATTTTATTAAGAAATTGAGCAAGGAGGAGTTCTTTATATAGAAGGTTCTTCTGCAACAGATCTTTAAATTTCAGTAAAAAACACAATAGTTGAAAATGTCTATTGCAGATAATATGGAGGATTTCTGTATCTAAAATCTAATAACTCTTAAACTAATCTCACAATAAGTGACATTATTTTAAGAGACATTTATGCATAACAAGGATCCATTGTGTTCATATCCTATTCGAGATTCGTTGAAGATATATAAGCAATTTTCATCTAAAAATTGGAAATCAAAAACACTAAAAATGGCTATTTCCATTTTTTAAATAAATTTACAATAGTTGCTAATGAATTTGAAAAATACTTTGTTATTAATAATAGAACATTATTTTATGTAGAATATGGATCCTCAATTACATTGTAAAATATATCGTCATATTACTTAATTCAAGAATCCTTTCTAAATTTCTAAAATAGTAAAAATATTTATATGGATACAATAAACATATAAAATAGTTATCTCAGTAATTAATTAATCTAAATTAATCCCTTTTTATGTATTAATCTAATCTAAATTAATAGATAACAATGTCACAATAAGGTTACGTAACTTCAAAATTGAGTTTATCACTGTAGGATTTGAATTTATAAATGTGACTTGTACAAATTCAACATCTACTGTATAAGATGCTTTCTATGAATGCCCAATAGTAGCTTAAATAGCCCCTAAATCTCTAGAACAGGATGTTGAAAACAATGAATAGATTGGATAATGTTTATATATATCATTAAGGAAGCGATTAGATGTTTCTAATTCAGGATTGATGGTTTTCAAGTATTCTACTCTTTTGTGTTAATTAGAAATATATGAGCTTTATCTCAGGTAAGTAGACTGTTAAGTTTGTAACACAGGATTGATTTCTCTATAACTTTAAGATTCAAATTTACAGGAGTGGAAAGCTTAGTAATTAAATCAAATAAAAGTACTAAACTCAAATTGCGGATAAAAAGGGTGCATTGTGGTTGAGAAGATATAATTATTGAATAGAAGATACTTGAATGAGATATTGATGTAGATTCAATATGATCTGCAGATTTCTAACTATTTTTGTTTTCATAATATTGGCAAAGATGGAACTTGCCTCTATTTGACCTAGATTAAGACTAAGATTCAATTTTCTAATTTTTAATCAAATAATGCTTCAAATAATGGCGGAGCTCTCTATGTCTTAGGAGATCAACCTCTTTTAATTGAAAACAGTATGATTATAAATAATAGAGCAAATGTTGGAGGGGGTTTGTATCTTCAAGATTAATTATCAATGAATTATGAATAAACTCATACAATACTTTAGAAAAATTCAGCTATATTATACGGTAACAATATTGCTTCCATTCCTGAAAGACTATCAATTCGATTTAAGGATGAACTGGCTATTTTGAATACAGTTAATGATGTAGACAATTAAACAATGAGAATTGATGAAATTACGGTTTAACCATTTTAACTTATCAATGGTGAGTAATCGAAATATGTTTAATTGCCAACAGGGCAATCGATATCTAAATATCAATTTTTTGATTGGAAGAATTAAGTATTCATAAATGGTAAGATGATATTTAGAATATAAACATTAAATAGAGATCTGACAATCAATCTTAATCCAACTATTGAAAAATCAATATGTACGATTAAGAGCAGAGAATATAATATTTCTAAAGAAGATGAGGATTAACTATTCACTAATAATTACACAAATATTAACTCAATTAAATTTAATTCAGATACTTTAGACTATAATTTAGATGAATTAATTGTGTATTTTAATAATGAAGTACCAGATGAAATTGTACTTCAACTAGAATTTATGTGTGAGGCAATTAAAGTGCCTATTTTTGATTTAGAATATCCTTATTTTGTTGAAAGTTATCATGATAACTATAAACTTAGAATTAATGTTAAGACTTTCCAATGTCAATTTGGGGAAATCAAAAACATAACAAACTTCTCTTGTGAGCAATGTGATTCAACTCAAGGACTCTATTCATTAGCAGTGAATGCATTAAAGTGTGATGTAAAAGATGATAGATCTTCTATTGCTGTTTAAAATAACTAAATACAATTAAGGAATGGATATTGGAGACCACATTTTGATACCAAATTAATCAGTTATTGCATTAATTTACCAATTAATTGCAATGGTGGATGGAATGAAGGTGATACTTCTTGTTATACTGGACATCTAGGAGCACTTTGTGAATAATGTGATCTATACAACATCAGAGGAGATGGTTCATTTTCAATGAATGAACTATACATCTGTGGAACTTGTTTGGATTAAGGCAGAAATGTAATAATGATTGTAGGTGTCATTATCTTGACTATGATCTTTATTTTTATCTCAGTTTCTGGTAACATAAAAATTGTTGAGTAGCACACTCGCTGTTAACCATTCAAAAACATGAGAATCTCAAACTTTTTAAATAAAGCATAGTCAGGTATATTGATTAAGATGTTAACAACTTACCTCTAAATCATCGTTACCATTACTACATTTTAACTTAATTTTCCTAAAGAATTGAATCGTACCATATCTGCAGTAGGAAATCCTTTATAAACAGTTACTTATTCCCTTGATTGCTTTTTAGTCAATATAATTCATGTGGATATTCAATATAGTAGGATGATATGGCAAATCATCATGCCTTTTCTGTATATTAATTTCTTTCTGGGCTTCTATTTGATGGCAGCTCATTTTAAATTAGCATCCTACAACTCCAGTGTTCCCACTACATCCTTGATTTATGGGTACCTTTATTTCTCTCCCAATTTAACTGATGGCTTAGTTCAATTAGCATCTTATAGGTAAATTTCAGGATTTAAATGGATTCAGGCCAATGTATCAGAACGGTATGATACTATTATTCATTTAAAATGGATGATTTATCTCTGTCTACCTTTTTTACTAATTTTGGTTATCTTAATTCCAGTCTATTTATTTTATGGACTTTATAAATGCAGAAGGGTTTAAGATCAAAGATCTACTCGACTTCATTGGGGTTATTTATATCATGAATACAAAGAAGAAACCTACTATTGGGAATTAATAAAGATCGTTTAAAAAGAATTAATCATCTTATCTCTTATTTATTATTAGGACAGCATAGCGGTTAAAGGTATCTTAGTACTTTTTATCACTTACCTCTATTAAGAACTCAATAGCAATTACAGGCCCTACAAATTAAGTAGTCTCAACAAATTAGATTATTATTCTGCTAACATATGTATGATTACTATCAGCTTAGCCATTGGGGCATATATATCCTAATCTTCAGATATATCTGGACTTTAAATATTATTTTTTATCTTGATGGCCCTCTTTAATTTTCTTTTCCTTTATAAGATAATTACTAAAATTATAGCAGAGTATTCAAAGGCTTATCAATTTGCTTTGGATAAATTAAAAGAAATACTTAAATCAAAATTACCAAATTTGTAGCACTCAAGATATTTCAAGAACCTATTAAAAAACAAAGCCTAAGAAAAGGAAAGAGTTTAAAAAGCATTCAAAAAATTAAGAGTATTTGGAATCTCTTTGGCAAAACGAATAATTGAATAAAAAAATTAATCATTTGAAAATTACAAAAGATTTAGAATAAGCGAAATTATTGATTCTGAAGGGTATTAGAGAAAAGAGACCAAGCTAGATCTTCAAGAATCTGATAAAGTGACTATGCAAAGATTTCTTTAGAGTAGCCATTACTGAATTTATATGATAATGGTTTAATTAGCATTGGATAAAATAAGAATATTTAAATACTAACTACATTAAATTATTATTCCGAAAGTTAGTAATTATTTTTATAATAAAATAATTTGCTTATTTATTAACAATATTATTATAATATCCCACTCCAATAATTTCAACTTGAATAACTTTGATAATTCATAAAGATAATTATTTTGTTATGATAACATTAATATATCTACCTATCATTTGATACTATACAGAAAGTATCAACATTTCTGTCTTTTATCAATATTTCCTCCTTCATCAAATTAATATATTGTTAAGTATTCATTTTAATACTTATTCTACTAGATTATATATGATTTTCTTGAGGCAAAAAAATAATTTTTATTAATTTGGGATAAGTTCGTATTCCAAAATTTCAATAGGAATTTTATCATCAATTTTTCGCATCATTAACTTTAACATTCATTTTAATTCAATTTGGGATTTAGTCTATTAATAGAAATTTTCCTACTTTTATTGTAAATTGTTTAATCGAGATCTAAAAGGATCTTATACTCTGTTTCTTATATATATATCCTCATTATAAATTATTTGAGCCACCTATGCATTTAAATTTAGAAAATATAAAATAATTTTCTGGAATGGGGTATATTTGGAATTAAAAAATATATTATAAATATAATTACAGAATAAATATCAGACAATAGAAATTTAAATAATTCTACTTATAAATCATATTCAGATTCTCAGATTTCAGATAGACATCTATGCAAACTTGAATTATTTATTTGAGATTTCAAATTATAGTTATTAATAATTATAAAATAATAAATGCTTGGTTCTTAAAATTTAGATACAAAACCAATTGGTGATAAGTATATTTTATACAGGAAAAAAATGATAGGAGCAGTAATAAATAATTTGAAAATAGGGCGCTTTTGCTTAAGTTTTTGAAGGTTTTGTAAAAGGAAAGGCATAAGAGAAAGTGGCCATAAAGGTTCTCCAAAGTTTGCCTGCGAATTCTCCAGGTTAAACAATAGAGAAAATGAAGACATTATATAAGAGAGAACGTGAGATTCACTGCAATATCGACAGCGAGCATGTTGTGAAGTATCAAATATAAATAGTAATTAGAATGATAGATGTAGTTGTATGTGATCAATCGACAAACCTAATATTAGAGCTTTGTGAAGAGGGAAACCTAAATAAGTTATTGAATCGATAACAAAAGAGACAATTGAGCCAAGAACGTGCCTATCAGATCTTTTGTCAAATAGTGGAGGGCTATAAATCGTTATACAATTTGAAGACTCTTCATCGAGATTTGAAGCCAGAAAATATACTATTCTCTAAGGGTGTAGCTAAGATAGCAGATTTTGGATTTGCGAAGATAATAGAGGAAATGGATTTAGCCGTAGATTAAACTGTTGTTGGCACACTCTTGTATCAAGCACCAGAGATGATGGTTAGTTCAAAATATTCATCTAAAGTCGATATTTGGTCTTTGGGAGTCATCTTTTATGAAATGCTATATGGAGTTGTTCCTTATATTGATAATCATCCAAATAGATTACATAAGAAGATAACAACAGAACCACTTAAATTCCCTCAAGAAGTTTAAATAAACGAATCTTACAAAAACTTATTAACAAAAATGCTAAAGGTAGACCCAGAAGCGAGAATTAGATGGGATGATTTATTCTTATTTTTGTCAAAGGACACTGCTTTTTAGGTTGCGGGCAATGAAAATTTGAGTATGGCATCAACTCACATGAGTGAAAGTGAGAGATTTAAATCCGATTATATAAAGGTTGAATAATAGATAAATAAGATTGATGAAATGAAGGACTACTTTGATTATGTCCAGAGAATATTCTCATTTTCTAATAATAATACTACTCGACTATTCTTTACATTACAAGAGAAACTTTAAATACATCAGTCTATGTAAATTTTGTTTAGTTTAACATCAACTAAGTATTTATTAAATGAGTATAATTTTTATTTGTAAATCTTACAAGGCAATGTATTGATATTCATTAAACTTTTTAGCTTTCTCCAGGTGAAATAAATTTCAAGGAGAATGACATCAAAATATTTTAAACGGATTAAGCCAAATATTACAAAGTATTAAACTATTTTAAAACCAATCAAGAATAAATGAACTCTTTTTACAATGAAAAATTATTACCTTAATTTATGAAATTAAAAGCTGCTGATTAGAATAATTCACTTGTAAGATAATTTCATATAACCATATTTAGGTACAAATTGTAGCTGAATTAGTTCAAAATAATTAGAGAAATAAAAGATCACAGGAAATCTTTAACAAAATGTACATATAATTTATAGATGAAATCACCAAGTCAATCAAAAAAAGACAAATCACTGATGAAGCTACTTTAAGACAGATTTACACATTGTAAATTAACATGTACTTCTCACTTCATCCTTAGAAGTTTATCTAAAACGAATTTGAACCAAAAAATTTAGAAAGCGAAATAATTCAATCATCAACTCAAAAATTGGAAAATAGGGTTTATGAACTAAACGTCATGTATTCTGCTCTAATAAAATGATTAATAATATCAATATTTTGTAACCATATTGGATTTGGATATAAATATATTTATTAAATTGATAATGTTGTTACCCGATAGAGATCTCTATTATCACGATTATACCGTTAAATTTTATCCTAGGGTTAATAATACTCTATTCTATCGCGACATGATGAAGAATGTATCTACTATTTAACTCTATTAAAGGGATAATTGCTTAACTATTATGTATTCAAGAATGAATTCTTCAAATATCATGTTGAATTATAAAAATATCGAGATTATGGTTTGATAGGTTCAGTGGGTGTCTCTTTAGTTGCAATATACTTTTATAAGCATCTCCCTTTGATTTCAAGAATTTAAGGCAAATGGACATCATTTTTTATGAAATTAATGATTTTTGGCTTGCCATACGCGACAGTGTATATTGTGACAGATGAATTAAAGGAGAAATACATGTGGGATCAATACACCAAGAATTTCAAGAATTACATATATTACAAGTAAACAGGAGACATCAGATGCCTTAAAGCTTAAATTGAATCTACAGTTTGACTTCATTATATATATTAAGGAATTCATAATCATAAAATCAATTATTAAATATCAATGGTTATCCTGATAAATTTTAATAGAACAACAAATAAGGTGACTCTTCCACTCTATTAAAATATAAATGTTAATACATTAATTCTTCATCCAATTGTTTGCTACTAAGTTAAAAGACCGAAATCATAGTATCATCAAAGGCAATCCAGGTGTCAGACTTATTCAATTATCTGGCATAACAAATGTAATGACCAGAGGAACTGTTTTTACCCTTAAAAGAATTAAGAGTTAAATAATACCAAATGAACTATGAATGCATAAAGATTATAAACGCTATCTTAGCTATTAAGATGATTGCTTGGGAAGGCTTCTCGGAAATCAATTTAAAATTGGAATGGAACTTTAGTTAAGATTTTGGTCATAGTTTGGCTATTCTGATCATATGTAAACCTTTGAAATATAAGGATAGCAGATACCTATGGAGTGTCATAAACAAGACTGATGGCAATTGTAGTAATTGTTGAGATTTATAGATTTTATTTGTCTTTTATCTACATCTTTCACATGTAAATTCTATTTATTCTTCTTCGTAGGCTTTCTTGATCATACTTATAATGTCTATGTTATTTTATTTATTGAAATGCAAATCAATGCCTAAGAATTTTTCCTTGTATCCATAATTTGGTTGAGGTTTGACACAATTATAACATTTGATGATTTATCTTTGATATCCAAAGAACAAGTTTCCAATAGTAGTTTTAAAGGCTTCGTTTGGAGTTACTTCAAATAAGTCTTCCAAGAAATGATGAACAAATTCCCCAACATCCTATTAGTCGTTGGTGTTACAATAGGGTTGTCTCAAGGATCGTTTCAATTCGTAAGGGGAACAATAGCCATAATTTTGATATGTTAATTATGTGAATAGTTTTTTGAGACAATTCCAAAGTGAGGTTTGAGGCGTTAGTTAGAGAATTGAATTCGGAATTTACATTTACAAAACAAACTTTCTAAAACTCTCAGTCATGTATAAACTTTAAAGGATACTATTCATAAAGCAAGTGTTAGTAAGATTCTCCAATCCTACAAAGTCTTTGGAATCTCTCTATTACAGGGAACTCTTGGGAGTAATCTGACTTTTGACAGTTGGGAATTCCCAAGGGTAACATTTGTTAATTTAAGTATATTTATATTTTTCTTAAGATTTCTCTTCGAAATACTTGTAAATCTTATGAAAATCTTCAATTTGATTTAATTATTTGTAGTTGTAGTTTATCATTTACAGGAATTGAAATCTAGGAGTAATGTAGTCTGTCGTGTTGAATTTCAAAGATGCATTCAATGTTAATCTAGACACCATGAGCTTAATTGATCGCTTAAAGGGTTCTTGATCGATTGATGACATTCCTATAATGTAGAAGAGTAAAAGATCGATGATTTCATAAGTCAGCTACAGCATTTACAAATTTTCCAATATCTTAGTGAGGATGAATTCCTAATATACTTCTCTTAGTATGTGTAAATATTACTCATCATTCTGATCTTTTAGTATATCGTAAAACATTTGACTCACAGTTTTGATGATGAAAATTGCTTCTTGGCTAATAGAATGGGATGTCAACCCTTGAAATATTTTGATTGTATCTTGAGAGTTCTTAAAGTAATTGTCCAACATGTAATTTTTGTTGCTAATCAACAAATCACTCAAATAATCTTGTTTTATCTATAATTATATATTGATATTAGTACTTTGCTTAGTAAGATATTCAATCCCAAGGTGTTTCCTTCATAGGCATGTTACACTATTCCACTAATGAGACACATCCAATCATGCACTTGATTTTGATCGGCTTCTCCTTTTCCATCGCATTGTGACAACAAAACACTTGCCAGACTGTCCAATAATTCGATATCTTAACGATTTTGTTGTTGTAAACATTTGAATGGGATTAGCATCAATTAAAACAACTCAGGATTAAAACTTAAGTCTTTCGGACACAACTTTATGATCAATCCAATCATCTATCTCTAAATACTTAGATCCTGTGTATCGAGATGCAGCTTTTATAGAATGTTTCCTCTCTGTCTGAATTCCATAATGAGCTTTTCACTTTAGAATCCCAATTCCTTCAAAAATCCTCTATATCCTTAAATTCTGTCGTTCAAGTAATTAAGGTAGATGCAAATTTGATCCAATTCCCTTATGCTTTCTCTCACTCTCTTGAATAATTAAAGATCACTGAAAATGTTTCCGAAATTTATTTTTTATGCCTAATTCAATAACACCAAAGAGTCTTCTCCTAAAGTGTGTATGTGTTTATATACTCCTTCAATCTCTTGTTGGTTCAACCCTTTGCAGCTCTACTCAAGCGCTTTTAGTTTCTCCTATACACTTGTAGCAGAAGCAATTATTTTATCCATCTTTTGCTTTTTTCCTATATTTTTGATAATATTTATATATAATTATACATACATATAAATAATATATATCTAATTGTCTAAACATATATATTTTATCAAATAGGAAGTTCCTCATTTTTCTATTCCTTCAGTTTATTCTCATATTGAGTCATGATATCAGAAAATTCCTAAAATCATTTAATAAGATACTTTAAATAGATTCTTAAATGTATCAAATGCAGTGTCCTTCTTCTTCTATTGATTCTTCTCAAAATTTTCATTATTCTTTTTGCATATATTCATTGTTCTCAAATAGATGTAGCCAAAACCTTAAAGAACAATCGAATAGGTTTAGAAGTACAATGATGCAACATAATATCCTATCATTGCAGCAACTAAACAAGTGAGATTGGTCTCATACATCTCTTTAGAAAAGTATTTGAAATCCAAAATGACCTTACAGATTATTGCACAAAACAATGCAATGAATATTTTAGTGATCAACAAGAATGAATCAACGGTATTTCCTATTCTGTATGAATGAACAATTACTTAATTATTCGAAGATTTCTGCTGTGCTCGAATCTTCTTATTTCAGTTCCAAGTAATCATCAATGAATTTTAAGCAAACATTTATAGACACATTATTTTTTCTATTTACTGCTAACTCCACATAAATAACCTCCTCTATTTGTCTGGTTTTATTGTAAATCTCAATGAAGGGTAGACAGCAATATTTTACAAGGAAATTTCTAAACTTCTCGTTTTTTCTCCTGATTGCCCAATCCTTCAGAGCATCACACACAAACTTGACTGGGGAAATCAATAATAGAAGTGAAGCAAATGCTATCTTACCTATGTTGTAAAAGGCTTCTTGCAAAAAGTATCTGGTTAAAACAAGGGAGGATTAATTGTGATTGTATTGAAGATCTTACTCTTGATTATGAACGTGACCCACTTGAATCCATTGCACTAAAGATGATGATATGATGTAGTTATTCAATCCGAAGATTACTTGGACTCCCCAAAAGAAAAAGAGTAATATCAAGAACTGGAAATAATAGAGAACTCCTCCTTAGATCTTTTCAAAGGGTCCAACCTATTGGAAATCAATCACAAAGCATGCTCTTAATGATCTATTGTGAATATATGAATTAATACAGAACCGTGTAGATGGTTAAAAATAGAAAGAAATTAAGTACTATAATCATTGGATATGAGAATTCTTGAAGGTATTCGTGTTCAGCCATAAACTTTTCAACTTATTCAAATAATTCGGACAGATTTTTTATTCTATCATAATTGTTATACAAGAAATAAGCTCCATAAAATGTCAGTATTACAAAAACAAAGGATAAAAGTATTAACTTTATTGGATCTGGCACATTTGTCATTTTCAAAATATACTCTTCATCAACCTAAAAGGAAGATATTGAATTAGTTTCTAATGAGTTTTCGATAGCTTCTCTTGCTTAGGAAATAAAAATAATTCCCAGACTTCCCACAAATACAAATAATCCCAAGGTCAAGGCCCAAACACTATATTAGGTATTGGCCTTTAATTAGACAAGCAGTAATTTTGATGCAAAACCAGCAAGGATAATATAGATGAGGAGCATCCATTTATTATAAAACACGTCACTTGTGTTTGTTAACCTAGATGGAGGAGTTGCTATATCTTTGATTGCCTCATAATAAGCTAAATTTCTAGGCATACAGATATTGCCTTTGTAAAGGAAAGTATCATATATTAAAAACTAATCGTCTGGATTATCAATGGAGAATTTAGCTTTACATTACTGAACAATAGAGTTGGGTACGCATTCCAGTTGTGTGGGCACTAAATGATTTGAATTTTATATGTACTTGTATTCTAGCGATCGGGTTTGGGACATGATTTCACACAAACTGATTAATACTAAGTTGAAGGGGTGGGATTACTGAAATAAATGTAGGGGTATTCTTTTGATCCAAAATCAGCACCACATGCAATGCCTAGATATGAATATGTGTTTTACCATCGGGATCAAATCCTCTTGTCAGCTTTTCAGGTTAACCAAAGAGAATGCTTGTGAATGTTAGGGAAATGAAAATCACCATGCTTGCATAGAAGGTGATCTTGACTATCAAAGTTGGATCGATGATCATTCAGTTATTAATAAATATATATATATATAGTAATAATTCATTTCAAAGTGTTTAATTTATTAAATTAAAGTATTCAAGAGTCTCAGCAATCTGAGAAGAAGCTTTGGTTCTGTTCCTGAAGCTCCTCTGAATCTGATGCAAAGTGCTCATTTCAGCATCTTCTCTTTAGGTGATTGGTTTCTAGGCTATTTTTGGTTGTGGAGAGAATACGATTTCCTTCTAGTAATGAACTTGGATATACAAGTAAGTGACCTTTTTGCTGGGACAAGGGATCACTGGAAAATTGATGGTTTGAAAATGTTTTGGAATTGAACAGTTCTCAATGTTGTATGCGATCTTCATATGCTTGTTAAAGGATGGGATTTCTTGAGAAAGTGGGAGATTGGCCAATATTCCTAGAATACTCCTAGATTGTAAAAGTGCTAGTCGTTGTGTTTTCTTAAATGCCTAATCGCTCATCTTAAATTATCTTTTTAGTGTTGTTCTATTACTCGTTTGTTATGATTACTTCTAAGACCCAAGCTTCAACCAGAATCCGAGTATTCCATTTCTGAATGTAGAAATTCATCTGCAATCTTAAATCCGAATTCTCATTCACCCATATCCCCTTGATCTGCCACAGATTCAACACATTCGAATGTCTCAAACTCGAGGGTTTCTACTCTACTCTCTGATTCAATATCAGTTCAGCAAACTCATGCAGTAGCACTTTATGTGGTTTTAACATAAAATAAATAAAAAAATCAGAAATTTAAAATTATTTTTATCAACTCTCTTTCTCCCTTATCAACCAAAGACTTATTTCTCATCTCCCTTATGAAATTCGAACGTCCTCTCAAAAAGTCTCTCTCATATTACTTGTACATCCTCTCCTTAATATGATTCTAAGTAAAATACAATATTCTCTGCAGATCCTCATCTCCACCCAAACGGTTTACAAACTTCTGAAATGAATAGATAACTGAATAGTAATACAGCGTAGCCTCATTCACACTTTTTAATAGATCTACAGCATATTGACAAATTGCTCTAAGGATACAACAATACTCCGATATTGATTATTATTATTCCTATTTCTTCTGATTCATATCGGCTTGCCTAATCAAATCCTCCGAATCTTCGTCAAAGCATTCACTGATCTTCTTTAAAATTGGTGTGTATTTCATTCTCCAATATTCTGGATTCATATGCTAGATCTGGTTCTAAATGTAATCTGGATCCTCAAGCAATTATGATTATGTATGTCTCCTATAAAGATGTACAAAAAATCAAATGTTCTGTTTTCGATAGCTTTCCTTTACAAATGATCGTTTGCAGTATTCTCATAAAAGTCTGACATTTTAGATTTGGCTTTCACATTCCCATTGATATGTTTCAATAGATTGATGATTGTCTTTGGAAATCATTTGGCTATGCTAGATGTGTTTTAGCAGTTGTGGCTAACTTCAAGGCTTCTTCTGATATGTAATCTACTATTTGATGACATTGTGGATATATTTATTAATATTTATCTACCCTTTCTATGACAGAGATTCAAGAATATCGTTGAAAATAAGCAGGGATTCCTCTTCGACCTGTTATTTAGTGAAAGGATAAAATGCTGGGATTTTAGTAATGAACTTCTCAATGAGAAAATGTTTAACAATCCCTAGTATCCTCAGTATTGGAAATACAGTCAAAATGTAGATATTGTAATAGAGAATTTCTTCCTATTTATTGGATACAAAATCTTGTTCTTCAGGATGGAGATTGTCTAATATTTTTTATATTTATCCTCGTTCTTTTTTAAACTTGGTTAGATTTAAAATAATTTAAATTTTCATTATAATATTTATAATCTTTGTTTGACAACCCCCATTTTAATATCTTATATAGATATATGTAAAATATCAAGTTCATTTCTTTTTGTGAAACAATGCATTATATTGTGTGTTCATTGATTTATTGAAAACATTCGATTTAGATATTGAAGCTTACATTCCTTTTCTTGAAAACTACTGTTGAGATAGAGTGCTCTGCAAAGTAGCAGTCAAGGTGCTCAGCAACTTCTTGTCCAAAGAAGATCTCCTACACCCTTTGTTCATCGGACTATTGGAATCTACAGTTGGGAACATCTACTGTTGCTTCTTTTAAGTTGGACTTTGATACATCGAGACCTAAAACTAAATATCCTCCTATGAAGCAGTTCTCCTCATAAACTAACCTTAAGAGTAAGACTGAGATTTCCAATGTAGACCTCTCTGAGGCTGTTGAACATCATTTTCTATTATTTTGGATTTCTCAGGATCCTTCTTTGCAGTGGAAGACTCCTTCTTAGTCGGAGATGAGGACTTGTCAATACTTGTATTCACACTATTGTTCTGACTTTTAATGATCTTTTGTTTCTATTCAATTCTCCTTCTTTAATCTATGCGACTGTACAGAACATTCTGATAATCCTTCGTTGAATACTTGCGATTGTCATCCATCAATGTTTCCAGTGGTGTATCTACCACTTATACCATGAATAATTATACCTCTTTTAGACTCCACCTCTTTATTCTTAAACTCTCTGACATAAATATGTTCCAATGCCTGCTCCACTGTCATTCTCTTGTTTGGATTGTAGACCAGAGTCTTCCTGCAAAGATATATACATGCTAATTTACTTGAGAAAATCAATAGCATCCTCAGTAGCAGTTGGAAAGGCTTAGACAAAACTACTCCTCTACCTAATTTTTATGCTCTGCATAATCTGTTATGCCATCGGAGCATCTAAGGCTTCTAGATCTTCTTGAGTAGGTTGTCCTAAGAGTTCTATTATCTTTTCAATCTAATTGAAATTGGAGCTCCCTGGGAAGATGGCTTTTCCTAATAACATTTCTCCCACGATGCATCCCAAACTCCAAATGTCAACTGCCTTAGAATAAAGCTAAGATCCAAACAATATCTCAGGGGCTCTATACCACCTGGTGGCTACACTTTCAGTGAGTATCGGATTCGAGTCGTCATCTGGCTTGGCTACACTTCTGGCCAATCCAAAATCTGCTATTTTGACTTTGCATTCTGAATTGATCAACAAATTCGAAGGTTTCAAATCTCTATGGATTACTTGGCCAGAGTGTAAATATTTTAAACCCTTCAACACTTGATAAACTATATATTTTTTATGAAGGGATTGCAGAATATCTCCTCGTATCACCTAGTTCTCTAACAAGCATACATACATTGTGCACATCCGTCTCCATGTAATCGAATACCATATACAAATCTTTATTGTTCTCTGCCTTTATGACAGATGTCAATCTGATTATGTTTTCATGATTCCTGAGTTGCTCCAAGAAGATCACCTCCCTAAATGTTCTCTACGAATCAGTGTCATTATGAAAAGCATCAAAAATCTAAATCCTATTAATAGCATTTACTTTCTTGAGTGCTACTACCTAATTGGTCTTGCGATCAAGAGCTTTCCAAACTACTCCATATGCTCCTTTCCCCTTGAATTCCAGCAATTCAAACCTCTCCAAAATGTGATTTTCCATCTTCTTCTATTCCTCCTCCTTTGCCTACTATTTAGATTATGGTTACATATAAAATTATTATATATATATATATTATTAGTATTTCTAGCATTACAAAATATATTGTCAATAATTATTAATCCCAATTAAACAATTAATATATATATAAAGCTAACATTCATCAATTACGCTTATTGTACCTTTTCTTTGGTTTCACTGTTTCATAACCATCCGAGTCAACACTATCTTCCTCCTCCTCAACTTGCATTTATTACTGCTATTATTGAACCAATTAAGGAGGTTCCTCATTTTCAGAGTCCTCATCTGAATCTTAAATATTAGCCACATGTTTAATATTCTTATTCTGCTCATTATACACTCTGATATCTTCTAGCAACTGCAAATACTTACCCTCCTTGTCTTATTCCAAATCATTATATACATCCAACAGTCTCTCAGCAATCTTATGATAAATCAACACTTTACATATCGATCTGAATTGTCTTCAATTATCAACTATAAGTATTATTCCAAATAAACTGATAGAAATTATACTATGTCATCTATTTCGGTCTCGCAATTGTAAATGTAAGCTGCCAATTAGTAAGACATCAGCTTTTTGATATTCTCAGGACTCTCCTAGATTGTTTGAGTTTAGTGTTCAAAAGCTAGCTTCAAAGCTACCCAGCTATCGATTATTTGAGAACAAACAATCTACAAACGAGCCCCAGTGAAATTATCAGGAACACGATATTTCTCTAATTCCTTTAACATATTTTAAAAATTATATAATTCAATTAGCTCTTTTTGCTTTCCTCTTCTTGTCTTCTTTATTGATTTCTTAAGAAACAATATCAATAATAAAAGATTAGGTCTATTAATGCAAAAATGTGTTAAAGAGAGAAGGGTTTATGAAGATTGATTTGAAAGCCCTTTATTTGCATTAATTACTTACCTGTGTTTTGGTTAAAAGAATGCGAAAATAATAGAGGATTAATTATATAAGTGTATACGAGAGGAGAGTAATTTGATGATTTGGATGACAAGGAAAAAAATCATATAAAGAAACGCATAAGTAAACCTATTGAAGGGAGAAATACTGTTTGTAATATTGAATATCATAGAAAGTATATTCTGAATGCAATTTATTTAGCCAAAAAAGGGTTAATGCTTCCGTTACAAAATTAAGTAGATATGAGTTATGTGATATCTACGAATGCTCTCTTTTTATAGTGTTCATTGAAGATGGCTAATGTATGAGAGATATAAAGATGATAGTTCTGAGGAAATCAGGAATGCTTAGTCTATAATATATGTTGTAGCTTTTATGAGAACAATAGAAAATCTAATACGCGGCTCATGCTATTCTTTATTCTATAATAATATCTTATAAGAAAGGCAATTAAAAGTATATTTCAAACAAGGGATGAATGATTTTTTGGTCAATTTATAAATTGATTATTCCATTAAAAAAAGAAGATTTATGAAAATGATTCCAAAATGAATTTTTCAATTATTATATAATCATAGAGAATGCATATAATTCTATTCTGATTCGGCAGAACATTAGTGGTATCAATTTTTAATCTAAAAAAACCAATTTTCTAATCTAAAGCATATCAAGAAAATGTCTCATTTAAATGAATTGGGAAATTAGATTATTGAAACAGTGGTATTGGAGTGAGTGAATTAAATCTTTAAGTTTATGCATAAGAAAATGATGAGTATAAATAATATATATAAAATATTTAATTTAAATAACGATTAGATGAATTCTGAGATTGCTCGTTTGGAAGAGTTAAAGCAAGCTGAAATTCAATTAATGCAATAAGTATATGAGTAGAAAGTAAAGATATTGAATTTTAACAGTGAAGATCAATTACTTGAATACAAAATTGTAATTATTGACGAAAGAGGTGAGCAAGAAGGATCAGGAGATAATGCAATTTAGTTAATAAAATTAAGGCACAAACAAAGTGAAGACTGAGTAGAGTTAGAAGGATTTGGAGGCTGAGAAACAATATTAGAAGGAGTATTTACAAGCCTTGTAATTGGAGAAGGAGTAGGAAGTGGCCAAATTAAAGAATCAATATGCACAAGATATATAGAATTGTCAGAATTTGTTGAGGAATAGAGATAAAATAATAGAGCAGTTGAGTAGTGAGTTACAACAACATAGATAGCAATCTTTGAAGTACATGGATAATTAGAAAATTTAATACTTATCATAAATTCTTGATTTGTCTAGTGAATTATAATTATTATTGTGATTTATAACTCTTTAAAATATAAGATTTTATCTTGTATAAATCTAGTTCGGATTATAGTAAAATAATGAGAAATAAATAATCAAATGAATAGAAGAAGATAATTTCAATTGGATAATGCTTATGAGAGAGTGTAGGAAATAAAGAAAAGGATTCAAAAGAGTTAAACAGAATAACCACGATTCCCTTGGCAACTGATGTAATTAATGTGTTATGAAGAAAGGTTCCTTTACAAAATTTACATGAACTTGAATTTAACTTAAATACCTCAAGCGATTCCATCATATCTAAAGGTAGTGAAGGCAAGGAAGCCAAAAAATTGGTTTGATGACATACCGATTTTGGTAGGAGTGGATGAAATCCCTCAGCCAGAGTAAATATTTATAAAGAACAATAGAATTTGCGCAATATGTTTATCAGAGATAAATGACAAAAACTTAATCAAAATTCTAAAATGCAATCATTACTTCCATAATGAATGTATAAAGGATTGGTTGATAATAAAAGCAGAGTGTCCCACTTGCAGAAACAAAATTCAATAATATTGATTTTTTAACTTAGTATATGGAATATCAACAGCACCCTTTCTTCTTTTTACTTTTAGTTTTGTCTGTAGTGAGCATCTCGGTGTCTTTTGTTGCTGAGTTTATGATTTTCCTTATATTTCTAGCAAGTGAAACGAAAACTTCACTTAAGTTAATTCCCATTTTGGCTGAAGTCTCAAAAAAGTTCAGATTATGTTTATTGGCCAAAGCTTGTCCTTGATCTCTTGAAATCTATCTCAAATCATCAAGATCAGACTTATTTCCAACTAAAACAATCGAAACTGTGTTTGTATCAATGTTATCTTTGATTGACTTGGATTAACTTAAGTTTTACTTCTAGCCAATCTTCTACATGTTCAAAAGTGCTTTTTGATGTGATATCATACACCAAAACAAAACCCTATGCTCCTTTAAATGTATTTTTTGTTATGGATTTGAAACGTTCTTGACCACATGTATCCCAAATCATCATCTTTATAGTTTCTCTTTCATTCATCTATATCATCTTTACTCTGGAATCTGCTCCAATTGTAGGAAGAGAGTTCATCTTAAAATTGGTATCACAATACTGTGTCATAATGTTTGTCTTTCCCACCGTCGTATCTCCTATGATTACTACTTTAACTAACATATCTATTTTTTCCATTATATAAAAATATAATTATATGATTATGTAAATTTATTTATTCTTTTTTTCAATCCAATATTGGTTTCGTATTTGGTTAAATGGGTAAGAACCAAATTAAAGGATTGGTGCCAAACACTTCAACTATGTTCTCTAAAGCACTCTTCTGGACAGGTTGTCTGGGTTTGTTCTCGCAATATTCAAGGGTTGTGATGTTAGATTTGATAGCCCTATTTATCTCATTATAATGAATTAGAGTACCATAAATGGAATAATGTGAAGGCTGTTAAAAGTATCCACAAAAAACAACAATACAGAAAAGTGAAGGAGACCAGGAATAGTTTACTATCAGATGAATATGAGTTTAGAGTGTCATAATAGCAACGACTGTAAGTTATCATTATAAAACTTATTAGCAACCCTAGATATAATAATGTATCTTATACATGAATAACCAAGTAGATTGATAAACAATTTATAATTATTATAACCTATGCAATTGTTGAGCCATTGACAATGATGATCCATTTTTAACCAGCACGTCTTACATTAACGGCAATGATGACAACGTTTTGGTTTAAAGGCTTAGCAATTCTTACAAAACCGATGGCCAGACTTATCTATCAATTCCAACCTTGCTTTAGAATTCAATTGCAATCGTTGTTCATCATCTATTTCTGAAGAGAAGGATGTTGATGTTTGTGACCCCTTCTTGTGAAAATTGATCATATTCTCCTCATTCTCTATCATTTTGTTGATCTCTCCCTCCACTCTGTTCAGCCATTCCTTAGGCACTTTCCCAGGCAATATTGTTACTACCCTTATTAATGTAATTAAAAAGAGAACAAGTATTGTATGCAATAATACTGTAATTACCACAGTTGAATTGCTGAAGACATAGTCATTGATGTGTACTAATTGAATCAAGTAAGTGTTTATTTCTATGACTGGTTTTTCAATGTATTCCGATCTTATTCTTGGCAACAAGTAGGTCTTGAACAATAATAGGAGTCATATACCTACATATAAACTCCATAGAAGAATAGAAATATCGTGACTAATATAATAAAAGGCATCCATGTTCCAATGTAACAAAGTAATTGTCCTTGCTTATAATATTTCATTTATTTATTTATAATTTAAAAACGTATTTATGAAGACACTATGATGAAGCAACTATAGTATACTTATATATGTATTAATGTTATATAAATATTATTTTAAATGAAGTGATGAGATAACCCTATTTTTTGAAGATTTATCGGTTAATTATGGTATTATTTCAATTATTGAAATGAACAGACTATTTGCATTCTAATCAACTTTGGATTATGTGATTCAAAAGAAAATGTTTGTGAGTTCAGGTTATTTTATTCAAAAATTCAATGAAGTTTAAGTTAAAAGGAAAAACATAATATTTATTAACCAACTAATAATGCTATTTCGATTGTTATAGGTAATCTTTATTCTATTAAGAGTAGATTTAAGTATAATTAAATTCTATTATTTATGATGATGCTTATCATAAGAAATTCTTTCATATATTTCAAGAAGTCAACTAGATTGTATTAAATTAAATAAATATGATGATTGAAATTAATTTATTAGATTAATAGATTGAAGATTATAAATATCCATGAATATTAATTCTATGGGTTCATTTTATATCTATCATCACGATATGATTAAATACAGCAATGCTTAAAGTTGAATGTTCTTTCTCTCAGCAATTTGAACAGAAAAAATTGAGAATTAGAATTTAAACCATTTTTGATAATAATTTAAATGAATATAATGAGAGTTGTAATACAATTTAAACTTATGAATAAATAAAGATTCTAAGATTAAATATATTAAAATTTTGAATAGTAAAAATAATTAAATGTTCAGATTTCTTCATAACTGGAGTCTATTTCTTTCAACATAAGTTATTGATCAAAGGATGAAATCTCATTAGAATGTGCTTCTTGATAAGTGGAAATCTCTAAATTCAATATTTATTATTATTATTATTATGGAACCAAAAATTCGTTTAGGAATTCATGCATTTCTTTAATTTTTTTAAGTTGATCCTCCTTTTTAGTCTCAGTGTATTTCCAATGTGGAAGGTGAGCAAACGAAAAGAAGTTAATCTGCTAATGAGCCAAGATATCATAGATCAATTCAATCAGATCATCCAAATTTTTCAAATAGAACACTAATCCAAGAGAACAATCAATTTCTTTGTCACTCATAAAGAGAGCTTCGCCTGGAAAACATGATTTAATATATTCTTCTGGATTCATCTTTGCTTCCTATACTATATGAGGATCCAGAACAACAAATTTATTATCGACAAAACCAACAATAAAATTTGCTTCTTTAGGTCTACCTCCCAACATCCCAGCAAAATATTTCTTCTTCATAAATTGTCTTATGGCTTATAAGTAATCTGGATTAGGTTCATCACATCCGATTCTGCTTAATAAACATACTGCCACTGCTCTGACAGGGACAAAACATTTCTCGCATATATATTTCTTAAGCAGATTTCCAATCTCTTTCTTATTCTATTCTGATTGATCTTCACAACACACATCACTAATGGAATCATTCCCATGCATAACCTAGACCACTTCCTCTTTGCCAATCTCCAGTTTTTCCAAGGATCTCAAAAATTACTCAATAGAAAAGACTCTCTTCTAACATACACAATTCTCCACCATGCACATCTCCTAAAATATAGCTCTCAGATCAATTTGGCTCTCGTAGAATGGCACAAAACCCAAACCATAACAATCTTTTACCCTTAAATTTTAAAATTACATGGAATATTATTCTCTTATAGAATTTTGTAGATTGCCTAAACTATCTGATTTGGACTATACCATTCTCCAGGTTTCTTTCCCCATTCCTTATATGCTACTCTCATTATCTTCTAAATCGAAAACCCATACTTTGATGGCTTCGAAAACCCTTTTTAACTTTCCATTTCATCATCGTCCTTGAACATCTACAAAACATCCTGCAACAGAGGTGGAAACGAAAATAGATCCACTTTATAGAAACACTTTAAATGTCTTTTCAATAGTTCTGCCATCATCATTTATCCCACTCGAATCACACATCCCCATCCAGAATCTGTTGTCAATGAACTGTCTTAGCATTGATATGCTTGAAATCCTTATCTGTATGTAAAGCGAATCGTATGGACAACAACATCCAAAATATCCTCATTCCTTACTATCAATTATCCCATAATATAACCCTCCTCTTTCACGTCATATTAAAATAGTGCTCTATAATTGTAATTTGTTGAGTACCTAAGGAATGATAGAATTAATTCTTTACCATGTTGATAAGATCTGGTGTCCAATTGATTACATATTATAAATATATATAAAATAATTAAAATATCACTCATTCCTTCACGATAAATAGAAAACAACTTCACTATTTCAATTTTAAGCAATAATCTAAACAAATCATGTCCTATTAAAGTGAGTAAAACACAATTTTTTCAATATTTTATCATCATATCTATAAAAATTTTAGAATTTAATTCAAAATTTACAAAAAGCACTCTTGGCCCTCTTAATTTATCTAACTTATCTCATATTGGATTCTTTAATTTATTATTTGTAATATCTCTCCCTTATTGTCAATCCATTATGTTAAAAAGCTATTACGCAAATAATTTTACATAAGTGTATTTTCTTAGTTAGACCTTCTATTTTGAGAAAGAAAATGAAGAGATGTTACAACACTATTTTTGTTCTTCAACAATCTATTAATTATAATCTAAATAGATAAATACTTAATTCTAATTTATAAAATTATTCACTTTAAAGTTGTAAATTAAAAATAATGTTAGCCATCAACATTTAGTTATTTCTCAGAAGAATCAGAATAGACATTATTACTTTTTATTAGCCTAAATAACTCAAATTTTTCACTAATAGTTAATCTTACTATTAAAAAAACTCACAAACTTTAAGTTTAAATATCTCAAGAAACAGTATTGTATTATATTTCGGAAATCCATTAAATATCCCTTCTATTTCGTTGCTCTTTATATTTATTGAATAATTACCGCAATTTTAATTTCTTTTAAAATAGATATTGAACAAATAATATTATTAATTCTTTTAATATCTATTCAATAATCAGAAATAGTATGTTAAACATAGGAAAAAGTAAGAAATTCTCTATTATAATCATTTCATAAGAATTAGATAGATAAAAAGTCCATTTTTATATCATTTCATTTGTTCATTAGAATATAACTTGCTAATGATTAATCTGAGTGGCAATTTAAAATCCAGATGCATTTTATTAGTTGTGAAAAGTTTAGATAATTAATTCCTATAGGATTTAGTATATCCACAAAATATGATGATTGATTTAACATTGAATGATTGGAGAATTGCAGTAGAAGTAAATAGCGAGTTTGAATTTGCAATCATCAGTCTAATGGTTGAAATAGATCATGGTTTTGATGATAGTGAATCAAGAGTATTTATATATTCAAAATAGTGTGTAAATATGTGTCCATTATTAATTAATTATGCAACAACTTTTCGATTGTCCAATATGTTTATAAACATTGTTACAACCAATTACCTTGACATGTGGTCATACGTTTTGTAAACCATGTGTTCGAAGTAAATACTTCTATCAAAATTACAACTCATGTCCAGTATGCAGAGCACCAATATAGATATACTTGAACTAGTTTAAGGTGAATATTTTGTTGGAGAATCTTATCAAATAGGAATTCAATAGTGAATAGAATTATTAGTTGAGAGTGTTAAATTATCAAAAGAGAATGAATTAGAGAAATAGAAGAAAATGGTATCACACAATGATGATAATTATAATTGAATATTCTAAATAGGCATGGAGAATAATCTAAAAGATGTTACCTCTCTATCTAATAGGTATCGATGTAATTGTATTGAGTATAGTTCTAGTAATTCTGATGTATATGAGTGTGAAATCTAACTTAAGATTTGAGAAATTATAAAAACAGTTTTCTAAGCGTGTTAAGCTTGAGAAGTTAAGTGAGGAGATAGCTAAAATGGTATCATTACTCAGAGCTGATAATCAAGACACCAAAGATTTGGATATTCAAAATTTAGTTTTTTCCAAAATAGTCAAGTACTTATTTACGAATTGCGTGAGATTTTGAAATATTAATAATGTAAAACATTATAGTATTCATTAAATCAATTGTTCTAAATTAATATATTTTCTTTTGACTATCATCCTTGATTGATTTACTCTTCATCATATCTTTTGCTATGTCTGATCTCCACTATTGGAATGGTCACATTAATATACATTAAACTTGATTGTAATAAACACAGATTTACTATATACACTTGAATTATTGATTGTAGACAACTATGCAGTCAATAGACTATGGTTCTATTTATTTATGATGTACACCGCTAGAGGACTGGAATTAATATATTTTAATATATAAATTAATTAATGGAGGAACCAAAAGTAGAATTGGACGATCTGGAAGTTAATTAGGAACGATTAAAATAAAACACAAATCAACTTAAAAACCTCAGAGTGTATGGATCATTGAATGCTGGTATGATAGCAGGTATATTGGGAATGGGTAGAAATTGATGAATAATTTTAGACGGATGGATTGGCATGGGAATTTATGTTGTGATATTCTTGATTGTGAGTGCTTGCTTAGCAATTAAAATGAATTTCAGAGTCAAAGAGTACTTCAAATCAAGTTATGATGCATACTATTCAGGAATTGGAACCGATTTGTTATTATTCTTAATGATTTGGGTTATTTTCCATAATCTAGTCAATATATTATGAAAGTCAGCAATTTATATTAATCAAATATTTATTCAGGAATAATACTGAGTACTTCCCTATTTCCAATTTCTCTCTATTTAATTTCTAAATATCAATAATTATGCAATTAAACGAGTAATTAATAATTTCTTTATATCTCTCTAATGGATGAAGAAACCTTATCATTGCTAATAGATTACATACTGGGTTTTGGTGATATCTTTGAATTCGACACCGACAGACTCTTTTAATTGAGATGCAAACAGAACTTCGTACCCAAGAAATTATCATTTAAACCAAAGAATAAATTGATCAGCCAGATATCTGCAGAACTTAATAATTCAATTAGCTTAAAAATCGATCTCTTAAGAGATTAATCTCGACAACAGACCGATGCCATCATGTATAAATTCAATAGTCAAGATCATACTCTCTAACAGCTTACTTAGCAAATCAAAGAAAAACCCAGCCAAGAAGATTTGTGTGATCTCTAAATGTAAATTCGGAAGCTTTAAAACTAATGTGAAGGAGAATTCACCAAGATATAAACACAAATCAACAATTATTTAATATCTATTCAAGAATCACTCAATTCGTATCTGAAAACCTAAGATTTTCATATGCTATTTGAAGAATAGATAAGTGATCACATGAGTCATCTCTAAGCCAAGTTTGCTCCCAAAGATATGACCATGCAATAATTAGATCTCCTAGAATGTCGATTCCATCATTTGAGTGAGCAACTTATAGAACTTAAGCGATATACCAATTCTAACATCAATGAAGTAATCAAAAAATAAGATGTATTATGTAATTGATAAATTTCCCTCTAGTTCATTCTCTCAGACCTAACTACAACTGTGAAATTACATGAATTTTAAGAATTCGTAGATTCCTCCAAAATATTTGCTACTCAAACACAACTCTCAGCCTTTTAGGAACAATTACTACCCAAAATTAAAGAACTCTCAGATATCGTAGATAAAGATTTCAATGAAGTCCAAGGGTTCCGTAAAATAATCAAGGCAACAGATTATGAATTATTACAAAAAGCGACCAAAATGGATTTGATGATTTTAAAAAAAGAATAAGAAGATTATAAATTGCAAAATTATAAAATGTAACTTTAAATTTAAGACGCATTCAAATTAATCACTAGATGTTATTAATACTATGATGAATAGAGATAACAGATGGCAAATTAGTTATCAGAATAAATAATATGTAGTATTGAAGATACTATTAAGACTAATGTAAATAAATAGATGGAATTATATAAACTTGAAAATGTTGGCTAATAAATAGATCGCATTTAAGATTTCTTGAGATCTAAGGCAAATAAGGTTGATGTATCTGATTCATTAAAACTTAAATCGAATTTAAAAGATTTTCAGTCTCTCGAGGATCAATTCAATGTTATGAGTAAGACATTCAAATCTTAGATGAGGATATTTGCAGAATTTATAGAATTATTTGGAATTGATACAGACAATGAATCCATGAATTTTAAAAAGAATGCCATTTAAAAGTTGATATTTGATACCAAATCTCTTAGGAGTAGCTTCTAAAAAAGGAATTCGTAATAGCTAACAGGAGTAGAGGATCAACCATTAACTACTAGATAAAGTTCAAGTAAAAAAAAAATAAACACTTCTCCAAAAAGCAATGGAGTCAAATTACTACTCAGACCCTTATTATCAAATACATTTTCTGTCCAATAAGCGAAAAGAAATAAACTGAATTTGTCAATGATATCATGATTGTTATAACTTCAAATTATCAATTGTATTTATTTTATTTAATTTTTTTGAAATGTTTTCATTATAAAAAGTATCCTTCAAATTATTAGATAATTATTCTTTATTATAATTTATTATATTAATATTAAATTGATTTGTGTTGAAAGAATGCAAAATTAATTAATCCATTTTTCAATAATCAATTCTTATTGTGTGATCTAAGAATTATGATAATCGGAATTTCAATCTTGCTGTTTGAAGGAGTCAAAAATTACAATTATGGCTTTTGACTTGGTATTTGAATTAAATTAAAATGCAGTATATATTTTATTGAATTTCGTATTATCTCTCTCAAGTAATTTGAATCATTCTAATATATTATAAATTGAATTTAATAATTGATGAATTAACTATACCTCAATGATCTTCAGGCTAGTCATGTTTAGGTGCATTCTCCTAATGGAGAACAACGTCTATTATTTCAAGATGCTCTAGGCTAAATAAAATTAAGACAGAATAATATTTAGGCAAGGCTGAAGGAACTTCTAATTTAAGCAATATAAAAATTACGAAAGTATACGAAAATCAAGAATCTGTCTCTGTTGAGTAAGTAGTAATTGCAAGCATTTAATGATGTTTCGAGCAGTTACATTTAGCAAGCGAAGAGAGAGAAAGACTCATCTTAATTTGAAAAATAGTATTATCAATACAAACAGCAGAATGTGAGTTTGTAAGTCTTAGTATCTAGTTTGATGACTATGGTTAAGCATCGCAGTTTTACAAGCATAAAAGCAAGTCATCCGATGTTAATATTTTGGAGTTTCTTAAAATTTCTTTTGGTATTACATTTATGTTTCATATTTCCATTATCTGATTCATTTATATACTAATTGGATGAATTTATTGATATTTAGATGCCCATATTTTTTGTTGAGATAGTGATATTGACAATTGACATAATAATGAGATTGAATGTGTAGATATATAACAAGGGGATTTTGATAACATAAACAAGAAAAATAATTATTTAATATTTTCGAAAGGAATTCTTGATTGATTTTGGAGGATTGTTGGGATTGGTTGTTTTCTTGCTGTCAACATTTACTCCTCTGAAATACTTATTCATTCTAAAATTAAAGGAATTATCAACATTTATGGAGGTTTTCAAGTATGAAATAGATCCAAAAGGTAAATTTAAAAATCATCTTAAATTATTGAAACTGTTGATCACAGTCGTATTGTTAGCTCATTGTTTTGCTTGTGTTTGGATTGGAATAGGACAACATTCAATGGATAAGAATTGGATAGTCCAAAGAGGATTGGAAGATTCACACTGGATTTAAATCTATTTGACTGGATTGTATTTTGCCATTACAACTATGACTACAGTGGGTTATGGTGATATCACACCGATAAATGCATATGAAGTCTTGGTGAGTATTTGTTTGACTCTCTTTTCCTCATGTATATTTGCCTATGTGTTCAATACGATAACTTCAATTTTGAAGGACTTGGATGCAGATAAAAGTAAGGTGAAACATGATTTGGAAATCCTGAGTCATTATATGAAGAAAAGAAACATTGATTCAGATTTACAGAAGAGAGTTGAAAAGTAAAATTATCATTTAAATTAGTTATCTTCGATTAGTATATAAACATCAACCCTCTACTTAGGAGAAGAAGATCTTTGGAAAATTGAGTCCCCAGTTAAAGCAAGAGTTAAATGAATAGGATAAAGGGTTACTATTGTTAAAGTAGCCAGTATTGGTTAACAATTTCTCGTTGAAATTGCTGAAAGAACTAATTGAAAGTGTTCAGGAAATTAATCTAACTCCTTAAGAGAGACTGCCGAATGATCAGGGATTGTACATTTTATTGAAGGGGAATATCAATATAATATTTGGGGAAAACAGGACGATAGTTGGGAATTTGAAACCAGGAGATGGTGTAGGGTTGAAATCTCTGTTTAATGAGTAGTAGAATAGGAAACTGGGATTCGTAAGTGAAGGGTTTTCAACTGTGTATTACATCTCTCAGGGAGATTTCTTTAAGAAATTAAAGGACACTGATTTAGATTAATTCTATTAGATTAGAGATAGGATCATGATGTAGAATTATGATAACTTATTTTTGAAGTGCTTACTTTGTAGAAAATAAGGACATGAGATATGCGAGGATATCTATTTTAATTTAAATAGAGAATTGATTCTAGCAAAGCACCAATATTCAGTTGAGCAGGAGAGGTAGGCTAAATTTAGAAGGAGAAGAAGGTAAAAGTCGAGGGCATTTCATGAATTGGAGTTTAGGAGGAGAAATGCAAATTTGTGTTATCAGAGGACTATAAAGACGATGAGAATGCAAGAGAGGGAGATGGAGAGTGATGAGGAAGATGAGAAGTCAGAGGCTGAAGAGAGCGATGTAAGATATACATAATAAGCAAGAGTCTTATGATGACTTAGAGTAATCAAGACATTATTTGGATGAAAACAAAGACTCTATTACTGTATTCTTTGATAAATAAGCAACTCCAAAATAAAACAATAAGCCTGAGCTCAAAAGTGTGAGAACCAAGATTAAAGGTGCTTCGATAGTCAGAATGCTCCAAAATTATACTTCTTAAAAAGTATGGCATGACGATTTCTGTATCATAAATGACTTTGAGAAGATGAAATTCTTCAGGATGTATTACCCAACTTATAATTATGATTCGGTCATTAAGATTTACAATCAATGGAGGAAGAAGGCAAATAAGAACACTTACAAAACATAGGTCAATTGAATTAGTTGATTTGAGAATGAATGCAATTCTTATATATAATAAACAGCAATTTAGCAATTCTAATTTTATAAAAAATTAATTATAAAATAGAAAATCCAAAATACTTAAATAATTTAATTCCATTTATATTTATTAAATTAAAGTCACACATGAACAAATACTTACTTACATTCAAAAACCCCTAGATTGAGGCTAAATATTAATAGACTAGTATTGGCGAGATCAGAATGACAATGTTTACGCTAATAACTCTGGGTTTCGCAGTAGTGTTTCTTGTTAGAATAGGACAGGGCCTATTCTAATAAAACTACTTTAATGTCTATACTTATATAGGCATGATCTCCTACTTTTTTTTGCAGTATCTTTTGAGTAAGAAATACAAACAATTTTTGAGACCATCCTTAATTTTGTTGAATCATGCTTTCACTATTTATTTTTTGTTTGTTGAAGAATCCTCTGATTCATTATCAGCTCACCTTAGAGGTGTCAATCAAATGGGATCAAACTTTTTAATCATTCTGGCTGGTGAGTACATCGATGCAATGTTTTCTCTGATTTCCATATCAATCATAAGGATCATCATTATCTTCAATAAAAGCACCAGTATAGAGTATTCTGCAATATTCTCAGCCTTCATCCTCATCCTTTACGCATCGAGATATTTATACCAATATCACAAGGCAATCAGATCCCAATATTTACTAACTTTGGTTGATCAATCATGGGAAAACATACTGACCCAAATTACTAAATAAATCCCTTACATTTTGATCTCTTTTGATGAGGAGCAATTCAAATTCCAGATTATTAAAATTTTGAATTGCCAACGATTATTTTGTACCAATGAAGATGCACTGAAGTTCTTAAGAGAGGCAAAACACAACGATTAAACTATTGAATAAGTAATCTACAATGAAATTAAAAATTTTAAACAGAATTCTGTTGATCTGTTTAACAAGACAATCACAATTTCACATTAAAAACTCATAATCAAAATTGAATACTCTGTTTATTTCAGTAATAAACCAACAATACTCCTAGTATTTCCTTAGATTTCTAATCTAGTTTAGACTAACAATGAGCTCATACAATCAAAGTATGATCAATTACTCAATATAATTATCAAACTATGCCAATTGATTTAAAAAAAGAATTTCAATCAAGATTATGTGAAAAAGGTATAAAAAAAGTTGATGCTAACGAAACTCGTCCAAGATATTAACAATTCACAGATCAAAGCCAAAATCGTCAATCTAGAGACTGTACTTCAACAGTTAAATCAATTATATAAGTCTAAAAAAATCACAGTTTCTAATAACCAATAAATCAAGATTAAAACGTGTCCATCCATTTTTAGTGTTTTTCTAATTACTATGATGGAAGCTCTTTAATCCAATGAGTTATTTGTTTCTATTTAAGTTCAAAAGGAATAATTCGTAGAATTTGAACTTTTAGGTAGTTTTAATGAGTCAGATTTAAATTCTACTAGAAAGGTTCTGGCTTATGAATATAGTTTAATCATGAAACATTTAGAAATTTCATAAAACAGTAATATATTTAACTTATAGAAGGGGTCAAATTTAAATTATTTTAATAAGCCTATGTGCCATTCAATCCATAATCTTACTCAATCACTTTGTTATGATGATATCAAATTTGTTTTTATTTATGATACATAATAATATTAAATAAATATAAAAATTGTCAAAAGTATCAGCACAAACGACCAAATTAAATAGCACCAAGGGGATTGTGATAAACATCCTTAATAGATTGAAAGGGAAGTATAATTAATCCAAACGAAATTACACCTAGAAGCACTTGAATGAGAATCGACTCTCTTTTATATTTTTTCACCAACTTTTTCAGGAATCCTGCAACCAAATAACTACCAAGACTTGAAACCAACTAAAACTATAAACAAATATATTTACCCCCAAAATTATAAATTCTGAAAATTAATAGCCTCCTGATAGAGCTATAATAAATACTGATATGGATGAAGTGAATAATACTGTAAAAGTAGCTGAAGCAGCAGCTCTAGGAGGGTTGATTCCAGTTTCTAACCAAAGTGGAGTCAATACCACACCTCCTCCTAATCCAACCAGTCCACCCAAAAAGCCAGCATATAGACTGGATTTCACTGTAATATCGAATACGGAGCTCATTTTGCCATCCGCAAAATCGTAACCAATTGATTCCCTGTATTCCTCGTCCTTTGATATTTATTTCCTATATCTTTAAACATTATAAAAGGCTATCCCAAAAATAACAAAATTTAAGAAATGATAACCATAGCCACAAAAGTCAACACCCAATAGAGATGGTACTGCCCCTGATCCTTTTAAGAGAGTCACGACTATGATGATCAAAATAGTCAAACTGATTTCTGAAAGAGGCTCTATTGGGTAGAGTCTTGAGTCTTTCTCCTTTATTATATTCAATTCTTTTGAGTGATTGCTCTCTTTTTAAACTGTCAGGTCTTTTAGTTCGACTGGGATTAATTGTTCATTCATTTCTTTACTACGAGTTTTGATGTACAAACTCTTTGTTTTCAGGAAGACTGTCATTAATATTCCAAATAGAAAGATCACGATGATCAATTTTGGCAACCATTTACCTGTTGCTACGCCCAAGATTGCTCCAGCCAATAACAATGGCAATGTTATTTGAACTAATTAATAATTGATCAATGGTGCATTTCCATTAGCAGTCTATAGGAATTTAAATATAAAATTTTACTCTTTCTTTGCCCAACCGAAGGAAATTACCAAGACTTCCTCCTAAAAGCATGATGTAAGTGTTCCAAATTGCCTTTTTACTTGGACACCCTAACAAAACCATCATGACTGGGGATATGATTGGTCCACCACCAATACCACCAGCTTATGATAAGCCTACCAAGATGCCCAAAATACTGTAAGAAACCCATGTGAATGGATCAGCTAGAGATGGTAATTAATAATCCATGAATAATTAAAATTGGAATATTTGATAAGATTTTTAAACTAAAAATACACACTCTAAAATATCCAATTTTAATTGAGTTTGTCAATTGTGAAAAATAGTACATCATCAAAATTAATTAATAATTCAATCGATAACAAAATCAAATAGGTTTAACTTCTACGCTTTCCATAAAGGTTTTAACCTGTCGTAAGGCTTCCTTATAATTGTTTTGATTTTCCTCCATTTTGGCCACCACACCTCTCAATCTGTAGACCTCTTCAATCAAGACATTCTTGTGTTTGAGAAGCTTCTCCTTATCCTCCAATAAAATGATTTTGTCCTATTCCATTTAAGTGATCTATGAGGATATCTATAATGCCTTACAATTTTGTTGTATTTGGAATTCAATTCTGCCAAATTCTCCTTAACATCCTACCTCTGAAGTTCAGATATCGATAGTTGATTTTGCAGGATGTTTATTTTGGATTGCAACCTTAAATTAACTGATTTTTCATATTTGAGAGTAGCCTGAGCATCTTCCAACATGTCTTATAATTTTTAGATGGTTGCTTATGAATCCTGCAATTTGCTCTATAAGAAATCCTTCACAGCCTTCAAAACCTCTAATTAGGCTAGTGCATCCTCCTCTGTGTCAAACATACTACTATTGGTTGACAAACTGCCACATGAGATAATGTCGATTTTTTCATGTTTAAGTTGTATTTGCGAATGTTTGGGTCCTCCAACCAGATGATTAGCATTTCTACTCAACATCAACAGTTTGAATCCCAAAGGACAAAACATCACCTTTCTGAGTGTTGAACACGTTGCTGTAAATCTATATAGATCATTATCATCCAAAAATCCACACACTCTCTAAATTAAAATGACCTGAATAACAAATCTGATTGAGTACTTTTGGCAATCTCAGGAGGAATGTCGCTTGATTTCTCTTGAGTAACTCTTCCCTGTGTTTTTGACTAATTTCCAGTTCGTCTAATTGTGCAATAATTTTATCAAGTTTATCCATGTTTTAAATAATTATTATAATTTTATGATTATAAGTTAAATCAGCAACATCGAGGATTGTCCTGATCCCCTTGAAACCAACCTAAACAAGAGCTCCAAGGTGCTATTGTGGGGTAGAAGGACTCAACATCCCAGTTTTGGAATAGAGAATCCAATTTGGAAATACAAAGCATTCAAAATAATACTGATAGTCTCCAGATTCATCAATCTAATCACTAGACAGATCACAAGGAGAGATCTGACTCATTTTACAAAGCAAGAATTCAATTTAATCAATGACAATGCATCTCACTATAATTATTACAAATATCAAGGACTCCTACCTAAAGATAGACCCTCTCGCTTCCTGCTCAAATTAAACAATTGGTTTTCCTGTATACTGTGTAAATATATATGATAATGGCAGAAAACAACAACCATTTCTAGACAAGCAATTCCAGAAAGTGGCTCTTAAAACCAGATGATGCAATCATAATCATTTGGAATATCTATCTAATTGTGATTGTTACGATAAATGTGTTTTATGTTTCCTTGCGTATTTCCTTTCCAGAAATTGAGGAATTTCCCTTGAACAGTAAGGAATTCATTTTCGAACAACTGCCGGTTTACTCATTTCTCTTGGATATCGCATTGAAATTCAATACTTGCATCTACAACAAAGGGATACTAATCACAAGCAGAGCAAAGATAGTCAAATTCTATTGCATTGAAGGTTAATGGGTATTAATATTGGATAGGTTTTTTTATTGATTTGTTTTTGGTTGTTCCCTTCTTCATAGGTCAACAATTTAATTTTAGATACTTTGATTTTGTGATAGTTTTGAAAGTATTCTAGTTGTCTAGTTTATTCTCGTCTCTGTTTAATCGTTTGGAATTGACTAATAGACAAACTGCAATTTTCGATTTATTTAAGATGATGTATGGTTATACATATGCATTAGATCTTTTATGATTTTAGTAGCCCACTTTTCAGCCTGCATTTGGCATATAATTGGACAGTGGGGAGAATGGGGTCATCATGAAGGCAAGACTTGGTTGAAGGTGGCTTAATTGTAAAATGAATCTTGGTTGGATAGATATGTAGTCTCATTTTATTGGAGTATTGTTACGATGACAACTATTGGATATGGAGATATAATCCCCGTGAATTTGACTGAACGTATCTTTGTCATCTTTATGACTATGATCTCATCTGCAACATTCGCATACACTGTTAATAATATTGGAGGCATATTCCAAGACTTCTCTAAGCAATCAGTGCAATTAAAGAATAACATGAATCAATTAAATAGATATTTAAAAAGTTAGAATGTGTCTGATGATCTTTAAATCAAGTTTAGGAGATATTTTGAGTATTTGTGGAGCAAACCCTCATAGAAAGTAATTTAATTTGCAGATTTGATCCCTAAGAGTTTGAAAGATCAGATGATTGTGGATGTCAATGCTAAAATAATAAATCAAATATCTTTCTTTAAGAATTTCAGTTAACCTTTGTTGAACAAACTGTGTATGTACCTAGAAGAGAGACAAATTCAATCTGACGATTACCTATTCAGAAGAAATAATAAATCATCTCAATTATTCATTCTCGTAACAGGGGAGATAAAACTAATCGTAGCTCTCAATGATTAATCGAGATTATTATAAAAGTTAAACAACCCATCTTTTGTTGGGTAATTGGATTTCTTCTCAAAAAGACCCTACTCCTACGATGCCATAGCTTCATAAACAACTAAAGTTCTTCAGATCTCAAGAGAGTAATTGCACTTCGTCTTTAAGGATCACCCATTGGATTATGTATATATTTAAAGTGTATCATTTTAAGGAGATTTTCTAGTAGATCACCGATGACATAGTTCAAAATTAAAATTTAAAAGCAATTCAAATAAAATGCAATAGTTGCCAGAGTGATTGTCATTTTACAAACACTTGTCCCTTTTTATTTGGAATACCTAATAGAATCAAGACGTTGTACAATTACAGGAGGTTCACTCCGGTTGACAGAACACCTTAATATGTTAGACATAATCATACGAGGAAAATGTATGCATTGAAACATCATTTCATCGTTTTGGAGAGTGTTCTCAATTACATGATGAAGAATGAAGATCTTGTTTAGATAGAAGAGATGAAGGAGTTGTAGTAACAACATGGCATCCATTTTGGAAATCAACCCACTTATAATCAGGTGTAAAATAATGTCTAGACTATGGGGAAGTCTTCTTTGTCATAGAGGGTTTTGGTTTCTTTGGATGACTCTTCTCCTCGTACTTTTAGGTTTTGTTAGAACAATCAATTTCTAAATACAACTGGGGGGAAGAATCACAGAAAGATTTCAGTAAATTATGGATCTTAGACAGAGTCTCCAGATGAGGAAGTGCCAGGAATTGAGAAGGTTATGAAGAAGGGGGGGAATGAGTCGTTATGTGTGATGAATGAGCAAGGATGTTAATAGGTTTTGTAAGTACCCTCATTACAAATAAACTAAGTAATGAGAAGAAAATCAGTAAAATTAAAGTTAGATGATAGTTCTGAGTGTGAGGATGATGATGAAGATAAGATTTTGGGATAATACATAGATATCTTCTAGCAATTCGAGAGGGTCTGCGAATTCAGCAATTACAATTCTCACAACAACATCTCATTGGTGTTGGCAAAAGTAAGATTTCGATTCTCATCGTAGTATCAAGAAAAGTTGATGGTGTTCTAGAGGTAGACGAAGAAACGAAAGAGTCGTAGACAAGAAACCTTATTGCATTTGTTGAAGTAGGCCTAAGGGAAGTAACGATTATGAAGTGACACTTAAATATTTGTAATAATTATTCTCGCCAAAATACATAAATAATTATATGAACTTTGGTTTCAGATTTAAATAAACAAAGCCAATCAAATTTCCAAGAACTGAGGTAATAGTCTATTGTCATCTAATAAGAATTAATTAGTCACTAAAATCGATGAATATAGAAAGCAGATCACTGACTATCGTTGGCAGGATTGTAATAAGGGTGATGTGGAGGCCTGTCTCCAACTCGAGAAATTACTGACCCAATATATTCTCCTATTGGACTCCGCCATAGAATAGCAAGTTAAGATTGATATCTCATTCTCGTGGAATGATTCCTATGAACCCGTAACACAGATAGAATATTTTAGAATAAATTTACTCAATCCAATTAATGGCATTACGAATACTCCTGCTCTCTCTACAATCTTGGATTGCTCTATTTTCATTTGGGATAGAACATGCCAGCTATCAAGGATGCAATAAGCAAGAGTCGTAATTCCCAGTGGTGTTTTTTGAGACTATCTGAAGTCACCGCCTTTGTCAATTCAAAGACTATCTAACAGCATTCCGATCTATCATTAGTGCACATTCACATGAACAATTGCTACGTACTCATTCCTCTAATCAATAGGCCTAAGCCTATGGATATAAGAAATTGTATGAGCATTTCCAAACAATTAAAAATCCAGATGAACTTCTAATAGCCTTAGGCTTGTTGCAAGAGTCCTCCAAGATGTTCGAGTAAACCATTAGATGCCTTACATAAACCAAAAACAGTAATAAGAAACCAATACCCCCCATTATTTATAATCAGTTGATGGAGAGGTTTTCCAATGATCACAGTGTCACTCTTGTGATCACCAACATGGAGTTGGCCAAATTGATGGCTAGCACTGCCAAAGAGGTTCCACGAGAACAAAGAATGGGCAAAGCCATAACCTATTTGAATAAGGCTGAATAATCAATAAATGAACTTTTTAAAAAGTTTAAACACAAGAATGAGTTCCTTCTCTTGCAATAATAGTAGATTATAGCACTTAAGAAAGAGTACTTGTATCTCAATGAAAATGCTTTTAAACACCCTGTAGCAAAGGAGTATGAATTATTGCAATTGCCAGTTAAGCAGGATCTCATCAAGGCCAGGCCTCCTGAGTTATTTTAAAACAAGTGGGATAACAAATAATAGGAAGTTCATGTGGAAACCCAAAAATTAATCTAAGAAATAAATGCTCATAAAACTTACGCCCAATAAAAACTATTAGATCTACAAAACAATTTTAATTAGATTTATTCCTAATACAACATACAATTCATGATTGATTCTTACTAGAATGCTGAATCTCTAAAATTAACCCAATCAATCTAACTTAAAGTTGACTTTATTAAACAAAAGGGAGGATGGAAAGGATGCCAACAATAAATTCAGAAGATCCATCAACTGCAGCAAGAATAAGGGAAGAAATTAATAAACCTCAAAAATCAATTCGATTTATCCTCCATGCAAAAAGAATTTCCCCCTCAGGGATATTAACTCTTTACGTAATAGATTGAAAATTTCAGAAGACATGTCGAGGGTATTTGATGTCATGATAATAAATAGACTTACAAAAGAAGCTTTTAGAGGCAAGCTTAATAAATAGAACGACGGAAGAACAGATCAAGGGCATCAAGGATCAATTATTATTTATTGAATAGAACAACAATCAAATGATAGCCAGTAAAATGTAGAATTCCCTGTAGGAGTCTCAGAACTTCTTCAGGAAGAATTTAAACACTTTGAAAAAACTGTCTGTCATTGTTGAGACCATATTTAACAAAATGGACTTAATAAAAATCCAATTGGCAGGCCTAGAGAAGTATATAGATGACATGGGATTGGATCAGAGCAGCAATTAAAAAATCGACGCAAATCTTCTATTATAAGCATTAAAGATGATCCAAATAAAGATTAAAGAATATGATGCTATAGTAACAACAATTACATTTATTTAGTTTAATTCCATAAATCTAAAGGAATTAGAACAGATTGCATCTCAAATGGAGGACAAATAGCAGTTCCTTATCGTTGCCAATTAGGGAGAAGAAGATTTTGAGGATTCTCTAAAAGTTATTCAGGAAGTATTTTACAATTTGGAATATGCTCAATAATTTTACGAGTATTTATATTAAAGCTATATGTTTAGTTCCATTTCATAAGAGGTTGCCTAATTAACCAACATTATTAATGAATTTACAAATGATAGCGGTTGAATTATAAATAAAATTAAATCAATGCTAATAGAACACTAAATATTTATGATTTAGTTGTTTCAGGTTATTAAGTTATAATTGATCATTGAGTCCTCCCTCTACCACTCTCTTTTGATAGTAATACACCTCCTTAATTCTTGAATGAACCAAAGCCATGGCACACATGATGCAAGGTTCTAAGTATATTACCAACGTCATGTCTTTTGCGTAATACTGAATATCATGAAAGTGCTTCTATTGATTCTCATTTTTGTTGTGATCTGCCAATTTCTCCATAGCAACCATGACACAATGTCTAGCATTATTGATGTGCGTTTCATCTTCTGCTTCGATCACGATAGTGTTGTCCTCATCATAGAGGATGCATTTATTCCTTGTGACTTTGGTATCCAAAATCTATTGCATTCTCTGGGCTGCATCTTTGTTTTGCTTATGTGGATATTCATAATTCGGATGCAAGATATTCCAATATTCATTATACAGAGACTTCTAATCTTTGTGAATAGGGGCAATGCTTGGCAATTCAATTTCAAGATATTCCTCCACTTCAAAGTCCACCTTCATCTTTTCTAAGTCCTATTGATAACAATCAGCTAACTACTTCTGGAAAACAAAATAGCATCAAAACATGATCCTTCTCTTTACCTTGTTTAACCAATTTCAGATAATCATGTTGATAGAAGTATTGGTGATATTTTTGCTTATACAGTTTTATTTATTTCTCAGTATTTTCCTTCTTTATCTTTGCAATAACAAATGTCTTAAGTGGAGGTTGTTTCACATATCCTACAGGCATTAATTATTAGAATTGCATTTATATTAAATAATAAAATCGCTTATAGTATTTTAATTTTGATTCTCTAATTGTATTAATTATCAGATTGGCATCAATAAGATATTGGGCTATGTAATTGCATGGTTCATATCCTCACTTTAATGAGTCATAATATGAATAGCATAAATACATAATAAGAAAATATTTCTGATGTTATGAATAGTGGCATTTTGAATTAAATTAAAAAGATTTTAATTTTTTCTTTAAACAATCATGGTAAGAATAGTGATTACTATTATCTATAGGCTAGAGGACCCAAGAAACATATGAAAAGAATCACAGCACCCAAGAGTTGGATGCTCTCAAAATTGGGAGGAAATTGGACAACAAGACCCTCATAAGGACCCCATAAATTGAGAGAATCAATTCCTTTGTCTGTAATATTGCAACATAAACTGAAATACGCTTTGTATGCAAGAGATGTCTAAATGATTCTTGCTGATAAGGATGGTAATATTAAAGTTGACGGAAAAGTGAGATCTGACTTCGGATATCCAGTTGGTTTATAAGGTACTTTTATATAATTAATGAGTCAGACGTCATCACAATTGACAAGACAAGAGAAAGTTACAGAGTTTTGTATGATGTCCAAGGAAAATTCATATTAAAATCAATCAAACCAGATGAGGCCAAATTCAAGTTAGTCAAAGTAACCCAAAAGAAGGTTGGACCAAACAATGTCCCTTACATTGTCACCAACGATGCCAGAACCATCAGATACCCAAATCCTGAAATTCACGTCAATGACACATTAAAAATCGATTTGGAAACTGGAAAGGTTGTCGATTTCCTCAAGGAAGAACCAGGTAATGTGTGTATCTATAATATCAATTAGGAAATTTGTGTTACATCATCGGAGGTAATAACATTGGAAGAGTGGGTCTCATCCAACACAGAGAAAGACATCTTGGATCATTTGACATTGTCCATGTTAAAGTATCAATTAATAAAGATATATCTTAGGACTCAAATGGCAAGCACTTCTCTACAAGAATCAACAATATCTTCACAATCGGCAAAGGAAAGAAGTCCTTGATTTCACTCCCAGATGATAACGGTTTGTATTTGACAGCTCTTGAAAAGAAATAAGCCAGAGAACACCAAGAAGAACCCAAATAATAGTGATAATTCTAAAGTATAGTACACATTTACATAAAATATTAAATAATTCATTTCATTAAATCGAGCAACACCAACCCTTTTTTTATTATTTTTTCCTATTCTCAATTTACAACTATTCAAGTTTAAACAAATCAAATAAGAACAAGTCATACACTTTTTATTATTTTGTAACTCTATCTCTAAAAGAGACCTAATGATCTCGTCTTGTCTTGTCGATGACATTTCCAAATCGATCATAACGAACCTTGAGTGTAGCATCGTTCGATAGCTTCATTGATTTGCTGCTAGTATAGGACAATACATCATCTGGAGTAGATGGTTATTGCTGCTTTAAAATGTCGAACTGAGGTTTAGGTGCAACTCTTTCTTATTTCATATTAATTTAAATTAAAAATCATGTAATAAGATATCAATGTATTATGATGTGATTATTAATAAATATTATCCTTCTATATATATATGTGAGAATAGTTTCCATTTATATAATAATATTATTTATATATATATATGTATTGTACATCGTTTGATAATGCAAATCATTTCTTTTATGCCTTAGATGCAGCAATTTCGTTTCTTCTTCTGACAGCATTGGCTCTGTTCAATTTGACCAATTTTCTGAGAGCTGCCTTCTACAATCCGAGTCTTCTTGTGCCGAATCTCTTTCTGATTACCTAGGGTTGATAAGACATGACATACTCTTGAGGCTGTGTGGATTCCGTGTTTGACACTCAAGGTTGAAGCATAAACTGATTGAGTATTCTTGGTCTTTCTGTCAGCCTATTGGAATTTGGTGCTCTTTCTGGCAACCAAATTCACATTGTTGATTTAATTAACCTTTGCTTATGTTGGTACTACTCCAATAGCATTTTATGTAATGAATCCTTTTTTATATTAACATAGGCTCTGTACCTGTGCTGCTGTATGTTTAAACTCCAGTGTTGTTGAATGGATCGGTTGAGAGTGTCAATCCGTTTCTCTTGACCAAAAAAGCATTGTTGCCCTTAACTACTTCCCAAAGCACTGATTAAGACATTAATTTAAAATAGATATTTAATTTTTTTTTAAAAATTTAAGTAATTCATTAATGCTAACCATCACTATTAAAGATGTTCTTCGCATGTGCCATTGCATTTTCAGGATGTAATGCATCTTTGCATTCTTTCTCTGCCAAAATGCACACTACAATTGTACCCAACTACACAATATCAATTGAATTTCTACTTTCAAGATAAAGTTGATAACGGACAACACCAACACAAAAGTTTAAATTCCATCAGCCCAATTATGACTGAAAGTGGACGAATTCCAAAATGGACCCCAATAAACAAGCCAAACGAAATCAATAATCCACGAATAAACAAATAGGTAAATTAATCTAATCTTTTGCGATACCTAAATTCACTCAGATGATTCACTTACAGGTCTGTCTATATCCCAAAGTAAATATGCAAAGGCGAATAGTGGGAGATTGTAGTCGGGTCTTGCATAACAGGTGAAGCAAGAGACGAATGCAATAGCAAGAAACAATTTCTTAGGCCACTCCTACATTTCAAATATTATATAAATAATTATCTATTATCAATGATTGGTTAAGAGTATAAATATAATTAATTAATATGATGCCCATTCATTATTAGAGACAACTGTCGCAGAAATCCAGGAGAACTCCAGTCTCCACCAACAGTATGTATTTATATCACCTCCTCCTCTATTACCGCACTTTTATATCCTATTTTTATATAGACAATATTGTAGGATTGGATTCGCTGTTACACTAACGAATAATCATAGACCTCGTGTAAAAAGAGTCAAATTAGTCCCCTGGAAACACAGTCATGAAATTATAAAAGCACAGTAGCTTCACCCTCAAACCTAATAGATTGCCATCCCTTAAGATGCTTAAAGATTATGGACTCACTGAGGAAGAGAAAGGAACTTACGGAGATAGGTAATTATTGGGTTTCGACAAGCTTGAACTCTTGGGAAGGTACTTCATTTATTTTACTCTTATTCAGGGGAGGATTTGCTCTGGTCTGGTTGGCATCCAAAGGCAATCAGAAGGTGGCGTTGAAACAAATAGCCAAACCACAATAGAGCAAAGAGGCAAAATTCAGTTACATCAAATCCGAAAACATAGTCTAGATCATGGGAGTCGAACATTCAAACAAAGATACCTGGATTATACAGGAGTTGGGAGGCAAACCACTCAGCAAAGTGCTGTACACCATGAAAGGGGAATTCTACAAGGGAGAAAGAGTCTATGCGGTACAATCAATCTAATGTCTTAGATAAGTGAGACTCAGTAATTGTTGGACATGTATGAACATCCACAAAAACTCATCGAATTGATGCATGGAATTTTGAATGGAATCTCATGTATCAATGACAAACGTGTTACTCATTTCGATCTCAAACCAGACAATATTTTAGTTGAAAATAATATACCCAAGATCATAGATTTTGGATCAGCATTCTCTAATGAGGACAAGGATCAATTCGGAATGATAACTCCTGAATACATGGCTCCTGAAGCCCTTGATATCATGCATAATTGGACCAGATACTCAAATCAATACAGCAGCTAAATTGAAGCCCTTACTCAAATGCATGGGACTCCAAAAATCGACGTTTGGAGTTATGGTATTTTTATAAACAAATCAAGGGGCAATCATACTTGACATATTACATGGTGTTCCTAATTGGCTATCCTATAAGGGCAAAATCATGAGATAAGGAAGACCCCAAATCAAATATGGCCTATTTGCTGTCAAAGGAAGAGATTTAAGCAAGTAATTATACACATTACTCATCAAGAATCATCTAAAAACAATAGCAATTGCAATTGAACTCAGTCATAAGACAGAACTGCAATTATCTATCTTTGGTCAAATAAAATTAACTCCTAGATTTACTAAAACAATGTCTGGCCTATGATCCAATGCAAAGATCAGAAGCCAAAGAATTACTAAAACACGAATTCTTTAATTAAATCTGATGTAAATTTTATTCCTTTAGCTAATTTATAATTATATTCAATGACTCTTGTATTTATTAATAAAATAAGATCTAGTTACTTCTGCCACGCTCATTGAAATTGCAGTATTAGGGCATGTGTACAACACTTTAGCCATCGACCCCTTTGTTAAAGACAATATCCCCTCATTTCTTACAACCTTGTACAATCCATGGATTAAGTTCTTGTATCCAAAATTACCTGTTTCTGCATGAGTTGCCAATGAGGCTCTCTAGACCTGCATTCTCAGTCTCACGATATCCATAGGATTGCATATAAATCCTGCCATCGATCCTGCTATCCCCGATAGACAAAGACTCTCTAAAAAGGATGGTTACAATGGATTTTCCAAAATTGCTATTTTATTTCCTATAATCTTAATTACTTTTTAATTTCTCATAAAACATAAAATAGAATGCACTAAAGGGTCCATATGAGGCTACAGTTGCTCCATAAGCTCTATACAAACCAACCACTCCTTCTGACTTTAGAATTTTTTGGATGGCATCCTAGAATATACACAGCAATATACAAATGTATTTTTATAATCAAAAACCTTTAAATTGCTTTGAACTTATAATCTCTCTTTTATCACGTCTATTGGCAACCAGAAAACACAACTGACAGTTTCAGCCATCATTCCAGATGTGAAGGATATTAAATTGGGACTGTCCTTCATAAACTAAGATAAATGACACAATTTACACTCAATTAATTTAACAAGTACTTTGATGTTTCGTAAGTAGTTAAATATAAAGAATACGCAGGTCCTGTTCCTATCTATATAGAAATTATCATTTTTACTATCGTTATTCCAAGTCCTTTGTAAAGTCCACGAAGACCCTCAGTTCTTAAGGTCTCCTTTGCCAAAGTTGAAATCAATTTGTCAGCTTTAATCTTAAGCATCATTGTTTGTCTAATCTTTTAATTGGAATATAAAGTACCTGTATCTTAGCTCTTATTGTATCAATTGGGTGACAAGCTATTTTCCCTATGATTCCTGCAAACATACTAGAGTAAGTAGTAATCCTAATTATTAATGTGTCATCATTCATTATTTAATGTAAATAATTTATAATTAAAAATAATGAAAAAAGTTGTATTATAAAAATTGTTATTAATAAATGCAATATATAAAATATTCACAGAATTATGTTGAAGAATATCTTTGAGCTTTTTGATAATTTGAATTAAAGATTTGGTTTAACAATCTGTTTCCTTATTATTTTAATTCAAAATTTGAGTATTTAAAAACAGTAGAGAAAAAGAAAGGGTTATCTTAACCATAAACAAGGATAAGAATTTCATAATATTAATTATATATATTCCCATTATTTCTCACCATGAAAATAAAAACTAAGGCTGTCTATAAATATAAAAATTTAAATTTACTATTCTCTAATTTGACTTTACAATATTAATTATTAAGTGTTTAAATAAAATTCTTTAAAAAAGATGACAAAATGTTATTACTAATAATTAATATCAAACCAAAACATCATTTAAATCTAATAGCAATTACTCAGAATGTTTCAAATTTATCATGTTAAAATATTATTTATATATATATAATAATATGAATAAGGATAAATTATAAAGTTAAATTTTGGCTTTTTTTGTTTTTGAGGTAAATTGTGTAATATATATTTTAGATTAATACTACTAATGAGTTTTATATTGTTAACAAATTTACAAAGTAAATGTATAACATTTTAATAAGGTAATGCAGTATTAGAGGGTTTTTAAAAATCCAGAATTATTCCTATAAGCGATATAACTGGTTTTATTTTTTAAAAATCAAATGGGTTCCAAAATTTTATGTTCTGACTTTCCAATTTAATAATTTAATGGTTTTATGTAAAAAAAAGAAATATTATTAATTTAAAATAATTTTCATTTTAAATTTTATAGGACAAGTAATCTCTTTTAAGATGATTTTTCTACATCTAAAGTCTCTTGTCTAGTGTGGAATTCGATCGTACTAATTGGTTGTTTATTTTGTTGATATTTTTCTCTGGTTTATATCATAAGTTTTCCTAAGGGAATGGCAAATTTCTTAAGTTTTTTGTATAACATCATTATTCTATTTCTTTTATCAGTTCTGGTTTCCAAGGCCTTATCCAGATATTTAAAACTCTTATAATTTGGATATTGTTTTTTAATGAAGTTTTTGATTCTATCAAGAGTATCTTCATATTATTAAGCATATTTGGATACAATCTAAATCAAAATAGATTAAAGGAATAAAAAATTTAATAGGGCCATAATTACTAAAAAGGGTATTTACAACTCTTTAATACCCGCCTCTTGTGCTATATAGGCTCCAATTGCTAAACAAATAGTGATCATACAAATATTAGCTGAATAATAATCTAACTTATTCATTCTATTCATTGAATATGGTTGATAATTTTGATTTAATTCCTAATAAAAATAAGTGATGAGAAGCACTAGGACACCTTTAATGACTATGCTGTCTTCATAGTATATAAGTGATAGGATGATCAGTTCTTTTTCAATGATTTTAATTAATTCCCAGAAGTATACAGTTTCTTTGTATTCAACATACAGATATGCCCAACGCATTTTTACTTCTTTTTTGGAAGTAAGATTTTTTTTATTACTGAAAAGTCCGTAGAAAAAGAAACACGGTATGAGAACAGCCAAAATAATGAGAGCTGGCAAACTGAACTTCAGCATCCATTATAAATGGTCAGGAGTATCGTATCTATCAGCTACGTTTGCCTTGATCCACTTAAAGCCGGATATATCTCTATAGGACACTAATTAGACAAAACCATTTATTAAATTTGGTTAGAAATAAATGTAGAAATAAATTAAGGTGGTTGACATAACACTACAATTTAAGGTTGATTCAATAAGATGCTATTTAGAAGCAATGAAAAATAAGCCCATGAATAGAGTAATATAAAGGATTGGCAAAATAATCTGCCAAATCATTCTAGTATATTGTATTTAAATATTAGAGAAATCAACTAAGAAGCAATCGAGTGAATAAGTTGCTGTTTATATAGGATTACCTACCCCATCAATCGTACTAACTAATCCTTATGGTAATTGTAATTAAAAGGTAGTTATGGTTGCAATAATTTAGAAATAATTGGTCAAAATTTTAATTAAAATACTTGATTGAGGACTGAGTTTAGTAAGCGTGGATCGAATGAAGGGGTTAAATTTGCTAAACTCATCTATCGAACTTAAAGTTCCTTTAATAGAGATTAACAAAAATATGAGGGTAATAATAATGATACCAACAATTAGAGCTATATTCTAGTATTTATCTTAACATGTTCCACAAGAGTATCTGCTTACAACTGAGAATGAACCATCTCCTCTTGTATCGTATAAGTCACATTATTCGCAAAGTGCTCCTATGTGACCAACATAACAAGAGATATCACCGTTTTTCCATCCTCCTAAACAATTACTTTGTAAATTTATGCAAGGGCTGATTGATGATGTATCGAAATACGGTCTCCAATAACCAGGTCTAAGTTACAATTAATTTGATCTGACCGAGATTGTTGATATATCATCTTAGATATCACATTTTTGAGCATTTAGAGTTAAAGAAAATAGACCTTATATTGAATCGCAAATTGAACAAGAGTAGTCAGTTAAATTTTTAATTTCTCCAAATTAACATTCCAAAGTCTTAACATTGATTCTAAGGCTATAATCATTGTGAAAACTTAGAGTTTAGTAAGGATAGGTGGAATTGAATATCGGAATTTTTATTGAATTACATTGAAATTCTAACTATAATACAATCTCTTCAGGAGCGTCGTTATCAAAATATACTATCAGATCATCTAGTTTGTAATCTTAAGTTTCAGCATCAAAAATAATTGTGTTGTATTTAGTGAAATTATTTGTAAATTCTTAATCCTCATCCTACTCTGAAATGTTATATCTTCTACTATTTATTGTACAAACAGTGTTTGTTAAGTTTTAAATCAAATGCATTTTTCTATTTTCAGCATGAATTCTAAAAATTAACCCATAATTGATATAATTTTAATTCTTCCAATCAAAAAATTAATAAGTTGATATCTACTGTCCAGTGGGCAATAAAATAAATTTAGAATTTTTTCCATTTATTGAGGTAAAAGGCTTAACAGCAACTTCTTCTATTTTTGTAGTTGAATTTTCAACTAAGACCTTACTTTGAAGCATCTCATCTTATGTGATTTATATGGCCAGCTTTTCAGGATTCGATGCAACATTATCCCCATAAAAATTGGCATAATTCAAAATAACTCTAGTTTTTAATAATTCATAATTTAGAGCAAATATCTTTTCTAGATACATTCCTCCGCCCGCTTCTGCTTTATTGTATTAAATTAGTGAGTTTTCTATAATTATTTCATCTGACCCTTTTACTACAACAGCACCTCCTTAGAATGTTGCATTATTATATTAGAACACGCTATCTTGAATTAATGAGAAAATTGAATTTAGATTCAGACAAGTTCCAGTAAACCCTAAATTATTTTCACAAATGTAATCAGTAATCTATAGTTCATATCCTTATTAGAATACTTCCTCTTAGGTTAGAATTCTAGCATTCTATCCTAACAATTTCTCAAGAACCACACATCCCTTTTTCCCGCAAATTGAATTAGTTACCTTGAGATTTTAGACTAATTAAGTTGATTACAATTTAGTTTCATTTAAAAGTTGCAGATATAGTAATCCATTAGTGCAATTAACACAGGAGATGTTACTCAAATCAAACTAACTTATTTTCACATAGTCTTGATCTTCTACATCATTAATAATTATTAAGCCTGAAGTAGATAAGTCTAAATTTAATCTAATAATTTTATTGATGCATAGTCCTCTATCTACACTCTCATCGATAATATCATTTTCTATATATGCAGGAGCACCTCCAAATCCAGCTGCACATGCAAAATTAATAATTTAATTCGTTTCAGGTGTGATTACACAACCTGCAGATTACTCTTCAAATCCAACAATTATTGATCGAAACTTATTGCGAATCAAGTTTACATCTAAATAAATTAAATAAAATAATTACATTAATTTTAGGACATTCTAATAAGATTATTACTGATTTGACAATCCTCAATTACGATGTCTGACAGGTATATAAAATTTGAACTTTCCAAGTTAAGAAAAGATTCAAAAATCAAATTATTAACAGTTATATTTTGTATTAAGATATTGGATCCATATCCTATTAAAATTGATGATCTATTATTAATTAAACTACTTATTTCTTATTAAGTTGACAGTTCACTAAATTAATTCAGATATTTAATATAGCCACTCTGAGAATTAATAATTTCCACCTCTTATATGTTCACTGTTTATTGATCTTCTACTAAATTAGAGTATGACACATAAACGATAGATCCTTGCTATGCGTAGACATCATTAAACCTTCCATCCGCCATTGTAAGATGAGCTTCAGAGTTGTTAGATTTAAGATATAAGAAGCCTCCATACTATCTGCAATAAACATTACGAACAGTTATGTTTCTGATTATAATTTCCAAATAAGAGGTTGAGGACCCATCTATATAGAAGAGACCTCCTTATTCAACTTCAGATATGAATAATGTTGAAAAATTTTAGAATATGTTGTTAATGATTTCAATGGTGGATAATTTTAAAGCTGAAACTGAAAAACAACCTCCTAATTTTCCAACGGAATTATAGAATGTGCTGTTCAGAATTTTCAATTATTCACTAATTATTTAACCATTTCCAGCTGTTGAAGTAACCTTAAAGAATTAGCGAATAGCTTTTTGAGTTACGGTTTGGGTGAATGCCCATATTAAATAAGGTTGAAGTACTTTGTAATTAAAGACACTATTATTTTCAAATAAACAGTTGCTAATTTCTAACTGCTGACTTTTAATATACAAAATGCTTGTAGTGCTATTCGTTACTAGATTGTTTTAGAAGGTTGAGTACTTGATACCTATCTGACAAGAAGGACAATCTACAAAAAGTAATCCAGCCGCTAATATAAACCCTTCTTCTATATAAACATGTAGGAGATTATTCTTAAAAGTAATATTTTAAATCGATATTATGGTTTCCTAAGAGGATTAAATACCAATTAAAGAAGTATGGATGACAGAATCGGATAATAACATTAGGTTTTCTGAAAAGACAATGTCTTTTAAAAGAATTGTAGAGTTTTCTATATCTTTCAAAATATCAGTTAAAATGATTGAAATAAATGGAAAATTGTATGACTCTACTTTTGAAAATGTGAGGTTTGACATCCTGATATCACTAGTTGTTATTATATTCAGGGATATTGAGTAATACTACCCATCCACATATAATAGTTAGCAGGGCAAATACTTATGCAATCCTAGGAATTTATATTTATCTTGTATTATTATTCCATTTTAAATTGATAAAGTTTAACACTCAATGACAGTAATATCATTAAATCCATAACCTCTATTAATGATAAAGTCAGACAATTCGACTTGATTAAATTAAATGAGTATTAAAGATGCAGCCTCTTGTTTCATATTGTATGTTAAGCTGGCATCAATTAAATAGTTAGTGAGTTAATTTAATTGACTGATTTTTATAATTTAGTGTAGACTTGAGTGTTTTTGAAAGTAAATAAATTTGATTGCACTATTGTACTCGTTACTTTCAAATCTAATATTATTGATTTAATAGAGTAATTATACTGAACTGTTCTTGAAATCGGAGTTGTAAATTAAAACTGAATTGTCCATAATCTAATTATTGTTGAAATTCAAATTTTCTAAGCTGGCAATGTTGTTGAGTAAGAGTAGAGATGTGTTTCCAAGAACTGCAGTATAAAGTACAAAATTTGATATCGATAGAGACTTAGCTTTTTCAAGATTTATGAAATCACTAGAATCGGTGATGTTGGCAGTTATGAGTATATTGTTCATAGTAATCTAGCCACCTTTGAAATCATCTGAATTAATTTTAATTAGATTTACTACTTCCAAAATTCCAGCTATCTCAAAACTTTCTAAGGATACTTAATCATCACTTTTTAAATACAAATTAATTATTCTGAAATCCGTAATATTGAGACTAATAGTTTTGAAATTCTTTATGGTTATCTTTTTTGAAAAGGTTGTACTTTATAGATCAAATATTTATGAGGGACCCGTATTTTTTATCCCATCGAGAGTCAAACCGTCTACGTACAAATTAGAGACATTTTATAATTCCAAAATAAAAGGCGCACTACTATCTTCACTAAAGTGGTCAATATATATTTAATTTAGTATAATAGATTAAGGAAATACGCTGATAAATGAAATTTTTTCGTCTTCACAATATAAGCATCCATTTATCCGAAAATTTTGAATAGTGATTTTATTGAAATTTATAAATGAAATAACCAAATCTCTGTTTAAAGTAAAAGTTGAAGTTTCAGGGAAATTAAGTTCAATTTCCACATTACTTGAAATAATGATAAATAATACATCAGTGAAAATATATTGTAGGAGAACATTTGTTTGATTCCAGTGAATAAATCCACAGAATATGAGATGGGTGATGAAGTAGTTATTTAAATTACAATCGATTTAATATGGTTAGCATTTGCTAAGGAGTAAAATTCATCATTTTAATACTAAAATATAGGTAACAATAATACTTCCTAGAATATGAAATCCTAATCAAACAAATTTTTCATTTAAATGTTTTCCCTTCTAAATTTTAACTTGCTCTCCTCATCAGTTAATGAATTGTAAACTTTATTGTATTCAGTTGAGCTTTAGTAAACATTTAATTTGATGACCAACTACTTCTTGCAGCCACCAGATGAAGGCGATTCACAATGCACAAAGACCCCAATATCCTCATCATAACTATAGTCTTAATCTTGAAAGCTTAAGATGCATTAATGAGAGTATTTTTCATATTTAGTGTTATTGAATAACGGGTTAATCTTATTGATTTCCTCCTGTGTTCTTGGCCTACATAGAGCACAATCTTCTGGACATTCTATACATTCATTATTGTAAGTAGATTGTTTTCTTCCTTTTTGATCACTTTAGCACCTAACACAATAATACTGTTCATCCTTAAATAAGCATTCTGCACAGGTATCAGAACAGTATTTAATGCATTTATTCTTATATAGTCTATACCCATCTTAACAGGATGAACAAACTATTTCATAATCACTAACATTTTAACTCTATGCATTTAGGATATATTAATGTGTGTTTTTTATTTCGATATACTTTTTATAAAATGCTCTAACATCTTTTTTCCAATGATCCTTTTAGACTGAGTGTTGAGAGTAACATGAAATACAATGAAGTTGACTTGGACATTAAACGCATTGATTGCTTATATATTCCGCATAATATCCATTTTAACATTCCAAACAGGTGTAATAATTTTGAATGTTAGTTTCAAGACAGACTTGACAATTATTAATTAATTTATCGCATTTTTCCATAAATTCAACAACTTGGTTTTCATAATAATATGATTTGAGACAAGTGACACTTTCTAGCGATTGATCACTTGATTTTAGTTAACCAATGCCAATATCACATTGATTGTTGATATTATTAAAAACACACGATTAAGTTTCAAATACGAAAACGTAGTTTGGTTAGCATTTTGCGCATAAAAATTTGATCTTGCTTTAATCGAATTAAGGTACGAAATAGATATCCAGAGTATTTGTTGTGTAGTTATCTATAAGTGCAGAAAATGCATGAACACAATTTGGAATTACATTAGATATGCAGTTAATACCATCAAAAGAAAATGAATACATGGAGTCGTCAATACATTTTAAACATTTTAGATAGTTTTGTCCCAAATAAGGATCATAATAGTCTGCGCAAATATCACAACGAAGTCCACATTGTTTACATACTCCTGACTACAAGGCGTAATATTATATACAAGTATCACATATCACTTTTTATTTATATGAACAAGCATAACAATTAGTAGGACATTTGCCACATGACATATAATTTTAAACGTAATAACCTTGAACACATAGACTACATCCAGGAACAAAGTTGACAAGTAAACAATTAGCAATACCTGGATTTACACAGGCTTACAACTCATCATGATAGTAAAATGTTGGTTTGCATTCAGCCTTTATACGCTTTCCAAGATGGTATTTAGTCAATGGCAAGCAAGAATCGGTATAACAATAAGAAGCAAGTTCAGGATTTAGGTGTAGTGCTCTATCAGATTCTATAGAATAAACATCGTTTTGGGCAGCAGTCCTTGTTATCAAATGGTATGCCTCATAATCATTCAATTATTTGATTGTGTAATAGTCCATAGTGCACACAGGTTCCAGATAAAACGTTAAAGGATAGAAATAACAATTCACACACAACACTCCGAAGAAATTTTTGACTTAAGGACTAAAATATAATATTCATATGATATACCATTCTAAGCAATCAAATCCGCTCCCATCATCTTTGGGTAATCTAAAATTACCAATTGGACATGGTACTTCTAAATCAATTGGCAATTCTTCTTATTGAACTGATGAGTAAAATTTATTGTCACAGATAAGGATGCCTTTATCTAGATAACCAGAATTGCATTTGCACATTTTTAATTCGACTTGATAAAATCTATTGGAATTAGAATCACATGTTAAACAATTAGATATTAATGGTCCATCACAGGTCAGGCAAGTATAATGGCAATCTAACGTAATTTAGATAGATACTTAGGTTAAATGGTTTATCTTCGGCATAGTTATATTGCATTTTGAAATCATATATATAGGCTTCAATAAATTCATTATTGGTATTTGAATTAATACTATCTCCACCAAAAAATAAATTAAATCTTGCATTTGTAAATGAGCCACTGAAAATATTGTTTCCTAGATTTTCATATAGCTTTCCTAAATCATTTGAAAATTAAATCTACAATAGCATCCTTTAATCAATATTGCTTCTTCCATATTCATATTAAATATAATGCCATTGTTATAATCCTTCGAAATATAGCTAGGAACTGAGATCTTTATAAGTTCTTTTCGCTTATAGTACACTATAGTCTGGATTTACGGATCCTTAGAATAATAGATCATATTGTGATTGGAATGACTACTTCACAGGCATACCATAAGCATCAGCATTTATAATTAGGGAAGTAGATTTAGGATTTGTCTTTGAAATAAAACTTTCTATTCGAAACAACTCGTCTCCTAGTGTAATCTCTTTCTCAAAGTTGTATTGACCTGACAACTTCAACAGAGTATAACTTTGTTCATCCACTTTTGGCAATGAATATTTAACCCATCCCTAAAAATAATACCTATTTCCATAATGATCTAAGAATTGCTAAAGCACTTAATTTCCTTCAAATAACTTTAATCCCGATATGATATTGATGGTTTATTCTCCAGTAAGCATTGGTGGAATCTTGCAAGTTTACACTTATTATGCGAAGGTATTTGTTGAGTAAATAAATTTGGGCATATAAATTAACTTCGATTATTTGCCTCTAAATGAGTTGAGATTCAACGAGTCAATCTAATTAGATTATATGGTTAATTACATATCCTCTTCCTCCGATACTGATTTGTAAACTCAATTGATTTTATAAATCAAAATTTGCTTATTATTTTTCTAAGCTACTCACTTCAACAACAATTTTGTTTAAAGCTGGCTACAATAAAATCTGATGGTAAATCCAGATTCCTTCGTATTGCAATGATCCAAATGAGAATATAAATTTTTGGCTAATATCTTAATTAATGAATTTAATGGTGTGCTTGACCTGTCTGTTTATGTAATCGTAGGATTTAAAACCGTAAATAAAGTTTGAGTTAGTCAATGAATCTTTGACAAAAAATAACAGTTATCCATCTTCTGACACATCATTTTTAAACGGCCCATCTCTATTTATAGTTTCAAGCTTCTCAAGCAATGGAATACTGATACTCCAGAATGCGAATCCAAATGTATCATAGTTTTCATTATCATTAATGGATTCAGTGTAGCTTTGAGTAGATGTTTCGATGACCGAAAGAGCATTTTTGTAGTTGGTAAAAGGACATACTGAGGTGCACTCTCCTGTAATTAAATGTTGTAGCAACATAAGAGCAATGTAAATTTGTATTGAAATCTGTTGAATCATTAAAAAAAAATATTTTATCTCTTTTCTAATATCATAATATAAAGGCAATATATGTATCAATTTTTTAAGTATTAAATATCGTCAGAATGAATTATTAAGTATTAAGTGAAGTCGTTTATAATTTTGGTTAACTGAATACATTTAATTTGATTGAAATAAGATTTCCAAGTACATATATTGTAATATAGTGGTTAAATGGAGTGAATTGAGAAATTAAGCAAAAAGTGAGGAGAGATTGATTAAATAATGAATATTTGAGATTATGTTAATGAATTGAGTTTATTTTCATAAAAAAAAGATTTAATTAATTTTGAAAAAATAAGAGAGAGAATGACATTTATTGTAAAGACCAGAAAAGTATTGCTTAACAAGCTCTTGAATAGAAGATAATTAGTAAGAAAGTGGTTAATAAAAGAGTGTTGAATTACTCCATCCAAATAAGCCCACTCCTTCTTAGGAATCAGTGGTGAAGGAATTGGCTTCTAAGTACAAGGCTGACGAAAGAAATGTTGTTGTGTATGGTTTGAGAACACAATTCGGAGGAAACAGAACGAATGGATTCGCTTTGATCTACGATACATAATAGTAATGGATGGAGAAATAATGTTAGATATCTATTGAAATTCGAACCAAAATTCAGATTGAGAAGAAGAGCCATCATCCCAAAGAGAGATGGAAGCAGAAAGGGATGGAAGGAAGTCAAGTCCAAGTTGAAGAAGACCAGAGGAGCTGAAAAAACAAAAATCTACATGTCTAGAAAGACTGACAAGAGAGAAGTCATCAGAGTTCAGAAGGAGACTTATCTTAAGGGTTTTGTAGGAAAGTGATAGCAATTTATTGAAATTAAAAGAGTACATTATAAAATTATATATATATAATGATTCTGATTTGATGGAAGAAGTGAGATGGATGATAATTGTTAAAATATAATAAATAAATTATCGTTTTTGATTGATGCGATCCACAACAACCAGAAGATCAGAATAAGTGATAACCAGTCAGTATGTAACTCCTCAAGGGATTTGCGATCCAGAACAAGCCAAAGCCATAGCAAAGAAACTCTTTGATTTGTACGATAGAGACAGAAATGGCATCATTGATGGCCCAGAAGGTTAGAAATAGAACCTATAGTAGTTTCCCCAATGTTGGTAGACGCCTATCGAGGAATGAGCAAGGCCTTCAATCCAACTCAAGTAAAATATCATATTAAGAACAGGCAGATGTGGATACTTTCGTCTAGGTTTTGGATGTCAACAGAGACGGCAAGATCACCTATTAGGATGTGGAGAATTATGCTTTGCGCATACTTGTTCAAAATAATATTAATTATTTAGGCTGGTATCCAACCACTACCCTCTTACAGCATCCAATTACCACCCTAGAGACAATATAATAGAATGGTCGAAGAGAGATTGGAAGTCGCCAGAAGACTATTTAAGAAATTTGATGTCACTCAATGTGGTTTCTTGACTAGAAACGAAGTAATTCAAATATACAGACAATCGTTAGGTTCCAGGGTTGTTGAGGGAAACCTACAAGCAATTGAATATTGAATTCGAACCAACCCCTCAAGATGTCCAAGCTTGGATGGACATGACCGACACAGATTGCGATGGCAAAGTAGCTTTACAGGATTTCGAGTAATCAATTATTAGGTCTTTGTAAGAATAGGGCATATCCCTTTATTGAATGAGAATATAAATTAAAATATTCAATAATTAAATGTAAGGCATTCTTTTACTGCAATAACAATTTCCGAAACAACTATTCCTCATTTTATCAAAGGAATTCGATCCATCTGACAAATTAAAATTAGAATTGGAACATGTCATCGATTCACTTTTTATAACCATCAAACATTTTATTAATGAAATCATCAATACAATACCTAACTATTCTGATAATTATTCCAAGTACAACTCATCTCCTATTTTAGGTAATCACTTTTTGACCAAACCTTAGATCCTCAAAATGACTCATGGAAATAACGTTACGATGACCTCAATACCGAGTTTCTCATACTCAAAGCATGTAATTAACAAATTGAATTCCAGAAACAAGAACTTTAGTAAAAGTTAATCGATTAACGGACTAAATATGAAGACTTAAATAGATAAAAAAAAGAAGACAAAGATAATTATAGATAACAGTATGAAGCACTCAAAAAGAAAGCATAAGACAAAATTCATAGATTAAAAGATAAAGTAGTCATTTACCAAACACAACTTTAAACTTATGCCATCGAAAGCGAACATCTTAGAATCATTGCTTAAGAAGACAGGCTAAATCAACCTGCTTCTGTCAAACTCAAATTGTAAACTATTCTCAAAGAGTTACATGCTCTTAGGCAAATCTCTAATAATTTACTCTTAGAAAATTCAAAAATTATCATCCAAGCAAAAGAACAGTTATAGTTGTCTCTCATCTATAAGGATATTCAAGGAACCATCGTCAAAAGAAACAAGACTCCTCCAGACACTACCAAAATTAAACAGTACTATTCTCAAACCTAATCCATTCCCAATAGTCCGGATAGAAAATTGAAAACTGAAAAACCCTCTCTAATCAGAATAGTTAATCAAAAAAGAACTTCAGTAAGCAAAAACCTCTTGGCAGAATTTGATGTTTCTGCTCAAATCACTAAATTCATTAAATAATATTATTAAACCGATCAATAACTACGAAATAGCGCAGGATTTCAATAAAAATTGATATGATAAATTACTTATATATATTAGACTTATGCTAATCATGATAATTCAAAATGTAGTAATTATTAGTTCTAATAATTAATACTATTAACAACAAATTAAAATAATTATAATCTTAATCTATAAACTATTGATTATTTGAATTTTATATGATCAAAGACAACCATTTTCCATTTGTGACAATCCAACTATGGCTCCCAAGATAAGAAGTATATTAAATAACCCTGATGCAGTGTAGGCTATTTTCAAAATGGATTCTTTCTCTTTATAATGAGCAACCATAATCAAAATGTAGGCTAATTTATAACAAATTCCGTACCAACGAAATGTAAATAACATACTACAATTGAAAAAATTCTAGGTTAGTATAATAATGCCATTCCGATCGGTATAATGTGATATCCAAAAAAAATAGTGAAGAATTTATTCAATGCTTCTACGCTGATAAAAGAGGGTTTAGCCTCAATATGGATTATTAGATATTTACTTAAGATTGATTTGGAGGAGCTGCTCCATCATTATGTTAACCTGGTTAAGATGTGTCCTACTCAGGATGTTAATAGTATGATGCAATACTAATAACCATATAAATTAAGTAGAGTAGGAAGAGTTCGACAAATATGCCTAGAGATTTATATTGAGAGTACCTTTCCTCATGGGGGTAAAATCTTCTGTGCAAAGGGTTGTTTCAAGGTCTGTCATGTCCGACATAATATTTGAATTTGTTTTCTTTTAGTTAATAAATATAAATGTATGATAACAATTTTGATTTAATAATTTTCAATTCAAATAATGATAAATATTCCTAATAATTTGTTAAGATGGATAAATACCAGTCTTTTTCATCTCTTCTAATGTATTCTCTTTCTATCAAATTTTCAATTCTCTTTTTGATGAATAATATATCAGGTTTAAAGATTGTAATCATTTGTTAGCAATTTTCCAGCAATTCATGATGCTTAATAGTTTTTCTTGATTTCATCAACCTAACCAATTAAGAATCGACCACAAATTCCCTTTGCTTGTTAATTTGCTCCATCTATTGTAATTCCTCCTGATTTTGCTCCTTGACCTTACTCTAAAAAGCGATTAAACACTTCTTACAATTCTTTTCGGTTGCATCTTAGGATTAGGCAACAATTTCATTTTTTTGGCCCTATTATTGAAACCCAAATTCAGTTTTAGAACTTCATTTTCATCTGAAAAATCCTCAACATCCTGCTTCTCTCTTTAGATGATCTTTAAGCAAACGAAAGGAATCAATGAGTTTTCCAAATCAATCTTATCAATTTTGGTCATTTCCTAGATATTCTTAATTGAAAATGATGTCGCTTAATTGAATAAGAGAAAAGCAATCATTTGCATAGTATTCACATTCAGATAGTATTTGTCTGCTGCTAATTTATATATTAATTCCCCTTGTCCCATATTAAAACACCATGTGAGTATTCTCCCATTGTGTTTACCCAAGTATATCTTCTCGTAATTCCTAATTAAATATATTAAGTAAGTTAGTACTCCAGAACATTTTAGATTTGAATTGGCTTAATAACATTGTCTAGAATGGTGGTGATTGGCCAACAACCTTATGATAACAAGAACACATTCAAATCAAATTTAGTATCTTTACTGATCTGTTGATCTTAGGCAAACCTATTGGACTGTTCAATGTCGTTGATCATGCTGGACAATTGAGTTCTAAATATGAGTCAAATATTTACAATACATTAGTACCAGTTTCTCCCTTGAATTTCTACAACAATTGCTTCTCCAATTAGATATTCTATAGCTATTGATTGAGCAATCTGTTCGATAAGAATTTCTAATAATGTCGAAAGAACACGTCACGTTGATAAAGTAATTGAAAGAGGGATACAATTTTGCTCAACCTTTTATCAGTTTCCATCTCATTTACTCCCTTTTCGCTTCTTATGATGATATCAGTATAAATAGCTAACCACATTGGGGATTTCTCATTTTTATTGATCACCATCATAAAGGCTCCACTGTAAGACTTTTAAATCTCTGGTTCGTCTTGCAATTAATTTTTTAATATATTTTAGGCCTTTTCCATAACTTCCAACATTCTATTGAAATAGAGTTCAGCTTCATCTATGTTTGAGTAAATGATATAGATTACGTATTTAACGACCGTCTTTTACTTATTATGGTTCTTGTTCAATCGAATTATTAATCAATTGTCCTTGCTACTCAAAATAAGTTTGATAAGCCTTGGCAATATGAGTAATGCATTCCTTTGTTCTGAAGATGAATTAAAACAATTATTTCAATTCATCAGTTCTGTCATATTGCAACATATAACCAACTCCTGTGGGAGAATCCACCAATCTGGCTGCTTGATCTTTGACTAGTATCATCTTCAACTTATTTTCAATGGCCTATTGACTCTTTGGATAGCATTCTATGCATATATCCAATTCCAACTTGAAAATAGAATTACCCCAGTTTACAAACTCTGGAGTAGTAAATTTTTATTTGTCCTCTATTTCATCCTTATAGAATTTGGAAGTCTTAATATGATTTGTGTAACTTTACTTCTTGCAAAAGATAACATTGGAAATTATCTTTGTAGTATTTTTGTGCATCTTCTTGCTTTTTACAGATGTAGTCATATTCTCCTGATTCTTTCATGTACTTCAATTCAACTTCTTTGGAACCCATGACGGAAAACAATTAGATGAGTTGTTTGATTTATTTATCCAACAATATTCCATTCTTTCTTGTTTCCTAAATCAATTGTAAAATTGTGTTCAAAATCAGCTTATTGCACTTATCGAAGTATCCCTCCTTGAATAGCTTTAAGGAGGTGCTGCACAGGGTAGTTCCAACATATGGCATAGCGAATTTATCCAAATAATAAAACATTTTGTATAACCAATATGAATAAGCTTTGTAATCATGATATGTTTTTGAGACAATAATGAGTACCTGAATATAGTAATACTTATTTATACGCTCTTTTTTTCCCCTTAGAATTCTTTGAGCTTCAAATAGATATCAGCAATGAATTCATTCAAAATATCCTTAAAATATTAGATCAGCTGCTCTTCCACCTTATCTCCTTTGTTATTCTGATTCTTCGTCTAATTCTTTTAGGCTTGGGCATTACCTGCTTCTTCTGTCAACCGATAGATTTTACTTGAAATTTTAAATTGGAGTACTTGAAAATATCCATGATATCAACGTTTTTCATTTTTATTGGATTTCCACCCAACAGCCCTTGCCTTATATCGGTGGTTGCTTTTTTGCACCTATCGTAAATATCTTGTAACTGCTTTTGGTATTGCTTTTGTTTTTCAAAATTCCCTTCGATCATCTTATTCATTTAATATGTATATTTAAATATAAAAAGAAGCAACGCAGGATTAAATATTTTCAGTCACTTTTTAACCCAACTTGGTGTCAGTTTGTGAGCTATTTCTGGTTGAATTTGTAATTCCTCTATGAAAATTCATTATTGATATTACCCTTTGAGAAATCAAAGAAATTAGGCAACTTGGTGTTTTGATCTCCAAAATTTGGCTGTCTGATTTCATCAAAGTAAGGATGCAACAAAGCCTCCAACGGTTTCAATCTATCCCGTGGAGAATAAACCAGAATTTTACTGAGGAAATCTATAAAATTAGGTTCTGGTTTAAATTTACCAAACACCTAAATATTATAATCAAGAAACGATGATACCTTGGCCCAGGGATGACACTTAATTTATGGAAATTTGTATTGCTATTGTTAAGGATTCATCTACTTGATTTGATCAATAGTAGGTGTTCCCAAGATCTTGATAATTTCGACCAATTAATCAGTGGCACTTTCTCCTGGAAACAGGGGTTCTCCAATGAGCATCTCTGCAATCACACATCCTGATAACATATTTTGGAAGTCTCTTACCTATGGACCAAATGTCGATGGCCGTGGAGTACTCCGTGGCTCCAAATATTAATTCAGGAGCTCTATAATATCGTGAACATATGTAGGCAACATTGGGTTCTCCAGCCACCAATCTTTTGGCAGATCCAAAATCGCATATCTTCAGTACATGATTAGTAGGGTTTACTAATATGTTTTGAGGCTTGATGTCTCTGTGACAAATGCCAATGCCTAGATTGATTTGGAGTCAATAACCTTGCAAATAGGCCATGGCTCTGAGCATTTGGTAACTGTATATCTTGAGTGTTTGATTGGGGAAGGAGGTTTTATTGTTTTTGTAATTGCGTATCACCTTGCTTAAGGTTTCAGGGATGTAATCCATCACTAAATTCAAATAGATATCTTCCGTCTACATTAAATTTAATATAAACATTTTTGGCATTGTCTCCTTGAGTAAAGAAAGCTTACCTCAATTTCACAATGCATGGGTGATTCAACTCTGAAATTATGAGATGTTCCCTATTCTTGTATCTCCTATCTTAAAACACCTTCTTTATAGCTACTTTCTCATTGGTTTTTGTGTCGATAGCCTAAACTATCATTTTTTCGACTATACCAAATAAACCATGCCGAAAGTGCCGTTGCCTACTACTGAACAGATCTAATATTGATTGGACAGCTAATTTCCATTTTATACTTGGTAATCTTGTGGAATATCGTCTGCTTAAGTGACTATTCGTTATTTCATCCTTTATAATATTTAATATTTATATATAGATGGCAAATCAATTGATAAACAAATTTAATCCAAATTAATCATAAATCAGAATCGTAGCGTTTTTCAGTTTTTAGAAATGTAAAGTCTCGATTCTCACTTTATAGAGATGTTTCATAGTTTCCTTTATAAATAAGCAAGTCATTATATTGGTTAATCTAACTACTTTAGGAGACACTGTGTCGACTGATTTGGAGTTAATCGATGCAATTATCCTGTTTGGATTCGATCTAGCCCTCCTCCTATAGGATATGATTCTAACTCTTTTGATATCTAAAAGTGGAAATAAATAAACGTGTTACCCGTTTTCTGAAGGGTCTTGCAGAGAAATATCGCTATCAGTAAATTGATGATCATCTTGATTGAGTTTCTTAATGAGAGCCTTACTGAATTATTGCCATGTTTTAAATAAGATTAATACATTTAAATAGTCGCAAAGTAAATTGATGTTGGTTTGAATAGTGATGGCAGGACCTATATTTGTTCTAGGGATATTTATGTTTTTCCGGTAATATTTGAGTCTGAATTGCTGTTCTTTATTGAATTGTTTGATTAATTTGATAGATTCTGGAGTGCCTTAGGTGAACACTTCTTGATAGAAACATCGTCTGAACAGTTCGTACATAAGTGAGTTATATTGGATGTAACCATGGGAGTCACTAAGAATTATAATTAGAATTAGAATACCATTATAGTTTAAATTTGGATGACAACTTGCAGGCATCCCAGAGATTGGAGTCTTGGTCAACTCCAAGAGGGAGACCAATGTCCATCAGGAATTTGCCCAAGAATTTGTAATGCAAGGTTTGTCCTTCAGTTTAAGTGGTATATTTGCACCAGATGGTTTTGATGTTGTCAACATTTTCGACATAGGTTTGGATTTAGGAATTCTGCATTTAGAAGAATTGTTCAAATTGCTCAATAAGGCCTAAGACGAATAGATTGAGGAGGACATAATTGGATAGGAGCATAAAGAGTATGAAATATAGTTGATTGGCAGGAGATCCACAGTACTTTGGGTCTTCTTAACATAAGGGATTGTGTTGCATTGTGTCAGTCATGATGGTTCTCCAATCATCCCCAGAAGCACATTTGAAGAGTGCCAACATTGCATTTCCAAAATTAGTGAAATTAATGAGATCATCCATCACTTATCCTGAGTCTATCTTGCCGTATAATTGGCATCCGAATAGAGCAAATATAAACATGGTGATGATGAGAATAGTGAAGATCTTGACTAAGTATGGCACAGCAAAGGCCATTACTCTGATCAGTCTCTGGATATTGATGAGTCCTTGGAAGATGAGAATGATTCTTAGACTGCGTAATGCAAAGAAGAAACGATACAGTTGATAATACTATTCATTTGGAGATGAGTAGTATTACACTCTAGTCCAGTCAGTTATGTAATGTGCGATTAAGTCAGTCATTCCGACAAGTATCAAGAAGAAGTAGAACCTCCTCCAATTGTTATCAAAAAATCTATTCACTCCCAAGGCCAACACTAACAAGATGATCCATAGGAGATAGAGAATAGTCAAAGAATTGTGTATTGAGTTGATAACAAGAAAGTAATCTCTGTCCATTTCAGAACTGAACAATAACAAAATGATTAGGTCCATAATCAGAAAAGCGAATATGCATTATTTGACCCTGGTATTGTTTACAATATCTGATGCTATTTTACGAGCTCCACTCTTTGGAGGCGTAGAATAAATGGGAAAGTCAGACATGATTATGTTAGTGATGCTCTTGAATTCTTGCTGCACTTGACTTAACTCATTGTTTTACATCTTGAATTGATTCTCCTTCAAATTTGTAAATAGAACTCCTGTAAATAAACTCAAAAAGAACATTGACCCAATGAAACAGAATATTATCAAAAAGAAATATGTGTAAAGGTAACCATCAAATGGAACTGGTCCTATGTCTGCAATCTAACTGTTTTCAGCCACTTGCAATATCTCGCCCCAACCATCAAAAGTAGACACCACAAATAAAGTGGGTATAGCAACAGTAATATTATCAAAGTTATGTTTATAATTCACCCATGTTTTATTTTGTGATTAGCACTCCTCATAAGAGACATAAAATTCCATCTTGTCCTCACAAAATCCAAATTGATTCTCATATAAAATTATTCCATACACTCCAAACACAAACCACACTGAAAGTAGAGTAATCAGCACATTCAGAATATCCACCAATGACTGTGCCAATGCAGCCCTTAATTAAATCAGCCAACTGATTCTATACATCAATATCATTGGTCTGAAATAACCCAAGAACATCAGAACATCCACTATTCGCGCATAATTACTTCTATTGTACTGTATAAAGTATGCAACTATGTAAATAATATCCACAATCTGCCAAATACTCTGAATATGTGACCCTCTGTCCAAGATCAAACCTTTGCTAATAATATTCAACCAGAAATCGATTATTATCAAAATATTGGCTATTAATTGCAGAGTATCTGGCAGATCAGATGAGTCTATCTCATAATCATGATATGTCTTTACTATAAATACCACAATTGACCAGTAAATTACTCCATCCATCAGATACATATAAAATGGAGATATCACTACTTTTGTGACACTAGCTCTAAACTAATTGCTCTTATCAAATATATACAAAGATTGTTAACAGTGTATCTCATGATAGATTGATCCTTTCTTCCTCTAAATTTTATTATACGCTTATTTTATTGAAATCAACAAATTGGAAATCAAACTTAACTTGTATCGCCTTGTTTATATCTCCACATCTTTGCTCTCCTCCTCTTCAAAATTCACGTCATGCTGCTCAGAATTTAACGAATTCTGTAGACTCTACATTTCATCCTCCTTAAGAATCTCTTCCTCATTCCCTAAATACTTTCCAAACCCATCTAGCAGAATTGCCAACACCAAACCATAAGTCAAGTAGTTCAATATTATCACCATTGAATATGAATATATCACTGCAAAAGTGTAATTCAAACTCCCTCCCATCACATAAACTCCATACCAATCATCGTTTGTCATTATGTTGAAAATTGTCATAAAAGATTTGATGATATTATCAAATGAATGCAACTATCCTAGTGTATCATCCTAATCAAACATCCCTGCGTACATTTCCATTCCTATTAGAGCATACATGAAAATGACCAGGAACATTAAAAATGTTAAATATATGTACTATTCAAATGTCTTCTATGCTATCCATCCTATCTTAGCTGCCATCTTATTGTACTTTAAACATCGATAAAATAGTAAACATTTCGTCCCTCGAATCAATCTCAAACCTTGCTGTGTTGAACTCCCAATCTCATCCCCCAAAGTTAACTCCACAAAATTTAATGACACTATCAATATCTGAACTATGTGATTCCAATCACTTATTAATTCCTTACAGTTAAATGAGAATAGCTTCATCACTATCTCAATACATAAACACATTGTTGTTATGTCTTCTATCTGAGATATCAATCCAGGATTCACAATCCCCTGCAATGACAAAAACACAAAGTTAAACAATATTATCAAATCAAAGAACAAATCACTAAATTTGCTGCTTACCACTATATAAGTATACTTTTAGGCTATCTAAATCTTACCACTAATTCCTCTTAACCATATCTTCTTTTCCTAGTGATTTAATGACTTCTTTATCTAATTAAAACTTATGAACCTTGCTAAATTCTAATAAAGTACATCTCTCCCTGACCAATTCTTCTTATCTATCATTTTACTGACCATCTCCTTCTTCCTGATTAATCCATACCTGAATTCGTTCGATTCAGAATTATCAGGAATTCTCTGTATCTTTGCATTTATCTTCTCACTTACTCCCTCATAATCGATATATTATTCCTATATGAAGACATACGTCTTTTATTTGTTTCTAACTGTGAATGGCATGCCCTTTATTGCATTTCCCTGTTTCAAATTATGTACTTTCATTAACTCCTATCTCCCCACATTAATATTCTATCCTGAGTTTTCCAGCGTTTGATCTTCTCTTAATACATTTCCAAATCTCCTTTGTTTTTTCAACGGTAATTTACATTTCTCTCTTTGAGGCTGTTTCTTTAACAAATTCAGAGTCGACAACGAATAGGTTTGCTTTAACCGGATCGAACGTCTCTATTATGTTAGCTATTTTTATTTTTATTCATTCAAACTCTACTATTTTTAACTTAATTCAAATAACAAATTTACGTTTAAGCCAAGAGGATATCCTGTACACTACTAAATTCATGATAGATGTCAAAATTGGGATATGGCTTCAATTAACTGAAATCATATTACAATAACTTATGGATTAATTTCAATTCTAAAGGGTCATCAGTAAAATTAGTTGGTTTTATTTCTTTCTAAAGTTTCTCCAAATATTTTAATTTTGGAAGCAACAAATATTTTAAGTTGATGCTTTCCAAATAATCTTAAATTCCTTTTTTCCTCTAAGATTTAATAATTATTAATTACTTTTTCAAAATTGGTTTATTTACCTGACAATGTTCTTGGCTTATGAGATGTTTCTTACACCTTTTTAATGTTTTCTATTGTAAATTTTTAGGTAACATTAGCAACATTTTGCAATTATATATGATACTTTTAATAAGATTAATATATTCCTATGAATCTAAGGATGGCTACATCAAAGATTGATATTAAATCTCTCTCTGGGTTTTCTTGTTTTTCTTTCAATCTCTTTAACATTTCTTATTGTCTTTCCTCCTAGACAGTCTCCTATGCTGCCTCAGCATAATGTGTCTTCAATACTGCAATGACCAAATTGAAACCAAAAAAGCCTCCCACAAAGATAATCAGCAAATAATAAATCCAAACATAAGGATGATAAATCCTCATCGTAAAAAACATGACCCAACTCCAATCATCCATTGTAATAGTTCTTAAGATCTATCCCAATGCGTAGATAATGTTATTGAAGGATGTTGGCAATTTAGGTGTTTAATTAGAATAAAGACACTTCATGCCTTCAGGACATGAGTCTTACACACATTGAATCCAATCCTCCGTCTCTTCTCCATTTTCAAATTGACATCTATAATTAAATAAATTCTAAAATAGCAGCACTCCAAAAACACCAAAAAATAAAGAAAATAAACCAACTATAATCAATGCTTCTAACAATAAGCGTAATGAGGATTTTAATGCTTTCAACATGGTTGATAATCCTTTAAGGATGTCTCCCAAATAGTTTAATAGAGTGATCATTCTGAAAGGAGACAAATCTATAATGATAATATCAGGTCTGTAGAGATTCATGGTTGTTAAGATAACCAACAGAAAGTCATAAACATTAAGAGGACTCCTAAAGAAACTCTTCCGATTCAAAATTACACCAGATGCTATGATCCTCATACCAATTTCAATTAAAAACAGAATGGTTATGACCTACTCGATGTTGTCAGTATCAGTTCTTTTGTTAGTTTTCACAAAAATGAATAATCCAACATTGCATAAAATAAGAACAGTCATAAATAACTTGAAAAACACGGTCAATAAAATTGGCTCTATAATTAAAGAGGGAAGATAGCATAAATAAACAATATACTTCCTTATCTTCAAATATTTATTTTTGTCATGATAATGCTAAATTAACTAGTAAATTTTACGCTCAGTTCATAATTCAATCGATTATAACCGCTCTATACTTTTAATTGAACATAATAAGGGTCTTTAAATGGATTTCTTTAACTTAGTTTAAGATGTTTTCGTTTTATTTTTTCTAAATCAATTTGTGCATCAAAAAATTTAGTGGATATTTATAATGCTTCCTTAAAAAAATTTTCTTTATTTTTATTGTCACCCATAAATTAGTTTTTCTTATATTTCTTAGACTTCTAACTTTTTTGTTCGTTTTTAATATCATCTTCCGAGTTACTCTCAGATGAATCGTTAAATTTATCAACAACATGTATGGAAGGTAAAGAGTCTTCTGTAAAATATTGGCTACTTAAACAAAATGATTGATCTAATTCTCTTCAGAATTAATAATATTCTACCTTTCTTCTTGAAGTTTAGAACGGGAAGCAGCAATCTTCAAAACTGATGCCTGCTAGGAAAACTTGAATTATTTGATTGAGTTTCTATTGTCATTTTTAATGTATTATTAATTTGAATCTATTTCATCGATGCAAATACCTTGGTATATTTATGCTAAGGATATCGAACGACTTGCCAATTCAGAGGATATTGTGATTCTCCTCTGCGTCATTTTCTAATTTCCAGACATTGTATAGTCTTCGATATAATAATTAATAATTAAATTAGAAATTTGGCTTACTTTATAATCTAATTCAGTAACAAGGAGAAATAATTAAGCAGATTAGATTGAATTCATTTTTATTTCATAAATTATAAGAATTCTAGAAATAATCGTTCTTTTGAATTTAAAAATTCTAAACAGTATAAAATTGAATTTAGTATATATATGTAAAGTTTCTAATGAAATTCAAGTCCATCTTTTTAAGTTGCGTCTCTCTTCTAGTTAACTTTATTCTTTTTCTATAATACTCAAAGTATTAAAATCAGATTCAAAATCCTGAATTGATTATCCAACTTAAAAACAATTAGTTTAGTCGATGCTTTTGTCTTAATAAATATTTGTTGTTTCTTTTGATTTCAAAGCAGACTACATGGAACTGGATGTTCGATTACAAGATGAATTTCTACTTTTTCTACCAGAGCATGTTTTGTAATTGTCAATGAAGAATAGATGTTTTTCTGAAAATTTATAAATTAAACTATTAGTTTTTTTGATGATTTCCTCTCCTTTATTAGACATGTCATTTATTCTGATGACTGAGTATTCTTATTTCTGAGCCCAGAAATTAGTTGTTTCTTAGAGTGTTTGTTTGAGTTTCAAGGAGTTTTCATCAAAAGCATTCGAAGTAGAATTTAGTTTTGATTCAAATTTAGTATAATTTTTGGAATAATATTGCGCCTAATTTAAATACAGAACAATACTTCCTATTTAATTTCATAAAAGTGTTTGCCTAGTTCCTTGAGTAGAGCGTATTGATTTTATAAGTCGCTTTAAAAGTGAGACATATGATAATGGATTCCATTAAATAGATCACTATTAAATTAGCGGCTAATTTAAATCATTTCGTTGTTATATGATTCAAGAGCCTTACTCTATCTTTTTATGAGCTATTTAAATAGTTTGTAGTCCTTGTGTTGTTGGGTTAGCTTTTCTATTAGATCCCTAATGAGGTTAGTTTAATTTGACATAATAATTAATTTAAATTTAGATATTGGTGATACCGAGTTGTATGTAAAGGTAGGATACCACTTTTGATTGTTTATAAGATGCACAATCAAAATACTCTTGTAGTATAATGATCGTAATAATTAATATTACGGGTTGAGACTTCAAAAATTTAATTAAAAGAATTAAAAGATATGAAATACATCCTGACTGAGGAGCATGTTGCAATTCCTGAGAAGATTGAAATCACAGCCAAGTCCAAGTAGGTCAAAGTAAAAGGTAATAGTGCAATTTAATGAATATTAGGACCAAGAGGTGAATTGACTAAAAATTTTAAACATGCTGCTTTAGATATCTAAGTGTAAAAAAAAGTGAACAAGAAAACTAATGCTTCCAAGTCTAGAGTCAGTGTTAGAATGTGGCAATCATATAGAAAATAAAGATGCCAAGTTAATTCAGTTGCCTCCTCAATCAAAAATATGATTAGAGGTGTGACCACTGGTTATAAATTCAAGATGGTGTTGGCATATGCTCACTTTCCAATCATTATCAATCTTTTAGATAAGGGTTTGGGAATTGAAATCAAGAATTTCCTTGGTGAAAAGATCATCAGAACAATCAAATGTCTTCCAGGAGTCACAATCACAAGAAATGAACAAGAAGAAAAGAGTATTATAATAATAATATACACCCTTTAGATGTCTTGACACTCTAAGGTAATGATTTGAACAATGTTTCACTCACCTGTGCACTTATTCATTAAGCTTGTGCTGTCAAGAATAAGGATATCAGACAATTCTTAGATGGAATTTATGTTAGTGAAAAGCGTCTAGAAATCTGATCAATTTATATTTAGATATAAGTACAATAATATTTATATGTGTTTAATATTTACTCAATAGTTACGTCTCTCTCTATTGGCTTTATTCATTCGCTTGATTTTCTTTCTTCTTTGCTTTCTTTTGGCTTTCTTAAGCTTGGCAGGCTTTCGTCTGAAAGTGCTGATTGTCAATATTGAAGTATCAGGCAATATAGGCTTCGCGAAACCCATACTTAACAGATTTGCATATAAATGCAGTTATGGGTATTGCATCCAAGTCAAAGGTCTAGATGCACTTATCAATCTAGATGCCATACCCAGCATCAACCTTAAATTCATTAAATAAATTAATAAATATATTTATATTTCAAAATCACCATTTCAAATCAAATTTGTTCTACAGTTAGACTTCCTAAACTTGCTTATAATTTACTCCAATTATTTAAGGCTTTGAATATCCCTTCATAATACAAAAGCCAAGAATTACTATTTTTTTTAAATATCAATAAGGATTTTCTAATAAATAGTTATTTTTATACTAAAATCCTAAATATCTAATTTTTATTTAATTTTCTATTGTCTGCTTATTTTGCCTTTTTTGATTCTCTCCTCATTTATTCATTTCTCTATTGCTAATCATTTTACCTTACTTGATTAATTATTCATCTACTACATCTATCTCTTTATTAACCAGATAATATTATATTTCCTAATTCAAAATCTATTTAATCACTACTGCATCTCCACTTATGAATATAAGTATTAGCTTTTTTTTTTCAAGGCTTTTTTTTCATAAATTAGAACTTCTTAAATAAGAATAGGAATTGTTTTAGAAAATTTTAACGAAAAATTATTTATTTATATAGATGCAGCTGACATACTTATTATTGCCATATTTTATTTATAAATGAATTAATTTCTTTCATTTAAAGTACTAAATGAATTACTAAAAATTTACTATTTAACATAATCAATTAAATATTGTCTATTGATTTTCTCTCCTTTAACAAATCATTTATATCTTAATTTAAGAATCCAAAAATTTATTTTATATTAATACTTTATAATTTATTTTCATAGATTCAAAAGTTAGTCAATAATTTATAAATATATAGCAACTTCATTAAAGAGCTTATTAAATCCATATGGGTTAAAATATTATTCATCTTAAATAATAAATTTCATTAATAATTGCTTATCCAGACAGATTTATTCATTCCAAGCTTTTAAATATGTCCTAATTTATCTTTATTTTGGAATGATATAATTTGAAAAATGCAATAACACTATTAGATGCTTAAGAGAATGATGTTATTCCTATTTTAGATAAAATAATCTATAAGAGGGCTGGTCAATGTTAGCTTTAATTTAAGAAAATAATATAATAGATAATCTACCATAAATGAATTCATTTGCTCAATTAATTAATGGTATTAATTAGATTTATAAATATTCAAGAAAATCTAGATCCATTTCAATTTTTAAAGAATCCATCTATTTCTTCTCTTTCGTTGTTATAAATTTAATATTTTGATCATAACTTGGTTCTTGAATCCGCTAAATGAAAACTTTATTTGTGAATTAAAAATACAATAAATATCTATAGGTATGGGAATTGTCTAAGATCCTGTTTTTTAGAATGAAAAAGAAAATTAAAAATGGTAGCTAATAGAGCATAGGGTTAATTGAATGTTAAAAAATGATATAATTTAAAGGAGAAATTAAATGTGTATTTAACAAGATTTAATCATAATTAGACGCAAATTATTTATTGAATAAATTGATTTTACAAATTTAAAAAAAGTATTGATGAATTTACCAAAAGCTTCGTTTTTCGATGATCAAAAATCAAATTTATGGATGAAAGAAGTAATTTAAGCATCAGATCCAATAATTAGTGGAATGCTGATGAAGAATTCGAAATTGGGAATTTAAAAGGAGAGCAACTACTTTATTTAGGATGGAAAATTGGCTTGTTCGAAGAAATATATAGATCTTCAAAATGTTACCCTGGAGAAGATTAAAAATACAGGTTTTAAATTGACAAAGAATCGAAAATCAGTTGAGTTGTTCACTCACAATGAATAAGCTTAGGGAATGTGGTATGATTCCTTGAAATCATTCTGCGTTTAGAAAGGGTTCAACAATGTCTACACTATAAATAAATTAATTGGGAAGGGGAATTTCGCAAAGGTAAAGCATTATCGAATAAGTCAAGGTGTACAGTGCATCCAAAAAGAGTGATCACTCGATGTATGCTGTAAAGGCCTTTGACAAGCTCAAATTTTAAGACATCAGAGTTGATAAGGTAGATAAAATTTATAAATGTCTAGCCAGCTCTCATCAAAGAATTATCAATAATGAGGAAAATGGATTTTGTGGGTGTAATAAAATTATATGAAGTGTTTGAAAACGACAATTATATATTTTTGGTGTGCGAATTGCTCGAAGGAGGAGAGTTGTTTAACCAAATGAAGGGCAAGGTGTACGACGAGAAAACAGTTGCTCACATAATGTTTAGAATATTGCAGTCAATTGATTATATCCATTCCTTAGGAGTGCTGCATCGAGATATAAAGGTAATGAAAGGGTGATAATAATGTAGCCAGAGAACTTGATATTAAGATCCAAAAAGGATATAGCTGATCTGGTAATCGCAGATTTTGGACTGGCTGACTTTTACAATCCCGAAGGCGATTACATGTTTAAACGCTGTGGAACTCCTGGCTATGTTGCTCCTGAGTTACTTCAAGATGAAATCTATGATTTCAAAATTGACATTTTTAGTGCCGGAGTGCTGATGTTCATCATGTTGACTGGTCAATCTCCATTCAAAGCTAAGTCATATGATGAGATCGTGATGAAGAACTACCATTGTTAGATAGAATTCAATTTAATTAATAATCAACCTCTCAGCGAAGAAGCAGTGCATCTATTGAAGTCATTACTCGAAAAGAATCCAGATTTGAGAATCAGTTCTGAATTAGCTCTTCAACATCCATGGTTTTAGAAATAAGCTGATCATAAATTAATATTGTAAATTTCAATTATATTTAAAAGGGCTGACACTTACCCAAGGTACAAAAAGAATTCTTAATTGTACGCCAAAACACCCTTAATGGGACAGGAGCTCAATCAATCCATTACTTCCCCATTGAGTGTAACTCCTTAGATGAGGAGCAAATCCAATACAGCAGACATACAAAGGGAAGAATAGAATTCGTCTACTTCAAGATAGTAGAGTTAATCATTGAAAGTTTAAAAGTAGGAATGCATCTTAGAAGAGAATGATTACAATGTTAATGAAGAGGACGACATACCTCATAGCAATCAAATTAAAATGTATCAAATCCAGCCAAAATTGAAAAAAAGTATACAATTAATTAATTTAATAGATTAAGAGGAGCAATAGTAAAAAAACATGAAGGGGTAACTCTAATAGAAAGTTTGAAAAAATGGTTTTGTAATAATGAATATAAAATTTATTTATTTAATTTATTAGCTTATAAAGAATCTAGAAAATTCTTCATTTTAACAGCAAAATACACGCAAGAAAAATTTAATATTTAAAAAAAACATGAAATTCCTTTTATTACTAGCACTAACCTTTTTCGTTATTTCAACAGAACAAATTCCAGAGGTCGATGGAATATTGCAATTAAGTCGTAGAAATTTCTAATAAGCCTTGGATGCACATCCAAGATTATTGGTCAAATTTTACATTGACACCTGTGGATACTGGTATTGAATATCTATTAAATCGCAGCTAAAAACTGAAACCAGTGTTCATTTAATTGGCTTAGAGATTAAAGGAGTACGGATTCGTATTAGGAGAAGTTAATGTCTAAGATAGTAAATCATTGGCAACTAAATATGGTGCCAATGCTTATCCAACATTGAAGTTGTTCAGGAATGGACTGGTAAATGACTTTCCAAATTCTTCAGACTCTTTAGAAATATTATTTGAATTTGCTTTGTAACATGCTTATGAACCTATTACAAAACTATATAATGAAGAAGAGGTACCTTTAACATTTATAATTCAAATAGATTGATTTGTTCTTGAAACGATCAAACATTGCAGTGCTGAAATATGTATACAATTAAGATGACTTATCAACTTTGAGTTTGGATCACTTATAGGTTAAATTTGGAATAGTAGAGAATGCTGCATTAAGCTAAAACCATCCTCACAAATACACATTGATAAATAAGGATCTAGAGAAGCCAGTTCATTATGATGGCGAATTAGATGGCTTATCAGAATTCATCTCAACAAAAGGTTATCCACTTGTATTCTCCTTGAATGAGGAGGAATTCATGAAGTCCGAAAATGATAAGATTCCTTTGATTGGAATTGCAGGATAAAGAAATACAGTGCTTTACAAAAGATTTAAATACGTAGCTGAATCACATGCTAATTCAACTAGATTTGTGATGATAGACCCAAGTCTTGAATTGTGCAATAGAAGATTTGAATATTTGATTAAACAAAGCCCTGTTGCTGAAAAGACAATCTATTACTATGATTACGAGTAAATATTTTAATAGATAAATTAGTACAAAGACAACAACTACTACAACTTTTAATGATGATTCAGTTGGAACCCTAAAGAAGGCTATTGACACTTTAATAGAAGAGGTAACAGCACCAAAAAGAGAAGCGGAGAGACTAGCAAGATTAATAAAGGGTGATGGTTAAGTACATAAATTGACAACACAGAATTTCAAAGAATAAGTATCTGAGAATAATAGACATGTGTTTGTTAAATTCTATGCCCCATGGTGTGGTCATTGTTAGACTTTAGCACCAACTTTTGAGAAATTGGCTAAGGAATTAAATAGGGATGATATAGTATTTGCTGAGGTAGATCACACAGAAAATCAATTTGATGATATTCCCATTGAAGGATATCCTACTTTATATCTATTTAAATAAGAAGGTGACACTAAGACAAGGAAGGAGTATGAGGGTGATAGGTCTTTTTAAGGAATGAAATCATTCTTAGAAAGAAATTTGGGTAAAATTGAGAGTGCAGAAAAGAAGAAGCTTGAATTCAGTGAGATTAAGAATGAAGGCACAGTTATTGAATTAACAAATGAAAGTTTTGATCATGTTGTTTTGAATAGCAAATAAGATGTATTGGTAAAGTTCTTTGCTCCTTGGTGTGGACATTGCAAAGCTATGGCAGAATCATATAAAACACTTGCTTAGAATTTGAAAGACAATTAGAATGTGCTAATTGCTGAGATGGATTGGACTAATCATTAGACAAGTGCTGTTGAGATCAAGGGATTCCCTACTTTGATATTCTTTAAGAAAGGACAAGATAAACCAGAACAGATAAAGTATTAATCAGAAAGAACAGCTGAAGCATTGGCTAAGTTTATAGAAGACAACAGTAGTTTTGTAAAGAAGGAAGATTTGTGATTAAGTATATTAATTATAATTAAAATATACAAACATTTTTATTGTTATGTCAAGAGAGATAAAAGTTATTCTAAGCATTTATAGATAATGTGATATATATTAATTCAATAATCATCACCTCTAGAAATTACTTCTATACAGCTTGGCTTTAAGAATATAGTATGCTCATATTATGATACATAAGAGCCTCTGATGTCACAAAGAGGAGGATATCTATGATATTACACATAATTTAATACGGGTTAACTATCCCAAGATCGCATAGATTCTTCAATCCCAACAGGTAATTGGATTAGCCATCTCTATCAAGGAATCTTCTGCAGAATGCCAAAGTATCATAATGACTATCAATGTGAGTTAAGAGTGATTTAGCCTTTGGCACTCTAACAGCTGTAGGTTTAGCATAGAAATCTTTCATGTAATGAGAACATTCCAAATCTTCATTTACATATCCTTTGCCAGTTGATCCGAATGTTTCGATTGCATAAAGTTCTCCTTCTCTCATTAAAGTGTTATCATTTGATTTGACGATTGGAACACTTTTACCCCCGTGAATATGATATTTACAGATCAAATGTCCATTTAAATTTTTTACTGATTTAACTTTATAAACTTTGCCTCCAATTTCAACTTCATAACTCTCCATGGTCTCTTGTATTGCTGCTCCCACATCTCCTAATCTAACATCAATTCCAGAATTTTTGATTCCAGTATCAGTTGCATCTTTAGCTGCTTATAATAGAGTATCATAAACTGGATTGAATGCAACAGTGAATGCACAATCGATAATCCAGCCATCAACTTATGTTCCAAAATCTATTTTGCAAACGTCATCATATGTTAAAATTGTATTGTCTCCATTATTTGGTGTGTAATGTGCAGCACAGAAATTCAGGGAACAACCTGTTGGAAATGCTATGCCTGCATTTAATCCGTTTTCCTCCACTAAATATCTATTCATATCTTCCAATTTCTCGCAAATATCAATCAATCTACACATGTAATGATATCAATTTACTTGTTTCCTGGCTTCAACAATTTGGCTTAAGCATATTATCTCACTTGTCTATGACATTCAGCAGCCTTTCTTAAGGATTACAATTAATGTTCATGAATCAAATCCTTTTCTCTCATTTCATCTTTGCTGATCCTTGATGACTTCTCACCCAAATATGGAATTTCTTATCCTTTTGGATACACACCTTGAGGAAACTATTTGGAAACTGGGATTGTGGGTGGCTGAGTTTGATTCCACTCCTTCTCTTCCCAATTCCCTAGCTTTCTGATCCCGGAATTATCCACGAATCTTGAATTAGTCTTTAAATATAATTAAGAATATATACAATGGGATCGCCATCAACGTAATCTGGTCCCAATTGCTTTTTCTTATCTTAGATTATTTATTATTATTATTATTATTATTGAATTTATTACTATTTCTAAGCTTCTTAATTTTATTATATTAATTAATCTAAGAAGTCATCATCCGAATCAACATCCTTCTGATTCTTTTTGTTGTTTCCTTTGGCTTCCTTCTTTTTATTTTTGTTCTTCTATGCTTTTTTACTTTGATCCTGTTGCTTTGCTTCTTCCTTGGAAATCATAAATTAATTATTAATAAAAATATTTCACATATATGATTAATTTAATTATACATCAAATCTGGTTCGCTTACCTCTCGAAATATGTCTTTACATGTTTTTTACTTAAGGACTTGGCTGAATATGAAAATGAGCAAGCGGACTTAATTAAGTAGAGGTGTGTCTCTTTTCATAGGTCCTCCTTCTCTTCTCAACCTTTTCTTTTATTTGATCTGTTATATTTGTTTGCATAATTGGGTCCAATTGGAAATGATCTGCCTTCCTATGCAAATACTCATTAAAAATTGAATCAAATCTTATTCGATATAGTTTAACCTCTCTGGGAGATCTGAGGAAGCTTTCAAAGAATTGTTAATTGGCCTTTGGTGAGAAATATTTAGAATTCATTAAATGTTATAAATAAACTTATTCATTAAATATTTTATTATGAAATCCAATTGAAAAAGCTACAATTTAATAACATCAATCTTTATACAACCAGCCAGTCTTACAAAATGTTTCAGCCAAAACTAATGACAAAATAGCCATAAGTTTAATAAGAATATTCAATGAAGGCCCTGACGTGTCTTTCAAAGGATCGCCAACAGTATCACCTAGAATGCTAAGAATTGATTACCGATAACTGCAGCCTTGTGTTCATCAGACCCTTTCTTCTTGACCTCTCCTAAATCGTTCTTATAGAACCCAGCCTCAATGTACTTTTTAGCGTTATCCCATGCTCCACCTGTGTTCGAAGCAGATATAGCCATCTACACTCCACTAATCAGAGCACCTGGTAATAGACCCGCAACAGCTTGTGGTCCAAATAACAATCCCACTGCAGTTGGAGTCACAATCACCTAGAATAATTTATATGGAATACTTACCAGCAATCCAGGTGGTATCATTTCCTTTAATGAGGCCTTTGTCGATATAGCAATACATGCCCTGAAGTCTGGCTCTTCTGTGCCTGCATAGATACCAGGGTGTTCATGCAATTATCTTCGAACTTCCTCAACCATTTGAAGAGCAGCCTTTCCAACTGATTTCATGGTGAAAGCAGAAAAGGCATAGGGCAACATTGCTCCGATCAATAACATTGCAAATATGATTGGATCATCAATCTTAGCTCCTTCAGCATAGGGGTATACTCCGTTCTTGTTGTAAGTTTAAATTCTAGTCAAGTAACCTCCGTAGAGGGATAGGGAAACAAGGGCTGCTGATCCAATAGCAAATCCCTTTCCAATGGCTGCCGTGGTGTTACCAGCTGCATCCAAAGCATCTGTAGATGTTCTGACATCCTCTCCCAATTCACTCATTTCAGCAATACCTCCAGCATTATCTGAAATTGGTCCATAGGCATCAATTGCCAAACCAATTGTGAGATTGGATAACATACCTAGAGCAGCCAAAGCAACCCCATAAAAGGACAGCAACTTCATTGACAATAAGGCTGTCAGGGCTATTGCAACAATAGGAACAATTGTAGATAAGTATCCCAGAGCCAATCCATATATGATATTTGTTGCAGCCCCTGTGCCACAAGCTTTGGCTACTTCTCTAACTGGAGTATAAGAATGCGATGTCATATACTCAGTGAAATACCCAATGAGCAATCCGGACCATACTAAAATAGTATTATTAACGCATTACATCCCATTAATGAACAGACTAAGGCATGCCACGGTTGAAGAGATCCAATTTCTATCTCAAAGGTGGCTGAGATCATTACAAAATCAGAAGGCAAACACCAATAAGCAATTCCAACAAGTATTGGTGACAATGCCAAGGTTGATAACAATAACTGTAATTTAAGAGATGATTCAATTTTGTTTATGTGAGTTACTTTTTATATAAATACTGCATATCCAGAAACAGCAATACAAATAATAATGCCGAAAGCAGATACCATTAATGGGTACATCAATTAACCTATGTGAATAATGGGACCCTATTCAGTAATAACCCTTAATTGAGTAGAAGAGACAACTAAAGCAGCACAAGTTGATTCTGCGAATGATCCAAATAGATCAGCTCCCATGCCTGCAATGTCTCCAACATTGTCACCCACGTTATCAGCAATAGTAGCAGGATTCTAAGATAATAACGTTGAGTACCTTAGGACTATCTTCAGGAAGGTTTTTTTCCACTTTACCGACCAAATCAGCTCCAACATCAGCAGCCTTTGTATAAATACCACCTCCCACTCTACCAAATAAGGCAAAAGTAGAACCACCTAAACCATAAGCAGCCACGTAATCAAACATGCTTATCAGATCTTCTTGATTGTTATCCTTCACCAAAACACTATTGTAGATGATAATAATTAAGGATAGAATTGACAAGGAAATGGAAACCAAAAGGAATCCCATAACACAACCTCCTCTATAGGCCATCTAAATAAGGTAATTGATTGTAGTATACTTGAAAGGCATCTGATAATGATGTGATTGCACAAAATGCAGTTCTGTAATTTGCAGCAGTGGCAATTGCCATTCCCAAATATCCACAGAGCATTGAAGTGGCAGCACCCAATACAAATGCCAAAGTTGACCAAGGAGACACAAACTGAGTAATATATATATAAATTTCCATACTATTAATGCTACTGCCATAATGGCGATAAACACACTGCAATCTGTGTACTCTTCTTTCAGGAAGGCTTTGGCTCCCTTGCTCATTAAATAACGAGTATTACATCTGTGATATGTTCTCCAATTTCCAAGAGAGTTTCTATCTTCTCCTATTAATCTCCTTAGAGCTTCTCGTTCAATCCCTCGTGTTTGTGATGGATTTCGATTTTGTGGACTGCCATCCAATTAAAGATGGCCCAGGCTATCCCGCATGCACAAGCTATGAAGATGAAGACAAGAGCAGTCACGAATTCCATTAAGTTAAAAATAAATCTTTAATCACGCACTAAAATATTAAATTATTCTTAAATAATCATTATAAAATGAAATAGTGCGTATTTTAGCAACTAAATAATTTTATATTTGGGATAAACATTCATTCTTAATTTTATGATATTATTTTTTTCTGAATTGCAAAATTAGTTATTTATATTATAATGCTAAATTAAGTATTGTAGGTGATCGGAGTCACCCAAAATGAAGAATAGCAAATGGAAGCCATCTATAATGATTTTCAGAGACCTCCCAAAATAGACATTGCATTGATGCATGCTGCTGCAACCAAATTTGCTAAAACTGATCCTAATATTGATCTGGACAAAACCAATGTTTGTCCATGTTGTGGATTGCCCACCGTAATAGAAGAACTACCTCTATGTTCATCTCGAAAAGAATTCAGTTTCAATGGTTCTGGAATTGCATTATATTTTGATTTCCTTGTCTTCTCCGGTGTCATTATATTTTAGTATATGTACAATATTGCAATTAATGCAGAGCTATAAGTTGTGGATACAACATATACATCAACATGCAAGGACATAGGTGTGATAACCTAGACGATAGTAGAACCGACAAATGCTAGTTAAATTTTTTCAACGAATTTTCTCTTACCAATGATGATGGGTAACTGTTTCTCACTACTTCTAGATAGTTGGACAATATCCGAAGCCTTTTGAATTTCATCTCTCTCATTTGCATCCTATTTACTACTCTACTTTATAGGAGACACATCAATAAAATAGCAATGGAATTGGATGACGCAGCCATCTTGGCATCTGATTATTCGATCTTTGTAGAAAACATTCCTAGGGATGCAAAGGAAAATGAGTTGAACTCCTATTTTACACAAACCTTCTAAAATGAAACTGTGGAATTGAGGAAACTATGCATAGCATATGAAATACAACCTTATCTTAAATTGAATAAGCAGAAATAACTTAAGGAATCAGTACTGACAAAAGTCCTAGAATTAGAAGCCGAGGGCAAGTCAATTCCTAAGTCTATCCCGTCAAGACTGCAATTAGAATCAGAAATAAGTACAATATCTAAAGAATTGGATTACATGGAAGATCATAAAGAAAAAATATTTGATTTTAGTGGTGTTTGTGTTATCTCCTACAATTATGAGAGATAGGCCGATAATGTTTGTAAGACATTTAAATGTACTAAATTTTAAATTCTACTTGAATAAATGGGATTTGAATAAAAACATTATCAGAAGTATCGCAACAACAGTCTATATGTGAAAAAGGCACCTGAACCTGGAGATATCATTTGGGGCAATCTTGGCATTACGATTAGGGAATAATATAAAAGAACCCTAGTAACCAATGGAATGACCTTATTCCTACTTATCTTGGGATTCGGATGTCTCTTTGGATTATCTTATATTTAATCCATTATCAACAACTACACCGAAGAAGGATCTTTAATTGATTCAATCATTGCCAACATTATCGGAATTGCTTCATCAATTCTCATTTCAGTCATCAATAGTGTACTTGCAAAAATGATTATTAAATTTGTTGAACTCGAACACCAAGCTACTAGAACTGACTACAATGTAAGTGTAGCATACAAAATGGGAGTAGCTCAATTTCTTAATACTGCCATTCTCACTTTAATTATAAATCTTGTGATAAAGGATAAATCTGTGACTCTAAATCAAGCCATTTGGTAAATTGGAGGTCTTAACTCTGATATCATGTTGATTTTCATTACCAATTCCATAGTCCCATGGTTCACTCTCTTGTTTGATGTCAATTATTTTTACAAATTGTATGTTAGAAACAAAATTTTAAAATAAGGATCCAATTGTAAATACACTTAAAATGAAGCAAACCAGTATTTTATTTATCATAATACAAGAGCTTTTGAAGGTCCAACAATCGACTTATCATAAAAATATGCTCAGCTATCCAAAACTCTGATGTTAGCATTTCTCTATGCATCTTTGTTACCTCTTGGTGTATGTTTTACCTTTGGATCTATAGTTTGTATTTATTGGACTGAGAAATTTCTACTATTAAGAAGAGACTCTAAACCTGCACCAACAGGGAGTGCTATGGCAGAGGCTATGATAGATTTTTATATAGAATTAATACTAATGATTTTTTCGGTAATAGATCCATGATATTCAATATATAGTTAGGCTGTACATTTTGGGAATGGATTAATTATGGTGAAGTGCATATCCTTACTTGGGTGTAATTGGGACTTTCCACTTTGCATTATTTAGTGCCAATTCAATCGATTTGTGGATGCATTGTGGAATTAGGAATTGATAATGCTACTGTTGAATCATATGATGAGAAATTTCTGACTTTCTATGATGATTATGATCGTCGGAATCCTGTAACGGCTGATGCAGCTAAAGAAAAATGGATCAAAATCTAATCAGAGACAATACAAACAGCGCAGCAGAGTTCAAAAAAGTATCTGATCTTTTAATTCCTAGTCTTACCATCAAAACTTATCATCAAATCAATCATACTAGTATAGGAAGCATAAAAGTGTACCCAATAGAAAGTAGAGATAGCAGAGATGAATTGCAACAATTAAAGATCTGACTTTTTATATGTTATGTGCAGAATTTTAATTTATACTTTCTGATCTTATAAGTTATTTATATATTTATGTAGGGTCTCATAATTTGACCTTTCACTTGAATCATCAAATATTACTCAATAACTATTCATATAATTATGATTGGGAACTCTTTTCACAATTTGAATATGCGCAGTCAATCAAATTGTATGAATTATCATTCTTTTTCAGGCAGGCTAATATATGATAAGTAATTGTCTTACATAGTACATTTGAGAATGGCTTACTCTTGCTACCTTATTTGGGAGGCTTATCGACTTTTGGTCTGCATTTATTTAATTGTAATTAACAGGCCATGTCATCGTAGCACAATTTCAATTATTCTGGACATTTCTCTCTTATGCATTATTATGTCTGCTCATTTAGGTGAATTCTTTTGCTCAATAAAATTGTCAAAAATGACAATAAAATTGCAATTTAAATTAGTTTCATATTTAAAAAATATTGAATAAAAAGACAATAGTATAATATCAGGCCTATCATTGTAATATTTTGCAATCATGGATCATGCATATAAAATATTCATCATTATTAATTAAAATATATTGATTATTTTTAATATATTATCATTAATCAATTTGATATTATATGGGACCAACTAGATATTCAGCAATTTGCTTCATATCGTCGATGTTCAGTAAATTTGTTAAAGTGTTGTTATTATTTTGATTGTCACACATGGATAGCAAGATAGCATTCTTCAATGCCTACTCTCTCTGTTTCTTTAAATAGAAATCCTGGATATACTATAAAACAAAGTTAAGTGGTTCTCCTGTCTGTTTCTTAATCATATCGCAGTAATCATTCAGAGTATTCCCTTTTTTATCAATGAACAATAAGGGATTTGCCCCTTTTGCAAACATCAATTCCAAAGTCTCCGTTGATGTGCACTTCTCTGGGGTTTATATGTAATAAAGTGTTAGCAAACTCAAAGGAGTGTGGCCATCGCATATCTCGTCAATGTCATAAAGGTTGTTCTCTATAAAATACCTAATGAGTGTTAGTCTGCCATTCTCACAAACCAGATGAAGAGGCCCTCGTTTCTATTTATTAATTTAAACATGTAACTTACGTATTTCTAAATTAAATAACCTTTGAAGTCGTAGTTATAAATTTGGTTTTGAATAATAAGTTCTTTGTAGGAGGATATGATCCCATTTGCTAATGTGTGTCTCATCTTTCTCATCTTAAATTGATTAATAACAATAATAATTTACAAAATCATCTTTGTGTTGCTATTCTTCAGAGTAACTTTTGGAGTTCATGATCTCTATACGTACTTGTTGGAGATGCTTAATCTATACTGTCGCCTGCATTAATTTGATATAATAAATCTAAAATATAATTATAATTGCAAATTCTCATTGTGAATTAAATAATATTTGCATATATTTACTACGATTATAATTCTATAACTCAATTATTGCGAGATTCTATACAAATTATTAATTGTTAATTATTCCATAGAATAAAAATAATAATGTCTATTTAAAACTAAGTTTGACTGTCTTTAGAGTCATTATATAAATAATGTATAAGATTTTCCTAATCAGTTTGATACTACTTGCATGCTTCTCAAAAAAACATAAAGCTATAGATGAAGATAATGCATGTTTGAACGAGAAATGTGGAGTTCAAATTAATGAATGCTTCGAAGATTATGAATGTTTTGAAGCCATTTCTGAGTGTGCTCCTTAAGATAACCCCACTGTCTAACAAATAAAGGAAGTATATCAATATTTTTGAGCTTAGGCTGAAGATTGTGTTAAAATAAAGAGTGAGGCAGCAGAAGAATTATTGGAATGTGCATAAAAGAAATGCTCAAAGAAAGAGTTGAATAAAAAGTAGATGAAGATGATTAAGAAATTTATGAATGTTTGATATATATGCTTAGATTTTCAGAATTAGACTGTTTTACAATAAATTTTGCGATTAATTTAAGATCGTAGTTTATTATTTTCTTTGTGCAATGAATTTAATTCTGAGATTATAGATTTGAGGTCTTTCTTTTCAACTGGTTGAGGTCTGGGGGTTTAAGAGAAAAAGGCTGTGGGTTTTCGAATGTAAGTGAATTTATTATTTTGTTTAGCTAATTTTTGCAACAGGAATTTATCTTTGGTAAATCTAGAGATATCTAAATACCTATTGATTTGAGCATTTGACCAGAGATCACAAATATTCATTGTACCTTGAGGTTACAATAAATATGAAACCTGTTCTCTGGAAATTGGTGCCTTTTTAAAATTGCTTGATATAAATATTTTCTTATCTTTCTTCAGTTTTGAATGCGAATTTGAGATAAGTGAGTTCGTTATCCTTTAGGAGTTCATTGAAATCCATCAATTTCTTGCTTCTTTCCTATTCAATGGAATGGAGCAAGGCTGCTCTGAAGCGAGGACTATCTTGTCTCATAATATATAAAATAATTTATATTTATTTAAGGGCTGGGGATGAGAGGGATAATAAATTTTTGAAAAAATTAAAAAAAATCAAAATCTTTTTGCATGACTCAAGGAAAGAATAAGAAATTAGGAAAGAAGAAGGGATAAAAGAAGACCATCGACCCATTGGCTAGAAAGGAGTGGTTTGAATTAACAGCACCTGTGCCCTTCGCTGCTGGTGGATTCGGCTATACTTGCATTAATAAATCTGCAGGAACAGGTACCTGATTATAATTAAAGTTTTTAGTTGTGGCCACCGAAGCCATTAAGGGAAGAGTCGTTGAAGCCTCTTTGGCTGACCTCCAAGGACAATCAGATTAGATGGCATGGAGAAAAGTGAAATTGATTATAGACGACGTCGAGGGTACAAGATGCAGAACCTCCTTCTATGGTCTTGATTCAACAAAGGACAAGATCTTCGGTATGATTAAAAAGCGATAAACTTTGATCGAAGTATTTTAGTATCTCATTCTCTAGACCTAAGTTGAAGCCAGATCTCAAGATGGATACATCCTCAGAATCTTTGTCATTGCATTTACAAAGTCAATCAAAAACCAATAAAGAAAAACAACATATGCTCAAAGAAGTCAAATCAAAGACATCAGAAAGAAGATCGTTGAAATCGTCCTGAAGGAAGTCTCCAAAAAATCAATTACCTAATTGCTTGGTTTCTTCAATCAAGAGGTTCTTGCCAAAGAAATCGGAAAAGCCACCAGAACTATTTTCCCATTATAAAACATCACATTGAGAAAAGTCAAGTTAGTCAAGAGACCCAAGGTTGATGGTATATTTGTTTAATTAATTAACTCTAGCTTAAAAATTGAGAGAGTTTTATGACGATTCCAACAGAACAAAGACAGTTTAAATCAGAAGAAAGGGTTAGGCTGAAGATTAAACTGCTGTTAATCTTATTAAGTAAGGAGAAATCGACAAAGAATAAGCATAAGTCTAGCAAGAATGATATATTACAGTATAAAGAATAGTACATATATAATATTAACAAATTATTTATTATGTTTAATATCTTTGTTCTGTTTATATTTCAAATATAAAGATTTTTTTTTGATTTTAATTTGAGGAAATAAGATGTCTTAATAAGCTCAAAAGGGTGGAAAAGCAGCATAACCTAAAACAGAAGCAAAATAATAGCCAGCAGCATAAGCAAAAGTTGCTAAACCATAAGAAACTAAAGAGAATGTGATGAGAAAAATTAGAATTGAAAAATTGATGGTTCATATTTGTGCTGGTGAATCAGGTGATAAATTGACTAAGGCTGCTAAAGTCTTGGAAGACCTTACAGGATAAAAGCCAGTTTTTGGCAAAGCAAGATATACAGTGAGATCATTTGGTATCAGAAGAAATGAGAAGATCTCCGTCTTTTGCACCATCAGAGGCGATTAAGCAAGAGATATCCTTGTAAGAGGTTTGAGAGTTAAGGAAATGGAATTGAAGAAGAGAAACTTCTCTGAATCAGGAAACTTCGGATTTGGTATTCAAGAACACATCGATTTGGGATTAAAATATGATCCATACACAGGTATTCTATTAATGTACAACCAATAGGTATCTTCGGTATGGACTTCTACGTAGTCTTGTCTAGACCAGGACTCAGAGTTGCTCAAAGAAAGTCAAGAAACTCAAGATTGGGCACATAACAAAGAGTAACTAAAAAAGAAGCAGTTGAATGGTTCAAATAAACCTTCGAAGGAAATGTCTATTGATACAATACAATATTACATTAAATATATATAAAAACATTTTATATGGCCATCTACTTATATAACCATGTAGCTAATTAATAATCACTTACCGTTGACATGAAAATACTTCATTAAAGTATAAGTTCTCAAATAATTATTATATAAATGTCACTTTTTTCTAGATTTACATCCATTTTTGGCTCTAGTCCAACCACTTAGGCCTCAAGCACTCCCATCAATCAACAATTGCAAGAGAAATTAGCTTAAATAATAACTTCCAATAGTAAACTCGATCTCAAACAGAAGGGTGAAGTTTTAGCTTAATATTTGTTGGATAGGGATGGTAAATAATAAATAATCATATTGTAGAGCATATCGAGTTTCTGTTCTAGTTTTTAGAAACTAAGTCCAAAGATCTACAAGGTGTCTAAGTAGTGCATTTGTTAGCAGCTTTACATTAACAATTTTAATATAATGAAATAATATAAGATGTGGCAATTAAGCTAAGGGAAACAAAGATGTCTTGGGTGTAATTGGAAAAACAGGAATGGTATACTACTTAGACAGAACCTGACTAATAGAAGAATTAATAATCACAAAAGATTTTGACTGAATTTGAAGATAAAGCATAGCCAGCCAGAATCTATGCTTAATTATGCTATGTATATTTGTAAAAGTTGGCAGCCAATGTTGATTTATATAGGGCTGTACTTAAACTTAATTATCCCTATGTGGCTGATAAAGAACAGATCGAAGCAAAACTGATGTTCTTATGGCATTATAAAATACAAAACCTCATTAATTCAGGCTTGATATTGATTCAATACAATCCAAATTTAATAGAAATATAAGTAGCTCTGTATGTTGATGTGTGGAGATTTTAGAAGTTCATTTGTACTGAAATTGAAAAAATCATAGACTAATATGCTACTCTACCTAATAGTGATACTTTGAGTCTTTATGAGATCTACTGTGAAAGCATCAAACATTACGAATATCTGAATCAATTTCATCAATTTACATAAACTATTACAAAACCTCCTCCTTAATGTTAAATAAACAATACGCTTCTTTAAGAATTCTTTGCATTTGTAACCAAATTGAAAGTGTTAAACCAATTCAATTTCAAAAAATCTATCAAAGTTCCTAACAAATAAGATCCAATTATGGGTATTCCCACTAAAAATCCAAATGTATTAAACATTAATATTTCAACTCTAGGTTATAAACATTAGGAGATCAAGTTAATAATTACATGACTAAGAAAGCAGTGAATCTGAAGCCGAGATTGAATTAGGAAGCAATAAAAAAAATAAATCTGACCATAATAGAGGGTAAAGTACATTTCAATATGTCTAAAAATGATTGATCAATTTTATTGATAATTTTGATTAATTAACTTTAATATATATATATATTTTTATATATAAAATTGTGAGAATAGAATAATAATCTATACTTTAAGAACTCCAATGATTTGGAGATTATTTTATTGATAAGCAAATACAATTACATACAATGTGTGCAAATTAGTTTGCTTTATTTGATTAGGCAATTGCATCTAAATTTGAATTTAATAACCGGGAATATATTGGCGGCTGAATAATATATTAAATTTATGGATATCACTAATTGCTAACATCCAAATCACGATTCTTAACGCATAAAATATGTTTGTGTCGATCCTTCATGCTCTATCCCAAAGAAAATAGGTATTGGCTATTGAGATTTTAGGTTGTGCTGATTGTTTTCTTGATGATCATATTTCTCATGTTAGAAAAACAACCACTCAATTCAAAGATTACGTAAATGAATCTATTTAATAAATCAATGCAGTCGAATTTCAATAAGTTACCAACTCACCTTAATAGGATTTAGTGAGGGAAATGGATGGAGAATTAGACAATTGCGTTGAATGCATTAAATCAAAATTTAATTCGATCAAAGGAGATCTCAAAGGTCAAATCGATAATGATATGATCAAGTTACAAGATAATTGTGCTTAATTTCAACAAAATATGAACAATGAACTTGAGCCTTTTAAAACAACCATTAGAAATGATTTACATGTTCTAAATTAAACTGAACTTAATTCATTAGTTAAATTTTACTAAGAAGCATAAAAAATCCATAAACATTATAATAAGGCTGCAGAATAAATTTAGGAAGAGAAGTAAAAAATAAAATAAAAAAAATAAAAATACTTAGCAAAAATGCGAAGTATTATGCAAATATTACTAAAGGATTTCAATGAATTAATGACTTCTAAAAATGTTTAATTTGATGATTCAGGTGATTCTGAAACACCTTAAAAACAAGTTATGTCACCAAATAAAATGATTAATCTAGTAGAAACAGCACGCTCTTCAAGAAGGTTTCCAATGTCATAAATGCAAAAAAAATAATTGTTAACCGCTGTTACTAAAAAGTTGGAATGATAATCTAGTTTATTTATTTATATATATAATTAAAATCATTTATTTTAAGCCTTTTTATAATCTTCTTTACATCCTTAAATAATCTTTTTAAAATCATTTAAGTACAAAGATATAATTTTTAATTTCTACATTGCCTATTAACTTTTAACTTCATAATTGTCTTCTTCTTCCTCCTTATTTTCATCTTTATTCTATTATTTCTTGTTGTCCTCTTTCTTAGCCTTTTTATCCTCCTTTTTATTATTCTCCTATTTAGTTTCTTCCAATTCGTGTTTAATCTTCTAGGTTCCCTCTTAACATCTATTAAATAAATTATCGATAGCCATTAGAATTCTTCCCAAACTCAAATTCTTAGATGAAGCCTCATTGGCTGATGCCTCAACCAATTAATATAATTAATTTCTCTCTGCTACCTTTTCTTCCAACTTTTTTTATAGCTCCTTAATATCATTATTAAATTATAAAATTTCATGATTCTTATCCTTCTCGTATTGGGTTGACACATATTTTAATCTTTCATATTCCTTCTCCATTGATTAATGCTCTTCAACCAATTTTGAATTCTAACTCGACAATGTACTATGTCTCTCTAATATTGATGCCATATCATGATATTATTCTGGATATTGTTTTGCAACACTATCTAAATATTCTTCATATTTTTTCATCGAAGTAACTGTTTTGATATAAACCTAAACATACCCTTCTTCTCTAGTTTTTATTATTTCTTTTCCAACTCCTACAACTAACCATTCAAATCCTAAATTTCTTTTTCTTTCTATATTTTTTATCTTCGTTCCTCCTCCAATCTTCCTTCAGCTCTCTTCTTTTTTGCTTCATTATCCTAAAGAAATTTGCAAAACTTAATCAAAGACTCTTAAATTTCCATATCCTTCTATCTGATCTTTTCCTCCTCAAGCTTAAACTTATCTTCCTATCTAAACTTTTTCTATTTATTTACTTCTTAAACTCTTCTCTTTAAGCTTCAAATGCCTCGTGAACTTCGTACATCTTTCTTCTCTTCTCGAGCAATTTAGTGGCTGGACTTACAGTGTCATATTATAAATGATTAGGCAATTTTCTTTTCTCTTACTTATTCATTATTATTATATATATATATTTAATTTCATTTAATTTTTTATTCTTTGGCTTTCCCCAATTCTGCTTTGCAATTATCAATAATCTTTTTGAAATCTGACATAAATTGTACAATTTGCTTCAATTTCCATGCAGCCTGTTAACCTAAAATTAAGATTTATCATTTAACTTTTTAATTCATAATTGTCCTCGTCATTAAATTGTAAGTCCTAATTTGGAATTTTATTATTTGTAATTTTATCCTTCACCTTCTCCTTATTTTGTTTATCCTACTTGTACTCTTCGAAATCTTACTTCATTCTCTGAGTTCCTTCCTAACAACGCGTAAAGAGATTGTCAACAGCCATCAATATTCTCCCCAAACTTAAGTTTTTCGATGAAGCATCATTAGTAGTCGCTTCATAAACACTTTAAATTTGATTTCTCTCAGCTGCCTTCTCCTCCAACTTCTTCTACAAATCCTTTATATCATTATTTAATTAGAGAATCTCATGATTCTTCTCCTTCTCATATTAGGTTGACTCATATTTGAGTTTCTCAAATTCCTTCTCCATATTCTAATGTTCTTCAACCAACTTTGAATTGGAATTGGTCAATGTTGCATATCTATCCAAAATGGATTGCAAATCATGATACTACTCTGGATATTGCTTTATGATACTATCCAAATAATCTTCGTACTTCTTCAAAGATGTAACTTAAGACATAAGAACTCAATTGGCTTACCTTTCTTTTCCAATCTCTATTGATGTCTCTGCAAATCAGTCCACTAAGCTGTTAAATCCTAAATTTCCTTCTCCTTCTATTCCTTATAAGATTTCTCCTCTTGAAACCTCACCAATGCTCTCTTTTTCTTTGCCTCATTCTCCTACAAGAAATTACAAAACTTAATCAATTCTTCCTAAATCTGCTTGTCCTTCTCTCTTATTTATTCCTCTTATTTCTTGAATTCTTCCTCCTGTCTTAGCAATTGTTAAGCAATACAAATACTTCTTATATTCGTCTTGTTGATGTTCATAGGCTTCATGTATCTCATACATCTTTCTTCGCTTTTCTAGTAGTTTAGTAGCTGGAGAGGCAGCATCAAATTATTTGACTGTAGAAGACTTTTTGATAACTTTTTTTTACATAAATTATTAAAAATGAATTTCTTTCGTCCTCCTCTAACTTCTTTTATAAAAACTCTTGCTGATCCGCAATTGGAATCAGAATAATTCATGATTGGTAATGAATCTATTACAAGCAAGAAGGATGTGATTAGATAGTTACAAGAGTAAATCCTGCATTTCAAGGAGGCTCACAATTTCACATAGTCTGAAATGGATGTGATACGACAATTTGAATCTCTATTAGAAAGCAAACACAAGAGAAGAGCCATTGACATTCATTTTCAAAGTCAAATCACAGATCTGACAAGGAAAAGGAAGTCAGAGTTGTTTAGAATGAAGCGAGCAAAGAAAAGAGCTATAATCAAGGTATATGCTAAGAAACTTAATGCAGCAAGAAATAGATTTCGAATTTTGGGTCAATTCATATCAAATGAGGAGATTCAAATAATAGAAGAAACTTTTGGATCACATGTATTCAGCGACAGTCACAATTTCAGTCTTAAGATAGGAAGGGCATTGAAAAATAAGTTTGGATATGAATATTATGATAAATCTCAAGTGATAAAAGAGATTAGAAGATTAAAGAGACAACAAGACCAGATTTTGAGTCGTATATAGGGAAAGAAATAAATATTTTGCATAAAAACTAAATAATTAAAATAATGAATGAATTACTTAATTATACTATTGCAAAGTGCTTTCCAAAGTACATCTTGTATATTGTCAAAAATCTTTGCCCCCTTCTTTTGTTGTAATTTAATTGATACTGTTCTTTCTTTACTTTTTCATTTATTAACAAAGTTGTAATTTACATATAATTTAGAAAGTTTTGATATTTTTTATATAGGACTTATTTAATTATCAAATTAAGCATCAACTAAAATTATTCTATTTTAAGAATCACTTATATTTTAATGAATTTATCTATATGTAGACTTATATAAATTAATTACTTTTGAAGAGAAATAGTTAAAGCATTTTAAATTCAAATTATAAGCCATCTTTTAATATTAATTTTAGATAATGCACTCACTATTCTATAAGTATTGGGATATTTTAGAATGAGAGAGAATGCTGTAGTCATTATGCATGTTTATTTAATAATGTCAAAATAAAGAAAGATATTTAATAAATTAATTTGTAGAGAGATGTCTAATTAGGTTAATTTTGGAGAGGGAAAAATTAATGAGAATTACCCATCAGCCATAAAGACAATGTTGGAATAGGGCAAAGATCCTAAGGATTTACTTATCTAATATTGCAGACCTTAGTGTAAGTGGTACGATGACAAATATGACAGATGTGTGAAAGCATTCCTATCTTTGAAAAATGCTGATCCTGAAAAGAATTGCGTATGTTATTGATCCATGGTTTACATTAGATGTATCCATACAGGGATTTAGTGACTTGTGTTGAGGCTTGTGTGTAACCAAAAATTCAACATGCTCTCAGAGGAAATGAAAATGGTTTCATATTTCATTGAGGAAGGGGAGAAAGAAGATGAGCTATTATATATATAGAGATTACAATTACCGATTATTTAATTAAATATTATGCTTAATTCGATAGAGTGTTTTATTGAAGTACTTCAATTACAATAACCTTGCGATGGTCTTGTTTCAGAAGTGTAACAATTCTTAGATTTCGATATGAACAAGGTGTTACAGCAAGACCAGAGGAAGATAGTGCAAGACCCCATGTATGAAATTGTCACTAGTAGCTATTAGATTGCTAATCAATTGGTTCAATTAAATAGAAGATCATTTATCAATTAAATAAGATGAAAATGACATATACATTACGCCTATGATATAAGTTCAAGTGATGTTGATCAATTCTTTCATTTACATTTCAAACTAAAATTTACTTTAAGAATACTTTTATCTATTTGAAGTCTTATAAAAAAAAATACTGTACCTAAAAATATATTAACCAAACGAATTGACATTAACTGCTTTAGAACAATGCTACAAATTTGAATAGTGCATAGATTGTAACAAAATCTCATAAATTAGCATGCTGCTTTACAAAATTAATTAATTCAATTCAAGTGAAAAAATAGATCAATTTTATCAATACATTATTAAATTCGACTAAAAAAAACATAAATTAGTTGATTCATAAGCAAACCTAATAATATACTCCTATTACTTAATCTTGCAATAATGCTGTCAATTGGTTGAGGAGAACAAGAATCTTGAAACTGTTATATCGGTTTGTCTTAACATCAAAGAGGAACTCAAGAAATCGGATCAGAATTATCTCAATCAATGCAATCAATGTATCTTACTATCATACTATAAATTAAACAAAATAACTGATTTCATTCAATACAGCAAGCAATATGATTTATAGAAAACAACTCCCCTTGAAATTCAACTCCTCATCCTAATTGTTAAAATCAAAGAACTTTAATCAGAAATCGATTTTGAAAAAGTGAGAAATCAAGTCAGCAAGATGTTCCAACAATTCCTGGATAACAACCTAATGCACACAGTCACTGATATTTTGATCCTCCTTAAAGAATTGAGTTAGAATATTTCCTTGTACCCAATCAATTTCATATTAATAAATTAATGGTTTCAATTTAAATACAATTTGATCCTCAGGGCTTCGAATCAGCAGAACATAATGAAATTAAGTAAGGACATTAATCAGATGCTCATTGACTTTCCATAATTACTCAACATCAGCAACTTCAATGATGATCAAATTACGTCATTGAGTCACAATCTCATAGGAAATATAATTGATTTGTGTTAATTGGTTTTCACAATTGTGTAACACATAGGAAAATACTAAGAAGTAAGTTTGGATGAGTTTTTTCATATGATCATACTGATAATCCCCAACTTTGCAAGTGATACTAGATTGACCAAACAATTCGGCTAATTAATAACTTTACTGTCAAATCTGTAAATCAAGGAGAGTCAAATATTGTAACATTTAGCTATGTTCTTAAATTTAGAATTCGGCATCTTGCCGTAGACTCAAACAATTCTATTTTAAAATCTCCTAAAAAATTATAAATCAGGTATAATAACAGGAACGTTGTTGTTTTTGAAAGAATTCCAAAGTAACAATAAATAAGAGAACAGATTGAATTTGTGTAAACAATTGAAATCACTTCTTGAAGAATCATATTAATTAATTGATTCAAATTCAATCTTATTTTATGCTATCCTTGAATCTTGCATAAGAAATTAATAAATCTACTATTACTAGATTGTGATTAACTTTTTTGTCGAATACAAGCCGACCTTAGATTAACATATGTATTATTTTTTGTTGAATTTTATTGAGAAATGCATCAAATAAAACGACACTGCTAATGTAGATCAATTATATTAGCTATTATATCAATACATTGCGTCGAAGAAAAGTCTCCCTATTGATCTTTGCAAGTAATCCTACAATATGTGCACCTTTGATTAATCAACACTGGCAAAGTAATTAGTAAAGCTTCACACTTTCTTTATGATTTCAATGTAGATGGACACTTGTACTATTTAGTTCATAAAAGATACAGTCATGGGAAACAATTAATATAAGTATTAATGGAAGGTAGAAAACAATAAATCATTGTTCATTATAGTTTCTGAGATTTTAGAATAAATATAGCCGGAATCATAATTTAAACTGGAATTGATCAATATTAAACACTTATTTGAATTGCTATTTTATCTAATAGAACAAAATACTAAGATGGAAGTGGACAAGGTGATCCCTTATTCTTTAAGGCAGATCATAAAGATGGCGTACAAAAATAAATTAGATGATGTAATTCACATTATATAATTATAGTTTGTGTGTAAGATATTGTTAATTTCGTTCAATCACGAAAATCTGTTTTTGTTTCTACTTTTGGAATTGCAATCATATGAGGGGAATAGACAATTGATGATATTAAAGAAATTCATTTATGAATAATAGATACCATTATATGGATACTTGTTGGTAATTTGTTAGATAGTAGAATAAAGTGATACATTGGAGACTATATTAGAGATGCTGCCACAATTAAATTAGTATAAACAATATAATAAATAGAATATTGAGAACTACTCCAGTGGATGATAATTTGAGATAATTCACACAATTACTATATTTGAAATTGAATGCTTTAAAAGAATATGTTCCAATAGGTAAGATCGATATGATTTGTTAATCAATTAGTTTATTGTCTATATGAAATAATTGTAAGTCACTTCTACTTCTTTTTTTATTTTTTAACATTCTTCTTCTTACTTTTGGTCTTAATTTTTTTTTTATTACTTATTTTTTTGTTCTGATGACTCTCCTTCTTGGAATGTTTCTGATGTTCCTAATTTTCAAATGGTTTTTTCATAGTTAAGATGTCATCATCCAAAATTTCCTTATGATCGTCTACCAGAGGTATGAATTCTTCTTCTCCTAAATTAAAAACTTAGAAGTTATTTTCGTTTTCAGTCTTCTGATTAGATTTTTTATTAGTGTCAACTTTCTGAGTTTCCTCGCTGGCATCGTAATATTCATAGATACTCACATTTTCCTCTTAACAATCCTCTGGTATGTCATAGTTCTCAATTAAATGTTCTAAATCCATCTACGATCCTAGACTGAGTTCATCTGGATCCTACTCATCATACTCATAGATAACTTCTTCATAATATTCAAAAAATTCTATTAATTGTGAATTGTTTTACCCTCAAACCATTGTTCTTGGTCATCTATTATTTTTTTGACTCTCTTAATTTGATGTTGTTTGTTACTCATCTGCAATTAGATTTTCTGATTGTCTTTGCTCATATCTCTAACATAGATGATTAAGGATACTTGAAATTACCGATGTTTCGATAAGAGACATGAGGAGTCCCAGCAGCAAATAATTCAATTTCATAAAACGTATATTTAATATTAACTAACAAGATTAATTAATTTGGTACACACAAATGAACTAATCAGAAGAACTAATCTTTTTTGAGTGGTCCACATTAATTCTATCTTATTTTTACATAAAATATTATTATATATTTAATGTCCTCCAAAAATTACAAAATTATCCATTAAAAAATGTCAAGTACATCCAGATATCGTGATGATCCCTTGCCAATCAATAACAAATATCAAGTATTTCTAATTGAAGACAGCACCAGAGTCACTGATTTGATTGAAAAAGACAAATGCACCCCACATGTCTCAATGATCGATCGGTTTTGGGGTCACAAAACTCAAAGAGTAACGGTTCAGCCTCTCTTTGAATAGAAGGAGTGCTAATAGGACGAATAAAAACAAACAGAAAAGTAAGTAATCAGAGAAGAAGCACCAGTACAGACTCAGTTGCCTATACTAAAAAAGAGTATGAGTTTAAAGAAATTCAAGGAGAGTTTGATGTTTGATGAGAGAACTAATTCAATTCCTAAAAGCACTAAACAAAATCCAATTATTGATACTTTGATGAGAGACAGTGAAATCTTTTTGAAAAAAGGAGAGCTCTTAGAACAAGTGAATAATCTGAAGCGATTGCAGGTGTTGAAGAATTACGAAACCCATCAGTAAATTTAATATTGTAATAACAAGTGTGAATTTGCCTGGAGTGGGTAAACTGCCCTATATTATAAATGACTATCATTCCAAAAGCACAAATCCAGGATACTCAAGGAATAATAAGGGGAATTTTTTCACCAGATGAATTATATATATAAAGATATTTTTTAAATTAAAATTGCATGAGTCGTCCTTCAGCTTCAACTTCAAGCAGCAGTAGAAGTTCAAGATCCAGATATGGAAAGGAAGTCAAAGAATTGCAAGACGCCTTGAATCAGAACAAAATAGAGTCTAAAAGAGATGCCATCAGAAAAGTACTTTGAATTATAATCCTTAGATTATTGATGCAATGACAAGAGGCAAAGACGTCAGTATGCTATTTCCAGATGTGGCAAAGAATATGGAAACATCAAATTTAGAATTAAAAAAGCTAGTGTACTTGTACATCATCAATTATGCCAAAATTATGCCTGATCTTGCTGTCATGGCTGTCAACAGTTTCCGTAAAGATGCAAGAGACAAGACAAATCCATTTCTGAGAGCACTAGCTATCAGAACAATGGGATGTATCAGAGTTAAGTTGATTACAGAATATTTATTGGATCCATTGAAAGAATCCATCAAAGTAATTTATCTAAAAATATCATAAGGATGAAGATTCATACGTGAGAAAAACAGCAGCTATTTGCATTTCTAAATTGTATGATGTGTCACCTGAACTCATTGAAGAATAGGGTTTATTAAAGCTTCTGGATAATCTGTTGAATGATGGAAATGCAATGGTTGTTGCAAATGCAGTCTGTGCGTTATTGATTGTTCAAGAATCAAAAGGAACGACAATGCTAAAATTGAATCCTTACATTATTTAAAAAATATTAACAGCTATGAATGAATGCAATGAATGGGGTGTTATATATTGTTTAGATGCCTTGGCTATGTATATTCCTGAAGATGGAAAAGAAGCAGAAGCGTAATTTATAATAGTATTTTAAGAATCCTAGAGAGAGTCAGTCCCAGATTGAATCACAACAATCCAGGAGTTGTCTTATCAGCATGTAAAATTATGATGAAATTTTTGGATTATCTTTAAAATCCAGAAACCATTAGACAAAATGCATTGAAAATGACTGCACCATTGATTTCACTTTTGAGTTTGGGCAAAGAACCAGAAATTTAATATGTTGCATTAAAAAATATTAATTTGATCATTCAAAAGAGACCAATCATCATTGAAAAAGATATCAAAGTATTCTTTTGTAATTTTAATGATCCAATCTATATCAAATTGTAAAAATTAGAAGTCTTGGCAAAATTAGCTAACAATGATAACATCCAATAAATTTTACATGAATTAAAAGAATACACTCAAGAAGTAGATGTGGAATTTGTGAGAAAAGCAGTTAGAACAATTGGAAGATGTGCAATCAAATTGGAAAAAGCAGCTGAAAAGTGTGTTACAGCTCTTTGGGAATGTCTTAAAACAAAAGTCAATTATGTTGTTATGGAAAGCATCATAGTCATTAGAGACATATTTAGGAAATACCCTCGAAAGTATGAGATGATTCTTAAGGATCTCTGTGAAAATCTCAAAAGTCTTGAAGATCCAGAAGCCAAAGCTTCCATGATTTGGATTATTGGAGAATATGTTGATACCATTGAAAATGCAGATACTCTCTTGGCTAATTTCAGTGAAAAGTATTTCATTTACTTATTCTAAGCTTCAAAGATGAACCTGCAAATGTTTAACATCAAATACTAGTAGCAGTCATGAAATTGTTTTTATAAAGACCCAATGACGGAAAAGAATTAATACACAATCTTCTTAAAACAGCCACCATTGAATGTGAAAACCCAGATCTCAGAGATAGAGCATATATTTATTGGAGAATGCTATCAACAGATCCAGAATTAGCCAAAAAAATAGTTTTTACAGAAAGACCAACTATCTCTGATTCCAGTTATACAATTGAAAATGAACTCTTAGATAAATTAATCGAAAATATTGGAAACTTAAGTTCTGTCTATACTAAAAAACCTGAAAGCTTTGTTAAGAAATTAAGAGATGTTTTGAATTCTAAGATTGCTGATAAAATTGACGATGTCTATGATCAAGATCAATTGATGGATGGAAGACCTGAAGATTACAGTGATTAATAGGGAGGATAATCCAATATCTCTGATAATATTTATGATACATCATCATAGATTTAATCTTAAGTTCAATAATCATAAATTTAATAAGTTTCTTAAAAAATTGATTTATTAGAATTAGATGATAATTAACCATAATAATAATAACCACAATAACAATAAATCCCATAATAACAATAAATCCCATAATAATAATAAATACCTCCTTAATAAATCTTATAACCCAATTAAATCTAAAATGTTAGAGTACCTTTTGCTGAAGTCTTAACTGCTAATACTCCAGGATCATAAACACAAATCTAAGGATTATCAATTGAAGCTGCCTTCCAAAAGAATGGCGACAAGATTGTACTTGATCTAAGAATCACAAATAAAACCTAAGATAAAACATTCTCAGAATTCGGATTGAAGTTCAATAAAAATCCATTCAAATTATAACCTGATTCTATTGAAATACCATGTCAACCTGTCTTTCCAGGTTAAACCCAAGTTACTTAGTCATCCATCAATACAAATGGTCCAGTTGCTGAAGAACCTCCTTAGATGCCATATAAAATTTAAGTTGCTCTAAAGACTAATTTGGATGTATTCTATTTCTTCATCCCGATGTCTTTAAGCGTTTTGTTTGTATTAGAATAACTTATTATTTTAGAGTAGCACTGCAAGCATTACTTAACAAAAGTTCATTGAATTGAGCCAAGCATAAAATATAGCCAGAAAACAGGAAGTTCTTTAGATTTAAATCGATCCATAGAGAGTACTAAATTCAGATCATAATTTTAGATGAAAGAGAAGTTGGAGCGCAATTACTTTTTCTTAATTGGAGTGAGAAAGGATGAAAGGGGTGTTGAATTACTATCCTATGCAGCATCATTAGTTAATGGAATGCCATTATTGGTAAATGTAATCCATGCGCCAACTGCAATCAATTTGCAACTATAAGTTCCTCATCCCACATTAATGCCCTTATTATATTAAGCAATAGGATTTATTTTAACATTAAATTGATATATAAAATAAATCATCAAGTTTATTTAGATAAATAACTATTATACAACGCTCTTACATCTATATCTAAGTATGTAAGCAATAGAAATTTTTAGTAATTCTCACATTCATATTTAGTTAATATGGCTGGCTATTTGTTGACATTATTATAAATTATCTTGTAAATTAATATTAAAATAATGTAATGATTTGTAATCAACTTTTATTATTGAAAATATCAATCGCATCAAAAGGATGAGACCTACATTAGATAAGATATTTATAATAATTATAAAATATTAGTCTTTATATATAATTTCATATTGTATAGAAAATAATAGAGAAATGGTTGTCTTGAATAAAGAAATTATTAAATTGTGGTTTTTAAATGATTTCTGGTAAAAATCTTGAATTCATATTCTAAATATTTGAGTTACTGCCAAACAACTAAATGATTTAACTTGTCTTCTTATCAACAATTAATGCAGGAATGTGTGTTTCGGAATAAAGTTTGTTTTCTTATTTAAGAATTAAATTGTGCCTGATTATTTTCAAACCTATTAAATAAAATGGAATTAAAATCTAACTTCGGTGGCAAATCATCTTTAGATTTACATAAATCTAAGACAGATAAACTGTTAAATGAAATCAAATTAATATACTTCACAGTCACATAATTATTGTTATAGAATGATGAACCCTCATTGTTATTAAGCATTTTAGCTATAATTGTGCAGTTTTTCTAGGTAACATACATCCTATTCAATCGTCAAATATGGCCAGTTTGGATGACTTATGAAGTTTCACGCTAAATAAACAAAGTTTTAGGGTAATACTATGATGTAAAGAAGATATTCAATGTTGGTTCCATACTTTGAAATGCTTTCCTATATCGGATTGCTTTCAATGATGTATACTTGCTTAGGTTTAGTCTTAATGGGTTACATGCTAATAATATTGCTCAATTATCGCTTGCAATCCAGCATCTCCTTGATAGTGCAAATGTTGAGAGCTTTAATTAAGCTGTTTTTATCAATTTTATACATGCCAATAATGGATTTATTCTTTTCAATCTTTGCTTGTGCTGAAGATAAAACAGGAAATTTGATGCATTAATTATTTTCAGACATCACTTGTTGGGAAGGAACACATATAGTTCATGGGATTGTCTCCATATTTGGCATAATCTTTTTTTATCTTTTTTGCATCACATTTGCACTTTTATACTATGAACCTCGTTTTTTGCCAATGAACCCACAATCAAAGAAGAATGGCAGATATCTCGCTATTTTTCTTACTTACGAACTAATCATGATAATCTGCTATACATTTATGACTTAGAAATAATATGATTATCTATTCATTTTTATGATAGCAATTGGAAGTTTTTTGGTCTTTTGGAAAATGCATGTTGAGAACCCTCACAACAATAAGTACATAGCTAAAGCTTGGTCTATTCTATCTGCAGTCAACATGTGGGGAGTCATACTCTTATGCTTTGCTAAATTCCTAGAAGGTCAATTGTTTTTTGGAACCATCTATGCATGGCTATTCGGTCTGCCTTTCATGACGGCAGCAGTGTTGAAAGCTGATAAATTAAATTACGAATTGCTATTAACCAACTTAAATAAGGTTTCTGACCCTCAGGAAGTGCTCAATTTGACAGACTACTTAATAAAATTGCATAAAGCTTAGGATCCTGATTCACAGTTGATGATTGACGGCTTCCTTGAAATCCACAGAGCTACATGTGCCAAGGAAGATTGCTATCTCAAATAAAAACGATCTCAAAATCAAAGGATCTAGAAGTCTTTCTTTAAAGATCAAATAGTATCAGAGAGAGATATTGACTTATTAATGGTGTTAGGTTAGATCTACTTTAATTAAATCAAGAAATTCCCTAATGATATATCCCTAAGAATAAGATATTCAATATTTCTCTTTGATCTAATGAAGTAGAGATAACAAGCAGTTAATGAATTGCTATAAGCAGAATAGTAATGTCCAAGTTTAGATTAAGAATTCATAATTTATAGGTATAAATAGCTTATTGAATTCGAGATGAATTTAGCATAAAATGAGAATATAAGTAATTTAGATGTTGCCACAGAATTAAATTTTTAAAATAACATGAGATTGTTTTAGAATATGATTGAGAGAACAACATTAATGCATATGGATTTTTGGGCATAATTATAGGAAGATTAACCAGATTTAGGTAAAATGAATGATATTGGTTCAAAAATCAATTTAGCTATTGTTTAAGTTGAAGAATTATGGAATAAAATGTAGAAGATGACTTAAAATCTACCTAAAGCTATGAGGTTATATGCCAAATTTATAATTGAAGTACTCCAAGATAAAGATTTTGGAGAAGAATTATTAGAAAAATCTAAAAAATTATAATTGCAAAATCTAAAATTAAGGAATTAGTAAACGATATAATTATTGAGTCATGAAGATTTGTGTTTTGAATCAAATGCCATCGTAATGGTATCTACAGCTCCAGAAAGATTTGCTTAAATTATTAATTTAAATCTTTCTTGTTGCAATCTTTTTGGGTACATTAGATCAGAGATGATCAATCGTAAGATCAATATATTTATGCCTAACTTGTATTCTAAATTTCATGATTCATACTTAGAACGATTTATGCAAACAAATGATAATAAAAATATTAACAAAGAAAGATTGGTATACGTAAAATTAAAATCTAATTACATTGCCCCTTGTTTTTTAACTCTTAAGATTATTTAATCACAAGATGATAGTTTATAATTGGCTGCTCAATTTAGACCAATTAAGGTATTTAAACCTACATGTTATCTGATTGTAGATGCAGATGAATTGATTGATTGTGTATCTGCATCGTGCATTCCTTTATTGAACCTTGACTATAAATAAATATCGCACAAAAAAATAATGTTGACAGACATCTTTCCAAATTTTAGTCAATAAAAATAATAGTACCTAAGTAAAACTGGTGGAACTCTACATTATAAACCAAATGAACAATAAATCAGTAATAAAATTATAAAGGAGGAAAGGGAGGAGGCTGAGATTTTCTTTAATTGTTATATGAATGAAATAATTAATGATACTACTGGAGTATTAGCAGGATACGCCGTGAGATTAGAAATAAATTGGAATGAAAAGAGCATAAATCATGAACTTAATGTACATCATCGCCAAAATGGGTTAAGTTTGTAATTTAGATACAACCCTCGGATGGCAATGTATTAAGGTGAATTTGTTGCTGAAATGAACTCCTAAAGAGTTGATTAAACAGTAATTTGGGATTAGGGGGATCTCTCTTCTATGATTTCGTCTAATCAACCAGAAATTCACAATCCAGAGATATAAAAATATTTAGTAAAAGCTGATAATAATGATTAATAAAAGGGCAAAATAAATTATGGGGAAGGAATAGCAACAGTGAGACTTTTTGAGAACAGAATTTAAGATATAAACGATCAGGATATCATATCAGATGATGAGAATGAGGGCAAGAATAGTGTTTTTGAGAGAAACCAGAATTAAGATTAGGAGAGGAAAGGATAATAAGATGTGAATGAGAAGAATAACATATTTAGATCGAGAAAGCATTTATCTCAAATTATCAATAATTACTAGATCCCTAAAGTGATAACTAAGGTTAATTGGACTGCAAATATACTAGCTATTATCTTGGTTGTGTTATCATTCACCGACTTTTTCATAATTTATGAATAGTATGAGGATATTTATAAAACAATCTTGTTAGTTAAAAATCAAAATCAAAGGAATGCAGAACTATAAACTATTACTACAAGCATTTAAAATTTATTGATGTTGAATATGGATGTGTGGAATTTCTCAAATCAATTGGAGTAATAAACATATGAAGCCCTATGGAAGAAGAAATTAAATTAATCAATAAATAATGTTGATAATTTGAATAAGGAATTAATGTTAACAGATGTGAGTTTGAGCGATTAGATCTTGGAAATGATGAATAATGACGTTGTGAATATGAGATCAAGTGATGGTAGTTCATAGATGTTTGATCTATCAGAAGCAATCTAGTAATTATTGAGTAAATCGATAATTATCAAAGATAAACCAATATCTGATATAAGCTTGAATGATGGAGATGTCCAATTTGTATTGTTTAATTCTCTAAATAGTTTGATATATTAATTAAGAGCCTTTTCTACATTGTATGCTAATGAATTGAGAATTAAATCAGAAAATAATAAGGATACTTTCTTATTGATACTAAGTATTTCAGCTTCTGCACTTGGTATTGGATTATTAATCTTGCTAATAGCAATAGCTTCAGTAAATAAAACTTAAGAGGAGATGTTAGCAATTTTTATAGATCTTCCTGATAAAACAACAAAGTATTTATTTAACAGGGCTGAAAACTTTATATCTAACTTACAAATGGGAGAAGAAGATGATTTAATCTCTGAAATAGATGAAACTGAAAGAGAAGGACAAAATGAACTGAATAAATCAGTGAAAACCAAAAGAAAGAGAAGGAAATATAAAAACTCAAATAAAGAACAACGTAATTTTACTTTAGGAATCTTAATATTTATTCTAATTGCTGAACTATACTTTACATTAAATTTTCTCATGAGTAAGACTTTTTTGACCGACTTAAATTAAATGATACCTGAAATTAATGCCACTGCAAGAGCTGAGAGTTTCTATAGATTTGTTGATATAAGTGAGCGATCTTTGTTTCTGGATCGAAATTAAACAATCATGAATTAAGATTCTTATGAAATTGTCAAGAATAATCTGAATGCTTTGTATGGCCTAGATTCATCCATCCATTAAGAACATGCATTGAATGTTGAAATAACTAGTTAAATATACTTAGATTCTTTTAAATAAGTTTTCATGGAGCAACCATGTACTATAATATCAAACTTTTTAAATGAAATAAATGAATAAGAATGTCAGGTGTTTGCTGATGGAGCTCTTTATTAAGGAATGGCAGTTGGAATTGCAAGGTATTTTGAGAATTTGAGATACATAATGACTATCTATGATCAATTCTGGGGAAATGCCAATGTAAATTTTACTTTATTAGCTCGAGGTTTCGGAAAATTTAAGAACATAACCAAAGACAGTGACAATGTAAGGAATTACATTTTAAATTTAAATAACTTCAATTAAACAAAGGAAGCTCGTGAGATTTAAGATAGTTACAACAGAGGAGCATTTCGATTTCTTGTTTCTTCTATGATTGAGGGAATTAGACAAGATATGGAAAGTCATAAAACTTAGATACTTGGACTCTTTATCGTTTTTGAAGGATTACTTTTAATGGCATACTTTCTTTTGTGGTTGCCGTTGGTTGCCAAGCTAACCAAGGACATATGGAGAACCAGATCGATGATCCTAATGATTCCTCTTGGTGTCATTCAGAGTATCAAATCTATAAAGACATACATCAAAGCGAACATCCAGATCAACGATGTTGATGTTTGATTTCTTATCTATATCAATTATCAATTAATTAAATTAAATGGAGGTAAAGTCCAATTATGGATCGACCAAGAACTCACTAGAGAATGATAACATCTTAACCCGTATGTAGACAGAACTCAAACTAATCGTATTCAGAGTTTTCTTCCTGATTTTAAAAGATGAAGAATAATCAATCGCAATTCAAATCTTTCTGTAAGTCATCTCCTTTTTTTAATATCTCACATTTATCTTTCATCGTCAACTTTATGTGGTTTGGAAGAACTAGAAAGTATCCTATCAATTGTATAAATTCTTTGGATATTTCATGCTAACTCCCTATTTTGAAATGCTCAACTTTTCCAGCTTTGCATCAATGATGTACGCATTAATAGGTATCATCTTCATGTCCATTATGATACTCCTACTAATAGGATACTCTAACGTCATTAAAATCAACTCTTCATATACTTGGCCTATTTATATCCTCAAATTGATTTTCATCTTATTTACCACAATACTCTATTTACCAATACTTGACCTTTTTTTTCAAATACTTAATTGTCACTATGACGATAAAGATCAACTCAAAAATGTTGTATTTAATAACACATGTTGGCAAGGTTCCCATGTTATTCATGGCGTCGTAGCCATACTAGGAATTGTTCTCTTCGTTGTCATTACTATGACATTTAATTTGCTATACTTTGAACCAAAATATAATCACAAGGATCAGTTGTCCAAGACTTCTGGAAGAGCCAAAACCTTTAAATTCTTTTACTTCCTCATATTGGAAATCTCCTTTGTATTAATAGATTTAGATCAATTTGACTATGTTGCTATCTATATCATTTTAATAGGAGCATTTGTGACTTTTTACAAATTACACATAGAACAACCTTTTAACCATGTTGCTATGCAAAAGATTTCATCCGTATATGCAGCCCTAATGCTATGGAGTGCTCTATTGATATGTTTTTCTCATTATCTAGAAGACATCATATTTCACGGTACCATCTATGCCTGGCTCATTGGTCTACCTCTTATTGCATTTGCTACTTCGAAAAAGGAGAAGTATCTTTATGATCTATTATTAATGAATATCAATAAAACTGAAGATCCCAATCAAATCATACTACTAACTAATTATATCTAAAAATTATTATCAAGATATCAAACTAATTAACACTTTCACATCATGTTGGACGCACTAATCGAGGTACACAAAAATACTTGCTAAAAAGAGGACTGTGTTTTCAGGATAAAAAAGCAATTAAACTAAAGATTGGTTAAATTAAAGGATGAAAATATTTCTCATCGGGATTATTAAATACATTTACTCCTTGGAGAGATCTATTAAGGATACATTAGAAGACATTAAAATAATGTGAGATTAAGAATTAATTATGCTTTTTATTTACTTGATTTTTTGAAATAAAAATAATAAGCCCTAAATGAATTTAATTAAATTGAATTGCTCTCTCCTAGTTTAGATAACGAATTCATAATTTTTAGATACAAGAGGATAATAGAAGATGAAATGAATATAACATAAAATGAAACAATCAGTGGTAATTTAGATGTTGCCACAGAATTAACATTTTAAAATAATATGAGATAATTTTAGAATAAGATCGAGAGAGCAACCTTAATGCATATGGATTTTTGGTCACAACTACAGGAGGATTAACCTGATTTAGGTAAAATGAATGAAATTGGTTCAAAAATCAATTTAGCTATTATTTAAGTAGAAGAATTATGGAATAAAATGTAGAAGATGACTTAAAATCTACCTAAAGCTATGAGGTTATATGCCAAATTTATAATTGAAGTACTCCAAGACAAAGATTTTGGAGAAGAATTATTAGAAAAATCTAAGATACTCCAGGCTTAAAATAATAAGATGAAAAACAAATAAACTATTTAGGTATTTAGCAGTGACGACATTAATTTTGAGCCACTGCCAACTTTGTTAGTATCGACATCATCAGATAAATTTGCTTAAATAAGTAATTTGAATTTAAGTGTATGCAATTTGTTTGGTTATCACAAAACAGAATTGATTAATAGGAAAATAAACTTGTTGATTCCCCAAGTCTATGCTAAGTTTCATGACAATTATATGGAAATGTTTATGTAGAGCAACGATCAATAGAAGCTTATGAAGGAGAGATTAGTTTATATAAAATTAAAGTCAGGGTACATTCTCCCCTGTTACTTGTATATGAAGGTATTACAATCATTTGATGATAACATTTTGATTGCTGCTTAGTTTAGAACATTAAGAACTTTTAAAGCAGGATGCTATCTAATTCTTGATAGTGATGAAGTAATTGAAAGTATATCCTCATCTTGCATTTGCAACTTGTTTGTAGATTAGAAGATGATTAGCCATCGAAAGATCTATTTTCATGAGCTTTTTCCAAATTACAACAGAAATGACTATTTAAATAAGACAGGCTGTGTCATTAGTTTTAACTTGTAATCAAATATAGTATCGAATTCAAATTACCTTTAATATTATATTAATGACTTGGAAGATTAGACCTAGATTTTATTTTAGATTTAAATTACTGAAATTTCAAATGAGCATCAAGATCAAGTGATGGGCTATGTGATAAAATTAGAGAAGGTATCAAATGAATAGAGTTAAATTTTAAGTCCTGATGTACAGCAATAATTGGTAGTACCAAATACACACATGAGTAATTTTTAATTTAAGTATTTCCCATCAAAGGCCTTATATATTGGTGAGAACCAAGAGGAAGGTAATTCAGCTAGGGTGGATTAAACAGTAATTTGGGAGTAATCGTCTAGATTGAGTGAAGAAACACAAGCTGAGAAGAAGGAAAAGGTTGAAGATGTGAAGGTAGAAAAAATAAATTATGCAGAAGGAATAAGAACATTAAAATTATTTGATAATAGGATTTAAGATATTGAAGATATTAGAATGAGCTTTTCTGAATCCGATGAAGTTCAACATTCAAGTGTTTTTTAAAAGAATTCAGATAATCCAGATGAGATTGAGTAAGGTTAAAGAAATAATGTATTTAGAAATAGAAAAGCTTTAAATTCAACAATAAATGATCAATAAAGACCATAAGTAATAGTTTATTTAAGTTGGGCCATCAATATATTAATGATAACTGTATTAACCTTATCATTTACATCCTATTTTTTAGGATTGTTTTTGTTTGAAAATGTTCAAAATTCATTAAACCTTATCAATTATGTAAGTTTGAGAAATCAAGAGTGTAGTCAAATTGTGATGAATGTACAGAATTTGGAAATGCTTAGGATAGGAATCTGGAATATGACTGAATCTGAAGCTATTGCATATGAAAAAGAATAAAGAACTGAATTGAATAGTTCTATTTTTTCATTAACAGATGCAAATAAAAAGATTATGTTGGACGATCTGTACATCAATGAAGAAATTGAAGAATTGCATTCCAAAAGTGTTGTGAATGTTAGGATTTCAAAAACCAGTTTTTCTAATTATGATTTAATTGAAGCCACTTAATAAATAATAAGTAAAGCACTTCTAGTCAGAGATAAACCACTATAAAATCTGACTTTGGATGATGAAGATGCTACGTTTATTACTTACAATCTACAAAATGGAATTGTATTTTAATTTCGAAATGAGACAAACTAATATTCCTATGGAATAAAGAATTTATCTATACAAAACGTTGAAATCTTTTTTATTTTTATGATAGTATCAGCCTGTTCCTTTTTCATCCTATTAATCATACTAGTGATGTTTATTTTCTAGATAAATTAGATATAAGAGTAAATATTGCAATTGTTTATGGAAATCCCAGAAAAAACAGTTAAATACTTGTATAATAAGAGTGAAAATTTTATATCAAATTTGTAAGTTGGAGAAGAGGAAGAAGTATCCTCTGATTTAAGTGATGAAGAATAGGATGAACATAAAGAACTCAGCAGAACCCTCAAATCAAAGAGGAAAAAGAAAATCTTTAAAAATACAAATTCATTCCACCGCTCTCAAATTATAATAATCACATTTATACTTGTTGTCTTTTAAGGATATTTCTTATTAAATTATTTTCTAAATCAAGTTACTTATAATAACTTGAAGTAGTAGATACCAGAATTGAATGTTACAGCCAGATGCAGTTCCTTTTATAGATTTGTTGATAATTGCGAGAGGTAGCTATTTCTCAACCCTAATGAACCAATCCTTCTTGAGAATGCATACTAAGTTGTCATGGATAACATACAATAAAATTACGATATTGACTCAGATTTGCATTAGGAACATGCTAAAAATTCAGAAATATAGAATTCTAATTACTACGATACTTTCTAATCCATTTTCATGTTAAATCCTTGTGATACCTTTGTGTAATATGGATATACAACAATTGAATATTGTGAATCATTTGCAAATGGGTCAATCTAGTAAGGGATGGCAGTAGCAATAGCAAGATATTTTGAGAATGTCAGGTACATAATGACAATTTATGACATGTTTAATGGACACCCTGAAGTGAATTTTAGTGTCGCTGCTAGAGGTTGGGGTAGATTTAGAAACATAACCAACGACTCTGACAATGTAACCAATTACATCTATAATTTGAACAATTTCAAACAGACCAGTGAATCACGTATTATGTAGAATGTCTTTATAAAAGGTAAAAGTATTTGATAATTTTGCATAGCTGCTTTTAGATATTTACTTGATGAATTCTTGACAGCCTTGAAATATGACATTGAAGTAACCTAAACTTAGTTATTGGCAGTATTCATAGTATTCGAAGTGCTGATATTTTTTGTGTATTTCATAGTCTGGTTACCAGCTTAAATGAAAATGACAAGAGACATCTGGAGAACAAAAGGATTGATAATGATGATTCCGTTGCGTGTGATTCAGAAGATCAAAACTATAAAAGATTTTATTGGCATATTGGTCCACAGTTAAGATAAGTGAGATATAATTATTAATAATTAACAATGGAAACTAAACTCCAAATTCTATGTAATGAGAAATATAGGAGACAAAAAAAAGGATATTGTATAAAGGACTCTTTTTCAGATTTATCCAATTAATTTTGACACCTTAAATGTGTAACCAATTATGCCTTCAGATTAATATGCATGATCATTAATATCCTTTGTTATCTCAATATTTGAAGGATCTAAGAAAATGAAATAGTAACACATCATCTTAACATCAGATTGATTATATGTTAAATTACCATCTGTCTGCAAGAGATTTGGGAATCGTATGATCTGTTATTGAAATTAAACTAAGTTAGAGTATTTGAGTATTTTACGTCGAAATAATAAAATGATCAATTATTTTTATTAAGATGAATAATTTTCATAAATTTGATAGATCATTATTGACAGTTGACATTACAGGTGCTCAACCAAAATAGAAGAGTTCTTACTTAGACAAAATCCTTCCATATGATATTCGCTAAGCAAATAACACAAAATTGCAGTTAATCTCTGACTCTAACATTTTCTAGATATACAATTCCTAAGCTAGATCCTCAATATGGACGTAGAAGATATCAGCATGACTTCCATCATTTCAACAGTAGTTGTGTTCCTTAAGGAGATAATTATTTTGATGGCTCGCATAAAAAGCATTATAACTTACAAGAAGGAGAAATCAAATAATATCGAGCCTTAGAGAATTATTATGACTAACCTAAGTATTATCATATAATATCAGGAAATCTATAAGGGGATAGATTGCTGGCTACAAATGATATAGAAGGAGCCATTCCTGGGACGTCCACAAGTAAAGTGGTAAAAAATCAAGAGAAGGCCTAGAAGATCAGACAAGAAAGAGATAATTTGAGAGCTCAAAATAACAAAGCACTCTACCTTTCTCAATTGGAATCCAAAATAGACTATTAACCTGAGGTTGAATAACAAGCTCAAAGGATTAAATCATATTCTATGTAACCTACTAATGAAAATTACATATTTGAAAACAGAGTCACTGAACCATCCTAGCCTAAATATGAATACATGAATAAGCCTTTGAAATTTCCACCAATTCTTGCAAGAGAAACTCCAATTAATGTCAATCCAATATCCAACAAATTGTAATTGCACTCAAATCAAAAAAATTATCTTCTACAAGATTATGATAAGACTTTGTGCATGTTGCAACAAAATTTACCAACGAGATTGTTTGTATGACCATATTGAATTATTTGTATCATCATATTAAACTACACGAATTTATATTCATATAGAATCTTTGTTTGAATATCCTATGGGTTTTATATATGTATATTTTTTTCTTTATTTCTAAAAATACCAAAATCTTATGATATATTAAATAGCAATATATACAACATGTTATTTATAATGCAAAAATACACAGAAACTAATAAAAATTGTAGAGTTAACATTGTTTTCATTTGTTAATTTTATAAATTTAATGTTAAAATAATTAGAAGATGCTCTCATAAAATTAGAAGTATATAATAATTATTAATAAGGAAACTTCACATAATAGTTTGAAAGTACTTGAGAAAGAGAGACAGCACAGAATTAAAATCACTAAAGAAATTGAATAAACTCAGTAGGAATTAGAGGAAATACTGAATAATGAAGAATAAATGATAAGAAACATCATAGCTGTTGAATTGGAGAAACCCGTTCAAATAGGAACTAAATTTCAAGCGAAATTAATCAAGCAAATAGAAGTTGCCAAATTCAAACATGTGGAAAGAACAAATATGGTAGATGAATTATTAGAAACTAATACAAATTTAAGAATGGAATTACATTTACTAGAGAAGTAGTTATAAAGATCTTAAGCCTAAGTTTAAGATTTTGGTAATTAATTAAGTCAAAAATAAACTGAATTCCTGGATTTGCAGATTTTATAAGCAGCCAAACACAAGGAATTGAAAGAATTAATTGAGGAAGTGTAGGAAATGAAGGAATTGTTATAAAAGGTTAAGGAAATACAATTTACATTGAATAAAGTAATTGGAAAGAACAATAACAATGCTAATAACAACAATGAATTCAGCAAAACAAATTCAACTGAAGAAGCATTCAAATTAACTTAGTCGAAACGATCTGTCAATGGAAACTCTTTAAATAATGACTATTAACAAGATAAAAATGAAGAATTTTGGTATACACTACCTCCTACTCCACCTTTAAAGCTGCCCAGAATAAAATGATGATTTCATATAAATTATTTTATCATTTTCCAAGAATATATCCAATTACTAATGCAATTATTACTACAATTAACGCCTGTCTTGTATTTATTGCATTTGATTCTTAATATATATTGTTAACAATTACCTTTCTTTGATAAATTATTGAATTAATCTTGCTAAATCTTTTATTTGAAGACTTGATACTCTTGAGACTAAACAATATATATATATTTTATTACTAATTTTTCATATTGATCCTTATATTGATTCAATTATTCGTCTTTTTAACTATCTTCTTTGATGGATTTAAACATTCTTGATTCAGAATGAGACGAGTTAAAAACACTTGATTCTAAAATTTTTGAATCCCCTGTAATTTGTTATTGTTATTGCTATTGTTATTATTAGGGTTATTGAAATTGATTCTATTGATCTTGAGGATTTTGATATTTCAACTTGCTCCTAAGTTAAGTTGTTTGTATCGTTGATTGGTCTCTGCTCCTCCAAAATTAATTCAAATCTCAGTTAGATTCACACAAAGTACCTTATTCATTTGAATCCCTAAAACAAGCATTTATTTAGAATTTAGCATCAAACTTTTAATCTTATCCGATTGCTTAGGTTGTAGATATCTCCACAATCATTGAACGATCGGCCTCGATAAAACCCACACTCGGTTTTACTTAAAACATTTGAGGAACTGTAGTTTTAATCTAAATTCATCAAAAGACACTTACTTTGAAAGCTATTGGTTGTGACTATAAATTTTGTAGTGTTAATTAAGCATGAGCAAATCTATTCTCCTCAGCCATAAATTCCAAATTTATTTTTGGATCTGTCTCAATTATTCCTTACATAGTTTATAAAAATTTTAAATAATAATATTTCTAATTATTTGTTCACCTAAGTAAACATGTTATATTTCTTATTCCTTTATCTATATTAAACTCTCATAATGATAGAATTCCATTAATTATAAATCATTAAAATAATATTTCGAATATTCATTAATAAAATATCAAAGTAATAGAATTCTAAAATGTATAATCTACCATTTTGTCCAATCCATAGCTATTAAATCCTAAATTTACTAGAATTAAGAGCCCATGATGCAAGGTTAATTTGTGGCAGCTGTCTTCTTAATTTAGTTTAGACATAATAAATTGAAGATATAAGGAATGTTGTGGATCTTATCTAAGTTAACAAATCAATAATTTTAGGTCTATAATCATCCAGAAAATGCCTTTAAATTTACGGATGTAAGGGAAAGAACAGTTTTAGCTTCGTTTTTATATGATTAAAGAATACAAATAAATATGATAAAATAAAAAATTGAATAGTTGTTAGATGAATTGGCCACATGGTAATCAGAATTAGTGTAATAATCAACTAATTTACTTAATGTATTTAGATATTGTAATATTAGGTAATTAAAAAAGATGAATTTAAACAGCTATTTGAATAACTTGCGAATCTGGATAAAGGTGTTAGGATTGAAGTTATCTAGGAAATACAAAATAAATTTTATAATTATTTTAAATCTATAGAAGTAATGAACTAAGTTTCTACATAAAAAGATTTTGAAAATTTGGATCAAATTTATGATAACATGAACAAAAAGTAATTTTATTGTATTTATTATAGAATTGTTTAAAGCGGAAAATTTGAAGAATTATTTCAATTTATCAATAAGACTGAAGCGGATTATTTATAAATTGCAAATCCTTTTACCCATTTGATAATGAATACTATTTAATAAAATGTAAAGAGATAAATTATAAAAAAAATGCTAATTTATCAAAGTTAAAAACATGGGTTAACATTTAATGCAATTAAGGCTGCAATAGTTGGAAGGTAAAACTTACTTTGGTTTTTTAAATCATCAAATAATTAATGTACTGAATTTGGTGGATATACTCCATATAGTTGGTAGGATGAGGCTAAGCCCTATGGAGCAACTGTGTCAAATCCTTCATTTTTATTTTCAAAGACTTTAAAATAAATTTACCCAATAATCTTAGATAGGGGAGGTTGTGCATAACAGTTTGCTTAGTCATCTTTTATTTTATTTGGAGGTACTTGTAATGGCGATGAAGATTTACGAATAAATCCTGATTTCAAATCAGGGTATTCTAGATTGGGAGTTTCATATAAAGCCCCTCAAGGTGTTGACTCAACAAAATATTCAACACATCTATTTGGGGCACTAGCACCAAATGTTATTGAATGTGAGATTTATTAAATATTTTTTGAATGAGACATATTTATAAGAAGTTCAATAATAAATTAAAAAACTATAATTCTGTTTCCAAGTTAGTCGATTATATTTCTTCTTAATTTTAAATTAAATAGATAGCCTAATTCAATTCAATTTGTCTTACTAGCAGTTACATGACCTTGAATTAATTATAAGAAGATTGTACTCTAATTATAAATATCTGATTGATGCTTTTAATTTAATGTTTGATTCTAAGTATTGAATAAATTTTTACACTTAAAATAAGTTCTATTAAGGCGAATCTAAATCAGCCATTTATTATATTTGCAAAAATAGTTTTATTGTGTGATTATAATTCTTGTGAGTTAAGCAAGCATCATATAAATATAAGAATTATTTTCCAATAATACTTGCATTTCATTCACTTTCCCAAAGTATACAAACCTAATCAATTTTAGCCTAGTAAGCGATACCACTTTCCTCTTTTATGAAAGTAAACAAATTATTATTTTAACAATCATAGCTTTGTTAAACAGCTTCAGATTGGCAAATGAAGTTCTCATATAAAATCAATATCTGCCAAATAGTTTTTATAGTGAATTAACTTTATTATATCTTTAAAAAATATCACATCCTTTCTAGGATGAACAAAAGACAATTTCTCTTTACATCTTAATGTTATTGAGTTTAATTTCTAAAACTATTATTTAATTTTATTGATTATAACAATGCAATTGCTTCAAAAATAAGTTTTGATTTTACGATCAAACCATCATTATCCTATTCTCTTTCACCATAACCTTCTTCTTGCCTTCTTAAAATCGTTCAATTGCATCTTCCTTTTTTTAAGCCAATTTCTTGAGCTCGTTAAGCATTTTTGTTACTTCTAATTAAAAGAACTCATTTATTTATTTTAATTAAAAATCTTTTGATAATGAGTTATCCTATGGATCACTTTGTATAATTGTTATACTTTGATAACTTGGAGCATTTGGAAAGTGGTTAGAACCAAACAAGATAGAAAGTTAAAGAAGGAAAGGTTTGTGATGAAATCATATTCTAATCACTTGTCAAAGTCTAGTTGATCAGAATTGTCAAACCAGGTTATAATGTGCATCAGAATCTCAAAAAATTAATTACAATTACTCAAAGCGAAGAGCCTATACGTAATTTGGAGATTTTTGCTAAATCTTATTAGACCAACAAGCCATAATCGAGATATCAACTTCTCTTTGGAAGTCCTGAAATCTCTTCCAATAATTGTGATATCCTCATCACACTCGAATAACCAGTATTATTTTATATATTCTCATTATAGTAAATCACCGATTTTATTGTGTTCAGAGGACAATATAAACGACTTACAATTTGCATGTATGGCGAAATCATGTCAGGACAATCGATTCAAAGTTACAATCCTACTTATGGTAAGAATATTGGATTACAGGAGTTGAATGATGTAATCGATGCCAGAATTTAAAGAGTACGCGCAATTACTTAACCAGTTGATAACAAAATCTATTAGCAGATCATTAAGTAGAGAAATGAAGTTTTGGATCACATTTACAACCAAGAGAATTACCATTTATGTGTTGACAATATTCAGCCATAATTATTACTTGAAGATAAACAGTTCAATTAATAGGAGTCATAAAAATAAATTGAAATATTGGCTAAGGAATTGAAATCAATAGACTAAGACTATGATTTTGTAGATAAACAACTGGTGTCATTGTATCATGAGAAATTGGAATAAATGCATAGAGTCTTAACTAAACATTTGAAACATTCAAAGGCAGACATCCATTCAGCAGCGCATTTTAATGATGTTGATCGTATTTACAAATTGCTACCTACTTCACTTGTGGATTCTGTGATCTTTGCAATTCATGCATCCTATTCTTCAGCCATTAGAGCATTTCCAATTATCATTTAATTACTCAGTTCAAAATATCATGCCCTATTATTTTTAGATAAGGGAGGTTTAAATAAGTTATTGGAATTTCTGATTGAGAAATAACAATCCCCTAGCTACTTCAAATTGAAGGTGATCGAGACTTTGTATAATTGTATGAATCATGTCGAATTTTGCAATGAGTTGATTACTCGAAATGTGGAGCTCAAAACTCAAGATTCTGAGAAATCACCGAAGAAGAAGAAGAAAGTGAAGAAGGACAAAGAGAAGAAGAAGAAGGAGAACAAGGAGGGCAAGAAGAAGAAGAACAAGAAAAAGAGTAGAAGCAGAAGTAGGAGTAAGAGCAAATCCATAACTCAGGAGTAGTAGCAATTTACAAGTGAATAAGTGAGTAATTTTAATGGGTTTCAATTGTTGGCTTATACGGCATCGAAAAATGAAGATGAGAAGATCGTTTAAGCATGTCATGTGGCTTTGAACAGATTGTAGATTTATGTGAGATTCAGAAAGTTGAAGAATATGATTGATTTGGTTTATTAGGGGAAATTGGCATTTAATGAAGATGGAACCATGGAGTTCTTAATGAATAACTTACCATATCAGTGGGAATTCGAGAATCTTGTGGGATTGGATTTGTTCTTGTTTGCTGTTTAGAGGGACTTTTATTGTGATAAGCAGAGGGAATTGATGTACTGTTTGTTTGATGCAGAGAAGACGAAGACTGGCAATTTTAAGTTGGTTAAGGAGATATTGTAGATGAAGGATTTATGTATAACATATGCAAATGCAATGTGGTTTAAGTAGATGTAATTTATGAAGTACATTGCTGCTATGATGGTGCTTGGTTAGAATTATAGTTAGGGTTGTTAGTTGATTTATCGCATCTTATAAATTAAGGGGGGCATAGTGGTTATTTGTCAGGAGACTACAGCCCTAAAGTTGATAATAAGAGTCTTAACCAAAAACAATGATATATAATTATTAAATTTAATAAAATCATCATTAGTTTTGATCAATTTAATGGATTAAATTTACATTAAACTATTAGGTTCTGATTATGATTATGAATTGATATCATTGTTAGGTTAATTATAATAATACACTGAAGAATAGGATGAAATAAGTCAGAATTGTGCAGCTGTTACTCATTTGATGAATAATGAATTCTTCAGTGAAGCCTTATTGTATATCATGTCAGTAACAAAGTTGGATGACATCATTGAACATGAGGTTGAAATTACAATCATGTCTCATATTTTCATCAATAGTAAATTTTGAAATTAATCATAGTTCTAAGATACAATGATACGCACAAAGGACTATTTTTGGCTGATCGACTTCTAGGCCCGAATGCTCGTTTTATCAAGTTCATCAACACAGAGAAATCCAGATTCAGTGCAGATTTTAGATTATCACAAATACTCTTGGCTGGTGTATTAGAACCTTACGAATTATTTTTGGCCAAAGATACAACTAAAGCTATTAGGGAATCCTTTCATGCTAAGTTGAAATTCGTTGCCATCAATCAAGATCCTGATAAAAATAAGTTGAAGGAATATTTTGGAGTGGGAGAACACAAGAAAGGGATTCATGAGGAATTGAAATCTGAATTTAGACTTTTGGGAACATTTGACTAACCTTACTAAAGTTTACAGTTTTTAGATGGAGCAATCAAAATATTTAAATGGTTGTGTGACTGTAATAAATTTTATTTCATTCCATTCTTTGAACATGAAGTCATTGCAGGAGTGGAATGCTTTGCTGGAAAATTGATTAATTTATTTTCAGCCATGACTTCAAAAAACATATAAACTGAATATATGCTGATCAAATTACCAAATCAATAGTAGATCTTGAGACATTACTTTGATCTTACTTACAATACTATAGAATTGATCCAAGAAAGATTGAAATTTAGGGTTTAATTGGGCTGCGAGAGTTCGTTTCATTCCAATGATTTATGTAAGATCCTCATCGACTTATGGGTGTCCTTATAAAAGGTCTAACCAAATGGACTCAGAGGATGCAAATAAAAAGTCGAAAGTTTATTGAACATTCTTAGGAATTGCTTCAATTATGTTATTACACTAAACTCATTCTAAGAAGATGATAATGAACAATTGAAGATCCATGTTTAACAAGGCAATCAAGAGATCTAGACTTTATTTTAATCCTTGTATTTGTCAGCATTCAGAAATTAGGAAGAATAAAAGTATATTCTGAATCTAATGCAATACTTGATTAAAGATAATTAGAATAAACCTTAATTCAGCAATAACCTATTTAATGTATTGTTCAAACCCATGCGTAAAAATGATGACGAATTTGAAAATTACACAAAGAATGGAGACCTTGGATTTCTAATTGACACCATGGGAGATTAGAAATGTCTATAAAATTTAATGTAATCTTCTTTAAGAACATTTGATTCAACTTTACAAAATGAAATGTTCAAAGTATTAAGAAATCTACTGGAATTGTATGATCATAACATTTCACAACATTTGTTCAAAATAATTGAAGATCAACTCAAGAATTATTCCAATAAAATTAAGGCCTTGGCAAAGAAAGAAGATCAATAACTCTATTTAAAATATCGATAAGATTGGGTGCTTTTGGGATTATTCTTAACCCAAGCCATTGATATTTGTCTATGCAACTGTGGTTTTATGTACATATTTAATTATGAACATTTGAATGAAGACATGATAAAAATATACAAATTGATAGATGCTGAAAATGATTACTGTGACACCTAACCAACTGAGAAGGCTTATAAATTACTGATTGCCACATTACGTAATCAAATTCTACAAATCTTTAAAAAAGCTGTCGATCATGAATGCGGTGTTAGTCAATTCTTATAATCGGAATCTCAATCCTACTAGTATTTAATCGAAGACATTCCTCATATCACCTATTTATAAGATTTACTTAAGAGTTTAGCTAAGAATTTAGTTAAGCATATTGAATACTCAGAAGATTCCAAAGAATACTATCATCTAAATTTAATATCCTCTAAATTAATCATCGAGATCTTGGAATGCACTTCGAAGAACATCGTTGGCCAGAATATCCTCCTATATTCTGATTACACTTAAACTCCTTACAAAGCTAAACCTATTTTCTAATTGTATAGTATTGTAGATTTAGTTCAGCAATCTCTTCTCAATTACATCACCTTACCATTTTAGTCAGTCTACACGGCAATTATTGAACAGTTCATCAGTTTACTATTCCGATTATTTGTATCTATACCGAACAATGTCATTCACCCAGGAGATGTAAGAAAAAGGGCCATTCAGACACTCTTGTTTAACAAACAGGAAAACATCATTGATTTCATAACTAATCTTTCTAATTAACTGAACAACATCCCCTACTTCCTTAAACATGTAAAATTACTCTAGTTCTTATTAAAATAAATCGAATCCAACAACAAAGAAATTAAGGATCAAAATGTAACCTTGCCCAGTGAACCACGCTCACACTAAGTTGTCTTTTAATTATTACAAGAGAAGATTTAACAATAGCAATCTAAAGTAAAGCAACAGTAGGTCTTGAGTTCCTTCTTCAAATAAACTGTTTTGGAGGGTGACAAAATATTGAAATACTAATCACTCACAGTAAGTGAAGTGACCCCATGGAAATTGGCATTCAAAGAATTTAAAAAAGAACCCCCAACACAAACAAACACATTTTTATTCCCAGAAGTGCTCTACAGAGATAAAATTTTCAAAATGGTTCCATTGGAGATACCAGCTTATCCAAAAACAATAATAAATGACATCATGTCACTACAGATTAGACAACCCATGATTTCCAAGGATAGAATAGGGTTTGCCAAGATATCATCAGTTCAACCTACTTTAGATCCAATAAGACCTGCTGTTCCTATTCCTATAAGAACACCAACGGTAGATGTTCCCCCTCCACTTTATAAGCCAGAAATGATGTTCCCATTGTAGTAACCCAATGTGTAGCCTCACTAAAATCCTATAAACAGCACTCCTGTAATTCCGATTAGGCCTTAAAATGCAAATAGCAATTACAATTTAGTAAACAAATCTGAAATACTTAATAGTTGGATTCGATAGCTCCTCCAGTCACTTTCCATCAATTGGAAGATCCAAGACTTTCAAGAAGACAAGATTTTAATATGCATCCATTGTAACCGATTTAATCATAGAGTGCCATTCAGTAGCAACAATAACAATAATAGCAATTGTAGTAGTAGCAGGCCATGCAACAACCTCTTCATTAAGCTTACCCAATTCCTTAGATCCCCATGTATATGGTATTCAATTATGTTTAACATCCAAGCCTTAAATGCCTGCTCAAATGGGCAGTTAATTGCCAAGTCAGCTGGTTCCTCCTATGCAATAAGTATAGCCTCCTTAGATCTAATAATAAATTCCTCCTCAACAGCCAGTTCTATAATAACCAATGATGCATTTGCATCCCTAACATTCAATTTAGTAGCAACCTCCAGTGTAACAGCCATAGCCACAACAACAACAGTAGCCAAATGAATTGGCAGAGTTGATAGCAATGATGAATGAATAGGAGAAGGCAATTCTGAGGGAGTTCTTAACTTCAAAGGATCCTCGAAAGTTGGAGTAGTTGGAATAGAAGAGAATGGAGTATCCCAGAATAGATTAATTTTTAATGGCGCTTTAACAACAACAAAAAAGGAGAGGCCAATGATAAATATATAAAAAACAAATTATTATTATTAAATTAAAATGTCTGAATAATAAAAGCAGCCAAATATTATCAATTGCTTCTAGTAATACAAGCAGGGCATTCAGAATGCTTTCAAAATATTGGAAGAGGTAGATTTTGAAATGCCAGAGGAAGAGGTGAAGCAAAAAGTTCAAAAGCAGGTAATGTCTGTAATCCAAAGTTTAGATTGAAGATTAAAAATAACCGATTGAACCTAAATTCATTTCACAAGCAGATGTAAAAAGAGCGCTTGAGAATTTTGATAAATTAATTTGTTAATTATAATTAGTAACACCATTATATAGTGATCCAAAATAGTACAATTATCAATAATTAGTTTAAATTTCGAGTCAAATGATAGGACTAAAAGGTAGACTTAGATGAAGCATCAATAAATGTGGGATCAAATCAAGTTGTAATAGAAGGATCGATTTGCGAGGTTTTAAGATTAGGAGATCGTGGAAAGTATACTAGAATTAGACTCTTAATTAAAAGAGGATTATGAATATAATTTCTAATTTTCAAGTGGCAGTCAAAAAAAGACAATTTAAATCAAATATCACGATGTTTTAAAATTAAATCCACCCAATTATTTGAATGATGGAATTATAAACTTTTATTTAAAATTTATCGAGTTCGAATTACTCGACGAATCCTTGAGGTCCAAAACCTACATTTTTAACACTTATTTTGTGGAGAAACTATGTCCCTTTGACAAATTGCAGACAATCTAATAGAATGACAATCATAGAATAAATGAGTTGTTCAAACAATCCTATGAACACATAAAGAGATGGGTCAAAGAAGATTTGACTGAGAAAGAATACTTGCTATTTCCCATCAATTTGCCTGAACATTGGTCTCTCCTGATTGCTCATAAACAAAGCAAATCTTTTTAAGATTCTGTTATCATATACTTGGATAGTTTTGGAATCATAGATTAAAAGTTAGTTACAATAATAAAGATGTATGACTATTCATATTGTTAAGGTATCTACATAAAATGCAATGCGATAAAATTTAATCTGATGTCAATTACAATGATTCTCCAATCAAACAAATCCCTGCCTATCAACTGTTGGTGCCTCGACAAGTGAATTATGTAGATTGTGGAGCCTTCCTTCTAGAATATGCAGAATCGTTCTTGTCCAATCCAAATTATCTCCTATCAGATTTCGAATCCCCAGAAGGCATTTACAAATTGAAACTCTTCCCAAGGACACTCGTTAACAAAAAGAGACTCCTAATGAAACAATTACTGATTGAACTGGTTGAATTGGGCAAGGAACAGGCTCTGGTGAATTACAAATAAAGAAGATAGGAAATAATTGAGAGTTGCTGTAAATAATGAATGCATCATCCTATTAGATACAAATGAAGACGAATACGATAAGATAGACTAGGATTTGTTCAAAGAGTTCCTGAGTCAGAAGAATTCCATCAGTGTGAACAGTGAATAGTAAAGATCTATGTTACTGGACTTTTACATGAATCCGCAATAAAATTATTATGAATAATGAGAGTGTAATTTTATCTTTATTATTATCATAATGATTAATTAAAAAATACAACAATACAACTAATATCATCTACAACTACATCATTCTCCTTCCATTATTGCTGAGCCTATTAAACTAAGTACTAAGCCGCCTGATCTTATTGCTCATATTTCTCATAAACCAACTTTGCCACTTGCTAATTCGTCATGTATTCCCACACTCCATCCGAAGCAATCACCATAAACAAATCCTGCTGTCTTACCTTCGACTCATAGATGGTTGGTTCTGACGTAACTCCCACTGATTACATTTGAGTATCTCCAAAACTTCTGGACATTGCCAATCCTGATCCCTGCATCTCATCCAACCATACTCTAAATGGACCCACTGATTGTCCATTGTGTTACAATTAGGCAATAGTTCCTCCCTTCTGTTTGATTCTATTCCTCTCCTCCACCACGTCCAATCTATGATCCATGCTCAATTAATTAGTAATCAACCCTCCTCTGACTCCCTTGCTTACCATCATGGCTCTGCTGTCCCCAACGTTGGCACAGTACACTACTGATTCCTTTTGAAATTCCTATTGAAAATCGCCCAAATCTGCTGGCACTATATTTTGTTACAGTAACATCACCATATTGCATGTGCATCCACTCCTAGATATAGGCAGAGAACTCTGTTCCAATAGACTGGACGTTTTGGCAAATGCCCCTTTTATTACAGTCTTGTGCAATTAAGTGTTGTATTGCAACATGTATTGATTTCTTTGCATTCCTTATTCTATCTACTGAATTAGGGTATTCAAGACATAGTTAGACACCAAATGGCCTGAAGATCCATGGCCATCGCAAACCATAAACAACTAATAATTGTTCAGGTTTTAAACAAAAACAGCATCTTAATTATGTTTCTAACATGCTAAGGATTAAATACTTTCTATTCTCCCCCCACTATACCAGTCTCACTATGCCATACACAATACACTTTCTCCATTTCCAAGAGGTAACTCTGACTCAAAGGTGACCCCATAGATTGCATTTTTAATAGAGGGATTTCACTTCTCTAAGAGATCTGAGAAGTGTTTTTTTAGATTTTGGGCAAAGATGCCCTAGGTTTTAAAGTAAGCAAAGAAATGTGTGCAATTTGTGTTTTCAAATGTTCTCGATGAGGATTGAAACGACTCACTTTGAATTTCGGAGAACTAATTGAATTTGGTTGCATAAATATAAATATAATTATATATTCAAGATATTTAATAATACATCTCTTTTTTTTTTGGTTTCTTGACTCATTATAATTAATAAATGTTAGTTAATTAAAGGAAGTGCTTGTTTTGTGAAAAACTACGGAATGACGGGTCTTTTCACCTAATACTCAAGAGAGCCTTGTATTGCAAATACTCTCAATCACAAAACTTCTTTTATGAGAAGGACATTAATGACATTATCGACGATCGATCCGTGAAATGCACCATTCATTATAAGGATCATTTGCACTTCAATGATCAAAATGAGTACATGCGGAGGTACCCTCAACCAACTGATCTAGATATTACCGTTTTTTCGAAAGTGATGATCGATTGCCAGCCCTACTTGAATACTACAAATATCACATCAACATACCAAGGAATTTCAGCTCAAAAACAATCAACAAGAGGATGGAGAAAAACAGGGAATATTAGTATTTGAAAATTAAGCAAGAATTGGGTCTCTGTTAAAATCCTAAAAATACTCAATAGGATTCTCCTCGCAAAATCAAGGATACCTCTGAGGATCAATCAGTCAGTTAAATGAAGAACCTATTAAAAGATTTGAAAATTGAATCCACTCAAACGGACATTTCGAGCAATTCCACCATTCTCAAAGACCTAGTTAAAATGATTGGAAATAATGCGCAAAAACCTCAACCCTTCCAAATCCTCAATTACAACAAGTTCATTCAAAAATAAATCAACCCAGTCATTGAAGCCTAAAAACTTCAGTGTAAATAACTAGAACTCAACTCAGCAAAACCTAAAGAAAATAAAGCCAAACCTATCAAATCACCACCCTTAACCGAACGTAATCTAAGATCCCCATAGCTGTCTAGACAATCATCTAATACTAAGTTAAAAATTGAAACACAAAAATAAACATAATAATAAACAATTACAACTACAACTACAAAAAGACCTCCATAATTAAAATCCAGACAAGCTTCCTTGGGTAACATCGATTTAACTAAATCCTGTTAAACCACTGCCAGAAACAATCCATAACAAAATGAATTATTATTTGAGTTAGCCAAAAAAGTATTCTCTACCAAAATTGCAATCAACAACAATTTGCTAACCAAAAAGAAACCAACTGCATAATAAACTAACAATTTTTTTGTTAAAGGTAGAACTACGTTATAATTCAATCTCAAAAATATGGAAGAGATAAAAAGTTCGATTCAAAGTTTAAATGTTCGACACAAAACGCCAAACTAATTAATCAAATCACAATAAGGAACTCCAAATTATAAAAAGAAATAATTATGAACTTTATTATATGGTTAATTTGTTATCATTTCCTCCTCTCTCTTATTTACCATCCATATTCAATTGACATTTTTGCTCTCAGTCTTTTAACTCTCTTATCTACCTAACGATTTCTCCTTATGTTTGCCATTTACCAGCCATTATTGGGATTGAGTAATGTTGGGATGATTTAGGATGGGTTTTATGTTGATATAATTAATTTTAATTTTGTAGCTGTTATGAACAATCATTAAGTTCAAAGTCCTCAAATTTTCAATAGCCATTATTTAAGAACAGATTATAAGGTAAATCCACAACCTTTAGTTCTCAATTTAAATCAATCAAGATAAAGTTCCAAGGCACTCTCTGTGGATAGAGGTAAACCATTCATACAAACTAGTTTCACAGTCAAACTCAAATAAGCAAATTAGAATGTGGAATAACTAATAGACCTTTGGCAAAGACATAAATCGATCACATAGACCACTCCGACCAACATATCACAATCATTTCACTACCATTCTACAACATAGAAAAATGAAAGCTTTGTGATTGGTACATATATATTCAGCTAAAAGATAGAGGAGATACCAGAAACAAGAGAAGTGAGTCCATTGAAGCCAGAAGAAATAATGATTAAACCTAGATAGTTATTTGAGATTAATTAATCAACATCCAAATTACCTTCGACCCAATAATACAATTCTAACCACAAGAAGACAAGTTCATTATATGTAGGTGCATTGTCAAGTAAAGAATAATTTTAATTTAACTTAGAGAGTGATGCCTTTTCAGGGACTAAAAAAGCAGCTAAAGAGAATCTAAAATTATCGAATAATGGAACCTCAGGTAGCAAAAAAACTCAGTTTAATTCATCATCTAAGAAATTACCCAAGGAACTCTCCGTTATAGTTTAACAATTACAGTCAGTTTAAAAAACATTGCTCCCGTATTATTAAAAATTGGAGAAAGGCAAGAAAACAGAGATTGACGAACAATTTAATAGTCTCATAAATCAAATAAAGAGCGATTTCACAAAATGAGTCAGGCTTTTGATATTCTATTTTTTTACAATTTTATTTACTTATTAATATTAATTTAAAAAAACAATCTCTGAAATTAATTATTCTTATTGTGATCGCTCTCAAATGTAAAAAGCGAATACATTTAATATTTACCCTTAAACTTGGAAATAGTTCAAGCTATTCTCAGAATCTTCATAAATAGAACCTTTTTATTTTTAGAAGTATTTATAAATATAATAAACTGTGTTTTTTTGTGTTGGTATTTATAACCTTTGATTGTTAATGGTTGAAGTGGGCAAAGTTTATTTGAATTAAAATTGAATGTTAAATGAAGATAATTAATTTATATATGAATTCAACAAGAAATGATAATTTAGAGACAAAGTATTTTGATGAGAACTAGTATAAGGAGAGTTAGCCTATGAATTCTAATAAAGTGACAAGCAGAGGCTATCAGTCTAATATTTTGCATTCGTTGGCAATACAGGGAAACCAAAAGAAAAAATTCAATAGTCAAAAAAGGGACATTTATGTTCGAAAGTTTATGAAGAATATTCAAACTGGAAATCAGAAGATCAAGCAATTAAATAAGTTATAATTGCAAATGATCAATGATAAGGCAAGTTCATAAAAGACTTTGATTTAAAAAAAGTCATCAATACCAAAAATAAATGGAAGATAATAGATATTTTTGTAGAATCTAAAAAGCTCATTTAAAAAAAATTTGGATAGAGTTCCTATTTTGTATCCTTATGCTAAATTCAAAATATTGTGGGATGCCCTTTCAGTCCTAACTCGATTGTATTTCACATTTGTAATTCCTTTAGATTTAGGTTGGCAATAGCAATCATTCATTTTTTACGATTTCTAAGCTATTTCAATCATATCTCTTCTGTTCATAATCTTTGATTTGATTTTGAGTTTGAATACAGCCTATTATAAGGATGGACAATTAGTAACCAATAGAATGATGATCATAAAACACAGTCTCTTTAATTCGTATGGATTGCAATGGTTCACCGTCTTTTTGTTGTTAGTGTTTTTCTTTATTTCAATATCAGAGGACACACTCTATGGAACGAAATCCACTTTCAGTTTCTTAATATTGATCCTATTTTTGGTGCATTTCAAACCGATCATAACAATCGTGAATTACTACGAAGAGACCTTAAACTTCAACAAATAAATCTAATCGATCTTAGAATTGGTAAAATTATTATTCGTAATGTTTTATTCAATTCATTTTTTCTCTTGCATTTGGATGCTTGTTGGAAATTACAGTATTACAAAGTACAATAAGAGTTGGGTATTATAAAGTGGAGTTGAAGATGCTGAGTGGTAGATCTAATATTTGTAATCCTTCTACTATTCTGCTGTGACTATGTTCACAATTGGATATGGGGATGTCACTCCTCAATCCTCTGCTGAGAAGGTCTTGGCAGTCACTTACATCATAGCTGCCAGCATATAGCTACCGTACAGTGTGAACACTTTGGGAACCATCATTCAATAAATCTCAGTTTACACAGTCGAAAAGAAAAGGAAATTAAGAATTATCTCTACTTACTTAACTTAATAAAAGATATCACAAGACTTGTAAATCCAAATTCGAGAATACCTCACTTTTAGATGGGAAAACCAATAGGTAAGCAAAAACGATGAAGTTGAATAGCTGATTGGACAACTCTCGACAGACTTAAAAGACTCTTTAGTAACGGAATCGTATTAATAAATATTAAAAAAGTGTTCACTATTTAGTATTGGATTCTCTGAGGCCTTCAGAGCAAGTTTGGTGAAGGTTGCGAAGGAAATAGCATTATAGCCAGAGTAAGAATTACACACAGATGAATCCTCTTAGAATAACTTGTATTATATAATATCAGGAGAACTGCAGATTCAACATTCAAATGGAATGAATTTAGGAACTCTTGTATCAGGACAGTCAATTGGATTAAAGAATTTTATTACATCTTCTCAAAAACCAGAGAAATATAGAAGTGTTGGGTTTTCCAAATTGATTTGTTTAGAATAGAAATAATTCTTAAGACTATTGCAAGAGTATCCTGCAGATTATGAGAAATACTGTTAAATTAAGGATTCCTTGCTGTTTTCTGATCAAAATTAGGAATTGCTTCCTCAGACTTGTTTTTCTTGCAATAGGAAATATCATTCAATGATCAATTGCCCTCAAATTCATTACGTGCCTGATAAAGAGAAAATCTTAAAGTCTTTTACCTATCCAACTGAATAGAGAAGAGCCAAATTCAATCGTAGCATCAGAATTATGAACTTCTTGTCTCAACAACAAGTGATAGAAGGATTAAAGATAGCATCCCAATAATTGATGAGAGACAATCCTGAAATTGTGAAATTGTATTCAACAGAATATATGATAAATGAAGCAGATTCAGGAAAGCAATCTTTGAGTGATATATAGAATCTAGAACAGAGTTCCCACTATTCTAATGAATAAGATAAGACTCCAGAGAAGTAGCAATTTCAGAAGATCAACAAATTCAAATAGGCAGTACACAAGATCATTTCCATCAATAATGAATACACCCAATATATTACATTCCATCATTTAGATCCCAGGAAGAGCAAGTAACTATTACAGAACACGTTGACTTTGAGATTGAAAGTGTTGGAAGAACTCAAAAGTAGCATCTTCAAAAAGGAGCAAGACTTAATTTAATATTTGTTGCAATTAAACAATATTGATTATCATTTTGATGCTTCCCAATTTGAAATCGCTCTTAATTACAAAAACTATTACCCTAATGACAACTATAAGAATCTATTCAATTAGAAGGAGCAGAAGAGAAACTTCAGATTATTAAAAAGATTAACCTTGTACTTTTTGTAGCCTTGTAATATAATTGATTAATTCAAATTAACTTTCGAAGATATTAGTCCAAAGTTGAGTCAAAGGAGGAAGAATCTTTACTTCTCAGTTGATTTGGTTATACAATGATATTTGTAAGTTTGTATGCGTATAGAATTAATATAATTAAATTTAATTAACAATATGAGTTAGAATTTTAAATTCGTAGAGCAAACCCAAACCTTGCCATTGATAGTTAGAAAGCCAATTGCTGTTATGAATTTCAAACTGTATAAGAAATATCGTCATTCTCAAAATTATTATTACATTCGAGAAATTAATGAAATATTGAGTGATGCATCTACTAGACATGTTATCCACTTTAAGGATTGGTTGACTATAGATGAGGAAGTACCTTAATTAATGCATAACGATAGGATGAGTACCTTAAGAGATATTATAAATTGGAGGAATATCCACAAAAAATAGCATTGCTTACAGAATATTACAAAGTATTGTGTTCGATTGAATTAGTTCCATGCAGATATCGCCAGAATATTTGAAGAGCCGGTGTGCACTGTGCTAAATAGATACTATGATAAGAAAAGGAAGTACGATTATTTCCGAATAGCTAAAATCATAGAAGAAGAAAATAAACTCAATCCTCAAAAGCCCCCGAAAGGCATTGTGGGTGAGAGACCATCTCCTGCTAACTCGTAAGAATCTCTGCCTCAAGAGTAGGAGGAGGTCGAAAATGAAGTTGTGCAGCACACTTAGGTTCTCAAAGAAATAAGTTGGTTGAAAGTAAAAAATTGTTAACTATAAAACTGTCTAGAATGAAAAACCTTTTCACAAGGATGCCTCATAAACTATTAATGAGTTATTTAAGCATCTCGAACACCTTGATGACATGTCTTCATTCTCGATTGCTCCGATTCCTAAGAAGGATAAGATTACTTTGGATAATTTCTTACTTTATATTGGAACCAAATTTAACAAAAAACAAATGACATCTCCCAGTTACAAATAAGCACATGATCACAGGATTCAGGAATTAATCTAAAAACAAAAGACTAAAGCACATCAAAAGGGACAACCCAATTATAGTCTCCACAAAAAGAATGACACAAAATATAGCATTGGTTCTATTGAGAAGAAGATCATCTTTGCTAAAGATTAATTTAATTATTTGTCCAAGAAGTCTAACAGACAAGTCTCGACAGAAATAATGGAAAGCTTAACTAAATTAGACAATAAACCATTAGAGTTGATTAAAAACAAATCCAAAACAACAGTAGCCAAGAATCAAATAAAAATCAATAAGATTATACGTGATGCTAACACTCCTACGCCTTCCTTGCATAAGGTCTCCATTAGTTCTACTCACCTTAAAACCCAATAACCATAACCATAGAGTAATAATCTCAAGTTGAATTCTCTGGCTAAATTACTTATTGAAGATACATATAATGACCAATAGCATAATAAATTCAAACATGGTGCCATCACTCATCGACCTTTATCAGGGACTCATACATTATTTACTTCGTATTCTAATAGAAATAGTCCATCCATTAATTATAAAAAATAAAATCTCCAAAATTCTAAGCCAGATTTCAATCAAATAAAGAAAGGGAAATAAATTAATTCTACTCAACAACCCTAATAATTTGCCTAATTGGCTAAAAACTTATTCAAAAAAGTCTTAAACTCTAAAAAACAAAAACCTATTAATCATATAAAGTAGAGTTCTCATCAAGATAAAGTGTTGAATCAATTTGATAAATTGAAAATTAATTGCAATTCTCAAGAACAGTTGAATGAAATTAATGATAAAAAGCAGCACAAAAAAAACAAGTCAGATGGAAGAGCTCTTTATAATAAGTTGTCTATACCAGAGTTAGGATGTCTGACAGAAAGACACGAAAAAGAATCTCCTTTGCTAAACTTTCATAGCAATAACACTAATGGTTCACCACAACATTTTAGAAGACTTGATAGTGAGAAATAGGAATCAATATCAAAAAATATGAAAGGATTAATGATATAATAAATGTTGAAGTAACTAGCTAAAAAAAATTAGTAGAATTAATAAAAATAAGAGCTTTGTTCTATTATTAAAAATTCTTAGAAAATATTTTGATCATTTCATTCTATTACCTTATTCAATTATTCTAATTAATAAGTTATTAATAATACTATCTGCTACAAAGATCAAAAAATGTATTTTATTTTTCTACAAAATTTAAAATGCCATATAATAGTCGATTATGACAAATCTCATTTTTGTAATTGATTAATATTATTTATTTGCATGTTTATCTTCAATTCAATGAAATTCAAATTTTGAAAGTGAATTTGCTTCTTAATATAAAAGTCTCATATCAAACTTTTTTGTTATTTATATTTATAATAACTATCTAAATAACTAATTCTTTCGAATTCTTTGGCTATTTAAGGAAGTCTTCTAGAATTGTCCAAATAAATATAGGTTATAAATGATAATACAAAATTGAAATGGATTCTGATATAATAAACAATTACATAAAGAATATTATTTATCAATTAAGATCACTTTTGTGGATTATATATAAACAAAGCGTTGTTTAAATGACTCTCCAATTAATTATCATACTGGGGTATCTCTGGGAGTTGCATTATCTCTTGACTTTAAAAGGTTAAGAGATGTTTGGATTGGTTATCATCGGTTATTACTGGTTGGAATCTCTCTGTATCGCTAATCTGTACTGATCCTCTGAATACGGAGATTTCATTTAAGAATGAGTGTCCGCTTCGTTAAAGTCTTATGTAAAATGATCAAATTATTACTCTTCTTGGTTTTATTCATCAAATTCAGTGTTTTCAGTAAATTCTTTATTCCGTTTGTTTATTTTTTTTATCAAATTTTTGGAGTGAGATTCCCAAGCTTTGAATGAAATGAGAACATTCAAATAATCATGAAGAATATTAAAATTAGTCCTGAGGTCGACTAAACAAATATTGGCTCGTTTGATAAATAAATTTCTTCGATAATTCATTAATTTCATTTGCATTTCTTTATTGTATTATTAAATCTACTTGATAGCATTTTAACTCCCAGTTTTGAAAACATCATCCTGAAAGCATGTCCTAAACAGTTCATAAATCAACTAATTATATTGAATGTAGCCATGATGATCACTAGATGATAGAGATGGACTCCTTACCACTTTAATTTGAATGCAGAGGCTTATTTGGCAGCATCCCAAAGGTTTTCCTGTTTTCCTCTCCCCAAAGGAGATCCGAGATCCATTAGAAATCTACAGAGAAATTTGTAATGCATAGCTTTCCCTTGAGTTTCTGGAGAGTACCTTAAAATAATGAAAATGCAGATCATACTTGCACCAGATCGTTTTTATTCTATCTTCATTTTCGACATAGGTTTGGATTATTGAATTTTGAACCTAAAAGAAGGACTCAAATTATTCGATCAATCCCAAGACAAACAAGTTTAAGAAAACATAATTGGATAATAGCATGAAGAGGAAAAAGTATATTTAACTATAAATAGAACCACAATAGGTTGAATCTGTAGAGCAATTAGGATTATGATGCATAGTGTCAGTCATAATGGTTCTCCAATCGTCGCCTGATGCACATTTGAATAGAGTGAGCATAGCCTAAGCAATATTATGAAAATTGATTTGATCATCCATAACCTACCCTGAATCGATCTATCCATATAGTTAACATCCAAATAAGGCAAACACCAACATTGTGTCGATAAGGATGAAGAATATTTTGCCTAGAAATGGGAGAGCATAAACCATAACTCTCATTAGTCTCTGAATATTGATTAACCCCTAAAATATGAGGATCAATCTGAAGCTTCTCAATGCAAAGCAAAATCTATAGAGTTTATAGTATTCGGTCAAAGGACTGGAATAATAGTAGATTTCTACCCAATTGTATTTTAGATCCATTGCGAGATCACAGACAGCAATGAGATTCAAGATGAAAAGGAATTGTCTCCAATGATTGTCAAAGAATCTAAACAATCCTAGAGCCAAATATTGAAGCAAACTCCATATGGTGATAAATATTGTAAATGCGTGATGGATGTAATTGATAGTATCGAGGTACTTGACATTCATGCTAGAATGAAATAAGGCATTGTTAACTACATCCAAAAACAAGATGAGAAAAAAGAAGGATTGCATAATGGAGTTATTCATGATGATCGATGCCAATCTTCTAATGACATTGTCAGGAGGTGTGGAGAATACGGGGATGTCTTTGGTGATGATCTCAGAGATCTCGATGAATTCCTTCTGATTCTAATTGAATTCTCCCTACTCTATTTTCCTCTGATTTGCTTTTAAGTTTGAGAATAACACACCCGTGAAAAGACTTAGAAAAAACATCGATCCAATAAAACAGAAGGTAATGAAAAAGACATATGTGTGTATATAACTATTAAATGGCACAGGTCCAACATTTCGACTGTCACTATTTTCAGCAATTTAGAGCATTTCACCCCAACCATCAAAAGTGGAAACTGTGAATAATGTTGGAATAGCCATGGTGATATTATCGAAGTTGTGTTTAAAATTGATCCAAGTTCTATTCTCTTGAATGCATTCTTCATACTTGATTCTGAATTCCATCTTATCTTCACAAAATCCAAATTATCCCTCATATAATATGATTCCATACACTCCAAAAATGATCCAGACTGAGAAGAGAGTTAACAATACATTTAGGATATCGACCAAAGATTGGTAGAGTGCAGAACTTAGAACGTTCAAAAACTTAATTCTATTCAAAAGATTAAAAGGCCTAAAGTATCCAAAATAGAGAAGGATCTAAAATATTGGCTTCACGTAATAATCTTTCTAGTATTAGATGAAGAAGGATAACAAATAAAATATATCCACGATCTACCAGATGGAATTGAAATGAGAACCCATCTCTATGAATAACCCTTTACCAATCACATTTACGAGATATTCAACTGCCAAAATTATATTGAGGTAGAACTAAACTTCTTGTGGATATGTTTATTTGCCCTCCTCATAGTCATTATATGTTTAGAGGATGAAAATAATTATCGATGCCGAAAGAGACACATCGTTAATCCAATTGTAAAGTTTTGATCTGGCAATCATCATGCACATCATCCGAAAATGATTAGACTTGTTGAAAATAAATAAGGATTGTTCGCATTTGATTCCAACATACAACTCAGGAGATGCATCCAATATCTTTTAATTAATTTATCTGATTGAATTTATTAGATGTTATATCAAAGCCGTCTTTTATTTCCCCCTTCGAATTCTAGTTTTATCCTTTTATTATATTTAAACAACAGGATTAGCTTCTTGCAATTATTAAGAATTTGAAGTGTCTAATTATTGACTATTTGATGATTTCACTAAAGATTACTATTCTGTCTCTTCGATTTCTGAAAAAATCTACCTATCTAAATACTTGCTGAATCCATCCAATAAAATAGCCAAGACCAATCCATATGTTAAATAATTTAGTACGATTACCATCGAGTATGAGTAGACTGTTCCAAATGTTTCATTAATCCCAGTACCTAGAACAAATACCCCATACCAATCATCGTTTGTCATGATATTAAACACAGTCATAAAGGATTTTAGAACATTGTCATATGAGTGCAATTATCCCAATAAGTCATTCTAATCAAACTCTCCTGCATATACTTCCATACCCACCAGAGCATACAAAAATATTACTATAAACATCAAAAATGTCAAATATATGTAAGACTTAAATGTTTCTGATGCTATATGACCAATAGTCACAGCCATGCTGTTATATTTTAAACATCTATAAAACAACAAACATTTTGTTCCTCTAATCAATCGTAAATTTTATTCAGTTAAATCGGTCATGTAATCACTCATTGTATATTCAATAAAGTTCAAAATAACAATTAAAGTTTAAAGAATACTCTCATTGTTATTTGACAACTCTTTAAAAGATGTGCTGCAAAACCGAAGAAATGTCTCAATTGATAACAGAATTGTAATAATGTCCTCCACGTCAGAGATGATAGAAGCATCTGCAATTCCGTACAATGCCAAGAAAGTGAAGTTTATGAATATCAGCAGATCCAAAGCAATTTCTGTAAATTTACTAGATACTACCCTATTTATGTATTTCCTTAGTATTTATAACATGCCAGACAACCCCTTTATCCAAACTACGAAGTCGATTTTATTTAATGTCCCTAGTACATTTACCAACCTAAAGGTTGCATAACGGGTTTCAATGACATCACAACCAGACCAATTGTTATCAACAACTCTCCTGCTCTTAATTTCCTTCATTCTCATATTCTTGTATTCAAGATCATAAGAGACACTGTGTGTCTTCTCCTTCTCGATTTTCTACTTCATTTTGAATGCAATTTTATCAAAACTCAAATAATACCCTTAAACAAATAGATATGTAACATTTCCCTTTTTGATTGTAAATGGTATTGAGTGCTTTGATGCTATCATTTACTTATTGAATCCTTTATAAGTCTTCCTTTCATTTGGAATGCTTGTAGTTTGGACGGCATGCGAGTCTTGAGCTTCTGCGACTTAAAATACCCTTTTAATATTGTTTGCTCTTTAGCTTTTCTTAATTGGACACTTCAACCTACTTGAGCTGTTTTTGAATCTGAATATTTATGAGTTATTCTTGGAGTATTTTGGAACCATGTATTCTAATTAACATCTGTATTTGGTATAATTGATCACTTTTTCATCAATATTCTACTTTGAGTTTTGAATATCCCTATATGATGTAGAAAGAATAATAATACGCAAAAGATGGTAACACTTCTTCTAAGCTTGTATATTTTTGATATTATTTTGGGTTAACTTGTTTTGATAATTAGGAGAATTCGAATTTGGTGAGGTCCTCCAAAATTTTAAGATAATCTTCATTATCAGTGTAATTTTTAAGATTAATTTCTTTTTATTTTTTACTTAGACATTGGAATTTGGATAACAGAATGTTTTTGAATGTCAAATTTCTCAGATACTCATAGAATTAATCAAAATAGTTGCTCTAAGAAATAAATCAAAAAGAATATTTTTACATTTACATTTTTGCTTAGTCTCTATTTGGCTGATAACAGTCTTGGTTGTGTAGAATTTTTTATTTAGAAATCTTCTAATTTATATTAGTTTATTTTCTTAGATTAGTTAAGTAAATGATAATATTTTTTGAAAGTCTTAAGAAATCCAATTTGACGAAGCATTGCAACATCAAAAACATCTGTTACATCTCTTTATTGATTTGATTTCTCCTCCAATAATCTTTTATTGATTTGTTACTGCTCCTATTAATGAAAAAATTATTCAGTCGCCTCAGCATAATGAGTCTTCAACACTGCGATCACCAAATTAAAACTAAAAAAACCACATACGAAAATTATCAGTAAATAAAATATCCATACCCAAGGATTGAAAATTCTGATTGTGAAAAACATGACCCAACTCCAATCATCCATTGTAATTGTTCTCAATATCTAGCCATATGAATAGATGATATTATTGAAAGAAGTTGGCATCTTAATTGTCTACTCAACGTATTTGCATTCCATTCCCTCAGGACATTGGTCTACATTGCATTGTATCCAATCATCTCCCAACTCCTCGTTTATTGGAACACACCTATAATTAAATAGTCCCTAAAATAAGAACACTCCAGCCAAAGCAAAGAATAAAGAAAACAATCCTACTATTGACAATGCCTCCAATATATATCGGATCGATTGCTTTAATGCTGTCAACATTACTTTCAAACCATCAAATATGTCTCCCAAATATTACAACAGAGTTATTATTCGAAGAGGTGACAAGTCTATTATTACTATATCTGGTCTATATAGATTAATCGCTGATAGCAACGCAATTGAAAAATCAAATATGTTTGAGAAATTAACAAAGTAAGCATTTTTTGAAAACAATAGTCCTTACGAAATTATACGTAATCCTATTTCAGTAAAAAATAATATGGCTATGATTTATTCAATCTAATCGGTGTCATGACGATGATAGGTTTTCACAATTGCAAAAAGAGTGATGGTGAAAAGGATCAAAATAGTCATGAATAATCGAAATGCTATTGACTTAATTATAGACTTCGCTATGATGGGGATAATAAACGAGATGTAAACAATCATCTTACGCAAATTGAGCAATACGTAAGGATCATTGTAGTTCTACTATTAGAATCAAAGTACTACCTGCAATTCATGTTTAATTCTTTGGTGCCCATGCAGTTCTTATAATTTAATATAGTAAGGATCAGTTTTGTAGTTTCGAATATAATACTTCTGATATTTGTTTAAAATATCCTGATCAACATCAATTTCTGCAGTTGATTTGACAGTAACCATTATTTGTTCACTCGCATCGCCGTAACATTTTGTTTATTTGACTAAATCTGGTCGACAGCGCTGTCTTATTTCATGTTCAATTAATTGAATTAAAGGAATTGGTTATTCATAGTCTAATTTGATTTTAAATTCCTGTTGAGCGTTTCTATTGCTGTCATCTACTCTATCAGAAATACTGTCCTATGATAATAAAGGATTTTAGAGATAAGGAAAACTACTCTTATCAGAAACATCAAGGGAATGCTTGATTTATGAATGATTAGAATTAAATCGATCTGAATTCTAAAATTGATTGTTCGATTCCATTTCTTCACTTTCTCTCCTCTTTATCTTCAATGTATTACTACCATCGCTCTTCTTTTTCTCATGTCTTCTGTCAATCATTATATTATAATTAATAATATTCCGCCTTCTCATTATTATGTACACACATACATATAAATTGTTGAATCCATCACACAATTTGGCCATTCGAAGGTAAACTGATACAAATATATATAAAAAAAATCAAGCGATAAATACTCTATACGCTTTGATTTTCTCTATATCAAATATTGACTGAAAGAAACTCTATATGAGAAAATTTTTTACCTAAAATGAAAGTACAGAACATATGATGAATCGAAAGAATGAAGAAAAGTATTGTTAAAAAGCAGATAAGAAGATCCTTATGCAGGTTTGTTGATAGTGAAACACTGTCATGCAACCTCTAAATTACGACAATTCCGATATTGTATGGAACCTTATGTGCATTTAAGTATTGGATAAAGTAAATTGAGAGGCTTAAATACGATTGGGTAAACAAGATGCGCAACAAGAAACCTGTGGATAACTGCAATTTCTTTAATAACTAAATTTAGTTAAATCATCAAGAAATAATTAATACTAATAAATTTGATATCAAGCCACTTGATATACAGCCAAATATATCCATTTCTTTCTGGTTCTCTAATTTATATTGGAAATGTGCTCCTTACTATTCCTTCCAAGATTCCTCTAATCCTCCTCAAAAATTGCCAAATTTATTATCAACACCTAATTCTGAATGCCAAAAAAGTGACTATTATTTAATAACAATCTCTATAATCTTTTTCTAAGTCAATGAATCGCTCAAATGTATTGATAATACTCTTGCTGCTCTCTATTAGTACCTCTAATTTATTTGAATAGATTTGTTGTGCATCTAATATATATCAGAGTGCATGACTTATATGATGCATTTCTTATAAACAAAAAATATTCCTTTGAGATCACTTTGAATTATTAAAAACCAATATAAATTAATAAATTAGCATCTTGAATTATTTGAATTTCTGATTAAAAATATTAAAAGCATATGGGCGTAGATTGCCAATCAAAAGTCAACACAAAATTGATATACATATTAACTATCCATTTTGTTTATGAAGTGCATAGAAGCAGTTCTTTTCATAGAGAATCTATTCAATAAGTTCATGAGCCTATTGAGGAATGATTCTCCCATTTTCCTGTTGTTCCCAAGAGTTAGGATTTCTATCTGCAAACTCAAGAAAAAGAAGAAATGATTGAAAATAAGTTATACAAAATGTACTTCTTAATACATGATTTATCAAATATTATGATATCAATTTATTCAATGGATGTATAAACTCATTTATTAAACACCGTAATCCTTAATTTAATGATCGGATCAAATTCGGGATGCGAAATGATTGTAAATTGTAATAATTGACAAGTATTCTAATTTGTATTAAATAAATAATTATGCAAAAACAGTAAGCTCTTGCTGTTGTACGTGCTCCGTCTGGGATTACAAAGTAACCATTTAAATCAATTGTCACAACCAACTAAGCGCCTCTGCAACGAGTTAACTCTGCTGGATTCATGAGTGCAAGCAGATAGTCTAATTAATTTCAGAAACCTTCAACACCATTTTACTATACCAATAATTATAGGTAAGATTGGAAGAATTATTTACGCTCATTCCCTAGTATACCAAAAATCAAAATTTTAGCTCCAGGCACTGGTTATGATGCAAAAATGATTAAATGATATTATTGTATTAATGTTTTCAATAATTCACATATTTCATTAATTAAGTATTTTTTATATTTAACTAATGCTTGTTATTTTTATCATTAATTTTATTTATCTAGTAAATGGGAAACAATAGTGTCTGCTTAGGAGAGATCCAGAACAATGCTCCTCGTCAAGGATCTCCCGACACCAAATGGAAAAGAGAAGATCTAAAATCAGGTTCATGCGTTTAAACACTAATGGATAAAGAAAATACTAATTTCTTTAAGATGGTCCAATGTGGACCCTCGACACCTTACTATAAAAATGAACATTCGGCAACAAGATGGGCCCAAGCAATCTCCACTTTGAAATATGTCGATGACATCCAAACTACCATCAATCTACTATACAATAGATCTGAATTCGAAGAACTAGTGCTTTTAGGACCACCCAAATAGTATAGATGGGCTACTTGGAAGGCTCTTCTTACTAATGGATAAATTCAATTGTCGTACGAAAAGTATCTGGAATATATGCCAATTGATGAGAAAAGCATTCTGAAAGATATTGACCGAACGTTGGTGAACCATGCGTTATTTAAACATGAGAGTTGTGGCCAGGAATAACTTAAAAGAATACTCTTTGCCATATCAAACGCATTGCCAGGAGTGGGTTATTGTTAGGGAATGAACTTTGTCTGTGCTCTAACTTTGATTGTGTCTGGCTGCGATGAACACAAGACTTTTCAATGCTTTATGTAAATGCTAACCAATGAAAAACACTTACTTTGCTTTAATTTTTGTCATGATATGCCAATGCATTTCTTCTTTACCAAATTGATACATCATTTAATTCGCAAAAAGTTTCCTAAATTGAATCTGAAAAATGTGAATGATTCACTTTGGATAAGCAAAATGATTTTATCGTTGTTTATATATGTATTTAAATTAGATGATTGCATTAGATGTTGGGATTATCTGATGGTAAGGGGAATGATTCGAGGGATTCCTGAATTAATATTAGGCTTCATTGATGTGACTTACAAACAACTTGAGTAATTTAAAGAGGAGGATTATGGTTTTAATTTTTAAGGCCATGAAAGTAGCATAATCTAATTCAATGTTGGGGAATTGATATATGCAGCCAAATAGAAACACAGCATAGATAGGTAGTTGATCTCAAGATTGGCTATGAAAATGAGAAAAAACAAGCCATCATAATTATTAGACTTGCTGTCTCATTTCGAAAACATCCAAACTTACAGAAAACATGTTTAATTTTATATGAAGACCATATTTGATTTATACTGATATTATATTTATTATATTATGATTTCAATTGATCTACTTTTCATTCAAGTTTCTAACAAATTATACTGGATTGCCTGCCCATAATTGTCCTGAAGGAATCAATCTTCCTGGAGGCACAACACTATCTTCAGCAATTTGAGAGCCTCTTTCGATTTGAGCACCGTCAAGTATGAGTGTTCTGGATCCAATGGTAACGTTGTCATCAATTATTGAATTGTTGATAATGCAACTATCTCCGATGGTAACATTTTATCCTAAGAGATTCAACTTAATAAGACATACCAATGGTCACACTTGCCAAAACATTTGTTGGAAGTCGAGTTCTGGAGCATTGGATTGAGGTGTTGTCACCTACCACACTGTTTGAACCAATTCTGATGGCTTGATCATCTGCTCTTAGGATTGCTCCATATCCAATTTGCACATTCTCTCCGAGGTTTACTTGCCCAATTAAACTTGCATTATCCTGAATGCTGGCTGATTCACTTATTCTGGGTTTGTAGAACCCAAATAGGGGCATAATCTTCCTGTGTCTTGATAATGGCTCTAACCAAGCAATGTCATTGGACAAACGAGACCCGTACTGATCAAAATCTATACAGTTTACACATATGCTCACTTACACAACCCAGTCTCTTTGAAAGCACGGCCCATCAAGTATCTGAATTAGTAGTAGATAGCACCTAAATATTTTTGCATTATTTTTATTAATGTAAAATATATTTAATATATATATGTATTCTTAATGTGCAATCTTTAAATAATCATATTTTAGGATGAGGTATATGCACCTTCGATGGAACCTTCACCATTAATTGCTTGAAATGTCCAACCTTTGCTTCTCTTGTCGACTTCCCAACACTGAATGCAGGATATGACTTTTTCTTAGAATTCACTTGCACTCCTACAGCAATCCTTTTTATCTCATTAAGAATACTATTTTGTATCGTATGTTTAATTCTTATCCCATCCTTCGAAGATCTTTCCTAACTTGGGACCCTTCGGCAATGTCCAACGAGGAGCGTCCTCCAAATTGCTCGTGTTTGCAGGAGGCTTCTACAGATACGCTCCTGGCCCCACTATCACTGGAGTCGAACAAGTCGGAGCCAAGGCTGATGCTCCTGGGATGTCTCTCCTATATCCAAATGAATATTGAGCAGGAGTGGGCACTTCTGGCTTTATGGCTGGATCATATTGAGGGCCAGGAGTTCCCTTTAATCTTTTTTCAGGAGGGAACTAAATATATTTGGATCATACCCTGGATTCCAATCCAATCTTAACGTTTGGATATTTGGGTTTTCGAATCAAATCTGCTTCTTGAGGTTCAAACTATCATAATTCAAATTCAAATTTTACATCCACATCCTTCCTCTAATAGTAATCAAACTTCGCTCCTGTGCCCAAAGTATTACGAGGGTCAGTTCCAATTTTTGTATTTGCATCTTAAGTGTAATAAAATCTATCTCCTCCTCTCACGTCGTAGACAGGTCCAGGACTAGCCTTGCCTTTATTGGTTATAATGGATTTCCTTACCTGCAAAATCTATCCTGGCAAGTTCCTTGTTGTGATATAGTTTCGCTTAATTTGCACGTTCAGCCGAGCCGAAACTAAAACTAGGCAAAGTTTATTTCGTGGACAGCGGCATCTTCCCTATTGAACTAAAGGCTTGCTTATTTTCGAATTCAATCAAATCGCCATAAGAGTATACTTTTGGTTAAGCCTTAACTTCTTCCTTCGTTTCGGCCATTTTAATTAATATAATAGATTAACAAAATCTCATTCAATTTGGATTATAAACATATAAGCATCCATCGGACATGGAAAGATATAGAAGGATCTCAATTTATCAGTGCTGCGATAACAATATATCAAGTTTAATTAAGCCAATGATCAAACTAGAAAAAAGCTGATTATTAAACAAAATTATTTTATTTTATTTAAATATATATAAATGGTTATATAAAAATTCTTTTCATCTGATTGCTCTCTCTCTCTCTCTCTCTCTGATATACATATATAAGGGCTTCGATAAATCCTATAAAGTGAAGATCGGGCCAAAATTTAATGAGGATGAATAATAATATATTATACAGGTGTTTCTATGGTTACTTCAATAAGATATAGAAAATGGATGCTCCAGGCATTCAACAGCACTTATATTTTGTGATTATAAAACCAAAGATGTTGTCTTGATTTCAGTATTTAAAATATTTTAAAAAAGTTGAAATCTTTAATATTATATATCATGGATAGAAGAGAGTTAAATAGGAAAAAGTATACTTATGTTTTTAACTTATACATCTTTGAGATCAATAGTGTATAAATAATATAAGAATAGAAATCAGGAATTTTTTAATCATTCTATAGTATCTATTTCGCTTTCCAAATTATCATTATTCATGATAAAATCTGGTTCTCCTATCGCATCAAATACGACTCCACATAATTTCACATTATATTAATCTAATTGGCCTTTATATTAATATTAACTAATTACAATTATAATTGTAAGGCTTAATAGGCTCAAATACTTTTTTCATTTAATCCAAACTTGGTGTATTTGTATCGAATTTTAGCTTATCAGAGTTAAATGGGATCGTGTTTATCTTTCCTTCTGCCATTCAAATTTATTTAATTTATTTTATATAATTTTTTGTTTACTGGACGTGAATAAGCACCCTAATCGGAAAAATTTTAATTTTTAAAAAATTAAAAATTCGATATCATAAAATTAGAGGGATAAATGATTTAGAAAGAATTAGGATGAAAATTTTTTTCAAATTATGATAAATAAATCATAACTAAGGCTATATATACTTTTAAATAAAATTAAAATAAATGCAAATAAAAATACACATATCATTTAGTAATTAACAGAATTTATTACTAGTCTCCTCCTATAGAGAGTATAAACACTTAAATGTTACTTCAACAAATTACTTGTTTAAGATGGCGCTAAATTATACATGGTCAAAAATAATGATTCAAACTCTTGGAAGTTATTCTGTATCTATGCAAATATTAATTTAGGGTTGACTGCATTGGCACTCCTTTGCTTAAGCAATTCAGCCATTCTTTTCATCTCTAAATATCTTGATGCTAAATACTTTTATCATCGTTGATCTATTCTACATCTTCAAAACCAACATCATATTTTAATAAGAATTCTACTTCCTATCTTGATTCCACCAGGTGTATGCCTCCAAACTTCTTAAGTTAGGTTAGAACATCAGGAGTGGCAGGTTACTATTGTGTGAATGAAGCACTTGAAAAATGATTCAAAATTTCAATTCGCAACTTGGCCAAAGACAATGCAATTTTGGCATCCTCATTTGAATCATGAGTATCCTATGAATTTAAATGTAATTATTTACTTTTTAAATACTTAAATTTAAATATTTATATGCTAAGTTTTTTAATGATGACTTTCTGTTACTTTCTGTCATGTAAAGGACACTTGTATCCACACATTTATGATGCATCATCTACAAAGCATTCAGGTCATTCTCTAGGGAATGACCTATCACAATAGAATCTTCATCTAAAATAGATTTCACCATCTTTTGTGCTTCTGCCAATGTAATAGTAACATTACTTAACATTTCCTCAGTTATACCGCTATATCTATAGGATTAATTTATTTCTTAAATACTTAGTGTTGTAATCTAAGATTTTTGTCTATGGTTTGACTAATATATCAAGTACAACTCTGTAATTGTAATCAACTATTGACACTCTGGCAAGCTCTAATCGATTTTCTGTCTACACCATTTCACAATCAATTGCAAATATATTCAATCTGTTTTTCTACTCTTTTTTCCCATCCAATCTCACATAATCGTGGTATATTTTTTCATCAATTGGGTATAGGTTCATTTTAAGCTATTCCTTGTTTAAAATAAAATTTCTATATTGATTGTAAATTTAGTGTTCTTAGAGGATAACCTAGTGATTCATTTATTGTTAATTTTGAGCTTGAAGTACTTGGTCTTCGTGATATCTAGTATAAAATACTGATTGCCAAAAGTTCACATTCCCCTACTCCATTTGTTTAAAATACACAATCTTGTCTTTTTGGCTAAAAGATGATAAGTATTGGGATGATGATAAATCTAATGCAAAGTTTAAATTCATCACTACGCAACATTTAATTAAATGTTTATTCTATTTTATTATACAAGCATTACAGTCACAGTTAGCCATAATGGATTAACTTGATTCTTGCAAAACAACCACATTAATAAGATTTATAAGATTTTTTATTTGAAAGTCTTTTTCGGGGTTTCGTGATCAATCTTAACATTAATTGAGAGTTTACCACACTAATATCAATTTTTTAAGTCTGTTGTATAGGATTAGTAACAGGCGTAATACACACTTTTTTTTCTTGAAATAAATAATGTAAATTACCAATTCCAGGTTCTTCCCTATTAGCAGCCTTTGTAGCCATTAAAAAATGACTTAAAATTATAATATTAAGTAAAGAAAGAAATAAGAAATTCGAAAATAAACAAAAGGAAAACTATTAATAAATCCGTAGCTATGAATAATTGGAAAATGTAATATGGATTAAATATATTAAAAACTATGCTTAATTCGCTTAAATAATTATCAAATTAAAACAAGTTGTGTGATTTTCGATGCATACTTTCTAGAAATAGGATTATACATTGTTTGTTTCACCTTAATGGCAATAGTTCTAATTAGAACACTATAATTAATATTATTATTTACTCAAGTATTAGATTTCTGAATTACTTATTTTCATTATTAACTAATTACTAATGCTCTTCCTTTAATTAAAATTTAAGTCTAAAATCTATTAAGTTAAATACGTATAAACTATTTTTCCTTCTTCTTTATCAATCAAACTAATTTAATTAATGTCAACGTGATCAGCTTAGGTAGAATTCTAATGTTATTAAGAAGATTATTCATTTTGTTTGTATTTTTAAACTAAGTTATTTCCTTTGGCTTTAGAAGAAGGATCGACTTAGACAGGGTGTGAATTGCTTTCATTTTTATTTTAAGCATCAAAATTATTTTTAAGCTCTAGTTTTGATATTACATTAAAACTATCTGTTCCAATTTTGAAATTTTAATAGAGAATTAAGAAATTGTCTTTGATTTCATACAACACAAGGCTAAAGTAAGTATTTGATTGATTATCCTTCATCTATTACTCTTCATACTAGGTATTTTCAATTTTCTCCTTACTTGCTAAAAATAAATCGTATGAGTCTTCATTTTTTGCATCTAAAAATACGTCCTGAAATCTCTTATCCCATTATATATAAGAATTTGTTAAATAATCTCTTGTTTTTTGAGTTATATAATCCTTATCTTTGTCATCACCAGCTTGAGACTATTTATTTACAGATTTGCCTTCTAAATGTCTTTATAATAACTATGAATATTGAAATTATTTACATTAACCCATCTTATTATTTCTCTGCAATTTTCAACTGTTTCAATCAATTTTAAAAATACTTCAATAGGTTAAAATACTGTACAACCTAAACAAGTCTAAATGGTTTAAAAACTCACTTATCTGTTTTATTTTGATAATTCCACTATTGGATTAATAACTTAGTCCCTAAATAGTTAATTATAAATTATTAAAGGGACATATCTTTAAGTTGGATTATTAATAATATCTTAATGAAGTTCTTCGACTTGCTGAAAATTTTCATCAACAATTTACTTAATCTAAAATTGTTATTCGAATTAGCTCCTTATATCATTAATTGAGATTTATTTTCTAGTTACATAAATAAATGTTTCGTTAATTTGGACATTTTTGATCAATTAACATATTTCTTTGGAATAAACTTACCTAAGTCTGCGTTAATTCTCCCAAAAGTCTAAATTCTCTTTGGATTTAGTTTCTAATAGGTTTAAAAAATCCTCAGACTATAATGTAGACTATTTTCTTTTCTTTATTTCAAAGATTTCAGTTTATTCTAACTCTATTATAATAATGCAATTTTCCTCTTCACTCTTTTCTTACAAATTATTTTGGTCTTATTTTTTTTAAATTGTTTGATCGATATTTTCTTTTATCAATTTAGTTATTATAGAAATTACAACACTTGCCTAATTGGCTTTTCGATACTTTTCTAATTGATCTGAAGTAAATTTCATATATTGTTCAAAAGTTTGTTGCCTTAATATGCTTGTCGCAAAAATGATGAAGCGATCATTCTTATCCAATGTTGAATTCTTTTCATTCTCCTTTTGAGTGTTGATTAACTATGCTGATTACTAAACTATTTAATAGTAAAAGGATTTACATAATTCATAACTCTCAAAGAAAAGCGATTCCGAAACGACAACATATCTGTTGGGGCCGAATTGATTTCTCGCGCCAATAATCTAATCTAGTTAGCAATCTTCAATCATGTTAATAGAAATAAAAATAAAATAAATTAATGTTTTAAAATTAATCTTTGTGGATTTCATATAGTATTCTAAAAATCTCAAAATTTTTTAATTATAAGAATTCCACAAGAAGTTGCCAAAATAATTGAGTATTTGATGCTATTGAATGGAAAATAGGAATGTTATATGGGAAATTAATTAATTTTATTCATGAATTTATTAAACAGGATTATTAGAATCAATATTCATAGACCAATCACTTCAAAATTAACCTAATTAATAAGAAATCAATTGGAAAATTTTTCTTTTTATTAGGCAAAAGTCCTCGCTGTACAAATTGATTGCTAAGGGGGATCTGTGGTCTAAGCAAAGCAAATATAATATTTACTTTAAAAATTTGCTTAAAAACAAAAGTGTTTGATATATTTAAATTTAGACTCCCCATCTTATGCTTCGCAGGAGCTCAAGTTTATAATAGTGCAAATATCATATTGAGTTGTGCAGATAAGATTATTGCTGCGAATAATTCAGAAATTGGAGATTATACTTTTTCAGGATAGTTGTGGAACATCTCCGAATTGATAAAGAAAGAGAATTTAGAAGTGATTAATTTATCACATGGAAAGTACAAGGATCGTTTGAATCCCTTTCAACCTTACAAAGAGACAGATAAAGAATGGTTAAACAATATGATGAAAAATAATGAAATTGAACTTAAAAAAAAAATAACTTCTAACCTGTCTAAAAGGTTCATAAATCATCATGAATAAACAGACTGTTTAGATGAGGCATTTAAGTCTTCCATATTAACTGGCTATCAGGCTCAAAAATTAAAGTAAGCATCATGCAAATTATGAGAATAGTTGATGAAATCGGCACTATTGATGAGTACTTGCAATCAAATTATAAAAATATGAAAACCATTGAATTTTTTAAACCCCAAGCTTATAACATTTAATAGGAGATAATAGAAAAGTTAATATCATGATTATTTTATATATTAAGAGTGTAAGATTATCGAACATAAATAAATTCTTAAATAATATCTCATTTTTAGTCCTTCAATCTTTATTTAATTGTATATCATGACAGCATTCATAATCTTCTACAAAAATAAATGTTTAAATTAGGATAATTTAATTAAAAAAAACAGGTCTTAAATTCATGGCAAGAGAGTAAATTTAAATTACTGATTCTTAATAATTCCAGTGTATTTTTTACTTAGAGCCAATAGGAACAATGAGAATAATAAATAACAAATTGCAGCCCAGATCCTTTCTTTTATAACTTGTGTAAGAATGTTAATAATAATAAATTACTATAATTGTTTATATTATTTAATTTTATATTGAAATAACTCAACTGTTAATTTCAGATCATGAGTCTTTTAAATGATTGTTTCAATAAATTGGTACTAAAAATGATTACATCTATATTCAATATAGCTTTAATCTAAATTTGTCAACATTTTTCTTTTCATTTTTTGAACTTATGAAATGTAGTTGAAGCTGCATACTTAGAATTTGAAAACTTTTTAACTTTAATAAAATAGTCTTAACTTTTCCCAACACTGTATTTCGACCGAGGGTGGATTCATATTTACATATTCGAAACATATCAATAATATATTAAATTAAAATACTTGAGAAGTGATTCCATGAAACAAACTTATAATCATTTAAATCCTGTTTTCGCACTTCTGGGCTCAAATTCAACCTAAACTAGCCCTATGTCTACAACTGATTTGAATGACTCAATTGAATACTATATAGACTAAAAAGAATATTAAACTGAATTGGAAATTGTCCGATATCTGCACAATTTGGGAGTACAGACTAAAACAGATCCGTAGATTAAGGAATAGCAGTATTGGAAGGAAAAGAGATAAAGAAGTTAAAATATTATTTTAGATACTATTGGAAATTCTGCTGGCAAAATAGTGTTAAATCCTTCTGTCAATAGATTGTTAAGAAAGAATGTATCTCAAAAGAGACTTAGATCAAACAGTCCCATCTTTCTGCTGGATTGATTGTGAATCTTTTTTACAAAATCTTATCACCTTAAATATATATCACAATATTATCATATTAAATAGATGTTGTCACATTAATTAATAGGTTTTAAAACTTTATTTAATTTCACCAAAGTACTCGTTTAGAATTCCATATTTGAACTTTTTTATTTGTCTCTCCCAAGTTCTTAAAGTAAGTAACTTTTTAGATTTATTGTAATCTTTAATCTCCCTTTTCTTAATTATTTCAATCTACTTTATCACAAAATTTAGTTCAATTTCATTTAGAATTGTCCAAAATTTAGTTTAAATTTCATGCCTGTAAATTCATGCTTAAATGTAACTATACATAAGAATTATTGAATTTCATAATATCAAAAATTGAAAAAACAACCTCAAATTGCCAGAATTCAAATTGGTTCAAAAATAATCATTACAACCAATTATTAATTTATCAAAAGTATTTCAATTATTTTAACAAATATTATAAAATTAAATTGATCATTTCATTTAAGATGCCCAACCTGAAGAGACATTGATATTTTCCATATCAAGAAAAATTAAGATTCCCTAAATTTATCGTATCCCTTAAAAATATTGTAATAACTTAAAGCAATTATGAATATTTTTTTTTAATTGACTTTCAGTTATACATTCTTTGCAAAGAAAGATCCGTAATTAGGATTTATGAAATATGTAAAAGAATCAGAGACAGAACTTTAAAATCAAATTGAGTAAGAGATGAAATGAATAATTAGAATTAATTTTAGGGATGTATGCCTCTAAATTGGATTTTCTTAAAATCAAAAAGGAAGAAGATTAAAGGAAATATAACCTTTGAACTTACCTTTCATCCTCAAAACCAGTTATGAGAGTATTGCAACGAGTAGAGGATGTTACAAATCCATAAATAAAATTTTAATAAGTAAAGTAAGCCATACCTCCCCCATTTGAGTTTATACCTAAATAGAAATTATGATTAAAAATTACCCGCTAAATATTCGTTATATATATAAAATTTATTAATAAAAATGGATTAAACTGTTGTTGATTAATTGTCTTTAGATGCCATACCTTACTATTAAGAATAATTATACGGAGCACTCTCTCTAGTATTGGAACTGTAAAATAGAATCGAAGCTGAGAATGAGATGACAGAAAATATTGTCGTTAAAATATAGGATGACAATAAAAATGAAATCTATCAACATGTTCTGGATTTTGATGAAAAACAAATAGATGATGTAATATAGGAAATGAATGATAAATGTTTGTCACAATTGGAAGAGATCGATTAAGAGACATGCAAACAAGATGAGCAAATATTCACTATGAATTAGGTAGTTTTGTATGTTTATACTTAGAGAATCGATGAATTGGAAGACATTATCTGCCAATGCATGAAACAAACTAACAAGGATCAAGTGATATTAAATGATTTGACCAATTTGATAAAGGATAAACAATTACTTTTGCAAGACATCAATTTTGAGATCAAAGAATAAGAATAAATCAATAAACAAAACTAGCAATTTATGAAGAGAAGAATGAAATAAGAGAAATAGAAATAGTAAGAACTTGATGAAAAGATGCTTTTGAAATAAAAGAAATAGGAGCAGAAATAATTATTGAAAGAGAAAACAGCAAAAAACGAGGAACTACTAATGCAATAAATGTTTGAGGAAAAATAAAGGCTTCAACATGAGATTGATGAATTAATCAATGGCCAAGAATAGAAAGTGTAATAATTACTGAGTCAAATGGAAACCACAGTCATGGAAGAAGATGAGAAATCTATAGTTGCATCTGCTGTATTGAGGGAAAGTGTGGACAAATCACATTATGAAAGAAGGGAAATTAAAGAGCAACCAAAATCCAGAGCCTGTTGTGGAGAGTGTTTAATATTCTGATTAGTTAATTTATAATTTTAGTATAAATTTATATATTACTATAAATAGTAGTATCATTGATAAATAACTGAAACATCTATTTCAATCTTTTAATGATTTTGCTGTTTTAATCGTAATATCACTCATTGAAACAACAATTTATTTTATTTCGTTTTTCCTCCCTCGCCTTATCAATACTCTCATATTCTTATATTATTTCTCTCGTTCATTTATCTTCTTTCCTTAGAAACTTGAATTTAGATTTATGATACACTGTTATATTGGTTCATAAGGTGGCCACCATTTAGATTTGATCTTAACAACTCCAAATAATTATTTAGTATAACAAATTGAATCTATTAATATATATATGCTCTAATCAATAGGTGAAATACCTCAAACACAACCACTCATAAATTATGGGACTGTAAAATACTCGTTCAAATGTGTCCGCCGACACTTATTTAAAGATAAAGTCTACTATGTTCATGCCTTACCCAATATGATTACAATCGGAGAAGTATATAATCAACCACAATCTTAGCATATCAATGACCCTAATCCTAAGTATAAATTAGAACTCAATTTGAAAAATATCGTTTACTGGAAGTAAGAACATGGCTAAAATCGTGCCTTCGGTATAAAATATAAGTAAGTTTTCAAAAATGAGAATAAATTAGAAAGAATGTGAAATACTTTGAAGCGGCTTCAGAATAATTATAAAAATTTCGACAAGAAATAAGTTGTTTAATTGGGTTCCATTCCTTCGATGACCACTATAAAATAGATGAATTAATTGGGAAGGGATCTTTTTCTTCTGTATATAAAATTTTTAGATAAAATGACAAAAAAGTGTTTGCCATGAAATATGTATCAAGCAAATAAAAGAACGACAAGGAGAACATGGTAAAATAGTTTAATATTAGCAGCAATTAGTTGAGAATGAGATTGGAATTCTTAGGTCCTTTAATCACGAATCCATCCTTAAAATAAATGAAGTCTATCGTGTTGAAGAATATCATTACGGAATCATTGTTGAATATTTGGATGGAATTGCATTATCTACTCTAATCGAATAGCTGAAGAAAAATTAAAATATTCTTAAAGAATCGGAAATCAAAACTATCCTCTAAGCCTTGCTAATGGCACTGGCTGTAATACATTAAGAACAAGTGATACACAGAGATATAAAACCATAGAATATAATGATTTCCTAATAACATTATAATTGTGTCAAAATCATTGATTTTGGACTCAGCATTAAGAACTAATTGTAATATAATAGATGTGGGACTCCTGGCTACATGGCTCCTGAAATTGTAAACATGAGAAAGGACTAGCAGAAGGCTTGGACTTCCCTTTGTGATATCTTTAGTCTTGGAGTAGTGTTCTTTAAATTGTATTAATACATTCTCTAATCCTTATAGATTATCAAAGGGTATCAGTTGTTTTTAGGGCCAAACTTCTGATCAAGTCTTGGCCAACAACAAAAAGTGTCAAATCGATTGGTCTATAGTCTAACAACATAATTATTCCAAAAATTGCATAGTAAACAGTTCACTAATATGGCTAGTCATTATTAAAAGCAATGTTAGCAAAAGATCCCGAAGAAAGAATTACAGCATACTAAGCTCTTCAGCATCCATTCTTTGGTGATGCCTTCTCAACTATGTATACTGACTATGTTGGACATTCAATTAGTCTTAAATCTAAGTAAATTTTAAATCCAACACTTGAAAAACAAAATCTCGATTCCTAATAAAGTGTAGAAGACAACTACGTATAAAAGTAGTAAGTTTACAATAGGGACATAAAACCATCTATTCTAAGTAGATAGAAATGATTATATTTTTTCAAAAACAGATAGTTATTCATTATAAAATAAAATTAAATATATATTAAAATTATCAAATTACTGGGTATTTAGCAAATTGCTTTAATAACTCCTCATTCACATTCCTATTCTATTCAATAATTATTGCTTCAAAAAAGAATTTTGGAAATTTCCATTAAGCTTTGCATAAACTAATGTCTTTAGCATGTTCATCTAAAAACCATGCCGCATATTTCATTATTTTATATTCCCCTATTAAATATCATATGATTAAAGATAATACTATCGGATAATTTTTCAAAACTTTGAGAATTCCTTTCCATATATTTAATAAAAACTTTACCATTTTAGTAATTTCCCTTCTGAAAATTAGAAGCTCCAATCTGATTAATATTATTAAATTTATCTAAATGATACTGAGCAAATTATCTATTTGCTAATTCAGTATACAATATTCCTAATTTTCTATCTAAATCAATTACCTAACATAAAATAGAGGTTTTAATATTTATCTTTCTTTCTTTCAGCTTCTACTGACGCTTCTTAAAATTTTTTTTTATACCAATCAATTACAGCCTTCATAATTGAAGCCAAATCTATTGACTTAACATCTTCATAGGATGATATGGCTTATTCAAATTGAGATAAAAATAAATATAGATTTCCTTTCTGAAAGTTTACTTATTCATTATTAAATTAATCACACTTGCTTGCAATAATGTAACAATCCAATGCCTTTGAAAATTCCAACACCCTAAATAAGGATTCGCCTATTATGGAAATCATTCTCTACCTTTATAAAAGTATGACTCAGCTAAGTCTGGCTTAAGTCTTATAGCTTCATCGAAACACTCGATTGCTTAAATGTATTATAATTCAAGGTAGTAACAGTATCCTACATAACAATGAAATGAATACCTTAATAATGCATAGCCATATAATCCTTAGAGTTGATTTCAAATAACCTTTTAAATTGCAACATCCCAATTTTAGCCTATCCATTTTCTTTTATAATCAAAAATGCTTCTTTTAAGAGAGCATTATATTAATCTTCCTTATTCAATTACTAAATAATCTCAAAAGCCTCTTGAATTTAATTGAGCTTAAGTAAAAACAAAGCTTTGAAAAATCGAAGCTTATGTTTCTCACCCTATATCTTTTCTAATAAGATCGATGCTTATTCAAATTTAAATTCTAAGGTTAAGACGTAACCTAACAATCTAAATGAAAATATTCACTTTAAAAAAAATAGTTCCATCCATTATCAGGGAATTACTAATTTATGTAATTGCTCATGGCATTAACTTATTCTGTTTTATCTTACATTTGTAAGGTTATACCTAATATTATTCAATTTATTTTCTACCTTTCAGTAGATATCCATAAACACTGTTTTGATTAGTATCAATCAACATTTCTGATTATTTCATAGCTAATTCAAGTTCATTTTGATTTAATAGAGTCATACCTTTATAATAGTGGATTAATACATTTGTAAATTTAGGCAATCTCATTCAAATTCTCATGTCCAATAATTTTATCAAATATTTCTTGGGCTTAGTGAAATTTCTTGCAACTGAGTAAGATTTTTCCTGTTAATTTAAATTTTAAATTAGTTACCATAGAGTAGATTATAAAAGGATTTATTTGTTTTTTGAGCAATTAATTTGTATTTTTCGAGAGCAAACTCTAACTTACCAAATCTTTCTAAAGCGAAACCTAAAAAGATAAATATAAAAGATAACCTTCTAAAAGATTTATTAGTAAATTAGTTGAATCTAATTTACTATATTTAGAAAGGTAATTTAGTGCACCTTCATTTTCATTCAACTACATTAAGTTGAGACTTATATACAGAGAACTTTCTTTTAGGATTTATATATCAGTTTTGTTATTTCTCAATTTCTAAAAGAAATCAAGACTCTTTTTGTATTCTTTGATTATATATAGATTTCTCCCAAACAAACACTCCAAACTCCATTTATAGCTATTAGATTTCAATTTGAGTTCCCTATTGAATTCTAGAATTTTGTTATTTAGAAAATATATTTTCTATGTTAGCTTTAGTATTGTGGAGGAAAGTTAAAGTGCTTTGTCATATTTTTGAATAGAATATAATAGGCAACCTTATAAATGAATTTTACATACTTTTATCTAACATTAGTATAATTTAATGTCCTTACTAGACGTCTTAGAATTGATTAATAAAAACTGATTTAATATCGATTATTTACTATTCAGTAAGGAGCTCTGACAATAACTTCAAATAAGCCAAGATATCATATAAAATGCACTCTTAATTTATTGTAGTAAGAAACTCAAAATTTAATAGATTTTGCAAATTTTGATTTACGAGATGGGATTTTATCTTTTAAAGCTGATTGTATTTGGCTTGAATAAATGAATTAAATTGTTCGTTTGTTTATAAATTTTTCGACTCCAAATATTGATTTGCCTTTCCCATTTTCTCTAATACTAACTCTACAATTAAGAGTATATTATCATTTAATAGAAAATCATCAATATGCTTATAATGGACTTCGGCAAAACAAAGTTTACAACTCAAATAAGTCTACTTACATTATTGGCAATTACCAATAATTTTGCTGTTCTAATGATGAACTTTTTCGCAAGAATCCATTAATTTTTATAAGATAATAATTTTATGTTATAATTACAACTTAATATTAAATAATATTGTATTTTGAAATTGAAAATGATTAACCGAAGATCTGAAATATAGTTTTGGATAGAATAATATGACTAGATAGGATATTTATTTTATAAAATATTTAATCTATCAGAAGTATTTTTAATGAGAACTGGGATTGATTAAAATTTTTGACATTTTAGAATTACCATAAAAATAATAATGTCTAAGAATAGTTAGAATTTAGTTATAGATATCCATCTTAATATTCGTTATATTCACTTTTTTAGAGAGAGAGAAAAGAGATCTTAATTCAAATTTATTCAAAACTAAAATTCTATTTCATTAAAGTACTCTAAATACATTTTTGAATCCAATATGAGATTTCAATTAATATAATAAGATAGTCCTGAGTTATTTTACTCAAAAAATTAAGCCAAACCCTGCATTTGTATTATATAAAATATCTGTATAGTTCTAATGATAAAGACTAAAATAGTGATTCTATTTTTGATATATAGATATAAATTTCTTTCAAAATTCTTCTCATCTCTTCTTTTTACTTGGACGTATTTCTATCTAAAATTATTTTAAGGTCTCTCCATTTGCGTATAATTGGACAGCTTTCATGGTTTCTTCTGAAATGAAATAGTGTCTTTTCTTTTATGATGTAGTGGACATAGATTTTTCATCTAAAGTCCTTTTGCTTTTATTATTAGTAGATCTATTTTCAGAAGGTAATTTTGGTTCCTTTTATTCTTTTGTAGGAGGTAAATGAAAACTGGTGGCACTTTTAGTTTTAATGGGTTTATTGGTTGGCAATCTATCAGTTGGGTTAGCTTTAATAATTTAACTGAGTTGTTGAGTACTTCGTTCTTCAGCTAATTATAATTTTTTTTTATCAAATTCCTCTAAATAAATTTAGTATTTAATACTGCTAGAATCCTCATTTTTTCATTTTAGATAGTAATTTCCATTTATTTTTTAGTGTCCTGTAATTTTTAATATTCACTTTACTATTGTTTTAATCTTCTGTCTGTTTCTTCGAATCTCTAAAATGGAAATGGAATGATACATCTAATAGAACTGCATTTTTATATTATTCTTTTCTTTTTTGAATTTAATAATTCTAAGCCGCATCTTCCAATTTCAAAAGCTCTTAAACATATTTCCTCTTCATATTTTAGATGTTTCTTTGTCTCAACTCTTCAGCATTTAAGAATTACTATTATTTCAAAGCCATAATTCTTTGGTTCTCCAATTCAGTTTATTTATCTAGATACCTTTATTTCTAATAAATATTGTAGATTGAATTAATATACCATTTACACTTCCTCCATATGAGATTATAAAATGAGACTGCTCTCATCTCTCTTCAACTTCTTCTATTCTTCCAACCTGGATTTCTTCAGCTCTCGTTCTTTCTCTTAACTAAAGTATTCTTGATTTCTTTTGTGTTGTTCTTGACTGATGATCAATTTCTTCTATTCCATCATGTACTGTTTTTATTATTCCTAATTTCTCTTTTACTGTAATAATTATTGTCTATTGAATTCTTGCATGGTATTTCTCATTTGGATGTCCTTCTCTTTGGAGTGAATTTTTTGCTCCATTTAGTATGTCTCCAATTGTTTTAGAGCAGTAGCATGTTAATATTTTTCCTTAGCTCGTTCTTCTTTTAATTAATTTTATTATCTGATGTATTGCTATTTTTCTAACAGCATTTGTTCCATATTTTATAATTTCTTGTGATATTCTTGTTTTCGAATCAGATTTTCATGCTGCACCAGTTGTTCTTGCTCTGCCATTCTTTAGGCTCTCCTGTTCATTTTTTCTTAAATTTCTCTTTCCCTTTCCTCCTTCTCAATTTGCTTCATCAAAGCATATTTAGCCTATTTTTATTGAATTTTGAGTTCCTCCTCTTGGAACTTACGCATAATAGTTTCATTATGAATATCTGCTTGTAACTTGGCCTATTTAAGTTTTTGTTCTCTCAACTTGAGTTTTGCTTCCTTCTCTTACATTCTTTAGTGAAACTCTTCTTCCTACATTTTCCTTAACTCTTCAATTCTCTTTTCCTTCAATTGATTCTTCCTTTTCATTTCTTCGATTTTCATTTCAGTTTGCATTTCTCTTTCAATTTCAATCTTCTATTTGTTTTGCAAAGTTCTGAGAATCTGTTCCTACTTTTACATAAAAGATTGACTCAATTACAATTGACTAGATTAAGACTAAAAGATAGACGATAAGTTACATTTCGTTCATGTTCTTCGGAATTATTATTGTATTCTTATCGGATCAGATCCAAAAATCTGTCAACTCTTTCACGCATATGCTGCAATTTGGCCTCGACATAATAGTCTACATCTTCAAATTGCACTCCGGATTGTAAGATCTCCTCTCTTGAAGGATAGTAGAGATCTTGAGCAACCAAGCCAAGAGCAGCCAGTACTTTTTTTGATCGAGGACTACCTTACATCATAGATTACATACGTAGTTATTTCACTCCTCACAGCAGGATTGAAGTTTAATAAACTCATAACAATAAAATAAATATCAAATGAGAAGGAACTTCCAAAATTTAATAAAAGATCCTCCTGCTAATGTTTAAAGAGAATCTAAGCCCTAATAACCTGCCGTGGTTTAGGTGGCTGAATGGAACAAGGCATTGGAATATTTAGATGCTGGAGATATTAATAAAGCCTACGAAGAAATATTGATATCAGAAGATGATTTATATTTGTTGAGGTTGATGACGATCACTGGACCTTGTGTGAACAAATTGAGTCAGAAGGTGGCTTTCCAATTACATCAAAAGATTAAATTATTGATGAAATCAGAATTTTGGAAGGTCCTTGCATTACAGATGTTGGGCAATCTATCATCCAAATAAGAATGTTTAAGGATCGAATAAAAGCAAAAGTTACAGCAACTACTATATTAATGGAGTAAATCTTGGCAGCCTTAGATTAGTAAGGAAACTGTATTGTTGTACAATTCAGGAGTGTTCAAACCTGATCACATTATTTGACTTTGTAATTATTTATATATTTAAAATGTTTAAATCAACATCTCATGCCTTTTGAAATAAATCGAATAGTTCTAATTTATAAAGAATCATTCATTTTTTAGTGGTACTTTGAAGATTATCAGAACAGATTTTCTTTTCAGCAACATACTTCAAGAAGTACTTGAACTAGTTTTGTCTTTTCAATTCAATTATGTTCTTGTTACCAACAGATAGAGATCTTCTCATCGTTGGATAATTTGAAATTACTTTTTAATGGACAAGATGAGATACTTTAAACCAAAAGTCATTGCTATTTTGATCATCTAGTAATCCTTTTTGTGGAGCCTCAAATTGAAAATTGAAAAATTATTCATCATCTGTGTCATACTTTATGTCTTCATAATTAATTACTCTAATTTAGTTACTTTTTATCATTTTATAATAATTAATACGAAAATTCATAAATATGATAATACATTATTTATCATCGAAAAGATAGATTGGTCTTCGTCAAGTCTCTCTAAAATATATCGTAAATTTTCCCTGTCTGCCTGTTACATCAATACATATTGACTACTGTGCCATGTCTCTTTGTTTAGTATTTCCACTATGGTTTCAAGAATAGCCTATTTTAATTCCACATTTTGCAAGCACAAGAATTAAAATACTTTTATATGTATTTTAGATTAACATAGTTGCAGAGTTTACTAATAATTACCTTTCTGAAAATATGCACACAAAGTAAAGCAGGCTTAAACTTGTATTTATTCATCTTATGAATCCAATAATTAGATTACATAATTAGTGATGTCAGTTTATAGAAATATCACATCATAAAATTATTTTCCCCCACATATGCAATATTCTAAAACCCATAAGGCTTAATTTTAAACTAGTTTACTAGAAAAATCTGATAAAGAGAATACTTATTTGAACAGAGTTTCAACTTTAATTATAGCAGCAATCCATTTTTGATCAAGATTTCGATATGAGCTGGACTTTGGGATGCTATTTCTGCGAGGATCCTCAAAGTCAATTAATCATTAAAACCTTCATTCAGTATTTGCATCAATTCCAAAGCTCCATTAAATTTAAATATTTGGTTGATCTAAGGTGCAATCAAATTTTAATACATAACCATTGTGCATTCCCACAAATGTTAGATTGAGCATTATTTACAATAAGTAATTTAATTTATCCAAATTTTTGGTTGACAACGCAGTACAAACCGGCTTAATGAACACTTCTGCATGTTTCCTGCAATCATTGTCCTATTTGTACAAATCCTACAGCAAAGAGGCTATCAATTGCAAATGTAACTCAAGAACACAATTATCCATTTAGTTCTAAATTATATACAATTTAATCTTTACATGAAAAGCATGGCAAATACTATGTGTAAACAACTTGCTTTTCAACAATTCTCCTCTTGCCTCGAATGTTGTTGAAGAGTACATCAAGATCTGATCGACCTTAATAAAAGAATAGGACAATCGAGAGATTTCATCATATCCCGCCTCTAGTGGACAATTCTGGTCATTCCCTTTTATGCATAAACCCTAGCGAAATATTTCAGCCTCCAACAAAATGAAGAGTTAGGAAAAGGAGATAAGCATGTCGTTGAATTTGGGATAACAATGCAAATGTTCATCTGGCAATAGCACTAAAGTATTTAAGTAAGTCAAAATATTTTTGAACAAATCCCAATTAGAATAGAGTTCATTTAAATTAAGCAATTTGCACAATTGGAAACCAAGGTCATTTTAAACCATTTCAACTATCGGTTTACTCACTTTTTCATTGATCAAAATTAGTAGATCTAGTAATTTAATTTTCCCCATCTATTGCATTGACTGAGCATAATAATCAGAAAGCTGAGAATCACAATTCGATACTTTTCTTTTCAGGTTGAAGATCTTCTCGAGTTGATTTCTTCTAATTTCTGTGTGAAATTGCTCTCTTTTGCCTCTTAATAAATCAGTCTCATTCATAGTTAATAAAATAGATTAAATATTGAATTAAATTTCTTCATTTTACATTCGTATTCCGCTTGTGTAGACACACACATGATACTCCATGCAGTACAGCATCTGATAGTAATTGTGAAACTCGGAAGAGGTACATATATATATATTTTATTGATATTGTGCATAATAGAATGAAATGTTGTTTTTATTGATTATGATATGCATTTGCCTCATTCCTGCTCATGAGTCTAATAGAACACCTTCTAAGTTGTTCTGAAGCTGTCGATGTATCTGACCAAACAATTTGTCATGGCATCTTGATCTTATTCTGTGTATTGACCGTTGAATTTTTTCATATCTGGAACAAGCTAATTGAAGCAGTTTTTAAAGGCTTGGCTGACGAATAATTATCCTGATTAGATTGAACTCATAAATTATTATTATTATTAATTAAAATTATTTATATAAATAAGTATCATCATTATTTTTGTTTAAGTACTTCTACTAATCTTTATAGAGCCTTAAAATAATTGCTTGTCTTGATAAGGAATTAAAAATTAGGCACTACAGATTAAATATAAGTGAATGTCAACTCCTTCTACTAAAAGTAATCTGTCTTATTTTCGAATAGATTTACAATCACTTTATGTTGTGTATGGAATAATTGCAATTACAACAACACTAGGTGTTTGTTCTTTTTCTTTATTACTTCACTATAAATGTACCCTTCCCCATCCTTCTTCTTGTCCGTTTAGAACTGATCCACACTTTCAGTAATTATGTACTTCCTTAGAGTGTTGGCCGTTTCTTAATGCTGCAGAGCCAATTACGACAAATTCAGGTAGTTCTGAGTCTTGATCTTGTAAGTCAAGTAGTGACACATATTGATGATGTCAGAAATGGACAATTTGCTATTCATGTAATTGGTCTAGGATTTGAAAAAGCCATCTGCTATAAACAAATTCAATAGTTCCCTAAGGTTGACTCTAATGTCCTTGAAGAAATAGTTGGTTAAACAATAATATCTAAAATAGATATTGTAATTGGAAGAGGAAGAATAGGGCATGGGATTCAAGGGCTTCAAGATATCTGTTCTTTTGTTATTCAAGGGTTCCAAAAAGCATTCTACATAAGCTGATCCCAACCTTTCAATTCGAAATTGTGCACTGCAAATAAACTCCATAATCTGACTATCCGAGAAATTAGTGTTCAAGCTGTATCTACTCTTAGAAAACTTGAATTGTTGAGTGACTCTCACATGATTGGATATTATCAATTTTTCAAACTTCTCAGTCAACTCCGTCTACACTTTGTAATTGTATCTAGAATTCTCCATAGATTGTCTCTTCATCAGATGCTCCTTCCCTATTATTTTGATCTTCTAATCTGAGATGTCTTCAAATGTCTCTATCAATCTATCCATCAGAGTGTTGAAGTTACTGAAATTCTTATCTTGTTCTAAATTCAACAAAAACACTTCAGTTAGTAACCTATTCCAAATCTAGATCTCAATCATTTTATTACGATTATCCTCATTATTATGTAATTTTCTAGTGAAACCCAAGAACTTCATTACATTGTCTGAGATTTAATTGTTCTGATTGATGGCTTGCTTGATCACTTTGTTTTTCATTAGAATCTCATTGCTTATCTAGGCGAATCCAATTCTCGAGTGTAATTTTTTCTTTTATCTAGCTGATTGCAAATCAAAAGGCGATTGTTCAGCCTTCTTTATTAATTTGATCTTTTGGATTAAATTCATATCCAATTATGGATGCTTCTTAACATTAATTTGAGTTCCCTTCTCTTTATTACTTAGATCATTGTAATCTGTAAATTAGGGATGGTCGATCAAATTGAAAATGACATGATCTTTAAAGTCCATTTCCTAAAAATGCAAAATGTTTATGTAAGTCATCAACTTTCTTTTACTTTTAGGGAAGTAATAGAGAATCTAAAACATGTCTAAGTAGGTGTGGGCTAGGATGGAAATAATAACAAATTCCTATTTTATTAATTTAACATTTTTCAAATCTTTGAATCGCATTTCATTAACTATTTTTACTTTGTTTTTTTATTTGATCACATAAAACTTTTATATGTAGTGTCCAATAACTCTGAAAATTCTATGAACCGTATTTAAATAGTTCTTATCAGTGGTGTTTTGATCAAAATTATTTTTTGGAAACTCATTGAATGTGCATCTGGTCACCTTCTCATTATAGTTCACATTGATGGACTGCTGTCGGTTGAAGAAGGAATTGAGCATGTATTTATTCAAATTCACAGGGGATTGGTTTTGATTGTACTTCATAATCTGGGGCACTCTATACAAGAATCTCTTATCGAATTTCGTATTGGATATGATGGCCTTGCACCAATTGAATATGATATTTGAATCAAAATACTTTTCAACGTCAAACTAAAGTTCTAAATCATACTTATTAAATAATAAAATGTATTTCTTCAGTTTCGAATTGAATTCATAGAGTTCCACACTCACAAATAGGTGTTCCCCATCATAAACAAAGATCTTCTCCGACCCCTTTTATTATTTCTGGTCCTATATGTAATACACCTTCACATGAACATAACACTATTGATTGTTCCACAATTTCAAGATGTATATGTAATCCAATCTGTCCAGGAATTGCAAGAGCTTCTTTGAATTGCTAACTAATAACACTTTGATCTGATGATAGTTGGGCAATTAGACCTTTAAGTAGTTGTAAACTCGATGATCTTTCAAATACAAGAATGATGTGGGGGAATACAACACGCGAATAATGCCGGTTAAGATCTAACATTTTGCGTGTTTATTCATTCTCTAGCAATTAGAAATTTGATGAATTAGATGTTAATCATACAAATACAATATGATGGGTGATTGATTTTGCTTTATGTAGATTATCTTCATGAAGTTGCCTTGATCAATAAATAGGAACTTGCGTTAAAACATTTCAAATGTTTAGTATTTGTTGTATGTCATGGTTTGCTTATGTAGATCACTCCACTAATCCTGGAAATCAAACGCGTAATCAGTCACTTATTCAATTTTTCGAGCCTCGACAGTTATTCTCATGTCAATTTGATTTATGTCCTGAAATAGCTTATTGAATGGCAACAACTATGCTATCTGATTCTCTTTCTCCCTATTTTCGAAGCCTCTTCTAATGTCATGTTATTCGTTGGGATACACACTGTATTTAAACACACAATCGATTTTATTGTATAAACTTTGATGATCCATCTTTTAAATAAAATTATGGGTTTTTGATAGAATGTGAAGATACTTCGGTTGTATGATGATCTTCCTATTTTTTATATCCAAAGTAAATGCATTTTTCAATACGAGATCAGCTACCTATGAATAAGAACATTATTCCGATATGATGTTTTTAAGTATCTAATCAAAATTGCACTGTTGAATGTCTCCATTTTTGAATGTAGTTTCTTGTAAGGCTTACCCCAATTTACAGAAGTCATCCAATTGCATTTTCAATGGTTTGAAGGCACGTTCACTTCTGGACTGTTTGATGTCTTGAGACAGTTACTTCTCACTCCATTTGAGGGACTTGTCTCTCTCAAAAACGGTCACCTCGATTCTTGCTTTGAAATAATCCTAATTGAATTTCCAGTCGAAGTGCGAATAATCAACTTCAAAGAAATCAGCTATGTTTTGAAATCCTGTTCTGACTGAATGCTTCTATGCATTAAATAGTAAATCGTCGAAATGGAATTGGCTTTTGAGTGTCAAATGCAAACTTATCAGACAGTATTTGCTGATTTAGTTGCAAATTTAGAAGTCATAATGATTCAAGATATCTTGGATGTTGATCGTTGCACATTGTATGTAAATGGATTTATGAGAGAGATCATAGATGTCTTCAATCATCTAATCCTAAAAAAACATACTATTGTTATGAGCAAAACGGAATGCCAGAATTTAATTGAATATGCTTTTATTTCTTTCAATGAAATCCCTATATCTTGTCGATAAATCCTATGGTTTTTTATAAATGTTACGTCGATATTCGAGGATCTATTGCTCAAGTATTCTTAATTGTAAAATTGTATCATGAACAAGAGGTAAATTCAAGATGTATTGAGTGGCATCAGAGAGAAGATTACAATCTTAGAATTAAGGTAATAACTCATAGACCGATCCAAATATCTTTCGTATTCTCACTATTTGTGATGTCTACAGGTAATTTAGGATTTCCTTAGTCTCCACAATCGCATTGATGTCATCTTCAGTGATGTTCTTTCTAGAACGCATGGATAGGCCTTGGATGAAATTCAACTTGTAATTTTTGGCACATCCATACCTAGTTTGATTTAATAGGGCCAATTGTCCTTTCAATTCTAGATAGCTCATTAGATAGTCGCGAACAGTGGGCCAGACAGTTATGCAGTTCTAGTCTCCGATATCTTCCTTTTGAATTGCTCCGATTGGGATGTCCAAACGATAGAAGTACTGGGATCTGCCTTCACCCTTAAAAAATAACACAATGCAGGTGCGATCCAATGTAATATCGGAATATTGAATTGACCAAACAACAACGTTTTTGTAGAAGATAGAGACATACCTTATAACTGGATAATATAAAGATTATACTCTCTTAACTAAATAATCATTAGTTTTTTGTATCATTTTTTATGTTTTGATTCTGTCATAGTTTTTGAGAGTATCAGTAACCTTATAGAGTGTGCAAAATAAACCTAATGGATTATTAACAGGTTGTCCAGGAGATGATAGTGGACTATTGAAAGAGGGTGAATTGGCCTTAATGAAATCGATGTCATCCAATCTTTTCTTAAGTGCCTTGACTCTATTGGGATGTACTCTATTGGTTTTGACTTTTTGTTTTGGCTCGACATTTTTTTTATTTAATTTAAACACTTTCAGTCTCAGACAAGCCTGGAGGAATCGGATGCGTTTGAGTACAGGTTCTGAGAACTGAGGTGGCACCTGACTTTGTTCATAGATTGTTTTTTATTTGTTCAAGAATACTCTGGTTTGTTTTCTCCTGATTATTAGGCCTTCATTCAATCGATGTTATACATTCTTCAATTGAGCCAATTGCTCGGCATTCCCTTAGAGGATTTGAGAGATTTGGAGTGGTTGGGATTGCTGCATGTTGATTTTGTGTAAGATGGCTTTGTAATTTAAGAGATTGAGATATTGATTGGCAATCAATTTGGCCAATCTGAATGAGGTGGGCTTGGAATGCAATTGTCTCAACATTAGAGCATTAACTAGAGTGAAGATGGAGAATCTTCTATCGATTTTGTATCTTTCAGCCAAGTACTCTTGATACCTTTAAGAATCCAACATTCTTTTTTTTTCTAGTTCCAAAGCCTATTGCTCCTTGTGTTTTCTTTCCAATTCCAGTATTTTGATTCTCTCTGATTCTTCCTGTTCTCTTCGTATTTTTTCCTCCTTTTCCAATTTCATTTTCTTAAGTTTTTGGTACAATTATGTTTGCTTCTCCTGATTAAATTTTGGTGGTTCTATGGTACGCTAGTGTCCAAAGTTCTGAACCTGATCCCAAAATACAAGAGGATCAGTCTCAGTCTTGGCTTTACGATGTTTTGATTTGAGTTAAGAAATATCATTTTTAAGTATGGATTACTCGATTATTCTTGAAGTCTGGGGATGATTGTACCTTGCAGTGGATTTGGGAGTTTGCAAAGTAATACGAAAAGACACATGAGACTATTATCTGGAATCATTTCTACTGGTTGGCCTGGTTGTTTTGAGTAGATCCAAAGTTGGTATTTTGTGTTTCATTAATAAAATTAACGATGTCTGCAAATGTAACCACAACAGCCTTTTTCGGGATGGCCGACCATGCATATAAAGATGATGTCTACGATCGTTACATCCGAGATCTCCATAAGCCTCGCAAAACCATTCCTGTTCCACAACCCCCCTCCATAGTGATAAAGCATTTGAATGTTAGGAGAATCAATACTGCATACTGAATAATTATATATATATATTTATCACAATAACTTTTCAGGATTTAGAATGTTATTTGGATCAAATAGTCTCTTCAATTCCTACATGTACCCAAAAGTTTCCTTTCCCTTCTATATCTCCATATAGTGTCGCTTCAATTACCCAACCCCGTGTTCAGCACTAATCGAACCATTCAAATTCTTAGTCAGCTTGATAATCTTCTCCTCAACTCTCTCTTGTTCCTTGTGCATCTCCTACACACTCTCAAATACGATGTTGTAATGAATGTTCCCATCTCCCAAATGTCCATAAAAGGCATTGTAAGGCCCCTTCCTTTCCGGGTAGATCTCCTCGGCAAACCATTCAAATTTATCAGGAGGTATACTACCAATATTCGTATTCACTCACCTCAAATCATACGTCAAAACATGTCCCATCTTATGTAGGTTCTCTGGCACACTCTCTCTCCATCTCCACATTGCCTGCAACTCAGATTCATTCTGATTGAACACGATCTACTCCGTGTGTTTCAATAAACGCTCAAAATAATACTCCAATTCAATCTACTACCCGCAAATCTCAATCAAAACATAATATTTATCAGCCTTAAATTCAAAGGGAGCCTTTAACTAAGGATTAAAAGGCAAGCATCTCTACAAGATCCTACCCTCCATGAATTCAAATGCTCCCAATTATTCAAACTATTTAGCCGATCTCAACAATTGTATGGTCTCATCAAAGTCCTTCAATTCCAAAAAGAACACCTGTCTCTATTCTGGAATGGGAGAGCACAAAACATTGGCTTTCGTAATAATGCCCAAAGTCCCTTCGGATCCAATAAACAATTATTTCAAATCTGTTCCTGTGTTATCCTTCCTGTTTTTATTCAATAAATTTAAGATCTTTCCATTCGGCAACACTACCTCCAATCCTAGAATGTAATTTCTTAAAGGTCCATTCCTCACCACATTCAATCCTCCTGCATTTGTAGCAATATTTCCACCTAATTGGCATGACCCTCTTGCTCCCAAATCCCAAGGCATTTAATCTAATCAATTAGGTAAATCCTTACATCTATAAGTCTGCAAATAGTCATTCATTGATGATAGAATTACTCCTGACTCAGCTGTAACTATTGATGTCGTCGTATCAAATTCCAATATGTTATTCATCTTTCTTAGACTCAAAATCAATTCATCTTGCACTGGAGTGGCTCCTCCTACAAAACTTGTATTGCCTCCTTAGGGTACCACTTTGATATTATTTTAATTGCAAAATTGCAGGATCTCACTCACCATCTTTGTTGAAGTAGGAGTGACAGCCAATTCCGATTTACCTTCATAGAATCTCTGCCAATCCTAATTCAAAGGCTTAAGATCGAATGGATCTGTTATCATGTTCTAGGCTCCCACAATTTACTTGAAAGAATTGAGATATTTTTTCATTATAAAATTAATATGCTTATTACTTTCACAATAATTTGTTCGGGTTCATAATTCCATTCGGGTCAAATAGTCTCTTTATCTCACTCAAACATCCCAACACATCCCTTCCCTTTTGAAGTTCCATATACTTTCGTTTATGCTACCCAATTCCATGTTCAGCACTGATGCTCCCACCTTGAGATTTCACTAATCCGAATAGCTTCTATTCTATTTTATCCTCTTCCTTGTGCAACTCAGACAAGGATTCAAACACTATATTGATGTGAACATTCCCATCTCCCACATGACCGTAATACACATGGAATGGACCTTCTCTTTTAGGGTAGATCTGATTGACCAACCATTCAAATTTATCAGGAGGAATGCTTACATCATATTTCAACACATATCCCATCTTGCCCATTGATTCAGCTATCTCCTCCCTCAATTTCCACAAAAATTAAGCTTCCTTCTCATTTTGATTCATTACTATCTCTTCAGTGAATTCCATCATATCCAAACTAAATTAATCCACATTCAAGGACTATCCAGCAATCTCAAGAAGAACGTAATACTTATCCTCTTGAAAATCAAATGGTAGCTTATTGCCACTATGTCGATGCATGTTCTTATGGAGTATTTTACCTTCCATAAACTCAAAAGCCAATAGTTGTTCATTTCTCTTCACTTTTTATAAAACCTAATCCATTTAATAAAGCCTTACACCTTAATCACATCCTGAAAGGACTTGAGTTCTAAAAAGAACACCTTCTTCTCATTAGGAATAGGTATACACAATACATTTGCCTTTGTGATAATGCCCAAAGTCCCTTCGGATCCAATAAACAATTATTTCAAATCGGTTCCAGTGTTATCCTTCCTGTTTTTGTTCAATAAATTTAAGATCTTTCCATTCGGCAAGACTACCTCCAATCCTAGAACGTAATTCCTTAGCAATCCATGTTTAACCACATTCAAACCCCCTGCATTTGTTGAAATGTTGCCACCCAGCATACAAGATCCCCTTGCTCCCAAATCCCAAGGCATTTAATCTAAATTTAGTTATCATATTTCAAACATTTGTATTGGAATAAATAATTATTAAGATTCTCCAAAATCACTCCAGAATCTGAGGTTATTATGGCTGAGTTTAAATCGAATTCATAAATTTAATTCATTTTTCTCATTGAAATAATTATTTCATCCTTTATCGGCACACTTCCACCAACCAATCCTGTATTACCAGATTGAGGTACAACTTTAAGTGAATTCTCATTGCAAAATCTAAGAATCTAAGAAACTTGATCAGTTGTTTGAGGAGTCAATACAATTTCAGAAGATCCCACATATTTATTCATCCAATCTGTATTGAATGGATTTAAGTCCTGTGTTAAAATATTGGTGGTTCCAACAATCTTCTCAAAAGCTAGTTTGATTTTGGAATTCATTTTTATAATTAATGCTTAAAAATAAATATAACAACATTCATTAATTAAGCATAAATTCATATATTTTAAGTGGAGTATATAATTTAGGTTTGAATGTACATTCTGCCATCTCATCCTTCTGTTGCACTTGATGCTTGTGATTGCTAGCAGAATGATTTTATCTAGTGCTGACTATCCTCATCGAATTTTAATTCAATTAAGGCTAATATTAAACACCCAATAATACCTAAAATGAATACTCTTCTTGATTGGTCTTCTTTTTGTTTGACAACCCTTTCAACAACTTATCTCTGTCAACTATGGGGAGAGTTTAGATCAATCTGGAGGCTGCCTCATAGAATTGTTGTTGATTCAATTAAGCATTAATTTGTTCCATCTCGCATAATAAGGGCGTTATTATCTACAAGATTTCAGCATTTATAGCTGAGATTTCAATTCTTTATGCTGAGATCACTCCATCACCATCTGAATCTAGTAAATTGAAAATCTCATAGAGGAATTTCTTCTTTTTCATTTCATAAATTTGATTAGACTTGTCCAAAGATCTTGCTCTTTGGTTTTATTGCTCTTATCGATCTTGCTCAACCAGGAAGTGAAATTTGTCTTCCTTCACTGTTCGCATCTAATATAGATATTCCCCAATTGGTAAATGGTCAGCATTACGCTAGATTTAAATAAACACTAAGTGATTACAGAGAGGGGAGGTCGACATATTTGAGGATGATACAATTTTTGTCCAGTGCTTTGATCAAACTCTTGTTGGGGTTGAAGGGCTTCCTTTTTCTTCCTCTATTCAAAGACAGATATTTGCATCCTTTCTAGGAATGGAATTTCAGTTTTGCTATGTTTTCTTGAGCTCTATTGATTGAATAACTAACTCTGAGATTGGCTTTCCGTATTCTCCATGTTGCTCAAACGCTTCACTTTGGATTGCATTCCCTCATTATACAATCTATCATAAATGTTGGATTGCGAATTTCTTGATTTCTCCATGAGTATTTTTTAGCTTCTACATTCGTTGATAGTGATTAAATGTACATTTGGTTGATGTTTGGGCGAAACGAGCACTCCTGTGTTTCTATTTGATATCTACTCGTCCTCATTTGATCTTTGTGTTTGCTCATATCCTTGCCCATCTGCATTAAGTAGTCAGGCATTGATTGTTTATGCGGTCGTTTCGCAATCAATTGGCTCCTCTCACTGATAAAAGGCTTAAATGGATACTCGACTTACGATTGCTCCAACTTTTTCTGCTCTTACAAACGTCTAATGATATTAATAAAAGGGAGGGGATACTCCATTTATTCTTTGTGTTGGATTCCCTTCTGATACAGCACGTCTCCCGGGTTGTAATTAAGAACTGGAGATGGGATGTTGCCCCTTTGGCTGAGTTATTGATTAGCAAATTAGATTTGTTTCCTTTGTTGTTTGATTTGTGCTTCTTTGTGCAATCTATCAAAGATGTTGTCTTGCGATTGAGGTTTATTAATCGTCATTTATTTTAGGTGATGCCAAATGGTTTCCTCGATCATCGGAATAGCCTCATTTTTTAAATTATGTAAATGGACAAAATCGTATGCCAATTGGGCAGGGTCAGAATCCCTGTAAACTTTGAGTGTTTCCTTGATATGAATCTTAGATTTACTTGTTTCTTTTCGCCCAAATCAAATACAATTTACAAAATTTCTTGCATTTCGTTAAAAAATCAAATAAAAATATTATTTGAGAATTCAAATTAACAAATTAGTTTGTAATACTTATTGGTATATAATTGAATAAGAAGAGCAAAAATAACATCAGTGACCCCCTACTTGTCCATAATTTAATTCTTACTATTAAAGAGAAAATTTCAACAATAATAATTAAAAAATATATCAAAATTAAATTGTGTAATTAGAATGTTTGAGAGTTCAGTTGATTCGGAATTCAAAGGACCCATCCCACCTCTATTGAGCAGTAGGGTTGGGTTTCAGGAAGGAGATCTATAATAATATAGTTTGAGCAGTTTTCATCAATAAATTCCCATGTCTTTGGTCAGGCAAAAGACTTTTGGTATTAAGAAATCGGAAAATCAATCTGTTTATGATAACGAAGAAATTCAATATGGATCTAAGCCTTAATTTTTGAAAACAATTATCGCCAAGAGTTTGCAGAGTAATTTCATAAACAATTTGTGGAATAGATCGTATTTGAGAAAATTAAATCAATTAAGCTTTTTTTAAATTTAATAATTGGACGACCTCCAGATTGTCAGTGATGGAAATGAATATAATAGGGCACCCCAATTGTGGATTATGGTGGATGTATTTACACCCTTCAGCAAATTCATTGCATTTTGGGATGCATTTTAAATAATTACATATCTCCTAATTTTCTTTTGGTTGCCCTACAAAATATCATTCGATATTTATCACATAAGTGAATTGTTCTCTGAAACCAAAAATGCCATCATAGAATACATGTTGATGATTATTTTGGCCTTGGATATCGGAGTGGGCATGAATTTAGCTTTTATTGAAAAAGGACAATTAATAAAGGACAGAAAAAGAATAATTGTAAACTATTTCAATAAGAATGCATTTGTCGATTTAGTAACTATTTGTATATATTTATGCGGTTTCCTTTTTCACAGTGACAGTCCAATTTTTTGTACCAAGTCTGAGTTCCAAAGATTACACCATGATCTTCATCCAGTCAATTCTCTGCGTTGTCTTTTATATATTGAGGATAACCAAAATAAACAAGATCTTAGCTCAAATTTAAGAGTACATAATTTGTATTCTATTTAGGTTTTTTAATCTAAGCGGCTACCTGAATGATTTAGTTGGTCTATTGAAAGTTCTAATGGTTATAGTGAGTGTTGTACACATATTCGGTTGTCTTTGGCATGGGATAGCCCATTACAATACTTCCTTTTCATGGCTGGATGCTTACAATTTGAGAGATAAGTCAAACGCGTCTAAATATAATGTGGCCATTTATTGGGCTACAATGACCATGACTACAGTTGGATATGGAGATATCACAGCCAAGAATGACCTGGAATTACTCATTAACAATTTAACTATGTTTATAGGATCGATTGTGTTTGCATATTCAGTCAATAGCATTGGAATATTTGTGTCCAATATGTACAAAGGCACCATGGAATACAATAGAACTGTTAGTTTAATAAATACGTATATGAGTAAAAATAAGATACAGTTTGACTTGCAGACCAAAGTAAGGAGCTACTTGGAATACATTTGGCAGGAGGAGTAGGAGATGAATGATGATGAAGTCGGATCGATTGTTAATAAACTTAGCAAGCATTTACAAGATGAATTGCAATATCAATTAAGAGGGAACATCCTAAAGAATTGTAAAATTATCATGAAGTTATTTTCTGAATCCTTCATCAAGAGTCTGTTGCATAATATGGAGGAGCAAGCATATTCTCCTGAAGAAAGAATTATCACTGTAAGTACTGTTGAAATATTTAAAGATTAATGAACTGGATGATTGCTCCCTCTACATTATTACCAAAGGGGAAGTTGAGTTGATCTTTGAAGGCAACTAGATCAAAGAAAAAGTCAAGAGGAACACATTCCAAAATTACCATTAATTTGACTGCTTTGGAGAACTAGCCTTTTTTACTGGAAATCCAAGGACTGCCACTGCAATCTCAAAGGGATTCACCAGAGTATTCAAAATATCCAGGGACAAATTCTTAAATGTCATATCTTCTTATCCAGATGATTATGAAAGGTTTTGTGAAATCAGAGATCGCATTATAAATGGTGATTATGGAGCCTTGTATCTCAACTGCTTTAGTTGTCAAAGCAATTCTCATTTAATTCAACATTGTAATTACTTGCATTTTTGTGCTGACAAAGAAAAGATCATTAAAAAAGAGTAATATCCTGTTATTCAAAGAAGATGTTAAAGATACTCCAGAAGGGATATGGGTAAGTATAATGCATGGATCAATTTCTAATTAAATTCAATTCGTGGATTAGATTTTCAGAATGATGCTTATGCAAAAGGGTATGATGATGGTGACTCTCATACTTTGTAAATGAATGATGCATATGAAGATGATGAAGCATAGATGGAATAGGGTAAAATACCAAATGATATATTTAGTTGAAAATAATGAAAAACCTATATCTGGCACAATGCTCTAAAGTATTGATGATGACGACGGTTAAAGGCAAATTATCAGTTACCATAGAAAATCCAACTTACCTAAATCAACTTTATAAACCGCAGGTTTTGGAGGGAGTTTAACCAAAGATTGTAACCATAATCTCATTATGTATAGCCTATAAGGACGAATTGCCTAATTAAGAAAATTTTTTTGAAAATCTCGAGTAATTCACAGTTTCTCATCCAAAGCCCTTACTCACCTTGATTCAATAGAATAATCCTCAACCTTCTCTTCCTTTACCACTACCCCAACTTAAAAGATAACTTTCAAGAAGCGCATCTAATGAAGACCACAATCATCAACCACATAGGTTGTCAATTGATTAAAAGTTGATAATGGTTGCTCCATAAAAATCAGATGTGGATATTAAAAATCTTGCTAATAACCCCAGAGTACAAATGAAAAGAACAACTACAAATAATTAGACATTCTTTACAGAGAATAACACTCAAAACAATTAACATATAAGTACCCAAACAATAGCCCCAATGTTACCTGGTTTTGATAAGATGCATATCTTTTTGATCTATTAGCCATAAAATAATTATGATTTGGTAATAAAGAGGTAATTAATCTTTTATAATTTTAGATATGCTAAGGTTTAAAGATTCTTTGGTAAAAAAAGATTGTACCCTGAGTATTCTGTTTACTCGTTCTTCTTTATGGCCATCAAAAAAGGTTGGAAATTAAGGAGACTTGGAGAATGCAACAAAAATGCTAAGAGCCCAATGATGATGAGGAGTCTAAGGAAGATTTAGAAACCGTACTAGGGTATTAACAAGTAAAGGAGTAACTTTTTCAAGGAAGTCAATTGAATTGTTTTATTATTTATTCAAAAATAGTGGATTATTTATAAATAAATTTAATTTCAATGTCAGAAGAGTATAAAATGCTATTAAAATCCTAAAATACAAGCCAATCATTTTAGAGACTACTGTAAGATAAACTTGGGAATCAGGAAGTATTCCTTACAACAATCTGCCAATTATCTAAACTTCCTGTGACTATACCTATCAGACATACTCCTACTAATTATATTAATTGCTTATTTGATTTAGAAAATTGGCTTGAACATTATTCATTAATGTATAAGTAGGTCGATCTTCAGTATATTATTCATAATATTTTCAAAGTGGCTTTGCTTGTCCTGGATGCAGAAAATTTGGGAACTTTAAAGAATATGGAGTCGATTACACTTTCTATCATTTCTTATAATAGTTGGAACTCTTCAAAGCAAGGAACCCTGATATCAAACTAAATACATCTCAATTGATCTACAAGCATAGCGACAGGAGTTATTATGTTGAAGAAAAAATAACAAAGAAAAGATTTTAATTGGTAGGCTCTAATCCCGTATTGAGAGTAACTAAAAGACAACAGGGACTTAACCTAGAATTAACCTAACCTGAAAACACCTTAATCGCAGATGAAATTAGTTAAACATTAGTGAAATTGCAATCATTAATTTATAGTAGAATATAAAAGACACTTAAATTACCCAATAAATCATAGTTGACTTTTAAGGATTTACAATCTTAGGTTGCACTTAGGAAGTCTGATCTTAAGTAAGTATTGACTAAATCCATGAAATTAATCTCTTTGGGGAAACAATCCTTGTAAAAAGATTATGTCTTTGCACTCAGGAAGATAATTACGAACAATCAAGTTTAATCAATAGTAATAGTGCAATTTTATATAGCTAATTGTTTACTTGGTGTAATATGGTATTTGGTACGAGCTTTCATTAAAGTTTAAAGGATTACCTTATGTGTAATTAGAGTAGGCACTTTACATCAAAGGAGAGGGAAGCCTTACTCATAATCATATATATGTGATTGGAGGTAGAAAGGCGGAGAGAGGTTAGTAGTCTGATTAAGTACTTTAGATTTCCTTTCCAAAATCGATGATTTAGAATGGATAAGAAGCAAAAATAACGGAATTTCCCAAATTGCCAAAGGAAGGCTATAATTTCATGGGAACATGCTATAAATAGTAATATCAAATTTATGATCACTAGATTGCTATTTGTATTCTATGGACAGAAATAAATATTAAATTTTGACAATGGAATCAGACATGAACTATTGAATAGTTAGTATGTATTCAGAAATAATCGTTGGGAAGAGCTGAAGTTAAAACTTGTGGAAAGATTCGACGGAAGTTTCTTCACGATTAATCACTTAGCTTTTGATAAATTAATTGTATTCTTTGGAGGAGTCTCGAGAGAGCCTGATAGTTTTGGAAATCACAGAGGACCTCAATAACACTTGGGTTAGATTTTTGCTTGTAGAGAGGAGAGGTTTGTTGGAGAATAAAAATAGGAGTTTTAAATTAAATTCCTTGATGATGATCCATATCACAGAAGTGTGTTGGCGAATCCGGTATTTAGTTGTCCCTATTATGGAACTAATTAATTATTATTATCTGGAGAGAGCATGAAGTTCAAAAATACTGATTAGAGACAAGTCTACACATTTGATTGGGGCAATGCAACTCTAAAAATGAATGATTTATTCTCTTTGGACCCTCCAGAGCACGTACTCACTCCATACAAAAGGAAGCCTATTGGTTCTGATATCTTCAGTCCTGTTCAAGATTCTGAAGGTGCTTAAGCTTATGGGAACTTCTTTATAATTCAACACTATGAGTTAGAACAAGGATATTATGATAAAAACCCAAAACTAATAACATAATTATTGAAAGTCAATTTAACAAATGGATCATGTAAAATGATTAATTTATTTTAGTTCTTGCAATTCCATATTTAGATTCTAAGATCTCTAAGGAAATAGCTGATCAAATTTATGAGAAATTGGAGGACAAAAAGAATCAAGAAATTATCTGATTTATAAGAGTTCATTTCTTTATAATTGATTAATAGTCAATTTTATTATTTTAATATTTTTTATTCATTCACAATTTTCCATCTTTAATTTGTTTGTTTAAACTTTGCAATCTGTTTTTCTTAATTTCTTTTAAAGTTTCCTCATCAATTTATGGTTGATTCCCATTTTTTTAATTAGAAATCTTTTTGAGATGTTCAATTTCCAACTCCTTAAACTTCTTCATCACTTCTTCCCTCTTCTCACTCTACACACCTTTCATCTTCTCTATATTTTAAACCTATTTTCTGAATTCATCCTTGACTGATTGGAATTGACTTTGCATGCATTACTAAATTTAATTATCAAATAAGTAATACATCATAGATTTTTCTTCTTTACTGTAAGATTGTTTTATACTTCATAGCAATTTCAAATTACTCATTCTCTGTATTATTAATTGAATCAGTGCATTTAGTAATTAGATCCTCAGTCTTCTATTGGAATTACACACTCTACTGTTTTTAATATTCAACTATGTCTAGATGAGTCTGCATCAAAGCATCCTCTAACTTAAACAACTATTTAATTAACTCTGATTCTTATGCAAATTACTTTAAAATAATTGATTTGATTTGTTCCTCATCATAGGCTTATTTTTCTGCTTATTGCTATTGAATTTGTTACTGTTAGATCTATTAAATTTATTGTTATTATTGTTGCTTCTCCATCTTCTCTTATCTCTGTTACTCCTTAAATTGCTGCTCAATTTGTAACTGCAACTTGGATTAACTATTTTATTTCTTGAGAGTCCTTTTGATGTCCTCATTCTCTTCCCTTAATTAAACAATCATCTCTTAAAAATTGTTAGGCGTTGGATCAATATTCCTAGTTCTGTGAGCATAAAGCAGTGTATTAAACGAATCCTCATAATTGTTGGGAGCAACATTAGCAATCATGACTGTTTTAGAATTGCCTTGGAGAGCATCCTTCAAAAGTCTCGTCAACTTGCTGCCTCTAAAAGGCACAAATTATTCCTTTGAGAACAAGGCCTTGATGCAATTGCCAAGAACTAGAAGTGATCGATTTATCATTGCTCCCTCAACCATTCTTTGTCCTTTATTCGTGGTTTATGAAGCTCTTTCAGAACCAGCCAAATCAACAAAAGTGAAGGTGCATTGCTTTAGCATCAATTACAAAACTGTGTGAGAACGTGTTGAGTTTTCATTGGCACCTGTTGGCTCCTTTGCTCTTCTACTGTTTCCGTATTTGATGTATTGATTTATATCATTGAGAGAGGGGACTGGAGCTTTGAATAAGTTCACTACCACCAATCCCTTATTGCCATCTTCTCTCAAATCCAATAGCTTCCCAGTTAAGAGATCTCGGATAGTCTCATTGTAAATTTCTAGGAAAGTGAGTGAGGCCTAGGGATTAGGAATGCTGATACTTGAGCTGCTTATTCTTTTGACAATCGACCAAACAAATCGTTCAATGCTCTTGGTATAATGCCTTGCTGATTCTGGCTTCCCATCATGCTAGAAGAAATTAGGGATAATAAATATACGTATGAGTTTTACCACTTCCTGTTGCTCCATATGCAAAAATAGTTACATTTTATCCTGAAATAAGATCATCGAGAAGGGGTTCTGCTGATTTTTCATAGACTTCCTTTTGATCGGCTTGTTAATCAAAGACAAGGTCGAACTCATAAGATGCATCTTTAATTCTATTCTTTTTCAGGATCTTTAGGATGTAAAATATAATATAGAAATGTCATTTTACATCGACAGGGTTATTGAATTCTAATTCTGGATCAAGCAGAGTAACCGTGGAGCCATTAACAATAATTGTTTTGAAACTTTATTAAACTGGCTTGACTCTAATGGCAACAGTGATATTGTGCATAATTTAAATTGAATTTTTTAATATTTGCTTATTTATTCAATTGCTTGGAAATTTGCTATTAATCATCGCAAGATTCCCTCCTGGGGAGAATTTGCTAATCAAAGTAAGTACTGGCTGGTAATCCAGCAATTGAATGGCTTCCCCTTCAGCTAGAAACTACATAAATTACTAGGCACCATAACTAATATCAATTCTCTAAGTTTCTTGGAATAAATGAATCTTAAATACATCAATGCTACTTTGAGGAATCAAATAGGCTACACCTTAAGATCCTTATAATCCAAATTTTTTGGAACCATGTCCAGTCATCAAACTATGGGTAGGACTTAGAAACCCAACTAGAATGGTTCCCAAAAGACTGGGACCCTAAAGAATGAAATTAGTAGCCATACCAAGTGTGAAGCAATAGTATAAGCATCAATGGGAGATCTTTTTATTACAAGTATGAGAAAACTATAGACAATGCCAGCCAAGACACCAATAAAAGCAGATTACCAGATTCTAACATCATCAACCATAGCCAAAATAGCAACAATTCTAGCCACGCAACCTCTGAATAAGGCAACTAACCTTAACTTGAGGGTCTACTAGTAGTATAAAAAGAAACTAGTGAGAACTGAGAATTTATATGCCACAATAGTGTTGACTGCTATCACTCCTTAGTTATATTGCTCAAACTTTCCTTATGAATTAGCTCCATTAACGAATATTAAGATTGCAATTGTCAAAATAAAGGATCCATATCTAATATAAATTTGAGAATGATGATGTAGGAAAATATTTGGATCTATATAGCCATTTTTACCTCTTCTCTCCTTCTAAAATACTGAAACAGTAATGCTAAAATACCACCTAAAAAGTGGTCATAGCTAGCTCCTGCAAAATCTACAAATCCTATGTAACTCAACCATCCTGTAGGTTAGACCCAATGAAGTGTGTTGGGTACAATATTGCAGAAATGAATGCTAAACATACACTAATAGAAAAGTATCTAGATCTCTCTAAAGTCCCAATCCAAATAGAGATGCAACTATTGCTGCACCAACTGTTGAGTGGACTAAAGTATAGAAAAAATCTATCACTAAAGTTTGAGTAATCATCATTTAAGTGTTCAGAAGAATACCCCGCTTCTACAAATTTATCATAGCCAATTAATTAATTTCTTAAATCAACTCCACTCCAGAACCTATAACCCCAAATCCTAAAATTGTTAACGAAGCACTGAATGACGTTATCATAAACAAATCTATATTAATAATTCTTGGACCTATGGCTAATGAACTAGCGCTTAGTATATAAAGCGCTATTAAATTTATTTATTGCAGAACTTATATACATAAAAATTGATTAATATCATTAAAAATACATATAATTAAATAAATTACTAAGCTATATTATAATTATTTTAGCCAATATGCAAACTCTAAAAAGGAAACAACTATAGTTTTCATTTACTGTTTCACAATCTCAAGCTTTAAATCTTAATACATTATTCAATCCTAGTAAAGTTGTTATTGATCAACCATTTAACAAAAAGTTCAAATTAAAGTCGATATGACACTTTATCATTCATAAGTTGCTTTTATAATGCTGCTCACTCAGATTCTACTTAATTAACAAGCTCTTTTATTGAAAGCTTGTCGAAATTGAAATATCAAAAATGATATCACCTCATTAATCTGAAATTAGCTTATGTTAGTTGACTTTTTAGTTTTAAAACAACACTTACAAGGCATTAGAGTTCATCAAAATTGTAAAGAATGTATATTTGATAGATTAAATACTTTGAAAGATAGATATATTTATTGAATCTAAATGCTTCTCAATGTAATTATTGCAGAAAATTTGGCAATGATCTTTACAAATAATGTTTCCCATTCCTTAGACTACATAATAGCTTAAATAACCAATTGAGATATCTCTGAATTGTGATTATATAATTATTACTATATTTTAAAACCTAATATAATATCAGAAAATAACAGAAAATTTTGGTTTATATATTGTAATTTCTTTTTTGGAAAACTTAATTAAAGAATTTCAATACGAATAGATGAATTACTTCAAGATCCCTTTGATTAAGTTTGGAACAACTATCAATCACATTAGCCTATAGTAGATTGTGGAATCTCCACAAAAAAGCGCTTAAATATAATTAGAAGATTCGTCATTCAACATTTACTCTTGTAATTTCCCGGAACTTTGTAGGAACATACTAATTAATAAGAACCTGATTTTGTTAATTCAATACGAAGAGTTAATCGAATTCGATGAAAAATTATAGAATATATTCAATTTAATACAATTTGCTTAGTAAGCATTATCAATAATTTAGAGTCAAGAAAGTCTTGTGTTTCATTGTCTTGGCAGAACCAATTAAGAAATGCCAATGGAAAATGGATATTGTCAAAAAGTATATTGACATAAGCGTCTAAAACTTTAAGTTTTCTAATTATACCTAGCCAAACTACAATTTACAGTCTATTCATTCTTAACAAAGCATTTTTAATTCACTACACTTTTTCTAAACTACCCCCAAAGAACCAGATTTTAATAAAACTAACGATACATTAATGTAAATTATCTCTCGAAACAAAAACGAATTAGAAGTTGCTCTAATCTAAGGAATTGCAATTGTATCTGATTTTTGCTACCTTGAGAATTAAACTGCAAATAATAAACCAATCTAATTAATTGAAATTGAAGGCAAATAAAATTATATCAATTCCAATGAAGATCAGCAAGTCTTTCGAATCAAAATCAATGATGATTCAGAGTTGAAAGAGCAATGCTTCCTCTCAAATACTATATTTTCTGTTAACAAATACAATCCCCAGATTTTATTCAACCCTCAATTTGATTCAATTGAAAAACGATACGAATTCTATTAAAATTATCGAAAAACTTCAAATTGGTCTGTTATTATTGGTGGCGAGCAATGTATATTTTACAGAAATATCTTTAGATGACATAAAAAACATAGAGTTTACTGCATTGAATGATAATACCTTAAAGTTAACTTTATCAAGCTCAAAATTTATTTGTACTTAAAAGTTTTCAACAAACGAGGGTTTCAAAATCAATAGTTAAATTCTGTAAGTAACTTTATATTAACTCTAGAATAATTAATAAAACTACGGAAGAGATTATTGTCTTTGGGCTAATTGAATCGAATAACTTTGAAATCAAGCTCAATTAAAATAAAAACCCTAAACAAGAATTACAATTGATGGAGTAGTTCCATATTCCAATCAATGACGAAGACATAATTTAAAATATAGCTAGAGGAGAGCTGCTACAAAAAGGAAACCATATTGTCAAATGTAGAATATGTTTGGAAAAATGTTCTGATACTTTGTTGATTCCATGTGGTCACTTCCGTTATTGCTATGATTGCTAGGCTGAGATTTAAGAATGTCTATATTGCGAAACAAAAATTTAAACAAGAAAGAAGCTTCAAATCAAGTTTATAGATCAAAATAAAAATGATTTATTAAAGGATTTAATGTGGAAGCATTAGGATTTATTGAAATGTTCATTTTAGTAAAATTTGAATATTGAGCAAAATCTAAAAATTAATGCAATGTAAAATGAAATCAATTTCTCTTAATATTATTGTTAAAAGTGCAATAAATCAAAGGGAACTGAATTTGCCTATTGCAATAAAAGTCATTTAATTTTATATTGTTTAGAATGCTCAAAATAAACAATAAAATGTGAATATATGAATTGTAATGAAAATATCATTTAAGCAGGACAAATAAAATTTAGATTTGATGAGTGATAGCTATATTTATATTTTGATTAATAAAATATCAGCACAATTGAATTCATCTTTAGTATTTAATTTGAATTCTAATTCATCATAAATTCAGATTAGATTGAAAGAAATGAATAAAATTTCTATTTTACCGACTTCAATAACTTAATCACATAAAATCTCCATCATATATATCATACTGGGTTTGAAACTCAACCATATAATTCACCACAATGTAAGTATGCTATAGATTTATAAGTATAAAACGCTTTTCAAAATTTTACTCCATAACTCTCCATAAAGACCATCATGATATAATATAGGTCATCTTTCTAATAAACACAATTATATTCTATTATTCTTTTGTTTATCAGTTTAATATTTATATGCATTTATGCAAATTTTATCAATAATTATTCAATTTATCATAAATTTTCTATATTTTTTTTAATGCTTACCAAGTATCCTGATCACTTATTATCACAGATTACTAAAATGTAATTTAATTATCCATCTTTTTATGATCAAGTTTTTAATTAAAACAAGTAAGTTTGAAAATTATAAATCCTCAAATCCTTGAGAAAAACGAGGTTCTCTAATGAAATGATTATATATTTATCTTCTTTAAACGATAGTTCTTCTCTCCTTTACAGTAAGGCCATCCAAAATAGATTAAAATTCATTTTATTTATTTGTAAATGTGTAATATTATTAATGTTAATCAAAATAATCTTGGCTTTGGTGCACATTGGCTTTTCAGTGGTTTTCGACGTTTCTGAGTACAAAATGCCCCTTTATGTGTTGTCAGCCATTTTAACAATGATTGGGATCTACAATTCAAACAAAGAGTTCGGATTCTTATTATATACCTTTATCACATTCATCAATACATTTATCAAAGGATTTGTCCTCGAAGTAAGTATATTACTATTTGTAGATGTATTTGCATAATAGACATTCGTTGCTTGATCCAAAATCATTGAAATTGGCATTATATGTGTTCATTATAACAATAGTTTTGGGAAATCCTTTTGTAATAAAGAGAATCTCAAGTTTTCTTGATTCTCATTACACTTTAAAATTTGGATTGAATTTGTCTGACAAGGTTTCCTAATGTATTACGCTATCAAATTGTTATCACCATGTTTTAAGTCAGCCAAATCCAAGTCTGGTTGAATTGGCAGTGATCACTACAGTTGGATTTTCAATAACGAATTTAGTGATCTATTTTGGATTGTTGGAATCGAAATCGCAAGGAGAATCAATTAAGATTATGCGATAATCAACAATAGACAATTTCATCACATATTCGTTTGCAATAGCAAATGTGTATGCCTGGAATTTCCACTTGAAGCCTCAACTCAGTGTTTAGTCCAATAATGTGAACGACATAAGAATAGCAGTCAGTGTTTCATTCATTGTGATTTATAGTAAAATATAATTCAACTATGAATAGCATTATTGTCCATGTTGCATAGCACACATTAGAAAAAGGATAAAAAAGAATGATGAGGAATAAATAATATATTATTTTCGGATTATTTAACATGATCTGTACATATAATTTAATTCAATAATAAATTAAAAATGAGTCGTGCAGTGTTACAACCTTTTGAAGTTTATCAGAAAGCAAGAGTTTAATTTGTGTAGACAGTGGCTGAGTTAGCCAAAAGACCATAAAATATTGAGGCATTGCAATCAGCAGGTAATGAAACCGTAACCAATCTTTTAGGTGTGATGTCCTTATTGAGACCTTTGCTCTTAGATTGTGTGCCATCAATTTAATAATCAGCAGCCTTGGCCTTGGGAAGATTGGCTAAGCATTCAGAAGATTTGGCTGAAGCAGTTGTTTCCAATGAAATATTGCCATAACTAGTGAGTTCGTTGGGAGAACAAAATCGTTTCTACAAAAAGGCTGCAGCATTTGTACTTAGATGCGTTGCTAAACATTCTTCAACTTTGGCAATGGCAGTCGTGAATTCCGGAGCCTTGGAAGCTTTGGTCTAGTGTTTAGAAGAATTTGATCCAAGTGTCAAGGAAGCTGCAGCCAGTGCTCTTCGTTATATTGCCAAGTAACTATCACACATATTCTGTCTAGACATACAGCAGATTTGGCTTAGGCTGTAGTAGATGCAGGAGCAGTTCCATTATTGGTGCTCTGTATTCAAGAACCAGAAACCACACTGAAAAGAGTATCAGCTGGAGCTCTATCAGAAATTTGTAAGCATTCAGCCGAATTGGCCTAGAATGTAGTTGATGCAGGTGCTGCACCATTTCTCAGTGCCTTGATTCCTCATCATGACGCTGAGTTGAAGAGATCTGTTTGCTTTTGTTTGGCCAATATAGCAAAACACACAATAGATTTGGCAGAAGCCATTGTAGATGTTGACATCTTCCCCAAAATCTTATATAGATTGAAAGACACTGACCCTGGAGTTAGGTACATGCCGTTAATCTAATAGATAGAAAAGCTGCAGCAACATGCATTAGAGAAATTGCAAGACAATCTTAAGACCTAGCTAAAATGATTTGTAGTGCAGGAGCTGTTGTGTCCATTGTTGATTACATCAATGAGGCCAAAGGAGATGCACGTTTACCAGGCATCATGACATTAGGATTCATCGGAGCCTTTGATGAAGCTTTGGCCATGGGAATCATTGCAGCTAAAGGAATTGCCCCATTAAAAGATGCCCTAATTAAGGAACCTGATCAATCAGTCAAGAGTGCTTCTGCTTGGTCTCTCGGAATGATCGGCGGACATTCAGCAGATCACTCTAGAGCCATGGCTGAAGCTGATGTTCCATCCCATTTGTTAGCTGTAAAACTACTCCTCCAATCTTAGGTTTATAAATTCCCTGAATCCAGCGAAGATCTCAAAAAGAAATCAAGTTAAGCTTTGAAATCCATATTATAAATGTGCACTTATTTGCCTGCTCTAGAACCATTAATCTCAGAAGCTCCCCCTGATATTTTATAATATGTCTTGCATCAATTCCAAAAGACTCTGCCAACTGATAATGCTGCCAAAAAGTATATAATCCCTTATATCATCTTTAGACAATTCGTTTTGTCAGAAGGATTAAAGAAAATTCAAGAAATCAAAGCAAATCCTGGCTCCAAGTTAAGACAATACATCGACGAAATCAATTCCTATTACCCACCAGAAATCATCCAATATTACAGCGCTGGATACGAATAGTAATTGCTTAAGAAGTTGGACGATTACAATGCAGATTGATCATCTATAATATTAATCCAAATATATATTATATTACAATTTAGCAACATAATTAAATTCATTTATGTATAAAAACAAGTAATAGTAATACTCCCATCCCACACAACTCATTCCTTCAGTTTGTACTTTAAATACTCAAGAAGAAGATTCGTAGGACTATTAACTAATACAAAGAAAACTTTAATGTTACAAAGATAATTTGAAAATAATTCAAAAAAATAACGAAGATGATCGCAAGTATCTGTCAACCTCCTCAGATGTCTTATAATTGACTGAATCACAAGAAGATGACTGTGAATCTTTGCGATAACAGATCAACTTGCTTCAAGATGAATTGAGTAAAACAAAATAAAATATGATGCAAATAATTGAAGATCTCACTCAACAAAAAGATTTGCTCATCTATAAGATTCAAGAATTAGAATCTACTATCGATAGTTTATAATAACAAAAGCAATTTCGAAATAAATCAATGCACTCTACATTATTGGACATTACCTACGAATAGGATTAAACTTAAGATTATAGTAGAAAAAGGACTAGATCCAAATATGATGATTAGAACTGTTGGAAAAGAATTTTTGAAGAGTTAGCTGAAATTTTAAAAACAGAAAATGTGATACAAGAAGTTCATAGATTATAATAAAAGTGCATTAAATAAGACAAATTTATTGGATGTGTTTAAGACTTAGTAGTTAAATTAACTCCAAAGGATATTTTTCAGCATTCCAAACCTTAATTAAGAGATTGCTGGCATTGGATAAAAGGAATATGCACAGAATACATGAATCTAAAAAAGATGTAGGCTAATGTCATAGTTGAAACATGTTCGTAGATTCTCAATGTCCAACCTTAAGACATAGTTAGTTAAATCCAATTTCTTATCAAAAGAATAATTGCATAAAAACATTGATATTGTTATTTTTGTTTTAAATAACCTTCTAATAATAATTAATATTTAATGTAGTTCTCAATTTCATTTTTGACTAGTGCTTATTAATAATAAATGCTTATATATTATCTAGGTTGAATAACATAAAGGTTTATAATGATTAGAGCATGCTTAAATCCAGAAATTATTCAAAATCAATACTAATCCTTAAGACCATACAAAAATATTTAAAATAATATTAACTTGGACAATATAATTATTCATGTTGTTAATCTAGCTTGTTATGCATATTCTACCATTATGAATTAGTGCAAATAATTATTCTGATATTGATAATTCAATCGTCTCTCAACTTTTAGCTTTTTTATCTGGATGTTATTATATGCTACTTTAACGTATTTACCAATATCAAGAAGTAAATTAGAGCCTAATATAGAAGTGAACATTGCTATATGTACCCAACCAAGTAATAACATTTTTTCGTCATCTAAATCATAGCTATAAACATAGAAAGAACAAATTGTAGAAATGAAAAGTACTTCTCGTGAGACTAATTTAAAATACTCAAAACCAATATCTATTGGCTTGAATACTATCAAATACACCACATAAAAACTAGATTAAGCTGATAAAACAAATGATTGTGCTTCAGGATAATCCATTAAAAATACAATTGAAAAAATATATGTTGTTATCTTTAACATTTAAATAGGTTTTAAAATTTAAGACCAAAACCTTTAGTTTATCCCATCAAAAAAGAATTTCCAATCATTTATATTCTTTATAGTTCCTGTAGTAATAATAAATTATTAGAATTCTACAAATAAAATGAAACCTAACGCTAGTATTGCATTTAATGAATTAATGGTCTCAAATAATGATGCAAAAGTATAATTAGGAAATTAGAGGAATGCACTAAATAAAAATTAATGCATAATTGTGTAGTAGACCTGAAACAATCCAGAATAAAAGTATTAATTCCTGAATTTAATGCATGTTATTTATAAGTTATGATACATTTAAAAGACTTTAGTTAAATTCTTTAATTTCATTCCTTTTTGACTGATAACTTTATTAAAATAGTTTAAGGCACTTGTTTTAGAGATTATGAGGCATACTATATAGGACAAAAAAGAAGCAATCAGTGAAAAGTAACAACTTTTAGCATTCATAATATAAAACTGATTTAAAGGATCCGCTGAACTGGAGGGTAAGTTTTTTCTAGGTTGAAAAGGTAATTAACCCCCATTTAGATTAGCCAAAATTTAATCTAATTAAAAGTAATCTAATACAGGTTTTAAGGAAATCTTTGTATAACTCTCAAGAAACTAGCGCAGATGAGATGGAAATTTATATTACATAAATCGAATGTAAGAAAGCTGTTATAGTAAATCTATTAGATTGAATAACATGGCTGGAGTTCCTGTTAATAGAGCAAAGCCAGATATAGCAATCGTAGTATACATCATAGCATCATTCATTTTAACAATAGAAGTGACATATTCTTTGCTTTCTTTAGACATCACAAAAGGACTCCCTAAACTAATTATTTTTTCCAATTATTTTAACTCCATTTCATTATCATTAAAAATTTATTGTTTAGCAATGCTAATCTAAAGCATAGGGTTTTAGATTGGTTGTTAAAACAGAATTTTAATTTAATATTTAGGATTGCTTAACATAGTGGTTAAATTAGTTACAGGAACAATCTTCATCTCATATTCAGCTTAAGGTGTAATAGTAAATTTGCATATATCTTCAAGAACAGTATCTTAGAACATTTTGACTTTTTCAGTGAAGGTTAACTCAATGATTTGTGTTTATTCTTTAGCATCACTCAAAGATCGAAGATTGAAATTTGGTAGGATGATGAATGAGCATATACTGAATGAGTCCTCTGTATTTAAACAAATAAAAGAATCCTCCAATTTACAATACGATGAACAGCCATCTCCACTATTCATGTTATTGTCATCGCATTCCTCATATAAGCTAGCCAGCATTCCGTTACCACACATGCTTTCACATTTTCCATTAATTAGTATAAAATTTTCATTACATAATATCTCTTCTGTCTTGACTTCCTCCTTAACTTCTTCTTCTTCTTCTTCTCCTTCATTAATTTCTTAGGGAATTTCTTGACATAAGGCAGTCGTTGAATTTAAAAAGTAGCTTGTTGGATCGCACTATTTACAAACATTGTTCTCTTCACATGTCATACAGCCGAAAGAACATGATAACAAACAATAATGACATCCATCAAATGGAATATCATTACCATCATCGCATTCCTCATAAAGTGGGTTTACCTACTTATCTCCGCAAACCGATTTGCATTAGCCATTTATCAATGTATAAGTGTCCTCACAAAGATTGCAAGAAAGTGGTACATCACATTTTTAACAATTTTCAGAGCATTAGTAAAGGCACTAAACACAATTAATATCAGATGGATCATCACATAATTCATATGATGAAGCTGCCACTTTTGAATCCCCACACACTTATTAACACATCCCCTCTTCTAAAGTCCAACCATCTAGACATTAAAAACATTATGTATTTTAACAAATTGTACATTCTAATTAGCAACTACTCTCACAGTTATGACATCCATCGAATCGAAGATCGTTACCATCATCACAAGTTTCTTATTCTAAAACGTTAGAATCTCCACATAAAGGTTAGCATCTATCTCTTTACAAATCGTATCCAACTGTACAATATATGCATCTACCAAATTCACAAAAAAGACAATTGGTTGGACAAGAAAACTGACAATTAAAACAGCCATCATAAGGAGTTTCATTTTAATCATCGCAATCTTCGTGCATGGTTACTATTCCATCTCCGCAAATAGGTTAACAATCATTCAATTATATATCATAATAATATCCTATTCTTGAAATGTAACCAGTTTCCTAGCAATCCTTTTCTATTTTAATTATTTCCTATTTTTATTCCTCCATCAGTAAGCACTCTCCAAATACACATTATTGACAATTTTTAGCACATTAGAATTTACAATTAAAGCAACCATCAAATGCTTCAGTATTTCCATCATCGCAATCCTCCTAGCTTTATATTACTGAATCCCCACATTAGGGAACACATATTTATTCATCATTTCTAAAATACCAACCTTCTTAACATTATAGGCATTTATTAAATAAAATCGTTAAACAACCTTGAAGTTCGTCTATCCAATAGGCCTCTAATTTTTTATAATAAATATTAAAATCTTAAATGCTAAAAGGGGAATTGTTATTATTCTAATAAACGATAGTTACTTGAATATTTTTAATTTGAATATTGAAGTCAGAGTTACTAATTGATACTTAATAGAAATGATAATATCTATTAGTACTCCATAATGGATAAGTATTTGTTGATATCATCATTTTCACTACTTAAGTATTAAATAAGAAATAGATATTATTATTTATCTGTATCTTTATGTAAGAAACCTCTTATTCTTAAAATACAAGCTTAAATTTAATATGAGTTCCATAGTTACTTGGAATGCTAACAGTTCTTTGAAGCCATAATTAGTAATTAGAAAAAACAGGATTGTAGAAAATAACATTTTCTATTTAGATAATTTTTGAATACCTTTAGAGATTAGATTGAGAGTATAAGAATTCTGTATATTTGGTGTAATTTTCCAATTATTTGCTTCATTAGAATACAATCCTTAAAATGGAAAAAGTGCTGAAATTTGAGAACAAGCATCGATTCCATAAAGATCTGGGCAGTACCTGCAAGTCGCTGGACATTCTTCGATATATATTGATATTTATTTTAATGCCCAGTGGAAAGCAGATGCATGCGATGGATTTTGTTATGCCGATATTGTGATAACATCAACTTCATTCAAATGAACCAAGCTAAATTTACCATTTGCCTCAGAACTCAATGCATTTTTTTCAACAAGTGTGTAATATTTCCCATTGTCTATCTACACAACTAAATCAAACGAATTATTTAGAATAATAGTTATATCTATAAAAAGCTAATTATGTGGAGGAAATTAAAATAATCTTTATATCATAGTATTGACATCTAAATTAGGTGTTTCAGGAATAATTGTATTATTTGAACCATCAACCTACATGTTTTAATTACTCTTATTATCAATCCAATCTTTTATTAATAATGCATATACCTGACAAAATATTATAAAATGATTATTCATACACTAATAATTTAGTGAGGACTGTAAAAAGGAATCCCAAAAATGGGAAAAATATTATCATCTATTAATTAATTTAATTATAATCTCAATAAAATGTTTTAAATCATTCTACAATAATTATAGGCTTTTGGAAGAGCAAATAATGGAATCATTTTTTAATATTACTATTGGTATCCCTTTGTTTTAGATGTGTTTCCTAGAGTTAAACCTAGATTACTGCGATTTGATAGAACAAAAATATAACTTCATTTTCTTGAACATATTTTATGATTTAAGTAATTAGCTTATAATTATTAATGAGTTATAAGGGACCTATGCAGTTCATTGGGTTTAAATCAGTTTAATTTATAAACCTATGGTAATTCAAGTGGATTAATCAAAAAAATTATACATTAAACTATAAATTTATGAATTTTAAACCTTGTTGGTTCCTAAACTGTTTTTTAATTCTTAAATGGTGAGGCATCTAATAACTAGCGAGTAGTTTATTTAGAATTTTGTTTGCTTTAAGAATAAGAATAGTTATAATAATTTTTGAAATTTCCTCAGTTGATTGGATTAATAAAGCCACCCTAAATCGTTTATTGTGAGAATTATGCTCTTTTAATGTAAATATCTAGTAAAGATTATTAGTACAGCTCTTACACAATTATATTTTCAATTTTAATTTGAATCAAAAAAATACTTGAGAAATTTTCATATTGGACTAAGGAACACTTAAAAAAAAAACTTTCATTCAACATCACAGACTTGGACAAAAAAAAGTAATCTTAAAATATATATAATAAAGATTCGTTTATTAATCAAACACTTCCTAATTTATTAATATCAGATCTGTAAAATCATTTTCAAATTTATGTGCACTTTTTAAATCAATATTGAGTATTATTTTAGTCTTTTTATTTTTATTTTTTTTTTAGTTTTTCTCCTAGGTGTATTTATAAATCTCAAAATTTATTTATTCTCCTTTAATTTAGTTGATTGTAGTTCAATTATTGTGGCAAACTTGAAGATCTTACCTTTTTTAATGGCTAATTTACAAGTTTAATATAACGGATAATAATAAGCGTTTTCTTATTTATATAATACTCCAACTTAAAAAAAAATCAACTAGTACTTCTTTATTTAATTCTATAACCAATTTTATATTGATTGAGAAAAGACGAATTAGAATAAAGACTAGAAAATAATGTATGAATAACTATTACTCTAATCATTTATCTATTTTCTTTTAAGAGCGCAATTGATGAAAAGCGTACTTTAGAAAATGTTAATAATTAAGAATTTTATTAAGTTAAATTATCATAACATTTTCACAATTTCAAAACTATTTTAATTTTTTGTATTCTTCTAAACTGATTGGGTATTGACATCCTTAACCTGTTTCTTGACACCTTTGACATTTTCTTCTATCAAAATCTGGTTAGGTCATCACTTTGCCATTTTACATCCATGGTTGATAGTCAGGACAACCCACTCTGTGATAATGATTGCCATGACTCAATATTGGAGCTCTATCAACAGAACATGCTGAGCATAAATCCTATTAGCAACCATGGCACTTCACGTGATTACATTTCTCATCTTTTGTTTGCATTAAACCACAAAACGGACAAACTAGAACTGGCATACCATCAATTGCTTTTAAAATCTCTTTTAACAGATTCGGACATTGCTAGTTCTATTAAAATATAAATTACTGCTTGATTTTCTCCATGATATTCTTAGTAGCAATGACGACAAAGTAATGTATTACATTTCAAGCATTAAATCTACAGCTATTTATATTCCGAGCTTGCTTGTATTGGTGAGTTACANAATTATGCTCTTTTAATGTAAATATCTAGTAAAGATTATTAGTACAGCTCTTACACAATTATATTTTCAATTTTAATTTGAATCAAAAAAATACTTGAGAAATTTTCATATTGGACTAAGGAACACTTAAAAAAAAAACTTTCATTCAACATCACAGACTTGGACAAAAAAAAGTAATCTTAAAATATATATAATAAAGATTCGTTTATTAATCAAACACTTCCTAATTTATTAATATCAGATCTGTAAAATCATTTTCAAATTTATGTGCACTTTTTAAATCAATATTGAGTATTATTTTAGTCTTTTTATTTTTATTTTTTTTTTAGTTTTTCTCCTAGGTGTATTTATAAATCTCAAAATTTATTTATTCTCCTTTAATTTAGTTGATTGTAGTTCAATTATTGTGGCAAACTTGAAGATCTTACCTTTTTTAATGGCTAATTTACAAGTTTAATATAACGGATAATAATAAGCGTTTTCTTATTTATATAATACTCCAACTTAAAAAAAAATCAACTAGTACTTCTTTATTTAATTCTATAACCAATTTTATATTGATTGAGAAAAGACGAATTAGAATAAAGACTAGAAAATAATGTATGAATAACTATTACTCTAATCATTTATCTATTTTCTTTTAAGAGCGCAATTGATGAAAAGCGTACTTTAGAAAATGTTAATAATTAAGAATTTTATTAAGTTAAATTATCATAACATTTTCACAATTTCAAAACTATTTTAATTTTTTGTATTCTTCTAAACTGATTGGGTATTGACATCCTTAACCTGTTTCTTGACACCTTTGACATTTTCTTCTATCAAAATCTGGTTAGGTCATCACTTTGCCATTTTACATCCATGGTTGATAGTCAGGACAACCCACTCTGTGATAATGATTGCCATGACTCAATATTGGAGCTCTATCAACAGAACATGCTGAGCATAAATCCTATTAGCAACCATGGCACTTCACGTGATTACATTTCTCATCTTTTGTTTGCATTAAACCACAAAACGGACAAACTAGAACTGGCATACCATCAATTGCTTTTAAAATCTCTTTTAACAGATTCGGACATTGCTAGTTCTATTAAAATATAAATTACTGCTTGATTTTCTCCATGATATTCTTAGTAGCAATGACGACAAAGTAATGTATTACATTTCAAGCATTAAATCTACAGCTATTTATATTCCGAGCTTGCTTGTATTGGTGAGTTACATTTACAGCATTTTGAAGAAACTTTTGCTAAAACCTCTTTTATTTTTATTTCAAAAATAAGTTATTTAGAAATATTACGTCTTAGAAACTCTTAGTACTCCTTTAGTGATTTTTAGCATAAATAGCATTTAATTGTTTCTAAATTCATGTTTTATTTAGCATTTTCATTTAAAGTATTTAGCATACATCCCATATGAGCCATCATATTGCAGCAAGGGGTCTTAATTGCTTCATCTGAATGTAAATCATAATTTTCATAGCATATTTAACAAAAAGATTTATCCGCTGCTTTCGAAATTTATTTTGTTAGTATTCTCACTCCATACTATGGTTTCATATTGGTTACATCTTCTTCTTTTTTAGCTATGCATTCTGTGGTAAAAATATCAACCTAATCATTAAAACATTTTGGCTAGTTAACAAGATTATTCTATTTGTATTATTACTAATATTCCGTCCTTTAACTAGGAAAATTAGGAACAAAATTGTTGTTGTTTTAATTCTGGTTATTGCCTTATATCGAAACTCCCATTTATAAACCATTGGGTACTTTAAAATTATTAGGGTTATTTTAATTTAGTATATTGGGTCTAAACTCTTAATGATTCTAGCTGACAGCATAGTTATTGTATTAGCTTGTAGTAACCATATTATTAAATTATGGTTATGGATATTATTATGATTATTGTTATGTCCATTGTTAAGGAACAAAAATCTATGTAGGATTTTGATTTGTAATTTGAATACCCTAATTTTATTACCCGGCAACATTTACTTAAGTAAATCGAACTAAATTTGGTTACGTACTTTAACTAACGACAGGAAATGATTACATCCTAAACAGACTTTTGTTAGTCGAAAAGATGAGAAGTTGTTTCAAATTATTATCATTAGCATTTTGATAGAATAATATTTTAAATTATACAGGTTCTTTGCTTTAGAGTTTAGTACTCTGATAAGATTTACTCTGCCAAAATTACGGTCCACACATTTCAAATTCCAAACTTTCTTAAATTGATTCATCAAGGATTTAAAAGTCTATTGAATCGGGAAAAGGGCTTAGAGTAATTTTTTTCGTAATTTTCCTACAAAGTTCAGCATAAAAGTGTTATTTATTGTCTCTCTCGAATTGAATTTTATTCATAATATCTTTAAACTGAGTTTGTAACTATGTATTTTAAGAGAATTTTATAATTTAAAATAAGAAAACTCCAAAATATATATCTATTTTATTAGGTTCAAAATTGATTAATGGAAAGCTATTCCATTTCAAAAGTTTTTATGTTATAACGTTTGACAGCTAGGTATTTTATACATAAACATTTTTCAAAGCAATCTCCTTTGCATATTGCATATTTAAACCATTGATGACTTAATCACTAATCATCTATTTCTATTAAAAATATTAATATGAAAATATAATACTTTTGAAATTAAATTAAAAAAAATTTACAATACTAGAATTATCAAAATTCATTTGATTATCAAGAAAATTTAATTGCCGTGAGATAATAGAAATAGATATGATAAAATAATCTATTGTCCTTCTTCTGACTCATAAACAATTTTGTATAATACGTTAGTAAAAGTAACTTCTAAATTTAAAGAAACAATTATTAAGCTGAGAATATCAGCATTAGTAAATAGGTTTATTTATTTAGTTCATTGGTATTTAACGATAAAAACTATTAACTTTTATTTTATTTTACATAATTTTGAAAGGTTTCGAGGATGTTATAATGAAATATAGGATAACAGAGAAAATAATCACTAAGTAATATAAAATTAAAATTCAATTTCTATTGATTAAATATAGAAGGTTGAAATTCTTGGATAGAATTAAAGGGATTCTTGTATAACTAAGCTTTCTTCTAATTAAAATCTAGAATCTCATTAAGATTTATGCCAGTGAGTTTTATAATTCTAATAGAATATCCAAATTATTCTTATTTTATAATTTTATTAAACAAAATGAAAGTGTTGTTTCCTTTAATAAGCGAATTTTCTAAGTAAGTTTAGATTGTATATACGCAATGAGTTGAACCTTTTAAATTACATAGACTATCATAAATAATTATTATCACAAATTTGAAGCAGTTGCAAAGAGCCATCCTGTTTTTATGAAATCATGTTTCTAATAGATATCCTCTTTATCTACCTAAAGTTTTAAAAGACAAAACCATTCTATCGGGTATATTTAATTCCATTTTTGATGATATTACAATAAATTATTTTAGGTTTTTCTAATCCTACTGAATTCTTGAACTATCAATTTTCCTTTTACAGTTTATGTGGAATTCATCTAATCTTTTACCAATTACTGATGATTAAGGGTTTCTTCCAAAGAATTTGTCTAAATATATTGATAAAACAAACCATCTATTTCAAAGATAATTGCTTTTTTTTCAAGTTCATAATTGCCTTAAACTTATACTAAAAAATGTGCTACTAGGATATAGTATTTATAATTCTGATTTATTGCTCTATCATCTTTATAATCTTAGATCAACATTTAATTTTTAAACTATTTGATCAGAACAAAATAAGTGATTTATTCTATTTTTGTTATGGTAACTAGTTTTTCACAATATCTATTTGCGAATTTAACAAAAAAATGGTTTTGAAACCCATTATCCTAAACTAGATAGGAGATGCATTTAGACCATATTTCTTTTCAAGAACTGTAAATTGAAATTGAAATTAAATTCTTTATAATAATTATAAACTCAAATTTAATTAATATATATAGTTAAATGAAACTATTCTATTTTAACTTACATTTCTTAAGACTCAATAATAAATGGTGTTTTTCCCTAACAGCTAACAGAAGCTATTAAAGGTAATAATAAAATTCATTGTAATACTATGTAGCTTTTTGAGTTAGGAAGTAGATGGAAAACATCCAAATTAATTAATAAATTAATAATAATAAAAATAAAAATTTACAAAATTTTCAATTAATTTATTTATTATTTTGACAAATTTCAAATTCATCTTCCTAAATTGTATTTTTTATTAATTGAATCTCATGCAAAAGGAGATATCTAATCTGGACAATTCTTTCCATTAATTTTTAGGAGGGGTATTTTTAATAAATTTAAATTAAGATTGAAATTTACAGTATATTTAAAAAGGAATATATTTGCTAAAGTTGTTATTGCTCTCCCTTATGAATAATACTTTTAATTCATAGTTCAAAAATTAAAGGCCATCAAATATAATTATCGTACTTTGAAATAGCTAATATATTATGCATATGCTTCCAAAAAGTAAATAACATATATAATTGATCTAGACTCTTAATATAGATTATTACTAGACTTAAACCCTGTTTCAACACTGAATAAGAATTGAATCATGTTTGGAATTAATATTTATTAATAATATATTTTATAGTGGTATTTTATTTTATTAATGAATAAATATAAAATTCACTTAAATAATCGATACCAATGGCTAATTTTTGAAAACTAAATAGTCTATCTTTTAAGGCCCAATTTTAATAAATGGACTTGGTAAAGTATCCTAATCACTATAAATATCAAGAGTCTGTACATATAAGAAAAAGTTTAGAAAATAACATTATCTTAAATGGAAGATGGATAGATAACATTAGGAGAATAATTTTCTGAAATATTATATTCATCTTACCCTATATGATCTGACTTTGTTTTTTATTTATAATCAAGATTCTTTAGATATCATCAATCTTTACATGAAGCTTCTCTTTTATCTTTAATTTTTATTTAGACAATATTTAAATAAAAGAACATGAAAGTGTAAGATTAGAATTTCTTAAAGTAGATTTCAATCATTTTAATCTTTGTTGCTAATCTAATGTAATGCTTTTGGTGGATATTTTTGGCGACAAATCTGATGTCAACTATAAATTATGAGTTATTTATATTATAGATAGTTTGCATATTGGCAAGAATATGTTAATATTACATTATTCGAAGAGAATTGGACTTTAAAATATTTTTGCATGTAGTTTCTCTTTTATATTTTGTGATTTACGTAGAATCATTATTAATTTTGAATTACACTTAAACATTATACATTATTACCAATTGTGTGTTAATGATTATCAATTACAAAACATACTTAAAGAAAGCTGTGCAGAAATCTAGTTTAATTTGTAGATTAGGACTCCCTATGTATTTATTTATTAGGACAATATGGATGGTTGTTAGTAGTTTAAATTACTAAACACTTGAGTGTTTGACTCTCATTGGTGTTGTTTTTATTCATTAAGTAATTAAAAACTGTAAGAAATTTAGAAAATACAAAAAATTTCCTTAAAACTTTTATCTTAAAACATTTCAAAAGGGATAAATATTATAAAATTAACAAAATGAAGAAACACCTGCGCCTGGTTAAAATTGCCTCATGCAATCCTTGATAAGATCATAAAGCAAAATGACTCTTGTTTAATCGCCTAAAAAATATTTTACTATTTAATTGAAAGATCTTCCAAATGAATTGAAATTAAAACGATATTCAAATTTGACAAGCTTTTCAAAATCTCAGAAAAACATTCTTAATTAAGGAAACTCTCAGTATTAGATGCTTTAATTATACTCTAATCTGATAAATATATTTCCTTATGGTATATTGATTATTAATGAGCATTAATCAATTAATTATATTAACAATAAATGTGAAAAGATATTAGAATGTTAAGGCATTGATCAAGTGCTGGAAAAAGTGAAAATGTGTGTCAACACTGCAAAAATGTAAGAAAATGTGAGTGAAACATCAAATAAATAACAAAAAAAATAACATCATTATCAATTACTCTAATAAATAATAAAAAAGTTATAAATAAACAATAGTTCAGTTGATGTTTTGGACATCATTCTTTAACCATAAAAATATTTTGGAATTCTAGGACAAAATGAAAATTAATTTTACAAAGATTTTTAGGAAGCATTTCATCAACAAATATTTATATACGAATGGCTTATCAAATCAGAACAAACATAATAAAATTACTAGAAGAAACTGAAATTAATAATTATGCCAACATCAATGACCAATTAATAATAAGAATACATTTCAGCATCTTCATAATTTAAATCCTCAATTAAAAGTCATATATCAAATAATTATAGTGATTAAGAGCATCCTGTGATGCTGATTATAATTAAAAATGTCACAAATAAATTCAAATGTCAATAAATGAGAGATGAATAAATAATTCATCATAGTTTAATTAAATCATTTTCACACGAATTAAGAACTCCATTGAATAGTTGCTATCAAATGTTGAATCTTATGAAATGTTAACCCATTTCTAAGGCTTTTTCCAATTATATTGATATTGCATAATGTTCAATAACATTGTTAATTCATTAAATTAATGACATTTTAGATTATGCTGCACTCTAATCATTTTCCTTCAATTATAATATTTCGAATTTTAAGATTAATCAAATTACTTAGGAAATAGAGGACTTGTATAAACTGCAGGCATCATAAAAACATATTACTTTAACCATCAAAGTCTCCGATTACTTAGCAGGAAGGATCTTTCGTAATGATAAACAGAGAATAATACAGCTATTAGTAAATCTATTAAATAACGCAATCAAATTTACTCCTTAAGGAGGAAGCATTTGTTTAAATGTGATTGAAGTTGATTAATAATATATTAATTTTTCAGTGAAAGATAATGGAATTGGGATAGATGAACGTAAACTAAGCTAAATTTAGAATTGCTTGCATGACACTATTGAATTTGGAGCTGTATTGAAATCTCATTCAAAAATTAAATAGCCAGGTTTAGGAATAATTATTGCAGCAAAGTTGATAGAAGGTTTGACAGAATCAAAAGAAAATAAATTAAGTATTAGCTCTAAGAAAAATAAAGGAACTATGGTATAGTTTTAAATAGAAGACTTATAAAAAACGAATTTATAATCTATTTATCTTTCAAATTAATAAAGCTAGAAATTGAATAATTTAGTTAACCGATAGGAAAATAATGTTTAAAATTTGGATTAAAACAAGATATTCAGTTTGAGCAATAAGACCTTGAAATTTGAAAATGAGATAAATCATCAAGAAGGAAAGTCAGAGTCGTTTATTACATTGAGATTAAACGATTCAGAAAAATAACCTGAAATTTTTCTTCCTATCAGTCCAGAATACTTTTCAAAGAAGATTCTGGATTTACATAACAAAATTTAGAAGTCATTACCAGAAGATTACTTTCAAAATGCAGATATACTATGTCAAAATTGCGTTCACATACTTATAGTAGATGATATTCCATTCAATCAAATAGCACTAAAAATGATATTAAGTAAGTATAAAATTGAAGTTGATTAAGCATTTGATGGATTTCAAGCTATTGAAAAGGTCAAACAAAAAATGCAAAAACATTGTTAACACTATAAAATAATTTTTATGGATATCGAAATGCCAGGAATGGATGGGTTTTAAGCGAGTTAATAAGTAAAATTGTCAGATTATAAATAGATTCTTGAATTGACCTCTAATTAGGCCTTTATTGTGATTTGTTCTGCGTACGATACTTAAGAAAACATATAATAAGGAAAGAACATTGGAATCAACACATTTCTTTAAAAGCCCGTTAAATAAGATGAATTGAATGTACTGCTTGGAACAGTATTTAAAATTGAATCTATTTCAAATTTTTACTTGCAATAGTCAAATTTTCATTAAGGATGAAATTTATTAATTCAATATTAAAAAAGCGATATTAATTTTTCATATGATTATCATTGAATAACGATCTAATAAAATTAATTTAATAATTTTTTGATTTTTTGGATAAATAATAAAGACGAAAATTCCTTTTCTAACCATCTAGAAAAGATAATTAAATTTTATTTTAATTTGACTTTACGTTGTTTGGCTAAATTCATTTTTTCATCAAATTGAATTTAAATCAATTGAAATATTTTAAGTATTCTCCATCTATAAAGATTAAAGAAAATAATTAATATCTTCAAAGTCTGCAAGGGAAGACTCAATAAAAGCATCGTAATTTTTAAACAAAAGTATTTTTTTTAAACAAAAATTTCCAAACTAGTTGTTTTCCCTTGAGCTATATCTGATCTTTAGAAATCTTTAATGAAAATAGTTATCAAATTTGGGGTAATTCAAATATATCTGCCATAATTGATTTAGGGCAAGAGTTTGAATATTAGATATGGAAAATCAAAATTTTATAGAAAGTAAATCTTATTCGCATCCATATAGTTTATAAAATTAATTGAAAAAGGGATTGCATGATAAAAACAAATTATCCTCTTACATTATGTTCCATAAACATTCATCAATAAGTATTTTTTATAATTCTTAAAAAAATCTGCATTAAGTATATCTAGATTTATCATTTTGATATTTATAATTCTGAATTAAATTTAAAGTAAAAAAGCTTAAAATCTGCAATTTCCCATAAATAATATTAAAGATTGTATTTGTTCTTTTCTCCCTTTTTTGTCAAGAAAGGACAAAATTCTATTAAACCCTCACTTTAATGTTTGTTAGAGTAAGTGGAGGGTACGACAGCAGAATCACACCAGCATTACAAAACTCTGCAGCAAAATTCAACCTTTATGAGATTTAAAAATACAAATATAAACATATATATTATTTTCAAATTTTATATTTATTTTTCAAAGTTGTATATATATGTTTGAGGATATATATAGTTTTTATTGAATCAATAAAGCGTTTTTATCAATTATTATTTGACTTCATGGTTGAAATTCAAAATAATCTTGACTTTAGTATGACTGTTTTATGTTTTATATGAAAGTTTTAACTGATCTTTGGTTTTTCAAGTAAAAAAACAATGATAATGCAAAAATTTAATTAATTTTGGATAATATGGAATGATTTTTTTTAGAATAATCATTGAAATCCAATTTAACTTTCTAAAATACAACTTCCCTTAGATTTTAATAATTATCGCAAATCTACACCTTAAGAATTTATAAATTCTCCTTTCAAGATTAACGCTCCTTAAGTTTCTAGATTAGGATTTTAAGAAATTCGAAGTATTGTAATATTAGAAGTAACTAAAGAATAGTGAAAAATACATACCTCTTTCTGGAAGAATATTGTTTTTAAATATTTGGGGTTAAAATTATGCAAGGATACTTTTGTCATTAATATCAGAAGGTAAGATTTGTTGACCTGTTTTTACATTCCAGATGCTGACAGCATTATTATAACTGCCAGATGCTAATATAGTAAAATCGGGGGAGAAACAAACTGATTGAACATAATTAGTATTACTATCTAATTTGGCTTATTATTATCCTATCTTAACTTCCCATAAACGGATAGAATTATCATGACTACCAGATGCTAATATAGTACCATCAGGAGAAAAAGAGACTGATTGAACATAACTAGTATGACCATCTAATTTTGCTTATTATTATCCTGTCTTAATATCCCATAAACGAATAGACCTATCATAACTACCAGATGCTAATGTAGTACCATCAGGAGAGAAACCTACAGATATGACTAGTTAACTATGACCATCTAATTTGGCTTTTTATTAACCTGTCATAACATCCCATATACGAATAGACTTATCATGACTACCTGATGCTAATGTAGTGCCATCAGGATTAAAACATACTGTTTTAACATAATCTTTATGACCATCCAATATGGCTTTTTATTACCCTGTCTTAATATTCCATAAACGAATAGATTTATCATAACTACTAGATGCTAATGTAGTACCATCAGGAGAGAAACATACTGAATAAACTGTGCTTACATGACCATCTAACTTGGCTTTCTATTATCCTGTCTTAACATCCCATAAACGGATAGAAGAATCTCCTCCACCAAATTGGCCACCACCACCAGATGCTAATGTAGCACCATCAGGAGAGAAACATACTGAATAAATTGCACTAGTATGACCATCTAATTTTGTTATTTATTATCCTGTCTAAACATCCCATAAACGGATAGACCTATCTTCACTGCCAGATACTATTTTACTACCATCAGGAGAGAAGCAGATTGAATATACATAATGAGTATGACCATCTAATTTTGCTTTTTATTATCCTGTCTTAACATCCCATAATCTAACAGAGTTATCACCACTACCAGATGCTAATGTAGTACCATTAGGAGAGAAACAGATTGTATAAACACTACCATTATGAGCATCGAATTAATTTAAATCATGTATTTTTATATTTTTCCATTTACAATTGAACAATGATGCACCATTCAATGTCATTCCACTAATATCAACATTATCAAAAATAGATCCATTCAAATTGCATCTTACTAAATTAGCACCACTTAAAGAAGTATCTCTAATCCTTATATTCTCAAAGCTTTGTTCTCTTACATCTGCCTTCATCTACGCTAATAAATTAAGCGAGTTAGATCCACATTAGATCAATTTTTCATCAATGGCTGTAAGATTAACTAGAAATTTTAGAAATTAGATTATTTTTCCATCATTTGCTATTTTTTGAATCAAATCCTTTCTAATTTAACTATAATCTTCTGTGGAGTAATTCTTTTAATTAAAATCAATTTCACTAATATTTTTGAGAGTATTAATTAAGAGCAAAATATTATGAATTCTAGGATGATCTAGTTGTTTTACTATTTCAGCGTTTGAAAGATACCCTAGACAATCTGTGATTTACTCTTTCCGTAGCAATTCAAAAACCATATTTAATAATTATTATTCAATATTTTTGGTTTATGCCAACAATTCATATAAATCTTCCTTCCAAACAGTAGCTTAGTCTTCCTCTTCAATGATTTGAATCCTATATTATGAATAAATATAGTACTTAATAAATGGCATATTCTAATTCATCTCTATATTCATCTTCTCACTAAAAGCTTTAACTTCTTGATCCCACCAATTCTTTGCCTTCTCCAATAGAATCAAATATTAATCTTTCTAAAAAATCCAATCATTTAATGTTTTCCCATCTACAATTTATACTAATTTTTCTATGTCTGAGTATGAAGATTCTATTAGATTAGCATTTTCGTTGACAAGATTCAGATATGAGTTATTTGTCTATTCAATGAAATCATATAGCTAATTAATTTATTATGATAACTCTTCCCAAAGTTTTCTCAACAAATTTTCGGTTTGAGAGAGAATAGATTTAAATTCTTTTCTCTATTACGCTATTTCAGATTTCTCATCAAGCTTATACTCTTTTAATTTCTTTATAACTATCTCTTAAAATCTATTGATCGGAACTGTGTGTTTTTGGATATCCACTCCATGTTCAAATTGGCATTCAACACATAGTTTCCGTAAACATTTACATTTGTGAGGAGCTATGCATATCAATGATACTTGATTTTGAATATGGTAAGTGCAATTCATGATTTTTAGAAAAAATTACTGAATTTCTATTACTTTAGTGTATGGTATTTTAATAATAAATCAAAAACGTATCTTGCATATTTTTGTAAGAATGAAGAACAGACTTGAAACGATTTGAAGCTTATTGTAATTAGTGGAATTTAATCAAAATTTGAGTATTTAAAATGAGTGATCATAACGTGAAAAAACCATTAAGACCAGGAGATAGAGAATAGAAAAATTACACCAATCGTATGTGCAATGGAAATGATAAATTATAACTCTATATTAAATATTAATAGAAGGTCTATGTCAATCTGCTAGCTTGGTATTATGAGTTTGTATTGCAAATTATAATCTTAATACATATGATCAGAATATCTGGTATTATAGCAACAACAATAAAATTTTAGAATTTTCTTTCATTGTTGTACAAAGTATCCTTTTGAGACATAATTTCTTGTTCAACTAATCAATTTCTTAAACACTTTGTGCAATATTTCAAATAAGTGACTGATATTTCTATTAAAATTTTATTAGATGAACTTACGACAACGCTTATACAAGATCTATACCTAATTCATCTTATTGAGGCTCTTAATAACATTTATTCCTGAAAGTGTCTGTATATTCTGCATCCTGCTGTTTAGCAGCATCTTAAATAAACAAAAAAAATTATGCAAGAAATACTAATCCAACTATACCGAAAAATTTGAGGATTTTACGATATCAACGTTCCTGCGACCTTTGAAAAGTTTAACAGAAATGCTCTTGCTACTATATGTTGACGTATATGCTGGAGCGTATTCTTCATCTGTTTGCGATTCATCCTGTAAAAATCTACAATCGCAGCTTAAAATGAATGCTTGTTGTTTTTTAACTGAATAATTCTCATTATATTGTTGTTATGCGATAATTTTTCAATTAATAATTTCAAGATAAA